TCGTCGTGCAAAGTTGGATGGTGATAATCTTGACAAATGTAAATCTGGTTTCAAGTAAAACGGACGTCAACCAGCCCACTTGAGTAACTGGACTTATTTACTCGTGGGGAAGAAGTATCGTCGAGGAGACGTTATGTGACAGGACAATTCACACATCCCAAACATGACTTTTGCCAACCATGTTTAATAGTGTGTGTTGTGATGTGATTATTTATTTTCTGATTCTGATGCAATAAGCTAACTGAGCAAGGATGGGATTTAAATTCATTGTGCAGTGATGAAGACACAAGACACAACAACCTGTGAGGAAATAAGTAGTATCGTGTCTGAGGAGTATTGTGACTGCATGGCGACGCCATTATTCCGATTTACGGTACATTTGACATTCCAAATAGGAATTCTTTTACCATATTCACACAGATTAGCATATTTAGGCTGATTCTCATCATGAAGATTAGAGTTGTAATCTGTACCTAATCTGCACGATGTTACGTAACATGTGATGTCAGGCGCCGGGGGCGGTCATTCATCCTCGTCCCAGGTGCTGGAAATAAGTTCAATCGAGTCACGATTATTGAATACGATTGATGCGTGTGTGGATACAAAAGAGTTCAAAACATGGTGCATTTCATTCGTCCCTTTCATTCACTCGACTTGATATCGCTAAATTACATTATCGTCAAATTACCACTTTTTCCCACCTCAGCAGTCTTCTCCTTTTGAAAAAAGTGTGCATCTTACGAGCTAATCTCATGTGATCTCATCTAAGTAATCGAGATAACTAGACCAGTCTTGGTTTGGTGGATGCAGTGAGGAATTTTCATTTGCATCCGTGTTCGAGTAGTTTGGCAAAGGTTTGGAGGTGGAGATTTTCTTCCACAAATCTCATGTTTTCTTCGGCACGGTCTTTGTGTCCTTGTAGTGAATGGTAAAGCATGATAATGTGATTGACGACCATGAAGAGATGAATTAGACTTGTTTTGCTGTGAGCATGAAATGCAACCAACCGTTGATTTGACTTCCAGCTACAAAGCAACGTTAACATTTTTACGGCATCATAGATTGTGTGTAGCATGTCAGAGCCGTCTTTTGATTTGCTCAAGTGCTTCGAACATATACATAAAGCGCAACATTTACGAAACAAGACTTTTGTAGTAAACTATTTCTTCAGATATTCTGTTAATTTGGGTTTGTAAAGCAATTTTGCGACTAGTTTTTACGCTTTCTTCCAAACACGGTGTGCACGTAGGTAGGTAGGACGGGTAGAGATGTTTATGTTCACGTTCTCACCGTAAATGAGCGAACCTTGAAGTTTTCTGCAAAGAAAAGGAATCGTCAAAATTGATTCCTCGAAAAGGGTTGGAGTGGGAAATCTGCGAAACCAGAAGATTGTACGGTAAAGGCAAATAACAATATCGACTCGTCTCAATAGGTGTGGCCAAGCCAATCAATAATTGATTTCTGATCCGGTTCAATAAGCCCGTTTTATTGAAGATGGGAATGATTCGTGATTTCAACATAACTGTACCCAGCATTTAAACTCAGATTCAGGTTGTTTTAAAATCTTTCCGAAAATTTGTGACAGGCAATCGAGTTGTGGCAAAGATAACGTCGTCGTCGTCGTCGTCGGTAGTCCGCAATCAGTAATTCAGTGTCCAAGTCGTGATGTGTTGAGATTTAAGAGGCACAAGCTCTCAAATTATTTACTATACTCCGCATCCTCAAATGAGTCAAATTTTGAATGCTGTCGGCTTGTTTACTATCGCAGTAAGCCTTCCATTAATGTTGAGAGCTAATAGGCAGTCCTGTTGATTATTGTTGCATGTCATGTCATCAAGAACTTCTTATAAATTTGAAAATAGTTTGACGTGCATCCCGTTGTGCTTTTCCCTCGATTTGCTTATGCATTTAAATACCTCCGTTGTGTAGAAGGCTGCTGGTATGCAGGATGGATCGAAGGTGGAAGACAGCGATCTCCATTTTAAATAAGACTCGCACTCACTGACAGATGATAAACTTTCGTCACTAAAGAGCTGCCTGATCTCCTCGCGGAATAAGCTGACGTTCCAAAATTCTGACACTTTGCTAGATTTTTAGATTTAGACAGAATAATAAATGGGCATGAATATTGATGAGCGTACGTATCATGTGATTTATCGGAATCAGTTTACGCTTACAACTTTTTTTTAAAATTCCTTCACAGCTCTTTGATCACAAATCTTCTAAACATTATTTCTAAAAAGATCAACAGCACAGAAATATGTAATTGGTTCTTAAACTACTCGTCTCAACTCAAATTGAGGTGTTTTATGGTCCTCTCGTCAAAACGTGAGTTTATTTTGCAAATAAGAAAGGAAACGTCAAATTTGCACAAACTGTATACATTAGAATGCGTGGAACGTATGCAGCAGAAATTCTGGTCATTGTCAATTATGCATGTCTACAGTCGTGTGGGCTCAACTATGTTTACTTATTAGTTGAGTAAATTAAAAGGTAATAACTCAGTGGAAAACCAGGTTTGGAAAGCCAGGTTTGGCTTCCGATGTCATTAGGACACGACTGCGACTGACCGCCTCCCACCGAGAAACTCGTTGTCTTTAAAGGGGTGAAACTTTGACAGATTTATTAGAGTGCGTTTTCTACAACGATTCTCTCCACGACCACAATTTGCATTATTATTGTTTTTGTTGTGATATGTGAAAACAGCAGAGTGGAATTCCGTGATGGATTACCTGAACTCAAGCCAGTGAGAATTCACTATTATTTTTATTCCTCAATTTCATAGAATTTCATACTCATCCTCAGACTACAGATAGTTTCACTCGTATATTTCGTCTGTCAACCAAGGAAGAGATACGCAATCAGAGCTAAGGTGCATGAAATACGGGGTGTTGCGTTACTGTGCAGTTGAGGACATGGACATGCATAATTTAATTTAATTTGCAAATTGACTCATCTTCCATTTGCCGCCAGGGTTCTCTTAATTGAAGTGCTGGGTAATTAAACCACCTTTATTAATTCATGGACCTTCTTTGACTGCATTCTAATTTCTTGGGAAATTAAAACCCAACCGCTCACATGTGACCATCCTTATTTGGACCTAATCTTAATTTTTTAGACAACTAGGCCGAAATTAAACTAGGCTTTTGGAATGCATTGAACGATTCATCAATCTGGTAAAAATGCGTGCTAAAGTAAACAAAAAATGGGAAGTGGGTAGTAAATTGGCGAATCTGGCAGAAGAAAAACAAATCCGTTTGTTTCCTGTACATAAGTAGCTCAATTTTGCTCAGTTTGTTTAAAAAGCAGCGTGTCAAAAAATTCTTATCGCCGTTAAAGCGCACCCAGGACTAGGTTCTATCTAGTGATGAAGTTCATCTTCCTGACGGTGCACAGTTGTCAGTCCGACCAACCGTAGGAAGGACCAAAGTGTGAAGAAAGATTTGCTAGGTTCGTGATAAATGATGAACTTGTTTCGCTACAGGAAACGAATATTCTTCGCACAAGAATTTTTTGGATGGGCTCAGAATACCGATTTCACCTCAATCCGGCACCGTCGTCTCACATCATTGGGTTTCGTTTGGGTGTTGCGCTGCGTGGTTCGACATTATTCGTATTCCTTTTGTGTCTTGAAACAAGATCACAACGTCAACTCACTCCAACCATATTTCACCAGGAAAATTACATTTCCATTATTTTGCAAACACAAATGTCAGTCTTTTGTGTATAATATACTGTTGAATTTGGGAGGAAAACTAGTTCACCTGTCACTCAAGTCGTGTTTTTGGCATCTTGAATAATGCGATGGTACATTTTCCTTGAATTTTATTAAGGCGCAGGATGAGACGGCATGGAAAAAAATAACACAAATTATTACTCTGCTACCTTTTCGATGCTCAATCACAAGAAGCCAATATAGTAAGTGTTTATTTCAAAGCACACTTTAACATTAAAGGTTTGAATTGTCAAATAGGCTTTAACAATGTTTCGCACCAGGCAATGTGGGTGCCACAAAGTTAGAATAATGGCAGAAACACAATCTAAATTCCATTACAATTTAGATTGCGTTGCCATTTTGTGGAAGGTGTGTCAAGTGCAGTTGCCAACTATTTTAATCTGATTACATATAAAGTTGCACATACGTCGTCGGGTGATCTTATTCGGTTACAGGTGAACTTTCTGCAGCTTTTCGTAATTGCATATTGAAGTGGAGGTTCGAATAATTTGAAGTTAACGGTGTTAGAAACAAACACTTTTATATCCTAACCAATAATTTGATTGATTGATCACGACAGTGTGCAACTAACCTTCATTTCATTGTTTCACTATCAGTCGAGTCCACCAGCCAACATGCACCCAAGATTTGTATCGAATTCCTGTGGGTTGGGTATATACGAATCCATGTACATACATACATAAACCAGGTCAGAGATTGACATCACATCAACGTGAAGAACTTGTGTGCTAAAAATAGGGAACCTTCCATGATTCCATTCTACCTGTGGGCAAATGACTTGATGGAAATGTTGTTCAGTCACATTACTTGCTATTTGTATGCAAATTGCAAACACTGCGATTATCGCCAGGTTGGTTGGAGACATAACTTTGCTTGTGCAACTGGGGTATGGAAAATGTGTGTATGTGGAATTTAGCCAACTTTTCCTACATGCATACATACCTGAGGCCAATATGATGAATTATTAATGTTTTTGACCACCGAATTAGATATGGCATAAACACTGCACAGTAAATTGTACTCTGTATTCTTATTACATATGTCTCTAGCTAGATATTTCATAACTTCACCTTGCTGTATAAATAAACCTTCCATATTTTAACCATAAATACTGGAGAATCCATCGCAATTTTAATTACCCATACATACATAAGCACAGTAGGTTACAAGGTTGCACCAACATGCCTACTTACATACGTACATTCGTCTCAATTCTCATGTATATATCTAACTTATGGCTGACTGTTCAATTTCTCAATTTTAGATGGAACAAACTTCTTCAGCCAAGGAAATCTGCAACCCATAAATTGAGGACAAGAAGGAAACGTACAAATTTTGTTAAATAAAAATATCCAAGTCATATCTGGAAAAACTTGGAAGGAAAATATAATCAACTAACGAGTTATAATTTTTAAATAAATAAAAGGACGGAGAAACAGAACGGATCAAATTTTGATTTTGAAACTTCATATGTGCGAGAAAGTAAGTGCTCGAGTGAGCTTCGCTAATTTATTGGCGTTCACACGACGCTTGGAATTTACAGAAGTCAAATCCTATTAGTTTCGACAAACTCTCGCCTCCCAGGCAGCTCATAATATTCGGAAACCAATGAAATTTCCTCCAACTCTGAGAAACTTGCTTTGATGCTGAATTGAGCTTGTCATCATCAATGATGGATGAATGTGCCATGATGATTTCAGTAATTGAAGTTAATTCAGAAACACGTCTGTGACTCAGAAATTGTGTTATTTTATCGTGAACACTGACGACGACGCTTGGCCCAACAGAGGAAACTCAACGAGGAATTAGACGAGATTTAGCAAATGCGGGAGGAAATAAGGCCTTCGTCCTCTCCTCACCTCATCACTGTCCGGTAAATGAGGTTAATTTCTCTGCTAGCGTCGGAGAGTAAATATTTGCTAAAATACCAACGTCTGCTGCTCAGCCGATGGCGAAACCATAAAATATATTGCACCAATGCGAAGAGTTTGGGATTTGATTTCTTGTTGATGTAATCTAAGCCTTTTTGTCCGAGAAATTTACAAGAGACGACGCCACAGATTTCTCCCAACAATTATCCGAACAAATATCGTAGTGCAAACATTTTCCTTGTCACAATAAAAACATCAACGCTCTGAACTAATATAGCACAATTGTCTCTTCAGAGTTTCTTACTCCAAATCCGCATAGGAACACCTTGTTCTAAGCAAATTGAAAGTGAAATCCGGAAGTAGTGGAGGAGTGACTTTGGCTGCTGGAGTGGAGCTTTTTGACAGTGCCGAGAAAAATAGAGCTTTGTCAGCGAAGGGAGAAAATACCCGGGAGAGAGAGAATCAGATTATCAGTTATCGTCGGGAAGTCTGGAAGGAAGGTGGTGAAACTGGAGGAGAGGTTTCTCTCACCAGATCCGCATATTCCACGACTCCTGCGAGTTCTCCCCATGCCGAGAATGAGACTCGTGCTAATTTCTTGCCAGGGGGAAGACTAACAAGTCCTCACCAATTTACAAAGTGGACTCGGTCTCACGGAAATATCGCATCTGCAACAAACATTCCTTATTGCGGTGGTAGTAGCAGTAGTTGTGACCAATTTGGGAGGAGAAAGTCCGCCACTAAGTTATTCTCCTTTAAAAGAAAGTCTAACAAGGTTGGCTCCAGCGGAGGAAAAGCTCTTTTCCATTGCAATATCAAGTGGCGGCGGAAGCCAATAATTCCTTGGTTGAAGATACGAAAAGTAGTCGTTCACATCCTGCCCTCGTCCTTGTCTTCCCTGCCAACCGCTAAGATGGACCACGAAGATTTAATGTCCGAACTTCCCCAGATTGAAAAGTTGAGCAACCAGGAAAGGCTTCGCTTGGCACATAAGCGTAGGATGCTCCAACTCAAGAGGTCAGTTTTTTCGAAATACTTATTTGAGTATTTGAGCCTTTGTTCATGATGAAAAGTGCAGTTTCTTTCTAAAATGCTTTACTACCATTGTGTCGCAAATAGGTTTCAACAGTACGACAAGGAAATTGGATCGCGGAAACACAAGCCTGCGACCCAAGACGTGAAGAAGGGGTCAAACAAAGGAGGGCTGAATGGGCTGACAACGAACGGGAAACCGGGTGGAAAGCGGATCAAATTCCGAAATAGCATCATGCTTTTGGAGGCAGCCGGGAGAAACGATGTCGAAGAAGGTGAGTTCATTATTCATTATTGGCATATTTATTCTCATACGAGACAAACTTTATCTGCACCGTATCGAATATTTACGTTCGATGAGTAACATCGGCATACATGATGTGCACACATGAATGAATGGAGCAAGTGAAACTTTTTGTACGCTTTTGTGCTAAACTGTGTCATCGTAATATGCACCGTAATCCCTGCAGCTCTCAAAGGTTAATTCCTGCTTGTATAGAAAACGTCATTGATGCGGTAAACCCTTGCCTTGCTTGAATGTACATATATGTGTAATATGCACCTACTTTATCCTAAAATAACTTGCTCTCTGTCAGTTCAAGTTTGAGGCCGATGTTGTGAAGGAATCAAAAGGTTCGGATAAGAATTCCCCGAGGTATTTTACAGACTGCAAATTATGTGCGGAAGATATTTTGTAAAGTCAATAACATATTATTGGCCTTGACAAGAATTCCTCCATCCTCCTTTAGCCTTTTGGTGGTTCAAGTGCAACATATTTATTAACGTATACACAACTGCACAAACTTATTTATTGTGGGTGGAGAACTGCAGTAGTGTTCTGAACTTGACATGAATGTTTTTCTAGTTTTTTCCCTACATATGCAGCAATTTCACTCCGCAATAGCAGAGTTGTGCACATGACTTATCTCCACGGCGCTGGGGCTCGTGCCAAGCCAACGAATGCCAAATGGTCGTTCTTTCTCTTTACATTAACATCATAATTCCTGCCGTTGGAACCTATCCGGTTTATGCAACGGGAAATATATGGCCAGAGGGAAACAAATACGTTTTATCTACAACGAAATGATCATTTCTATTCGCTCGACGTTTATAAATCACTGAAATTCGTATTTAGTTCAACAGTTAGATTAATTTTGGAGTATGTCCAAAATTTCAGTGAAATGAGGATGCACAAGTGGCAATTGATGAAATGTGTGCCTTTTCAAAGGTACATAACACTTTGTTGGTTTGTTTTGAACTTCTTCCCCGTCGGAATTTGAGACATCCGGAAGTTTTGAGTTACGCGTTCTTACTGCATATTCATCAGATGCATATTTCACATGAGGTGTTATGGTCATCGTAAGTTGCATGTAAACAAACTTGACCATGTTTCTCTAATGCATAATTTTGTTGAATGGATCAACGAAACTAATACACGTTCCCGCTGTTAGTGCGTAATAGTTACCATGCATGAAATTCTATCGCCCAGCCATGTACGAACTTACGTTCTGGTGGACGAAATGTCTGATTTCATTGCTAGTAAACATGAACATTGGGCAAAAAACATGAAAAATTCAGATAATCCTTCATCCTGACTCTCCCAGCGGCAATTTCTTATATAATTCAAAGATTTACTCTGTAAAGTTTTGCAATCCTGTATTCAAAGCGACCACGTAATGGGGGTTGTATTTTATGAGCAACAGCAGCAGCATGCATGTCTGACGGAATAAATGTAGCAAGCAGGGTGCTCAATTGAATAATAAAGTATTCGCGTGATATCTTATTTCCACGCCATATTTCCCAAATCCCTACGAAGAACAACATCCGAGGAAATAACACAATGGGGATGAAATGGCCATTACAACCTCCTTTACAACTTTCACCAGGGGCAATGGAATCCAAACGGCAAAAGTTGAGAGAGTTATTTCTCCATCTCTGTTTCTCTCCTTCTGTCCCTTGGTTTGGATGGCTGGATTTTTTGAAAATGACTCCATTTCTTGTGGAGAAAGTCTTTTTGGGAAAGCGGAACGGTTATAAATCTTCTCTGTCTTCCTGCGCATTCATCTCCCGATTTCCAGCCGGTCTCACTATATTTATGGATCAAGTATCGAGCTTCCCCACCGACTTGAGTATCATATTTGACTGAATGGATCTCTGCTACTAGGGCATAAACTTTGGATCTCCTGAGCTTATCCTGCACACGAGGAGCACAGTTCTTACTTTTAGTAGTGTTTGAATTCGCAAATATATAGCAAAGGCGAGATTCGGAGATATGTTTGCGACGTCATCAGCTCAAAGTTGGGAGGATTGATAGGCAATTGAAGGCATTCGAATTCACAATTCTTTGATTTACGCTTCGTTGATTCAGAGACAACTTTGTCCCATTTCTGAAGCTCGAAAGTTATACTTGTTCAGGTGAATGAATAAGTTTTGAGAATGCAAATAATAACAAAAGCGGAGATGGTTCGATTCAGTCAACGTATCACAAATAAAGTTAGCTTCATGTGGCCCTGCTTAATAAGAGGCAACAAGTTTATGGAGCTTTTTAGTTCAAGGAGAGTAGAAGAATAGACGAAATGGCTTAACTGGCTAGCTTGCAATTTTTGCAAAGAGGGCAACATATGGATTTTATTTTGCACAAAAAACGAAGTGAGCCTAATTTTGCTTATCTATTCGGATGTGTAACCCCTGAAGCTAGAATTAAGCAAGTCCGCCATTTATGAGACATGAAAATTGTGTGCATGCGTAGGTACCAGTTACAATTTTGAATATAAATAGACTCGACCTCAGACCGAGCCAAACTTTCCCTTGTTACATAAAAGGAGCGAGAGTCGGAAACTTGACGAAATTGGTTTTTGTTCAATTTTATTCCAACCCGAAATCCAGTCTCATTTGGCTCGTTGATTCATTTATCTCCTGGAAACACTCAATCCTTACAACTCTCATGCTTCTCGTCGTCGTCAGATCTCATCTCCTCCACGTCAACCAAAATATAATCGTTCAATTATGAATTTACTCCTGCAGCCACCATGAAGTCAGCAAGGATGGAGGAGAAATTCGAAATCTCAACGTATCTAGTACGTACGTACATATCTCGTAGAAAGTGCAACTCGAAATTTCATTTGCACTTGTAGCTGCAGTGCAGTCAAGTTGTGCTTACTTTCGCAATTGAGAATGCGCCACAGAGTGGGCTGCATCGTTTTTGTGCTGATTTGATTCCCCTCGTTGGAGCTCAAAGTAGACTGGGAAGAAAGTGATTGATGGTAAATGTCTCTCTTGGAAAAGTTCAAGCCACACAATGACCACAATCGTCCCTTTATTTCGCCACTATGCGAAGGTTACGTCTGGGTTATGTCAGGATCGGGTAGCTGGCTGGCTTGGGCTGAGGGTTGGTCAGTGCAATCTGTTTCTGACCAAGTGCAGGGTGGACGGGTGAGAAAATGAATAGCGACACTTTCTCCACAATTTAGTCCAAGTTGGGAACATTATTTAAGAGGAAATCCATGTCTTCATCCTCCACCACTCTCTTTTCCTAGAGCCCTCGCAAATTACTTATTACTTGTGGAACACCACCTACTGAAGGACATCTGCAAGAACGTATCTCGTATATTGCAGACTACAGTTTTCAGTGCGCTTTTGATCGTAGAGTCCAAAATACATGTTGCGGAAATAGAATCTGTTGAACCCCTCGTATGTACATATGTGCATGCAGTGTGGATTTCTTCCACTATGGATTAGCTGGTTTATTGATGTGGTCATTTTTATTTATGACTCTGGGAAGCATGGATTCAAACGCATTGCGACACTAGGGAATTGGAAACAAGGATTAAAAGAGAGAGAGAAAAAAACAGGAGTTTTCTGGTGACTTACTTTGAGCCTGCACACACAATGGACTGACCCCGCTAAATCCTGTAGAATTGACCATTGAGTTTTGTCCCACCCAGCTTATCGGAAGAAAAGATTGTCTTCAAACGAGGAACGCGATGGCGATACGCGTTGTTTCCTGACCAGAATGGTCAAGGGCTCAGAGCGTTCGTTTATTTATTTTCATAGCCTTGAACCAGCATTTCTTTCTTTGTGGCGAGCTTAGTTATTTCTCATTAACTCCACGTTCGTGAAGGAAGCGACATGAAGGCCGAAATTGAAGTTGGTGTGAGGAAAGTGCCTTGAATCACGATACTCGTACATCCTTAGAAATTTGGATTCCCGATAAACACGACCTATTTATTCTATTCGAACCTTAGATTTTGAGAAAGAAAAAGTTTATAAGGTACGTTTCAGAGCATTCTTTGCAATATATTCTGGTACCATTGGAATTAGAAAGAAGCACCATTATTACACATGTTCTGGAGAAGCTTGCAAGGCTGCGTGGTGATCCTTTATTCCCTCGTCAGTTTGCCATGTTACAAGTTCTTTACCCGGTTCATGGCTGATTAGCTCCCGTGCACACATTTCCTCCGCTTTTGGTCATGTCAAAGTATTTATTTCGTGGCTACAATGTCATTTTTTTCTTTTTCTATTTTTAGTTCGGCGACTTTTGAGTTCCGGCGTGTCCCCTGATGTCTGCAATGAAGACGGACTCACAGCCCTACACCAGGTTTGTCACTTTACTACACATATTCTACTCTGCTTGGTTCGTTATAATTATTTGTGCGTAGACATGTTAACAAGCTCAAGAGTTCCTAAAATAGGTTACCAAACGATACATATTCATACGACGTCACTCCTCACTTAATTTTAAGCTCGACATTGCTTATAGTTATAAATGTAGAAGTTGGAATAATACATATGTACAATATATGATAAAAACTTGCTAAAAAAACGGCCCAAGTTTATGCAAAAATATTCGTAAAAAATGCGAGAAGAGCGACTGACATTTAATGTTGTGTGACTTCCTGTCAGCAATTAAACTTTCATGGTGAAAGTTTAATTACTTTCTCCTACTCTCCAGGCTAATGGGACATAGGTGATTGGGAGAGTAATGAGTAAAATCTGACCCTGTCTTCAGCAGATTCCATAATGGCGAGACGTAAACTGGGCAACAAAACATTTTACAAACCACGACTCGTGCCACTTTCTCGTTTAAAGACTCGAGCAGCAGGCGTCAATGAGGGATCAACTCATTGGATGGGCGACGATGAATGTATTAATGCAAGGGCTTTGTGGGGCCTAAATATACGTACGTTGTGTGAAGCCCAGGTTGGTTTTAATGCCAGTTTCTCCGATAATAAACAGTGCCACACACACACACGCTCGCTTACCGGTCGGGGTGGCATGAATGGTTCCTGTTTATCTTCCATTTACAGCTGCTGTTGTCCTTTTATCATGGATTCTCAAACAACTTTCTCGTTTGCTTTGCATAGCTTTGCGCTCATGATCTGCCATCCAACCAACCAGCGAGTATCGGTCCTATGCGTCCACACTGGCCACTTTTACTGTCTTTGGAGAATCCCTAATTTACGACTTCATAAATATTTACTTTGGAACAAAAAGCTTTATGCTCACACTGCTTTCTCCGACTTGGAGTCCAAATCCAAGCCAGTCCGCCAAAAACTACGCGACTTACGTAACAATTCCATTCCCCTTTCTCCTTGGGCCAAGGAATTTGTAGAATATGCCTACTAATACGTTTCAAGAGAATATTTCATACACAAACAGCCCACGAGTTTAAAATAAGTGATCATAAATTTAGAGAATTTTTATCATTTTATTTGCAACGCATGTTTTTCATTATCTGTATTATGTAGTTTTGAAGGGCGATAATGCAATGTGTGCATATGTAGTCGATTAAATTTATCAATGAATATTTATCGCATATTTGGGATTTTATGAGTTTGAATGGCTTTTTCTACTCCTTTCGAAAGACGATCCTTTGGCAAATAGAAAACTGGAAAGATTTAAGGAAACTCCCAAAACCATAACGAGGTTTATTATGCTAAATGATTAAAACTCAAAATCCAACTCAGGAGAACATATGTATCTTATATAAGAAAGTAAGGTACTATATATTACAGAAATATGTGAGTACTGCTATGTGCTCGGATGGAAGACTTGATCTGCTTATTCTACATGCCTACATAATCCATAAATGGTGTACATTATGCAAATTGAAAGACGTCCTAAATTAATCCCTTAAGAACTAACTTATTAAACTACACCATCATCAGCACTAAAACAGATAGCGCTTTTATTCCTCGCTGTTCTCTTTCTTTCGGATTTTCTGCTTCAGCTCTGGAATACACTCTTACGTAATTCTGTAATTCTGAAGAAATAGACACATATTTTTCCCAAGCAATGCAATGGAAATGAAAGCATCTACTAATACATTCCCCCTATTACTTTTGTTTTATGTACTGTGAAATTAAATTTTAGCTTGCTAGACAGACATCCTTGCATTTGTGACGAAGGTGAAATTACGACACGACCAAACCACCCACGTCAATTTCACTTGATATCTATTATACCTATTCATCCAGATATAAATTATATGTACGTGCACATAAGGGTGCACTAGTTCAAAGCCACGCAGCTTCTGATTCATGGTGGATCAGATTCTGCGAGTTTTCCAGCCGAAAGCCAATAATCAGAGAGATTGAGTGAGATAGGACAAGAAGACGAAGGTTTTTGTGTAGTGAATCTACTCATTTTGTTCACATGCGTATAATCCGACATCACAAAAGTAATTGGAGTTTTGGGAAAAGCATTTGAAAGGGTTGAGGCAGGGAAATCTGAGAAGCTCTTTTGGAAATCTTTTGGAAAGCAGATTTGGGGCACGAGGGGAAAGCAATGGTGACGAGAAGGGAGAGGTTTGGTTAGATAATTGAGGTGATTATTGTAATTGATGTCTACTTTATGACCGTGTAGATAGATTTATAAGAAAAACGGCTTTGGCTCAGCAGCGAGTTCTGAACGTGCAAATTGCTTTTCTTTCTGTGTGGGAAGTTTTATCGCCTTAATGATTTCCCAATTTGCACACATCGTACAAACTCTGCTACACTTATGTGCATGCATATGACAGGATGATGAGGGTGGAGAAAACTGTGATAATATTTAATGGAGTGTTCGTAGCTTGGTTGGTTTGATAAAACTTGCATATTCTAGCGCAATGTTGCGCGTTTAGAAATTGCTGAGTCTAGACTACAGTATTATGAGTATTGGAATATCATGCCTGGTCTCGATTGAAGTATCGCGAGGATGGGACATTCCAACGTAAAATCGAAGGGGTATTTTAAGAATTTAATTAAACAGGCAATACGAGCCAGTAAAAATCTTTTATTACTTGGACCTCAAGGTAGCTTAACTTATGTAACTCATGTGAACCACGAGTCCATACAACTAGTTGAATGTTATCGTGTTGAAGACAACATTCCAGCACAGGACGAGAGAATGATATCGAGCAGAAATGCCAGTCCATTTGCTATTCTATTTCTATCCTTGTGTAATACAGAGTTAAATATGTTGCGCCAGAAGAGTGGATGAGAATAAATGTACCAGCATTCCAAAAATTCAGCTCTGTTCGATCGAGTGGGTGAGGGAATTGGATGTTGAATATTGTTGTGAAACTCGCTCAATCAGTTTGATTAGATAAGACAATACCTGACTCCCATATTAATTCACCTCTGACTCCATTTACATCCGGATCTGACAAAAAGACGGCAGCGTTTACACGGCGTGGAGACATTGATGGATGTGACAGTGAAAGAAAAGCATGATGGGAATTCCAATTGGCAGGTTGATTAGACGTTGTTGGTTGGAAGCATGGGAATGATGCATGAAAATCCATACTCGCTTCTTGTTCTTAACAAGACAGCTCAAGTAGAACACCTGCATTTTATACTGTATATAAACTTTGATGATCAAAATGCACACGTCTCTGGAATTGGGTTACTACCACCACCACTTGATTTGGATATTGTAACAGATTCTGTCATCTTCACGCGGGAAATATTTCTGGAAATATCAATTCGGTGGCGGGGATGTCAATCATTGCAGCTTTCTCCCCCGGGAGCATAACTTATAAATCATGGTTATAACTTTCTAGCCGGTAATTGTTATCCTAAATAAGAACAGCAAGAATCTGAGGGCGCTCGGTGCACATGTACGTACACATCTCGTGCAAAATAAAACTAATTCTGGAGGAAAGTTCTTGGTGATTCACCATGCAACCGTTAATCCTGGCAGAGTAAGAAAATATTGCACGTCAATCTTGCGTAAAACTCTTGGGATTAAGTAATGTAGAGAAAGTTTGGTGAAAGTCTGGCCCATGTTCTTTACACAGCCTGCACCATAATAAGCACTCCATTAGAAATGATGCCTGAAAAATTATGCCGATCACTTGCCAAATGAATAAAAAATATACCACTCAAACATTTGAGTCCAAGTCAGAGGCCTTGGGAAATTGCAGCATAATTATTATCATCCTGGGAAATTTGAGAGTATGTACAATTGCTGGTGCTTCTCACAAGGAAGGTTGCATGTCCCGAAGGATATGGATGCATGTCCAGCATTACCGAGACAATGCACACGTTTTCCGAGGAAAGTATCCCGTTGTTCAGTTGATCCAATATAAATGAGGTTGTGTTGTGCCTAATGGAATACGAAGGTTTCACTGAATTCCAGAAAACTGGAACTCCGTAGTTGTCAGAATCGAGTTGAATTTCATCGTCTTCTAATGGTCAAGTTTTAATGAGGATATTTCTCTATATGTCTTCCGTTCATACACATGTCAGACATGACTTCGTTTTCATCATGGATAGGTTTTCATGTACACTGTAATGATGTTGCATTGTGAAGAAAATGGTCAGTGCGTGCGTACCTGGATATTACTTCATATGTATGCTACATACTTATCTTTGCAGAGAAGAAGGATACATTCTGATCTACTGGCGACCAATTTGCCCTTAATGAGGTGGTCATCCGTTGGATGAAGGATATATCCTTGCATAATTTAAACTGACAAGAGCCTTTACAACGCTGGGTTGTCACAAGAAGATCTGTGACATGCACACAGCGTCATGATTTCATAAAAAATAAACTATATTATTTCTTCTCCCAAATTGGAATCAGATCTCTCATTCAAACTTGAAGACCGAAGTTGGACAGTTTGTAAGTACAAATGGAAAATATGACCTCCCATTTTGAACACAACAGCGTCGGTGTCAAACTTAAGGCAGACTTTGAAAAGATAGCATTCAATTCCCTGTGGAAAGTTCGTGTCCACAGGGAATCTACGTATTACCTGCACTTGAACCCATAAATATATAGATCGAATTAATTCGGGAACCAAATAATATGCATGGATTGAAAATAAAAGTAATGAATGGCTGCGATATCTGTTAGATCAATCTACAAATTTCTCCTTCGCAAACATCAGGAAAACAAATCAATTTCATGTCAAAGAAAATATATATTTATCGTGAAGCCGAATGTGGTGAATAGGTCAAGCTTTTTTTACTCTCCTCGTGAAAACATTTGCATGCATAAAGTTTGCTGTTTTATTTTCCGGCCTGGTTGGGTTTTTGCAATTACCAATTAATAAATCAAGTTCAAGGAGTATGGGTGAAGTCTACGACACAAATAATGACCACCAGCATGAACTTTGTGTATCCATACGTAGATAAGTATAAATGTCATTGTGATTTTCTGCCTCCCCAAATTACAGGTGTCTCAAAATAGTCGCTAGTCCACAAAGTTCTCTGTAATTTACTCATGTAAACATTTTTAGATATCAATATATCATGCCTATTTCTAGGTAAAAAATACCCCAATTCTGCATTCAATATATATACGTAATCAAACTAATTTTAGCATTTGATTAAAATATGCATAAGGTATTCACTAATCAAACCAGGGTAATTTTAATGTCAAACCAAAATCAATTTCGTATGAAATTGAGAATTCCTTTATGAATGAAAACTAATTAAATAGTTCCTCGTTTATAATTAATCTAAATTTCATGACAATCTACACAATCTGCATTAGTTTCGTGGGGGTTTAAAGTCTACGAACGAAATGCAGATCAGATAAGCCACGGTCCGCATTCATTCCACCAAACTGCTGAGCATGAAATGAGTTTGTTATTTTGAATAACATTTTTGTCTATTTTTCAGACGTGTATTGATGATTCCGAAGAAATGCTGAAATTGCTGCTGGACTATGGAGCCAACGTAAATGCGGAGGACAGTGAAAGGTACGTGTCTCATTGAAAAAATTATAAACTCAAATTTATCCAGCAACACCTTCATCACCCATTTTCATGTTTTGTTGAAGGACATTATAGAGCCTTAAACCTTGTAAATATTTTAAACAAATCGCATAATGACATTTTAGCTGCAAGTTTTGCATTGTGGGAAGTTTGGAATAGTTAAATGATGGCTATTCTGGATTTATTAAAATGTGCTTATCTGTACTTTCTGGTTTAGATGGACTCCGCTCCATGCCGCCAGCACCTGTGGAAATTTGCATCTCGTGAAACATCTAATCGCCAAGTAAGTTGCTACTTATTCATACATGTTCACATGCTCAAACCTATGGACAGGAAGTTGTCAACTAATTTTTTAGTCAAAGCAGGATGAATAAATAAGGCTACAGCACATTACTATTGTACAATGCTGGTTCCCTTTACACTTGCCCTGACACATATCTACAGATATAAATATATATATACATCTCATCTATTACTGTTACTTCAAGTGCGCCTACCATCATTGCGCAATGCATTTGATGAAATTTCTAAATTTTGAAAAGTTCCGATCATATCAAGCAAAATTCGCACAGTTGAACTAACTAATAACATGGTTTAGATTTATCGTAATCCTGATTTGGGATAGAAATCTTGAGGGCCTATTGTGATTGTATTGCAATTGCACTGTCACCGCGCCCTATATAACCTTCCCTTCGGATGGAATGAGCATTGTTATCTTCGACGTCCTCTAACTTGCAGCGTAGGTTGTTGCAAACCATCCATTAAGCAATTGGTTCGTACATCCTGCTTATATTTGATGTGTCTACTACTAATTTATTACTTATATGATACTCGTATATTATGCAGAATTGCATCAATTTGTCGCATTTTCCCCACTTGCATCATCTGACCTGTTCAGGCACTACAGTTCCTGAAACTGACATCAATTAGCACACGACTAATTGATTCTAATCAAACTTTTGAACAGGTATTCCAAAAAAAATCATGCAAACTTTATTCCTTCCGCAGCATATGCAAAAGTTTGAGGGAATAATTGTGCCAGAAGTTTAGCACAAACGAACCTCAGAACTACTGACTGATGACATTTCGCATGATTTGCTCTCATTTGGTTATGTCACAAGATGGATTTTCCTGTTTATGTTATTGGAAGAGAAAAGCTCATTAAATGGAATGGATCATCGGATAGATTAATTCTTTCCGATTCCTGTTGTCCTTGGTTCAATATCAGTTCAAACGCGCAGTACAAATTTATTGTCCTCCATGTAATATCCTGGATTTATCGTATATTTATGCGCTCATAAATTTTAAACCGTAGAATTTTCGATACGACCTTTTGGTTTATGTTTTTAACTTAATTCTGTATTTTTTATTGCAGAGGTGCCAATCTGCTGGCAGGTATGTAACTAACGTTCATTCTCGAATGAGCTAACATTTAATACGTCTTCTTTTATGACCATGAATGTCAGAAGCATTTACTCAACTGAATTAAATTATTTTGATTTCAGTCAATGCAGAAGGAAACATGCCCTATGACATTTGCGATGAAGGTAAGAAATGGTTATCAATGCAATTTTAGTCACTGCGAGTAATATTAATTATTCACAACCTCGCCGTCCGGTCCGTTCTGTGCAGAAGCGGACTGAAATCTATCAATTTAATGAAATTTTGAACCTCATGCATGCCCATATCGAATAAAGTTTGTGTATCGTTATTCACCGAACCGCTAATTCAAATAAATGAGGGTTTGTGTCCGTCCGAATGATTAAATGACATGTTGCACAAAGAGGAAGGAAACTCTCCTCACGCTCGCCAGCGGAAGGTGTTTTCATTTCGGGTGTCCTCTTCCTAGTGAAACTAACGAGCGATATTTGTTTGCATGATGTGGATGACAATGTATGTAAATTAATGTTTATTGTGTGGCACGTGTTGCAGAGGCCACGTTGGATTACATCGAGTCCGAGATGGCGAAACGGGGCGTGACACAGGAGTTGATTGAAGAAACGAGAGCATTACCAGAAACGGTGATGTTGAACGATATGCAAAATATTTTAGCCAAGGGAGGAGATCTCGAAACCCGTGATGCTGATGGTGCAACTCCTGTAAGTCCATTTTTTTCTCCATGAAACTAAAAATGGTCTCGAGATTAGATTTGGACCCATTATTTCTCCATGTTTAAATTTCTTTTGTGAGATTAGAAAGAAAGCTGACTAATTATGTGAAAACTATTTCAATGATAACACAAAGAACCTGGGAAAACTATTTCTTTGAGGTGTAAAATTCATGCAGATTTATAACTTCAACCATGGAAGATATTTTCGAGACTACACGAGAGGCATGCACGATGAGCTAAGCAGACATCAAAAAGCCCAAAATAATTAAAATTTCTCCAGAGAAGGATTTTGGCATGCGTCCGTCGGAAATTAAATTTGAAAAGAGATGTTAAATGAAGTCTGGCACCAGTTGTATCCAGTTATTCCTCCGAGATGCATAATTATGTATATTGTATCATCGTCCACATATTTACGTTTAGTTGCAACCTTGCATTTCTCAGCAGCATATGAATGCATATTTCTTTTCATCGCTTCCTTTCTACAGTCGAGCTTCCTATTCAACAAAGTCTCGACCAAGAAAGGCAACAAAAGAGAAGAATATACTTAATATTACTTCCCTTTCTTGATACATTTTTAAATGAATCTCATTAAATGACGTCTGCTAGGGTAGGAATGAATTTCAGCGTTCAAGTTTTGGGCTTATACGTAAACTTGCATTATTTTTAAAATTGAATTCGCAAAATTCCTCGTGTTTAATTAATTGTTATCTAACGGTTAAAACTTAAAAAAATGTGAAGTCGATGCCAGCTATTTTTCGCTTTTGCATTTGGATTGGGGGCAAAATATTTTCTCAGGATATTGAAAATCCGACAGAGTTTGAAGAGGAATGTGAACGTGTGCAAATAATAATGAAAATAAATGGCTTCGTCTTTATTTAATTCCACATTTGCATTTATTTGCACGAATCTCAAAATTCCAAGCAAGGTGGAGGAAAACAACATCTGTTCCACCACAGGGAAGAATTCTCAAATGAAATTACACATCTTGAAATTCTTGTGCAAATTGCACAATTAAGGCAATAATAATAATAATCCCTTGTTAGGATCCACATGCACACACTGCAGCCAACATCAGGTTGGCTTTACTTTTGCTCAAATCTTGTCATATTTGTGTACGGCAGCTTCCATCGTGGAAGGCAAAAATCCAATATTGCAGAGGCTTTCGTTTGAAACGACTGCTCCATTAAAGAAATGCAGAGCATGTCGCATCAAAAAGTCGTAACAAGTAACAACCTTTTCTCCATCATTGCAGATGACACTTTCTGTTTGAAATTCAGAGTAAATCTCCTCCTCCATTCTACATGGGCGCATTTGCATCTTGCGGTTATCATAATAATTTGATGCTAAAAAGTGCTCCTTTAGAGCATTTTCTGATGAGATTTGTAGCGTAAAGTGAAAATATGGTTTCCTTATGTTGCAGTTGCACATTGCCTCCGCAAATGGATACTATCGGGTCGTGGAATTTCTCTTGGATAACCATGTGGCCACCGATCTGCAGGACAAGGATGGCTGGCAAGGAATCCACGGAGCCGCTTGCTGGTCCCATGTAAGTTATATAAATACATAAATACTTTCACCACCACTTTCGCCAGTTGCAGATATACACATTCGCGAACTTGTGCTGGGCTCTGGTGGTATGGGTAAAAGTATAAAACCACAATCTCTAATGGGAAAAGGAGATAAGAGGAGTTTACTACCGGAAATGGCAGTGACCAGTCCATCTCTCGCCAGCAATCAATGTCCTATCGACACCATTCTCTTCGGGCTATTCTTTTATTGACGACTTTTTGTCTCATTGAACTTGAGATGAGACAAAAAAGCCGTGAGTTATATAGCTGTTGATTTTTACCGTTTTAAAAACCAAATTATTGATTTTTAATCCGAGCGAGTAGCACACATAAAATTTGCACGTATTTACTTTCACTGAAACGAATTTATACTTAAGTAGCCGGAAATTGGGCATAATGTCGGCAATTAAACTTTGTGCTTTCAACGCATATCTGACAGATATTGACTTTATGTAATTGATATGCAATGAGCCATTAAATGCAAGTGTTTGCGTTGTGCAGAGGACATGAATCATGCGACATAAATTATTGATTACAAACCAAGTTCGATTGGAGTGGATGTACAATAAATTCTCTTTTTTGGGTAGTTCGAGCATGCATATTGCATCACAGAGACCACTTTCTCCTTTTCCATACATATTCTTCACTTCTGGCACCGTTTTTGGCTCTGCTGGTAGTGGTGAAGGAAGGACAAGTTGAAATGTCAGAGAAAGACGAGACAAATTGCAAAGGAGTGGAAAAGTGTGGTGGGCGACGGATGTTGGTGGCATGGTGTTGCTTGATAGTACACGACAAGCGATAAGAGACAGGAGCCATCAAGTTAATTCTGGTGGTGGCGAATTCTCGTTCTCAGGACATTGTTAATGGACTGGGATGAAATGTGAGGTGCAATTGTAATGCGATAAATAAATGACCGGCCATCTTTTTCTTTGACAGATGGACGTGCTGGAACTGCTCGTCCAAAATGGGGCCGACCTCAACGCCAGGACGCGGAATAATGAGACGCCATACGGTACAAAATGATGATAAAGACAATTTTTGGTCCTATTCCCATATTTCTTGTCCTTCAAAAAAACTTTGTATTATACGTATAACCACTTCACAGCATGCTACACAATATATTTACTCCTCGTTTAGAAATCTCCGTGTATTAGTTCACGTTGAGAAAATTTCAAAGACTTTAACTCCATAATGTTAAAGCAGCATAATTGGTGGTTTATTTTCGCCCATCAATCAGGATCAGGTTGGTAAAATAATTTCCGCTAGTCGGAAACGACATTCGCTGAAGCAGAGAACCCAGTTCTTGATGCTGACAGTCATTGCGTTTGTACAGTCTTTCTGAACCCTGAACTAACGATGAGTACTTTGAATTTCTTGGTTCGATTCACCCACTTCTGGTCTCGTAATGAAAACCGTAATCGATGTAGGCAACCAAAACTTAAAGTTGTTCATTTTATAAGACTGGGTAAATATTAGGTTTCTGCATACATATAGTTTTCCAAAATACAATTTAATGTGCATTACAAAATGTAACTGCAGCCATTCATTTACTGCGAACTTGCTCAGAGGTGAAAGCAAAGTTTGGAATATTTTTCAATCCTTGGCAATTTAAGAGTTTAATAAAACCGAAAAGAATCAGGTTTTTCATAGATTTTCAACTGTGGTCTGGTCAATATTGATCGTTCTTGTCCTAATTCGTACTGCAGCATTATGTATGGTCCACTCAGGAAAGGAGATGGGCGATCCAGTATGTAACACGTGTACTTAAATTACAGCCATTTGCGAGGATCCTGAAATCAAGGAGAGAATAATACAACTCAAAAATGAACAGGAGGTCAAAAAGGAGGCGGCCAACAGTCGAAGACTGAAGAGAACGCAGTCATCCAACTCGCGGACGCAGAGCATTCGGAGAACATCCCAACGAGACAAAGGCCTCGCAACGAAGCGAGACACCGCCAACGAATATGTTCTCATGTCCAGAGAGAACCTCAAGGTAATCACAACTTGCTCATGTACTTGTAGAATCCAATGCACGGGCGTTTGTCAGCTAAATTCAGAAACAGAGGAGAAAGAACCATATTTAGAGAGTAACAAATTCAGGAGGAAATACATAAGATGTGCTTGACTTTTAGTGACTCGTCTTCCAGCTACGACTGAAAATAAATTGCATTGCATGGCACTTGAAATAACTCAAATATTTGATAAAAAGGCCTTTCTCTCAAAAGAAGTTGCTGGTTGGAGTGCAGACAAGTGTATATATTCCTTTGATGAAGCTCAAGAAAACGACATGAGCAAATCTACTGATCCTGACATGTCCTGACAACTTAATAATAACGAATGTGCAATGGAAAGCTCGTCTCTCTCGTCAAAACCTGTAGAAAAAGAGAGATGATGAGGAAGCCCCTGAACCAAGACTTTCCTTCACAATATATTGTCCTCCTCTCAAATCTAATTTGTGTGGAAGGTGAAAAGGGCATTAGTAAAAAGAGCAAATTGACTTCATCTTCCCAGTCAGCGTTCTCATCTTACCTGAACCAGGGTAACATGATTTCATCTCCTGGTGAGAGTGCAGGAGTACATTTGTGTACCCTTATGTACACATGTAGGCTACATACACACTTAAGATGACAACCATTGTCAAGTGGATTATTGAGTCAGAGTCGGCCGTATGAGGACACGAATTGTTCTTTCTGCATACACTGGACCCTCCTTGCCTGCGCTGCTTGTCAACATTTATTAGCATTAGAGAAAATTGGACTATTCCATTGAGAATTACATTTTCTGCTTTAGAGCTAGAAGGAAAAAAAGATGGCTGCATATTGTGTTGCAGACGTGCCTTCTTTTTGTCACTTTTTCCTGATTTTGGTCTGTACTTCTTGTTGCAGGACAACAGCCCGTCGCCGACTATTGACGCCAACGGAGGAGGTGACCCGCCCACGAGTAATAATATGATTGAGGTCAGTTCGGAAGAAGACACGGAAGACAAGGTGGCATCATCTCACCATCCCGCAGCTTTTGGGCGAGGCTCCGTCTCTCAGATTAAAGTGGCATCCAATGACGCAGAAAGGCTGCAATTGTTGGCGGAGAAGGCAGGCATGTCCCCCTCCTCATCGGATGCTGGAGGACCCACGACAATTAACAACAATTTAAAGTCGAACCACGCAGTGAAAAATATCAATGTCAATTCCAATATCAACAATCACAACCAGACGAAGCAGTTAAATACTCCAAAACCTCCACCTCAAGTCATAGACACGAATGCTAACCTTCCGAAACCAGAGATTAATCCTCCCATGGACAAAGTTCAAATTGGTGAGTTGAATAATGGTTCGTTCAGATTTCGTAATTTTTTAAACAGAAATGTGGATTGTGGACATGTGTGCAATGGAATAATGAAAGAAACTGATGGAATTGGAACGTATGTACAAAATTTACATATGTACGTCCACACAGACATGTGCAATTGCATATAATATGATGCTTTGAATGTGCAAATCATACATAAATGCACTACATACATAACTACACATAGTCGCCGTTGTAAGAAGAAGGAAAAACTTATTATCAGTTGTTCATTTGTTGTCAGTGTTTTAATTTTTGTGTTTTGTAACACGTGCTTTTGTTTAATTTTTTGTTCTATGTTATCGTCTTCACACCATAATCCTTTGTTCATGTCCGAACGACGCGCAAAACCACAACGCTACAGGTTCCAATGGAATTTCGCTCAGTGGAAGTCGGGACAGTTTGGTCGGGGTGGGAAATGGAACAATTGATATTCATGTCCAAGTCACCATAAATACGGCGTCACCCTCGTCCACACTGACGCACGGGGGAGGGGCTACGAACAACGGCGGAATCCCCTCCCTCCCCTCTCCCTACACGAGCTGTGGTAGCGGAAGTGGTGGAATTCTCCCCGGAAGTACGCTGCTCAGTCCCCCAGGAACCCTGGCTGACCTCAAGAAGCACAGGTCCCTCAGTCGAACCACGTCCAATCCACGCACCAACGGTATTCTACTCGCAGAAAATCCCAATTCCTCCTCCTCTTGCAGTAGCACTTCTTCGTCTTCTCAAGACAATGACATCGACGACGACGACCTTGTCGTCCCATACTCGTATCCCAGTAGTCGTAGTTCTAGTTCTCAAAAGCACGCTCAACTCCCGCACCAACTTCTACAACGACAAGGACTGCCCAAGGGTGGTGGTGGTACTGAGTCTCAGCTGCCACCGATGCATGTCTTGTCCTCCTTTAATAGCAATGCTGCTGGTCAGGCCTTTGAACATGCTTGTTGCAATTGGAACATGAACTTTTCTCATTCCGAGTTTGACAGCGCTTCTTTCGCTTACTCCTCGACTTCCGGGTGGGGTGGTGGTGGTGGTGGGGCTTTAATCTGTGGAAAGCAGACTCGCACGCTACTACCGACTGACTTTAATAACTATGAAAACTTTTATCTGTACGATGATGCGGGTGGTTTTGGGTACAATATGCACTCGAACACTAACCAACTAAATAACCAACTTTACATTAATAATTTGACAGGAGGATTGAATGATCTTCCAACCAAGTCTGCTTCCTCCTATGGAGCACCTCCTAGTCCAACCGTGTCGCTTCAGCGGTTTGCTGGTGAGCCAACCGAAATCCGAGATTATGGCGACGGGGGCAAGAAATGCTGCGTCATCGTTTGATTCCTCATTTCTTCTCGGAAATGTTACCTCATCGTCGGAAATCAATCAAAGCAACACCTTCTTCTAACCCGGCTGTCAAAAGACTCACCAACTAACACCCTGTTGTACAGAGATACATAATTAATGTAAAACACGTCAGTGTATAAATAATAATAACAAGAAACCAAGCGGTATTAAGTACAATTCATCGTCATTTCATTATTGTCAAAAGTATGTATGAATGATTAACCAACCAACTAAAAAAACCTTGTCTGACCTGTGTATAGCAGTTTGCTAAAAGTATGTAGCACAAATACTAAATAAGTATTATTACTAAGTTGTTAATATTATTGTGAATATTTGGTAATACGTCAGTTAATATTTTTTTAATTTGTCTTCTTTTACGTATCACACATACATTCTTTATTTTACTCGTTCTTTCAAATCTGGTCATTTCACTTTTCCGACTCTTCTTGTTTTACTATTCTGCCAATCTTTCATGTTTTATTAAAGAACTGATATGCAATCGAGCTCGCCATACGTAATTGTATTCACGCCTTCGATATGCGTTACTATTTATTTATTAGATACATGTAATTTTTTATGTTCTAAATACTTGTAGTTGCCCATACAATTTTGGTCGACAATGAAATATATTCCGGTGCCAAACTTACAATTAGTACGTATTTACATATGGTTCAAGTGAATATAAAAAAAAACACAATTTACTTTACAGTTTGACAATTGGTTGATGTCTTTTTTTAAATTTTTGGACTATTTACACATGTTATTGAAATATCTTGTTCTGTTTTCATGAATGTGCTAATTCGTTTGAATTCCAACTGCAGAAGACTTAATTACATATATCCACATGCATACATACCTCGTACATACATCAGTTATGGTTGTACCTCTTCAAATATTACATACCTGAAAAAAATCAAAGTAATTTCTTACCCAAATTTGAATTCAAATGACTAAATCGAAATTATAGTGACCTGGTTTAGAAGCCTATAATAGACTGGAATATTACTTACGACAAGTAGTACGATTGTGCATTCCATGATGGAATTTCCATTGTAAACAAGGCAAGAAAAATAAGCATTTATGAAAAATCGTGTATTTCTACGACAGAGTAAACGAAACAACGTGAACTGTAACAAACGGAGACCTACAAATATATTAAAATATCCGTATATTGTGTCGTAACCCTAAAATGCTTGGGCAAATTATCTTAATACATAATACTAAATGAGACAAATGTTATTACAATATGAGAAAAATGTAACAAGAAAATGACTACAAATAAAAAATGAAACCGAAAAATATTGTTAGAGAATTGCATTTTATTAATTTCTTAATATCTTTAAGTTGTGGATACATAAATTTGATCATACAAACATTCATCATACTTCTGATGGTGAATGTAATAATGGAAAGTTTAGTATTTATAACGACGAGAATGAACCAAACTCTCATTCAGCAGAACTTTGCATCATATAACAGTCTTTCATAAGTGGAGTTATTGTTTAACAGGAATAAAACTCAGATCAAAAGTGTCATAAAATATGAATCACAGAGGTCATAATGGAATTACATAATCAATCACTTTCCTTCTCCACAAATTATTAGAGAGAAACTTCATTATCATTTCCATATCGCTAATAATCGTTCCAACAAAAACCGTTTTTTTCGCATCCGTGCAGATAATATCATTCATTGCTAAATATATTTACTTATGTATGTATGGGCCCCTTATATTTCGACAACCCGACGTGGGTAACAATAACAAGAGCAGCCAATCAGACTTAGACAAGATTGCAGGTTTTCTACATAGTTATATGTCATGGGTTGAGACTTGTTAACGATAACTTATTATACACGGCATCCCTTACTTGGTCTTACATATTATTGTACATTAACTTTTTTCTTAAGCATTCATATATATTCATGTTACACGGTAAAAGACATTTAATTATTGTGTACTCTACATTCTAATTCTTCATCAATAAATCATTCTTCCTGTATTTTGTACTATATACAATTTAGTTCCAATTTGGTTCTTTATACAGTATAGTATTTTCTTGGTAATTTTAGTTATCTATTCCGGCAACATGATTAGGAAAAATTTGCCAAACGCCGTCATTATAAATATTTAAACTTTAGCTATGTATGTATAGGATATATATATTTTTTATATCTATATTGTCAGTAGTTGTCCATCCATGAATGTAATTCTTTCCTTACATTGGTCAAACTTAGGGCTAGTAACTTCTTCAGTGGTTTAACCGACGTTTGAGACCATCTTCCCAGTCTGGACAGTTAAGATCTGGCCCATCACCACCTTTGACATGAGACCCGTTGACAACATCCCTCTGAGATTTGTTAAATCCATGTTCATTGTTGTCAAAACTGCGCCGGCGTCTTCCCAGAGACTACACGGATTCAATTAAATTATAAAATAATAAATTAAATTTTAATCTTAACCAAAATCATATGAATTGTTTTTTATTACTGCAGAACTAAGAATATTGTGACTACGTGTACTCACATCTGATCCTCGATCATAATGATTTCCATCGCGGTCACAAAAACTGCCATTTTTTCCATTGACTGGATTATATTGAATGGGCATGCCGACGCGCCCATTCCCAATTCCTACGCCATTAGGAACAGCATATCCTGAACCATTGGATGATTTTCTCGACCGAAATTCCATTAACATTTGCATTTGAGTGTCTTCTTCCTCTTGAAGCTTCGCCTCAATCTCCTGTCTCCACCGACTATTTTGTGAATAATTCTCCCCCGACCCTTCAAATTCTGCATGCAAATAACAACAGTCCTATGTAATCATTTTCCATAATAAATAATTTACGCGTCAAAGAATTATTATTTACCCAAGGGTTTCATTATTCTGTGTTCCAATCTATCGTCATCTGCATTTAGTTCATCCACTAAGCTGCTCATTGCGTTAGTCACAGAGTCAGCAGCCATCAGCAGGTCATCTCGAAGACTCCGGCTCATCATATCGGTCGAATTCTTAGAAGAATCCGTGTATGAGCGTGAATTGAAGTCTGCCGAATTTCCATATGCCGAACGAAGTTCTCCAGTCAAAGTGGTATAAGTGTCGGAATGATGCGGTGTCGCTGGAGCGGATCGATGCAGTGATCCCGTTTGGTAGATTGGCATTGGTGGAGTTTTGCCACTTCGCGGAGAACACTCTGGAGTTCCATCGGAACTTAACTGTTGTGCCTGGAAAATTGCATAATTGCATTTTTGTAAATACTGCATTCGTCTACTAGGCTTTATTGCATTTAGTAGCAATAATATGCACTATACTTTCAGCAGCTTCATCAATCCTTCAAGCTGACCCATCAAATGGCGTCGAGAATCTTTTAGCAAATAGTGGAACATTTTATTATTATTTCGTGTAGAAGCTTAAATAGGTATGAGTAAACACTTGTCGCTACCTTGGAGGCCGCCTAGCTTATCTTCTAAATCCATCTTGTAGTCCCGCAATGCATGAAGCTCATCCATTGCAATCGGATCGACAGATTCATTGAGATAATTCAACTCTTGCTGCGCTCTGTTGAAAGAAAAGTGAAAACACGCATGACCATTAAAACGCTTCACTTTACCCAACAATAAATAAGTACATAAATATATGTGAGTGGTTAATTGTCGCCTAATTTTCTTTACCTCAAACGCGCAATCTGATTCATTATTTCTCGGTTACGACTTTCCAACTGACTGATCATGTCCCTTTGACTTTGTGTAGAATCAAATAAATTCATACTAGTTTGGGACATATTTCGGTTGTGCTGAAATCGATTAAAAAAACAGATAAAACAAGAACACGGGAATAAGTGTGATTACATATGTCTATTTCTTTATGGAACTCATTACAAATTTGTACTTTTGAATCTTGCAATTGAAATTTATTTACCAACCTGAAGTGTATGGTATTGAGGGGCTGGCTGTTTCACAATCAAACAATTCTTTATATACCCACTCGATACTCAAAATTACCCATTTTAAAGCAAAACTCGACAAAAAACAAGAACAAAGTACATTCGAAAATTAAGAACGTCGCAATTATATATTCAGTACACAAGGAGAATTATAATATTATAAACTTACTGGATATTTTCCATCGGATGCCAATCTTGCCGTATACCTAAAGGGCATAAGTAAAAAAGTACGAAACTATAGATTCTTTGCATTCAAAGGGGAGCAACGTGTATGTAAAAGAGGCAGGCTCACAATTCAGATATATAAGTGACAACCTTACCTCGCAATAAGCCTGTGTTCTTCATCACTTTCACTAACGCTTTCAGAGTAACTGTTGACCATTCTGCTCGGGCTAATAATTTCAAAACCAACCAAGTCACACATCAAAATTCAAACCACGCATGAAATGCATACCAGTGACAATCCCACACCACTTGACAAGTATCGTCGGCAAATACCCCAGGCACACACGAACATTCATACAACGGAAGCTTACCCTTGTCCCAAGTCCAATGCAAACATTTTCTGATCACAGTAAGCGTCCAAAGAATCATATCCAACAGCAGAGAACCCATTGTGCAAAGGCAAAGGAGAAGGTGGGCTGTGAAAAACATGTTAGTTTTTGAGTCCCCAGCAAATGTTATCACCAATTAGGCGTAAAAGCGGTCATGAGACATGTGATAAATTAATAATAAAATCCGGTGTAGAAAAATACTAAGCAAGCTTTCGCCTGTAGAAAGAGTAGAAAAGCACAGGAGAGCAAAAGTAAATCGATATTACTAAGCTTTCAAAGGAAATCTAAGCTCAGCCTTTGAGTGGAAAAAGATCAAAGCGATTTTTGCATTCTCAATTTCCGTGAGATAAAAGCAGCTCTAGGGTTTAACCGGCGATGATTCCAACGTACAAAAAAAACAAGAAATAAATCGGGTATATATTTTTGTGCTTACACAATATGAGAGAGATTTATAAGTTCCTCTGGTTTTTCAGGAAATCTTGGAACAAGTTTCTTTGGTTTGTCCGGCACACAGCGGAGAGATTTTCGGAAAGAATTTCGCAATCCCTTTCCCCCAGATTTCTAAAAAAAATAGATAGAAATGAGTAAGGTCTCGAGAGTACTTATAGTGAGAAGAGGGCATTATTAAGCTTTAACGTTGCAGATTATGCTGCTTACACAAGTAGCGTATTCCTTCACTTCATGGTCTGTTCGATGATTGTCAGAAGTTTTCCCTTCCCAAAAGCAATTTTGGCACTACATCACAATTTTAGATGAAAAATCTTGACTCTAGCATTTATTCTGTATTCTTTAGCCTTCCTCACACTCACCATGTTAAAGCTGGAGCACTTCTGGCACTTGTAACGAAATCCTTAATGTAAATAGAGAAATTAATTAAGGTGAGCTATAGATTTGTGATATGTGGGTATAGAAAACTCCTTGCTTTCTTCTTACCCTGAATGTTCCCAACTTTACAGACACTGCATTGTACTCCATGATTTATGTCCTCGACCGTAGCCATCGAATGTAATAACGGCAACCACATTAAGGAAGGTGGGCCTGGCTCGTTTAAAAGCGCATCCAGAAATCCGTTCACTGTAATTTTACTGGTCTACAAAAGAGGCGATAATAAAGTCATTATACTTATTAGTTTATAAGTAATGGATTTTAATCATTTGAGATACGGTAACAATAGAAAATGAGCCAATATTTTGTACCCCGTCAAATATTGTCGTTGCTAAACCGTCCGTGTATCCTGCACATAATGATTAGGATAATTATTATATACGCTTAATGCATAAGTAGCCTTTCTTTATGCGGTTCTCACCAAATGTTGGCGACTCTAAAACCATTGCTGGCAACGCTAGGCATTCCTGAAGGTACTCAGAAAATCTTGACAGCACCAAACAACCGTTGGTGTCAGAAATCAGTGAAAATACATCTGCAATTAAAAAATTTGTGTATCCTAATATAAGCGAAACCAATGGATATTTTTTACAATCGGTATTTATAATCTTACATCGAAACTTATCCACTAATTTTCCATTACAAAGTGTGACGAGTCCAATTTTTACGGAGAACATACGCACTCGTCCAGACCCCTCGCTGAAAATAAATAAAATAATTTAAGTGATTGTTCTGCATAAGAAAATAGACTTGTTGAACGTATTAAAAATGTGCATTTTACCCATCGAAAGCAATTAGCAACCAGGAAAGAAGGTAACGTGCACAGCTCAAAACATCAACTTGCGCCTTCAAAGGAAGACGCTTATTCAAATTCAGAAATAATGAGGTCACAACGGATTCTGAAAATTATTGAATTATTCAAGTTATTTACGCGTTTAGTTTAGTTGAAAAATGTGACTCAATAAACAAATTAATCTGATATGCCAATATTTATACCCAATTTTGGCACAGTAATGATGGAGTAGGGATCGAGCCCATTCAGACCATTTTCCCGAAATCCTTCAATAACATTCCACAAGTCGACGAGTAAAACTGGAGGGAACATAAATTTGCATTACAATTTCTTTACATATTTAGATTTTCTCATATACTCTAAAATTATTGTTACGGGTCACCTCATTTACATAAATCTCACCGTGCCCATTTTCGGCGATACGGGCTTTCCATGTTGAGTAAACTGTCTCTCGATAATGCGTCGAAATATGCAAATGAGGTGACACGCCGGAATAATTCTAGAGTAACTCATTTAATCCTCTAAATCCAATTCCCTTACAATTAGATTTCTTTTGAATGTAGCGTAATTTTGCTGCTGTTCTATAAGATGCAAACCTGCAATAGAATAAAATATTGATAGGATTTCCCAAATGATATGTAAAAATAAACGTAGCAAACTTAATCACAATTTAACTGAATTTTAATTTTAAATAAATTTTAATTATTTCTTAAAAAAAAGCAAACCTAATCGCATCAAAGCCCAGCTCCCTTAATTCTTGAACCAGAATTGACAAATCTTCCGTGTCTACTGAGCTATTTGTGGGAAGATTCATGGTTCCCAACGTTCCACTCAGGGGCATCATTTTTGTCTTGCTTCCACAAATTCCAGGACAGTGAAAAAGGTTTTCAATTATTTTGGGATCTCATTTTCCACCTCCTCCTCACAGTCAATCTGAAAAATGCAATAAGTAATGCGATCATAAATACTTTGCATTTGCATGATTGATACTGGTATCAGCATCTTCATTATTCAGTTCTTTCACAGAATTTTCCATTGTGGTGGGGATTACATACGCATATACCACCATATCAACCTCTGACAGGTATATAACCCTACTTCCCCCTGGGACCAGTACGAAAATTCACATGAGATCTGAGGCTACCCTGCATACACATTTCCCTCCGTAGTGCATACATTCATACCTGATGCAAAGTAACGAGATGATTTATGATCCAACTCTTCAGAATTTCCCCAATATTAGAATTGAATCTGGATTCCACCGGCAGGTCAAAATCGAATGGTTAAAGCGTAGGTTCTTTTTATCCTTTTTGAAAATGGTATATGAGCAGCTCCGAGATTGTTCCACAATGTATTTATATAATTATGGTCAGTTAAATGAGTGAATGAATCAAAGAACATGTAACCTGAAATCCAAAACCAGGTCCGAAATAATTACACCAACACGTTTAACAATTATCTTAATTTATATCAGGAGAAAGCAAAACGGGAAATGTACTTTCCGGAACTCAATCGTCACAGCATTTAATCAAAATGTAAACTCACCAATTAGATTAGAGTTTCAGTCTCATTAGTCGAGGAGGGTACTTGTGTATGTGTGGGTTGACTTTTGTTCAACAAGGTCAGGGTGAAAGTAATTTTGTCCAAAACTTTCTCCAGTGACGAGGGGTTCTGCTGGCTTTAAAATTGCTGGAGGATTAGGATTTGCCGTTGTTGTCCCACGTAGGACGAGACACCTACTCCTAATTATGCAAAGTGGTTGGTTCTCAGTATAATTAAATCCTCATTGGATGGATGGATTGGCTGAGGGAGAGAAAGTGTGGAAAGCACTCACCCAACAAGGACTGAAGATGAGCAGAATGGAAATGGTTGATTTCCGAGAAACTGCTCCTCTACATCTGCTGCTGCTCTCCACCAAACTCCAATGTCGTATGCTTTTCCGCTGGAGGAGGGCTGGAAGAGGCGAGAAAGGTGATGAGATTCTTTTGCTTCTTCAAAAATCAACCATCGCCACCAAACCAAGACTGACTCCGAGAAAGGAGAAGACCAAGAAGTTAGACGGAGAGAGAGAGAAGAGAAATTTTAGCTGCTGGAACGAGCACCACCACGATCTTCCTTTCACCACAAGACTGCTGCAGAATAGAAAGTACGGTACAACCCACACCATGCACTGCTCTGTGGACATGGATGGGTTGCAACCCGACCGAGCTGAGTGAACCCGAATTCGGGAGAGACAAATATGACCGTACATATGTACACGTTTCGCCATGAGGGGAACTCCTCCGTCCATCCAACCTCTGTTCAAATGGGTTCACTCTTTCTCTCACAGTGACACACACAACTTTCCCCACCAGAATAACCAAGTCGGCCGAAACCACCACAGGCTGATGGATTTATTCCTTGTTTCCTCAAACAATGACAACGATATACCGAGAAAGTCTGCAAGTAGTAGACTTTCAAAAGTGGTATCGTAGAAGCAAGCACTTGGTCGCACCACGGGAAGTTGATGTGTGATGGTGATTGATCATGCAAATCTGTGAACTTGTAGATGGCTACAAATTTATGCATACAACACGCGGGGAAGAAGAAACAATGAGGTTGAGTGATGATGATAAGCACCAAACCACCCTATGCTAAATACGTACATACAAAAATAAACCCTCTCATGCTATCCTGTCCGTTTCTGGTGTAAACTTCTGTTGTTCAGACACCACAACTGCGAGCATAATGCAGTGCACCATAATATTTCTACACACGGAGCTGCCAACACGCGAAAAAATGAAATATGGAAATTGACACGAGCTTCGGATTAGGGTGAAAATATAAAGGATCTCAAACCTTACGCGATTATGCTTATTGAGCCACTTACCAAAATGTGTGTGCAGCAGATCAATTCCCCCAGAGCAGCAGTTTCACTCTACATTTCCATCATCCACTGATAAAAATTCACCCTGTAATACTAAACTGTTTGCCAACCAACTCTTTTTAACCAACTGATACATAAATGCAACACAGCCAAACAATAACAAAAACAAGAGAAAGTCCAGCCAGAAGGAATGAACTCGTTTGAGTCTGCTGGAACCAACATAGATAGCGATATGGAGCAACTTCACCAGCAGCAGCAGCATCATTGTCATGCAATGTCAAGATGAGAATCAGCTAGGAAATAAATATGAAGCCAAGTACGAGTGAAATATGGTGCTGGCAGGACAAATTGCTTCCCTGCCTGGCTCCCTGCCGCACGAAGGAGCATCTTCCCAGACAAATGGAACATTTCCTGCTTTCTCTCTCGGGCCGGGTGAAAGCAAACCGTCGAAAACTTGCCTCGCTTTGTGCTTAGATGGCGAGCGAACCCCTCTCAACAGCTGGCACTTTGGAGGCTTATAAAATTCTCCTATACGCCAGCAGAAACACATAAGCAGTGAAAGGGTGTTGCGCTGGGTATATCGTTATGATGATGATGATCACAAACTGCTTAACCCTTTCTCACATGTATATATTCATTCATTCACGGCTATGCTATTTACAAAAGAACCCAAACAAACGTAAGGATGGATGTAAAGTTGTGGCTTATTTGCGGGAGGCAAAAGTGGAGCCAGCCAGGTGAAGAGTTTGAGATAATCTGACCGAGTCAGTGTGTGGGTGGACTTTTGTCATGTTGTAAGATACGAAAATTAGAAGGGAAAGCAAGGTTGCGGCTTCTTCTCCTTGAAGGATATTCGTGACTTGAGTGGACTCAAGGGATTGCACAAGTACAAAGTGTCGCTGTGTACGGCTTTATACTGCCAGTTGCTTAAATAGTGCAAGTGTCGTTGGACATTTAAGAAATCTGTGAACGATCATCATCCTTAAAGAGCATGGTTTAGATTTTTACAGGAGTAGTGTGAGTGGGAGAAAGCGTTGGAAAAGTTGCAGTGAATTGAATTATTGAAGAGTATTTTTGACTTTAAGGTAAGTTTGAACTATCAAAATTGTCTCTTTTGACGTATTTATTAAAATGTCACTTATCAAGTTTAGAATATTTTGTCTATGAATTTACCAACAATATTTACACAGGTTATTAGGGAATAGTTTTATATGTTAAGAAATCTTGCGAGGAAATGCAAGGAAAGAAGAAATCGGTCAAGTACTATCGCCAGTGCTTTCAATGCGTCGGGTAATTCACTCTTATAAATGGATTTTATTTTCTGTGTCGGAATTGACAGTGTTGTCCAGATAAATATTTTAACCAGAAGCGGATGTATCGTAGTATTTATTCGTGATATGCATATTTGTGGGTGTATAAACGTATTTAGTTTAACTCTAATCAAGGCTAAAACTTCGGTGAAGGAAACAGTTTTGTCCATTTTTTAACCTTCATTTTTATTTTGTCTTGTGAAATTGTTGGCAATAATAAGTGTTGCTTATTACAAGTCTTACGTATTTAGCGTTAACCGCAATTGATCGACTAAAGTTGTCCAGACTTTGGTTTACCAACTCTTGCTACTGGCCCATTTCCGTTGATAAACATGGTCCAATATTGTTCTTCATGTTTATTGCGATATCATGCACATTATTTTGTATTTTGCATATGTCTTCGGTGGGCCAAATATATTTATGTTAATATTTTTACAAGACTTTATGGTCCACATGCTTGACATTGGCAAACCTATCAAGTCACTGCAAGGTCATCTACTTATGAATGATGGCATACAGTTGAAAATTGATCGAACAAGGTGAATTCAGATTAAGGCATAAATTTAAAATGTACATTTAAAGCTGTGTAAATAAATTAAGTGTTTTTTTGGAATCAACAATTTAATCCAAAAGTACATAAGGAATGATTGGAGTTATTAAATTCTCATGTTGGTAGTTTACGTGCGTATCCATTGGACTAAACTTGTTTGACATCTTAGAAAAGTTTATTATATTCGCGTCCCATCCTTTATATAGGTGCAGCTTTCAAAATCTTTTGTTATTAGGTGGGTGCTGGAATGAATCAACAATTAGGCTTTGTTCATTGGTATACTTAGATATGCACAAGGCTGAGGTAAATGAAAAATTGGGATTGGTCTCGTTGGTGGTTTCTCAATGGTGAAAAAAACCTAATTCGGTATTTCGGTTTGGGTTTCACCCAAAACCAGTGATATGGTTATATTTGGTATTGGGGGGCAATCCAGTTTAATTAAATAACTTGATACATAAAGCACTCTGTCGACTCTTTTTTTCTGTACTTCCATACAAACGAATTGATAAAACAATTATTACTAATCTATGTTTAGGATACTAGGCAGTGCTAATGCTCTGGAAACATGTACTAAGGCTTAGCATTCTCCTGGGATTTGAATTCTTCAATTTGGTTTTGGTTGGCAGTGTTCCTGCGTTTGTCATTTGCGTGTTTAGTGGAATACATATTTGCACATTTTTTTGTACAACTTAAAGACAAATGGAATGATGAAGAAACTCATTTTCACACATGTTAAAGGAAATTCCATTCACAAAAGGATAGTGTATGCAGTTTATACTTGCACATGCGAAGGAAAAGTAGGGAATCGGAACAACTTTGAAGTCTCATTATTTTTTTGCTCCCAAAGGATTAAAATATTTAGCATCGTGAAATGTCATGATATTCTCAGTTGCAAATACTTGTGCCCGTGCCCAGGGCATTTATGTAGGCTTATGACATGCCCTATTTGCCATATTTTCCCGGCGTTTATTTTATAAGGCAAATGTAATAAATGCCCGGAATTTATTTTAATCCCATGAGCATTGTACAGTTCTATTCTCTAGCCAAACTTTTCAGTTTTTGGTCAAGGATGCAGTTTTATTTATAAAAAACGAATTATGATACAAAATGTCTCAAAATATTATAAAAATGGATAGTCTTGAAACTTGAAATTAATCCCATGTATATTTCCCGTATTTAAATATGCATGTGCATATTTAACTGTGACACTGCATCAACATTCATTTGTGAGTAATATTCGTCTTTCTCATGTTTCACTCTCCATCATCCTTCTTTTGTCCTCAGTATGGTTTAGCTTGAAAAGTGCGTACATGTGAAGTGTGCTTTTTTACGGGACTTCTATACCCGTTTCTATTTTGTATTCTGTTGAGACGATCTGCTTCTGCTCTGCTGTCATTGACAAAGTTTCTTAAAAATGAAAACGCGAGTTGAAATTTGAAAAAAATCTTTCGTGCTCACGTGAACATACCAACTGTGTTCCAAAACAGGTCAAAATGGAGCTACTAAACGATATACTTTTTTTTTAAATTGTTGCTCTATCCGTCCACTGGACTACTTCGAACTGATGTTAAATGTCAAGTTTAGTTGCACAAAGATTTTTTGTGGTTTGCCATTGAAGTGCATTCTGTCATTTATTCCCCTCCTGGGACAATGTATGGTTAGAAGTAATAAGTAAATATAAGTAGAGATTTGTGCCGTAATGAACAACGTTCATTTGGTCTCTGCAGTCTGAAATCATGAAACCCGAACCGGATGGAGTTGAGTAACTCAAGATACTGTGAATCGATAAACTCCCCGTGTTCATGATTTCGGATCGTAAAGGAAAAAAACGGGTTCTGCCGTCATTTCACGTTATGTTCCTCTGTTGCAAGTAAATCTAAATTAGAATTTCGTAAACTTCCGACAAAACGTAGATCTGATAGCATGAACTTGGTCCGCTGCTGCTGCAATTTCAATGATGAGATGAGGGAACGCTGTGTTAGATTTCCTACTGTCTCCGTAACATATACACAGACGTTTCGCAGTGAGTTTACCGATCCGATACTCGTGATTAAGAGGAACTGCAGAGATAACGTCAAGTGGATGGAAACAAAATTCGCTTTCACCACCACCTTTTCTCGTAAAGACTGATGCACGTGTATAGAACTGTCAAACTCTAATGACGGTGAGCAACCGTTGCGTGCATTGAATGGAAACGTCAAAATTTGACTGAATAAAATCTGTGTACCCAGTTGCATGGAATCCTGTTAGGAGTTTACATACACATTTGTGAAAATTACTACCGGCTTCGAAATGACATAAACCAAAATGCCAATGAGATGCAAATCTGAAAAAGAAACACGTCTCAAAAGTAAACATCTTTCATCAAGGCGAATTTTAGTTCTGTGAATGTTTCCGATTTCACAATCTACACGGGAGCATCTATGCCGTGGTGAAAACTTGAAAGTTTTATAAAATATTCATTCTGCACCTTTAGATTTCTCAGTCTGAGATGGATTTCATTTGATTGTGGTGCCGACTGCGGGGCCAAGCCTTGGTTTTGTCCAACTGGTTTAGCTTATTGGAGACTGCTTCATTGCTGGTCGGATCTGCCAGAGCAAATGGTGAATGAAAATCTCTCTTCATTGTTGTTGCATTTGGCTAAGGCGGATTGGATTTAGGTGGATAGTAAAAGTTGATATAAGTGGAATGGTTGGGGATCTCTTGTCCTCAGTGTTCCTCTGGTTGCACGACGAGGGTTGCACGAGGAAAACTGCATCCGCCTCACTCTCCAAACTCTTACGTCCTAGCCTGACTGACTGATCTCCCTGATATCAACTAGATTCTCCTCCTTGTTTACGTGTTTAGGTTGCAGCAAGTCCAACAAATGAGAATACCCAAAGTTGAACTTTCGTTAAAAAACAACATGGTTATCGCGTAAGAGATAATATATTATTAAACATCATTTCACTTCGCTCTTGAGCCTGGGCCCAGGGTGCATAAACTTTTTTGTTGTCCGTGGTTTCTCCTAAGGAGAAACCACGGACAACAAAAAAGTTTATGCACCCTGGCCTGGGCCCATTAAAATTAAAGTGGTCCATCCAAGCAGTACAACGTATGAAAAATTTTTTGATAAGACAAGAGAAGGTTGCATAAAGCGTTTTCTTGTGCACAAATGTACATCTGATCTAGTTGGGTACACATACCTAAATACGTACGTACAAACATATATAAATACATACGTCATTCATAAAGTAGTTAAAGTGCAAGTGTGGCTCCGGCAAGCTGATTCCACCGATTTTGTCTAGAAGCCAAATTTTCCGAGAGATTGATGCCACTTGTCTCTTGGCATTGCTGTGGTGGTCCATGTTCCCAAGATTAAAATACGCAGAGTCGAAACGAGGCAGCCAACAGCAATGGAAAGGGAAAATGAAAACATTAAAGTTTGGCACCCACTTCCAACATTTTTGAGCAATTACTGTTGCGGAAATCAGGCTAAGGATATAAGGCTGGGTTTTCCCAACCTCAATCCCAACCTCAATCCCAATCCCCGACAAAACCATAGTGTCACAATTCGGTAAAATATCGTCGAACGTGCCATTATTTTGTGGGACAAGACGACGAAAGAGCGATTATTGACAAAGTGAGATTTGCATCAAGTATTGGCTAGCTGCTCCTTCATTCGATTCTGTGTCTCACTTTCCTCTGTTGTGAACATTGTGTGTTTAAAGTTCTCTTGTGCAACCAACAAACGGTTTGTTTATCTGTTACGTAATATGTGAAGACGATAATATGTACAGATTTGGATTTGTACAAATTCCACACATTTTCTAGTTATACTCAATTCATCATCAACGGACTACTACTACTCATGTACTGCAATTACAATTAGTCCTACTCTAATGTAGCTTGACCAACAATATTCAATTTGTTGCTTCGACTCTTTATGTCGTTTACGGTTCCCAAATAAAATAAGTCAACAACCAACTAGCCGCACATCAACACTCGCCACCCATAACAAACACCTAGCCCGTCGCATAATTTGATTATCCTATTGTAATGCAATTAGCAACAACAGGGCTTTGGCCTTTCAGCTGAAAACGACTGGCTGCAATGTCCACACTACAAACCTACTCATTCATAGATGCGATGCAATTACAACGCGAGTGCAAAATTGTTGTGCGACTCTAATTACAACGCATTATTACCCCACCAACTGCCACAGCACTAACTGAGCACCATCCAGCCAGTGTTTGGACAAAAGCCCGTTGAAGATTATAACCATAGACTTGACGATTCCCATTCATTCGTCTCGAGTTATTTATTATGAGAGGAAAGTCAGTTGGGAAACTATAAGGCAAACAGGAAATAAAATAAAAGTGATGGTTGCCCGGAGCGAATCAACGTGATGATGAATGCCCAACTGGTGTCCACCAATATACGAAATATCTCATAACATGAGTACCAATTCTACATATTTCGATTAGGATCATTTCATAGGACGACGTCGACTTCAAATTAAAACTGGAACAGCAGCACCACAAATTTAAAACTGTTGACGGCTTATCTTGGTCAATTATTGAATTAACGTTGGAGGAAGTTGACTGTAAAATAAATAATAAATAATTAGCATTGTGAGAGCAACGTCCATACATACATTCAGCTAGCTCTCCATTCATTTCGTTTGGATTTGAGAAGTATGTGGGAGGAATAGAACGTCGATTTCCGTGCTCGATAAACCATTTCCATATTATGAATCTCCCTATCCATTTTTGACCAGCTAGTTTGAAGAGTGATTAATAGAGCACAATAAAACTCTGTGACTTGTTCACTAATAATTCTGGAGAGAGAGAGAGTGCATTTGGCATTTATACTGCAACCCTACATAGTTAGTCAGTGGACTCGGGATGTTATTGTCGTGACCAAAGAATATTATCACAATGCAAGAGAAAAATTGTATTAAAAAGAGTAACTTTCATGTTGTGAATGTGCTTATCGTACAATACACGTTGTGCAGCATAATAGTGTCTTAATGTCGGATGGACGACGCGTTCTGCATTCAAGTTGCTAAACATCACCACCCAACGAACGAGAGTGAATGGGTTTTGCTAAAACAAAAAGAAATTTGTATGGACGAAGTCTCGCGTGCGTCTTGTCTCTCGCATTTTGTATCGTAATTGAGGGAATTGGGACCAATTTCCTTCTTTTCCGAGTTCCAAAGCACTTCTTCTTCTTCTGGATGGAATTATAAGACGATGGTAAAAGTAACGCCACTTCTACAAGATTCTCTGTCTCTTTTGAGTTAGGTGGGCAGGACGTGCAGTGAAATAAGAAATGTTGTGCATTGTGCAGTAATAATAATCATATCACTTATCATAAAAATATAGCAAAAAAGACTGTGCAACGAACTGCAGTAGCACATACACACAAATCTCTTCGGACGGAGTGAATAATTTTATATTTCTAAACGGTGATGTGACGTGACTGGTGGAGAATCAAGGTGTGTCTCCCATGGTCGGACAATATTGCGAGCTGCAGGAGGGCTCATCAAAATGTTGTCTTTATTACAGTAAAGATGCAGGATCGTAATTTAACGTCCCATTGTGAAATATTTATTCACTTTCTCAGGATTTGTGGCTGGTGCGAAGGAAATAGTAAATCCTTCTCACAGATAACTGCACACGGTGGCATGAAAGAGGGAGGCCAAACTCCGAAAGATTCATGATCTCGAATCCATTGAAATTCAGAACATTTCAGTACATTTATTATCAGACTTTGTGGCAATGTAACGGAACTCCTCGCTGGATATACATACTTCAAAGTTGGAATACTTTTTTTCATGTCTTTGTCGCACCAACTCGCTCTGACTGAGAAATATCACAAGATAAGTTTCCATATGTGCAATTAAAGTTTTAGTTTCGGTGCTGCTGGGCGTACACATGTACAAATGTACACATGTGCATAGCTTTGTGTGATGCAATATTTCTCGTATTTGGGATTACGAATGCAATTTCATAGAATTTGGACAGAAGAACCCTTGTACATACATAAGTAAATTGCAATTGTGTTGTTGCGGGTGCTCGTTTAGATACTTCCTAATATCCACATGTGTATGTGAAAGTACACTATTTTAAAAGTGCTAATTACTCTCACCATCAGCAAACGTGCATACACTGGGAACTGGTGAACACAAGAAACGAAAGGGTTGTTGAAAGTGTTGATGTTTATGCTTTATGTTGAAGGAAAAAAACATGCAACGCAATGCACCAACTTAAAAAGAGGAGGACAACTAATGAAGGAGTGAAGTGAAGTGAACACATAAGCGATATACGACATAACACAACCTTTTCGGTGTATGTACACATGCACATGTTCAACTGCACTTATGTGGCACTTGTGTGGCATGGCTAATAAAAGATAACTGCATGGCGCATATTGTGTTACATTCGTTGGATGTCGGCCCTCATTAGGCGACTCTTCGATATACGTATGCCTGGAAGTAATTACGTGAGGTTGATGTCAGATCTGGAGTTTCGGCTTTAGTAACTAACAAGTGAACCCAGAGAAAAAGCGACGATTTCATCAAGATGGAACGAGTGGACGGCGTGATGTTTATTTTTAAGAAACCCGTTTACCGAGGTTTTCAGTATTTGGAGATGTAAGTCGAAATTAAAATGAAAGTGTTTTACATAACTGCAAGAATATCAAAAAGTTTATGTTTTTGTTCAGGATCTGACGTTTATTTTGTTTTCATAGTCGATGACTTCATATAAATTAATGCTTGATGAGCAGCCTGTGTGTTTGCACAGACGAAATGAAACTAGGTTTCACATGAACTATTATTATTATTGTTACAGCCATGCTTTTCAACGTTTAAACAACGTTGAATTTGCGGGGGTTTTATGTGGAAGCAAATATTGTGTGTAAATATAAATAGGATACTCTTCCAGCTTTACAGTTTTAGTTTCAACATGATAAATTGTCCTCTGGATGACGATGAGCAAACAAAGCTCTCCTCGATTCTTCATTTTTTTCAACTTGGTTAACTATAGAACGCTACATCACACACTGCGTATAATTATTGTGTTCATCCTGCCTTGCTCTCGATAATTTACACAAGATGTTCATTAATGCGGGATATGGGCATTGATGCGGGCAGGCAGGATTTGAACCAAATGTACGTATCTTTTTAAGGAGAGGTAATCTCCGTCAGTTCCAAATGGACCAAGTGTGATTTATTGGATAGAAAAAATGATAGTAGTTTTGCAAACTGCATAAGACGTGTACGTCAATTTAATATAAAAAGAAATGACTGTTCAGTCAATATTTGCCCGCATTGGTGCAGGCAGTGATTTCTCGGGTCCGTGGTTTTCAAGTGTTTATGGTGGATTAATATCATTGCGGGAATCATTACAATATTATTACCATTATGTGGATCAAATATGGTGGGCATCCGGCATTCTAGATTACAATCTGCTAGTTCAATTCTAAAAATAACCTAGTTGTTGGATCTTCTCATGTAAATGAATGCATACATACTCGTATTCGTACATTCTATGGACGGATAAATGCTAATGATTTATTTTATATAGTGAAATTGGTTGAGTAACTCGCCGTCATTTCGTTGAACCCGTATTTAGAGTAAGTACATATACAAACCCTTAAATACATACATATTATGTATATGAAAGCAGTTTAGCCTGTGCATGTTGAGAAGCAATTTATTTAAGGTTGAGAAAGTCCTGATTTATGCCTCGCTGGCTTTCTCCAAGAGAAAATGCGCCTCTGCTGACTCTTTGAATGCTCATTTGTTAAGCGTTCCAGCTCACATGAGGAAATGGTTATATTATTACATTCGTAGTTAACAGTTTAGCTCTGAATAATGGGAAATAGTCAGAATGGGATTTGGAGTCGACATTCTGGTGAATTATGGGATAGTTATGCCATCCACATTTTGTATAAAAGCATGTGCCAGGTGCTGATTGTGAGTTTGGCAAACTGGGATTGACGACATGACTTTCATCTCAGATATTTGAGGAAAGGGAAAGTAGAAAAGTTCCATCCAGACATTACGGCATATTACACTGAGTTCACGGGTCGGACTTTGACATTTTGGTCACACATTTCATCCCTCAAGTCAATGAAAGGCGTTTCATGCTATCATATGTATATCCTGGTGAGAAGCATATTCGTATCGCGAAGAAATATGCGGACCAACGACCTACCTGCCATACATACAGACTCAGATCGAATATGTACTTCGGACTCTGGCTTTTGGACCGGCTCATGTTTATACATACGTCCAGTTGGATGGAAATGAGTCTGTGTTTCCTCTTCGTATACACAGATTCACTGGAACATGTGGATGGGGTGGAATGTGGGGTGCAGTTCGTTTGGTGGGGTGGATGATGCGGCTGGAAGTCATTTCAGACTTGCACCATCACCCTCCCCGGCACAATGGGCGGACATACATTGTTATAATTTTTGCCCTTTTCGACCTGACACCGGCTTCCCACAGGCAAGTCCGGATTTATTACAAGGTTTGGAGCCGATTTCACTCCGTATCGGTGTGCTCCATCCCCACTTGCTGTTGCCCATTTTCAGAATTTCACAGGGTTACATCATCATACAAGAGTTCCTGTTGCTGTCTCATTGCAAATGCTTAAATTTATTGTGCCCTTTTCTCGACAGTCAGTCGACAACTTGGTTTTTCTGGCGGAACCATATTACTTACCTTCCTTATAATGTATTGTCCATGTTATTTTGTAACATTTATTTCTATTCACTCCTGCCGTTAATTTGCCCAAATGTGCACTTTGGCTTCGCTTTGTTCTCTTCTCGTGTTGGGGAGAGATAGAAGGGAGCTAAAACCGAAGTGAGATAAGAAGTATCTTGTTGGCATAGGTCGGTGCGATATAAACTAATTTAAAACCTGGTGACAAAGCCCCCGTCAGCATTTTCAGTTAGCAATAACTCCTTGTTTGATGCACACATGTACTTACATACGTATATAGCTATCTGCGTTTCTATATCTGCGTTTAGGCATGCCATTCCGATGATGAAATAAAATGGGAAGCATTTTTCTTTCTTCCCGTTCGTGGGGTGGGTCGAGCAGAGACTTTTCCTGGATTTATAGGAGCAGAGAGGAAGACTCCTGCATAGCCTCCCTTCCTGTGAAAATGCGTGGGTTGGTTGAAAACAGTAGAAAGTTATTTCTTTAGGAAATTCGGAGCCGCCGTGGTCGACGTTGGTTTGGTAAAGTTTTGTTGGACGCATTGTGTGGAATGGCTGCCCTTTGAAGCCAATTTTACGAGTTGTTGGGGTCGAGGACTGTTCGTCGTAGCCATTGCGTTGGAATATTTTTAGACCAGCTACACATCTTTCACTCCGATTCACCTCTTAAAATCTTCCCTCTCATCATGAACCTTGGAGATACGGGATGGATATAGCACCCGAGTTCAGGTTCACTGTGCTTCCAAGTGACGCTCATTCACGTCTATCTCTTGATTTCATCTCGTCTCTGAGAACATAATTTGTTTGCTCCTGTTATGTAATGGCCTCCCAGTTAACTAAAAATCATCAATTACGACCATCTTCCAACAACAACAGTGCTTGTTTAAACGGGCAACATGTGCACTTTTCGTAATGAGCTGTTTCACTTATCCTTCCGCATCTAAATTATGTAAATATGTTCCAAATACTGTTATTACGCATACATTTATTTATATGCTCGTTTTCAAACTGTACAGAGGGGAGATACAAGAAATAATAATTTTTAAGGCTGCTTGACCTTTGTGTTGAGAAGTTTCTGAGGAGTTTCCATCTTTTCTTTCAAAAAAGAAAGTTCAGTGCAACGCAATGTACGGAGTTCTGAGGGAATAATAAGGTTAACAGCAAAATTTTAATGAGATTTCGACACTCCAAAATTGCATCATAACTTCATTACAGGCGACAGTTGCATTAATTTTGACACGAGGCGTAATGAGTTTATCAAGGAATCTGGAGAACTGCAGTTGCACTCTTCTGCTGCACTTTTCATCCTCATCTTAAAGCTCTTAAGCCCCTCACTCGCCAAGCTTAATTTTCTCCGTCTCTTTCTCCTTCTAATGAGGGACCCTTCCATGCAGAAGAGCAAGCCAAGATGACTACGCGTAGTCCTCTGGATAATGCTCCTTGTGGAGAGGGTGGCAATAATAGCTGCCTTTCTTCTCTTCATGAGGAACGATAATTAGTTCGTCTTAACTTTTCTTCCTCTTATTCTCAAGAACCAAGGGCAATCTCGGCACTGGTTGCATCACAGTGAAACGAACTTTGTAGTACTTTAATACTTGGGTAATTGCCCTTAGATAAGACTTTAGCGGGCAAACCCGGCTTCTGGCATTGTATGCCTTTCTTTAACAGTTCTTCTTTCAACCAAGATCTGCAATTCATCATTTATTTCATTATTTATGCATTTACTCAAACTGTAGTTTCACCAAAGTTTTAAAGTTTATTCCTCAATGTCTTTGGTTCTACTCTTGTTTTTTTACATATACAAAACGGCCCTGGAAGTCACCATTGGAATGCAATTACTAATAAGAGTGATAACGTCGAGGGCCGTATAATAAAAAAAGAGCAAGAGCGTGTATTGAGAAATGTTTAAACTTTGCTGGTAAATAGTAAATGGACAAGTTGTGCTATTCTTGTGGTATATTTAAGGGTATTTGTTTTTATGATTTGCTTACAAATTATTTAGTTATATCGCTGGATGGAGTTCAATAGCCAACTTACAAATTATGCGTAAAGTTATTAGTGCGCCCTTTTTGGCGTAAAACTTGGCAAAATTGTGCACACGTTTGTGTTTATATCCCGCTGTTTTAGCGGTCTATAAAAGCCGACAAGAACTAAACAAGTCGTGCGTTGACTGGCAATCAATCAACCAAATGTGGCGACATGCTGCGACTCATCTGCCAGATTTTTCGTTAATTTCAGAACATGATTGCAATTTGGTAAATTATATCGCCTTGTTTTGGCACATTTCTTGCGGTATCACTGTTTGCATGAAATTTAGAAAAAAAATTTGTTAGTGCGGCATCGACCTGGAGCAAATCTCAATTGTAGGCGTTGATTTAGCTGAAATTAATTTGCGTGACATCATCTAAAAAATTGTGATCATGCCGGATATTGTATTTTGCTAGCTTGAATCATGTATGCAGATGTTTATTTTCTTTGCAACTTGTTTGTATTGGTTATTCATATTTATGTACTAATCAGCATTCGCATTATTGTTGTTGTTAAATATTTTACAATCTTAATTGCATAAATATGCTTGGAAGCATCATGTATCAGTAATATTATTGAATGCATATGACTTTCACTATGTAACGAGGAACATGTACAGGTCAAACTATCCGACGTGTAACTTCATGAATATTTTTATTATGTTCACATTAAATTTGAAATTCAATACGTGTAACAAAATATATTTTGTAATCTACCACAGCACCAACAATAGCAAACACCATCAACAACTACACGTGGTGCAATGCAGTCTGTCTACAAAGTTCAAATGCATCAAATGTTCACTTTCGACCTCACCAAAAAAGCTTGTTCCACAGATATTTGGTGTACATACATACGTACAAAAGCTAAAGGCAACCCCTGACTGACTGACTGAATTGGCTTAGTTGTGTCACACCCTTCGTTTAAATGGAAAAAGGTGGTTTAAATTATGATGGAAATAAGTTCTTCAAGTTTTGTTTGAAAGCAACACGGGCCTTCCTTCACAGGGAGGCACAATAATTCCAACTTGTTTGGTTATGATTCACACAGGTAGAGAAAAGCCTGTAACCTTTGGATGTTGATTTTTTCGAGTTGTACGTAATAATCTGGGTTGCATTATGATTTAGATGAAGTTCACTGCTATTCAGAACGGAGTCTGCCATTCAAATTCAAATTTCAACCAAGGCGAAAAGGGTTCACGAGATCTCACTTTTCAAAGTCAAACATATCATTACTTTTCATTTGTGCGTTACGGAATATGAGCGGATGAAAGAAATTGAAAATGCTCACAAAAGGCCCTCTTTGCTCGATACACGTTATTATTTACCATGTTTGTTGCGTTAATATGCAGTTGGAAGCATTTTGTTTCGTGTGAATTTTTTATAATCTTTTCAATTCATCAACGTCACTGAGAATTCCGGTGGCAGTGAATAATGCGCTTTCACGGTTGTCAGTCGATGGTGGTTTAGCAGTGCTTCTTTCTACCTCGAACTTGCACATGTTTTATGTATGGAGGAAGTAGTTCATTCCATCTTTCTCGTATTTACCATTAGCTTAGCACCACATCGTCAAGTGACATGTCATTCTCCAGAATATCCGCTACTTGACTAATTTGTTGTTCCAAAAGTGTTATCCTATCAGGCGCAACGGTTGCTTAATTGGTGAATACATAATAAAATATCCAAATGCCATTTAAAAGTTTAGGTTGCATATGAATGACAGCTAATGGACCGAATGAGGTTTACGACATAATGAATGTCGTTTTTGAGTTTAATTTGTGCATGTACATATGTACCTCTAAACTGCCAGTGCTTTGACCAATTTCTCTAAAAAACTAGTAACGCGCATTAAAATAAGATTAGGATCGCATGTACCCCACTGAACTGACGCATCATAGAGAACAAATAATGTAATGGGCTATGCACATTAGTAGTCGCATCCCGTGTTTGAGTGTTATTATAGAAGCAGCAATTGGACCAATAATAAGAGTGAATCATAAACTTGCATTTACATGACTCAACTCCATCAGGTATCATCGAGTAGAAATGCATACCCAGAAGAGATTTGGCTGAGGATGAGATGAGTCTTTTCATGCGTGAAATTAAGTTCTCGTTGTGTAAACGATAAAGATTTTTACTTCTTCGCTGGAAGACACTAACGTAGAGTTAAATTGCGATCGTTTGCATCTCACTTGGATTGCAAAAATTATGAATGGTTCAAATTAAACATTTCACTATTGTTCCGTTCATGCATATCTTCCTGGGTTATCGTTTTCCTGACAATACCCAAATGCAAATCAAACAAGACATGACACAGAGAAGAGTCCGAGTTGTGAATGAGCTTCGTCTGTATGTACATAAGTACGTAACATTGAGATATTGTGAAACCTTGAGGCTTATCTGCCACTGGTTATCTTTTGTGGGGATGGATACATGTAAGTACTTATCTGTGTGTTTGGGTCTCGTCATTATGCTCATATTTTGTTTTACTTTCATCCAACTCAGTTTCAATCAATGCCAAAAAGGTTTACAAAATATATGTGATGATGCATTGCTCAATCTCACCTATTCTGAGATAGGACTACATAGATGTGAAAGCTAAAAAATAACCTAATTAGATTGAATAAAGCTGTAGAAATAAATCGTGTATATTTTCTGGACTGTTTGTGTCAAAACCTGAGGGATCTGGAACGACGTACTATTATTTAACAAGTTGAAATTTATTTGATACAAAATTTGACAATAAGATACGATTTCTAAAAGTCGAGCTGATTATAATTCTTCTCTGATGTGAAAAGTTTTCACTCGAAGATTTGGGTTCCCACCAGTTCAATGAACAAATAAACAAAGAGTTTTTCTTTCAAATTTCCAAGTTTTAAACAAGTTTTTTTTTGCTCGCGACAGTGACTGAATTTGTTACATGGTCCACAGATGTGTTTTGTTCTGCATCCCCAAGATTTCTTCTGGCATGTAATTAATTGTTAATTGTATATCTTGTATGTGTACTTAAAACAAATGATTGTTTCCTGCTGATAATTTCCAGGCGGTTTGTTTTCTATTTTTCTCCTTGGCTGTGAAATTAAATGTATTTGCACTGCAAACACAACGTCAACTAATCTTTTCATCCAAGAAGTTCTGTCCTACGAGGAAGATAACATGTTTTCGTGTTGAATTGCATTTTCAATTGTTGCATTGACTATATAATGAATTGTGTTGTTGCGTTGTGTTCCGTGTATGCACATACCAAGCAACATACTAATTCATCACCAATGTATTTGATTAACTGAAGAGTCTGCTGTCTTCAGGTTTATAATAAAGCCTGTTTTTTTTCATTATCCAGAGAGGATGAACCCCAAAAACTTCCAATGAACTCCAAGGACCGAACTGCCAGCCCTGCCCGAAAGTGCTTGATCCCTCTCCCGAGACCCAACAATCCTCAGGAGCAGTCAAACAATTTGGTCAACAATGGATTGTTGGCGAATAACCGACCAGTCAGCGAGTTTCATCCTCCTCCAGGCTCAATGGTGGACAGCAACACTGGAAATGGTGCACCCGAGAACAAGACCACGCTCAAAATCCACCTTGTCGACGGAGGGTTCAATGTGGTCAAGTGCAGTGATACGACTGATATTAAGGTGAACTTTACATGCGACATTTACCATGGTGTTAGTATCTTACATTCAATAAGGGCAATAAGAGTGAGTAGTGGAGATTCATTTTTTATGGACACGTCAATTTATACTTTTATGACTCCCATCAATCGCCCCCACGCAGATGACATTGAATTTGGAATTCATTCCATGCACATGTATAATCTGGGTTGTAACAGTTTTGTTGTTGGAAAATCTACCTCACACAATTACGGCACATGCTCGTCGTGTTTTGTTATCCCAACGTTACGCCTAACGTTTGAAGGAGAAGTCTTGTTGCATGCACAGTAGGCCATAAAATCAGTTGAACTTGCAAAAACAGGTTGCTCGGTTGGACAGACACACATGCGTGAACTGGCCAAGAGAGGCGATTCTTGAAAGATAATTTTTCGTTTCGTTTGTTAATTCACTTATTCATTAGATAGTTGGGACGATAAGATGCAGCCATGTGCAGGGATTTAATATGTCAGTAAATCGTTCCCCGTAATAACCAAGACCCGCCTTGTTGTTGCAAACTGGTTGCGTAATCGGCGCACATGAGTTGCAAAGAGGCTGCGTTGGTTGGACATTGATTGCTTCTAGGATGAGTATAAACGATGGAATGACCATTTGAGCATGCTGAGACCGGTATACCCCAAGGGAAACGGGGCACACGTGAATAAACCCAATTTTTGAACCAATGCGATTATCTGCCATCAATATAGCAATTCCATCCGACACCAACAGACCCGAGTTTGAAAAGGGTTTATCCAATCAAGTTTGGAATCAGAAATATTATCCACTTCCCACAGTGGGAAAAAAATCGAAGGATCTCTTCTGGTCAACTGTCAATTGGATTTGTATTCGTATGTTTGGTGTTGGTTGGCGGTGCGTGAAATATTGGATTCAAGATTGAAGGGGATGAAACCCCTCCAGTGAAAATCATGGAATATCGTGCAATCTACCCTTATTGCTTGCTTGCCACCCATCAATTCAAGTTACTTTCTTCTGGTGAGAAAGATTTCGGGAGAAACGCGTACTGATATCTTATTGGGTATGGATTTCTGGCAGGATGAAAAGAACGTGAGAGGGTGACGCTCGCAGATAAATATCTTCTGATTCAGAAGATGATCACAATGCTTACACAAATATAATCCAAGTCAGATACCGACTTCTCTTTGAAAATGGGAAAATAAGAAATGACAGAAAACAGGGTGAAAATATTCAGATTTTCCGTATTATGTATGTATCATGCTCAACTTGCAAAGCATGTTGGAATGTGAGAACATGATGCGTGCATGTGTTTAGAAAAGCTTATTTATTGAAGTACACATCCGACCGCATAATCTTTTTAGTAGTGGTTGAAGGCTCGAGCATTGTTGAATGAGGAGGATGAGTAAAATGGGATTGAATCCGATTTTAGGGGGTTTTGTCACTGGTTGTCGGGTGCATTTCGTTGTAAATCTGGATGAGGCTTTGGAATCTTGGTGAATAGAATTTTGAACCTAAATGTAAACAGCACGTGAACTGCATCGTAATGAGAAATAAGACAGGAATCATGGTTCCGCTCTCACTTTGTTCAGGAAGTCGAATGGCTTACTTTTTTATTATGGCAAACTCTACGTTTTTATATTAGTTTATGAGGTTGAGTGAGATGAGAAGCCTTCTAGACAATAGACGATCAAATAAATAATAAAGGGCTGGGATACATATGTAGCTGCAGTTTAACTGTGAACCTGAAAAAGGTATGCGAATGCATCACACATATGAAGACATGATTTAACGTGATGCAAATGTGCCCAAATGAATTTGGTTGCCTTCATCTCAAGAAGAACTTTCTTTGTCTTCATGGGTTTAGTTTATTGTGTATTTTGCATATATTGAAGAAACGTAATGTAATTTGAAATTTCATTGTTCTTGTTATTGCAGGGGATCATCCAACTCTTGACGACGAGGTTGGCTGCTTCTACCACTCGAGAATACAAACACTTGTTCACATTGAGTAAGTACTTACATATTTAGCTAGTTTGTATATTTGTAAATATATGGTCAAAAAATAATTCCAAAAATCCTGACATATTGAAAATTGATCCTTACTCTCCTGTTTCGACGCAATCAGTTGTCTTCCATTTATCCCACGTCCCTTACTTATTCAAAGGCGAAATCTGAAATGCGTGACAGCTTTTAAGCTTATTCAGTAAAATAAATATCGTCACCTGAAAAATATGTAAGGACCGACTGCTTATATTTGTAGTTGAGTTTCGTCGTGATGTTCTCATGCTTTTGCACAACCAACAATACTTATTTTATAAAGTGTATTGAAATCTGTACATAATTGCAGGACTGAAGCATCCGAATTCTAATGAAGTTTATTGGCTTCATCCTGACATGACCGTGTCCCAAGTAAGTTTCTTAAATTATATCACTCGCACTATCAGCAACTGTACAACAACTTGGCCAAAACTTGTCGAGCCAGCAAGTTATTTCAACGCTTGCAAATGAGCTTCGTTACCGTGAGCTTTGTCTTGCACCACGGTTGAGCATCATTAATTCGATAAGGAAAGTTTAGACCCAATTCCATGTCCAAAAATAGCATTTGCATTAGAGAAAGGAAGAAATTTGATACGGTTTACTCCTGGGAGAAGACCCAATATCCATATCCACATGATAAGTAATACATACGCGTAATAGCGAATGGTAGAATTTTTAGGACGGGAAACAATGCACATTTCCTATTCTGTAAAACCCCGGAGTGCTGGGTGAACCCTCTCTGTTCATCCGGAACAAAAGAAATCCTGCCCGATATGGTTCCGAAAGTGCAACAATCAACAATACACTACAATATTCACCAAGCGTTGTGTTGTGGTGCTAGGAATTGGGATTATTATGGCGAAGGATGCAGGAGTGTGTGATAAAAGATGAAAATTGTGCAAGTCTGGTTTAGTATTTAAGTACTTTCACGAGCATCAAAACGCCATTCTAGATCGTCCCCATGTACACATCCTCTCAGGATGAAGTTAGTTTATTGATGAGAGGACTGGATAAAATATTTTAGCCTTTTTTTTACTAAATCCTCAAGCACCCACCATATTGTGTTTACTGTCCGGTTATTGAGAATATTTCCCAATGTCACTTTTTAGTTGATAAACCAAAAATTATTCTGCAGTGTGGAAATAAACTTGCATTTGTATAAAAAATAGTTAAGCGACTGACTGGCCGCAACAATAAAAGTGTGGACAATACGAGCTTTGTAATCTATTAAAGCAAGCTCTTCGGGCCCATTGTGCCAATAATGACCGTTCAAATGGGTGCAGGGTACATTTAATGGAGAAACTAAACCCGCATGAGAGAGGTTTCATTGCTAATTCAATCCATTTTCCGAATCCAAGCACTACTCCTGGGCTTAATGGAGCAATTATTAACAATCACACATATATTATTACTTATCCACAGTGTACATTAAGGTCTACTGGTAACATAAGTGTCGATGATGAGGAGGATCAAGGATCTATTGATCTGTAATGGAAGTGCGATAATCTGCTGAATGGAAAGATTATGTATGGTTTTAATTCCATCCGATCTCCGAGGACCATATGCTCAACTTGTGTAGTTTTATATGCACATATTATTGGGTGGGTATTTGGGGCTGACTGCCACTTCCTCTGAGTCTTTGTAACGTGTCAATCATGATGGGAATTCAAAACAGTTTGCCACATGCATACGTATGTACGTATACCTATGTACATGGACTGGAATTAGGAAAAGAGAGTGAAATTCATCCAATGTCTGACCGACCCTGGAGAGCGTTTTGTTTATTTTATGAACTGAATGATTTATTATTGTCTTAGGTTCGGGAGAAGTACGAGAAGCAGCATCCGAGCACGGAATGGAGATATGAACTCAGGATTCGGTATTTCTACTCAGACTTGAAAACACTTCACGAAAAAGACACGGTGACGTTTCACTATCTCTACGATCAGGTATATCACCACTCACTCACTTTCTTCCCATTTCTTTCCCATCCTCCAATGGGGGTTTAACAAAATAAATAGTACAAGTTTTTTCGATACTGTTACAACTCCCCTTGTTTAGTTTGTCCCAATCTAACAGACCTCTTAGCAAGGAGGGAGCTAAACTAACAAGGGAACATACCGAGGTGTCCAACGAGTTAAGGGTCGACACCTATACCAAAATGACCACAATACATGACTTGTTAAACAAACTAATCGAATTTCCGTGTAAAAGTCACTTTTCGTCAAGTTGTGACGATATTTGTGACGAGCGCATGACCATCGCGTTGCCAGCGGGAGAGGTCGGCCGCTGAACCATCAGGTCGAACACAGAGATGCGTCGTCGTCATCAGAGATTTCAAATTTTGAAAACATCTTGAAATTTTGAAAAAAATTTGAGAAAACTTTGAAATTTTGAGAAAATTTTGAAATTTTAAAGAAATTTTTGAAATTTTTGAGAAATTTTTGAAATTTTGAACAAATTTTTCAAATTTTGAAGAAATTTAAAATGTTTTTCAAAATTTCAAGATGTTTTCAAAATATGAAAGAATTTGAAATATCTGAAGACGACGTGAAGACGACGACGCTTCTCTGGGTTCGACCTGATCGTTCAGCGGCCGACCTCTTCCGCTGGCAACGCCATGGTCATGCGCTCGTCACAAATATCGTCACAACTTGACGAAAAGTGAATTTTACACGGAAATTCGTTCAGTTCGTTTAGCAAGTCATGTATTGTGGTCATTTTGGTATAGGTGTCGACCCTTAACTCGTTGGACACCTCGGTATGTTCCCTTGTAAGTGGCCCAGAATCGTGTATCTTTTGATGAGTACATCTTTTGACAAGACACTCCATAGTGGTCGAGTGTTTCCGGCTTCAAAATATTGAACTCGTTTATTTTTGATGAGCTCGTAATGTTAAACTTCGTACATAACTCTGAAACATTTTCGAATAGCTTAATTCTTCTGCTGCACAGTATACGCTATGGTAATGACGCTGCCTTGTTTAATGGGTTTGACAGGTGAAAGATGATTATTTATCGCGAGAGCACTCCTCCCTCAACCAAGATGTTGCAAAAGTAAGTAAATATATCGACATGCATATTTTGTGGTATTACCATCCCCATTCACGCAGCTGGACTGGGTGGTGGTGGTGGGAAAAGTACAAGTTGTATCTAGTTGTGGAAACTGCACTCATTCCATGGGGTTGGTAAGAAAGGAGAGTGGTGTGTCCAGTAGTAGGTCAGCTTTAAAATAAATTGAAATCACTAGTCATTTTTGCAATGAGTACGTCGGTGCTAGGAAATAGTAATTGTGCTAACCCTGTAAAGAAGAGACCAGGTCCCAAATCCAAAACAGAAGTGATTGTAAAGAAAGTGAAAGTAGAGAGTGATAGTGACAGTGTTGACACGGATGATGATTTAAAGAAGTTTTATAAGACAAGGGATGCTACGCTTAAAATCAGACATAGTTATCGACTGCAGTTTTTCGTGGACATAACAGAGCCCGATAACGTTGGACTTAAAGTTTCTTCAGTGTCTGGTGAAAGAAACGGTGGAAAAGATTATTGCGAATCGTATGAAAGGGTAGAAGGTGAAGTGTTTTGTGGGACAAATAGTAAACACCATCGTTTAATTCGCCTATGCGAAATTCAATTTACTGAAGAAAATGTTTCGTCTTCATGCACGATAGCAATTGAAAAATACGAATGTTTAATAACCGATGTTATCGATTATCAACACCACAGGAAACCAAATAAGTATTTAGGATTGTCACCACGAAGTGAAAATCATAAAAACTCCAAATTCAGACAGCATTGGGGAGTAGGCGGAGAACTACAAGCAGCTACAAAAAGTTTATGGACAACGGATTGCTTTAGTGTCACCGACAAATTGAGACAACTCTTTCCTGGTCTTTTCATTACGTTTACTGACTTTTACAAACCTCGTATCCAATGTACTAAAGCAGATATACTTAATTTTGTGAAACGCTCCGGAAATATAAGAAAAATAGAAAGTCAACATGCAGATAAACTCGAGAATCTTGATTGCGAACTGTGTAAACACACTTTCTCAACAAGTGCCAGTTTGTGGAATCATCTAAAAGACATTCATAACCAGGAATACCTAGTTTGTGAAATTTGTTGGTTCATGACGTTGTTGAAACAGTATATGGACAAGCATACAAATAAGCACCCTCTGCATGACTGTGATTTGTGCAAACGGCCTTTCTCATCTGCAACCGGTGTTGCAACACACAAACGTCTAAAGCGTTGTCCTGAAGAAAGACAATATCATAGCAATAGCCACAAGAAATTAAAAGTTTAATAATGTTGTCTTACCTAACTTAATTTTACCAGGTTGCCCTTCAACTTTGTTGCCTCGCTATGCGTCACTACTTCAAGGTCCTTATAAATTATTATCACACAGTACAAATCGTTTAAAAATATTGTATGGGTATGGGTAGGTAAGTAATTAAATTAAAATTAAATTATTTTTTTAGGATATGCAACAATTAGCACTAGACAAGAAAAGTAACTTAGATTACATCGAAAAAGACGTTGGACTTCATAAATTCCTCCCGAAAGCTATTCTCACCTCCATGAAACCAAAAACATTGAGGAAACTGATTCAAGCTAATTTCAAGAAATTCGTAAACATTAGTGATACGGTAAAACAACTTAATTTCAATTAAATGACCTTTATTCTCTATCAATCTGCTAGTTAATAAACTTTATTTCATGAAAATGACGATTTCAATTAAAAATGGATATAAAAATGATTGGGTTGTTTACTTTTCCAGGACTGTATGATCCAGTTTTTGGAACTTGTGAAAAGTGTCATTGGGTACGACAAGGAAAAGTTCCAGTGTGCCCTTGGGGTAAGTAATTTTCTGTATATTTGAAGCATGTGAAAGGAATACTAGGATCAATTATGTCATAGCAAAACGCGTGATGATTCGCTGAACTTGACAAATGACAACTAGATCTCAGTCTCAATTTGTGAAGAGGTTTCACGTGGGTACATCTGTAATTCTTCGCCATTCGAATTTGTGCAATTTGTTCTGAAGGGTGTTAACAAACAAGTAAAGTTGTTAAGATTGACGATCTTGTTTCATGTCTTTGTTTGGTCCAACAAGTCGATTATCTATTGACATTTGTTGTATTGTTGTCATTGAGATCAGAGTCCAGATCCAATTGAGACAGCAGTCTTGTTGTTTTTGGAAGCCTTGCATTGTTTGGAACTGAATTATTTAACTATTTCACAATAAAGATTGAAGAGACGGCAGTCTCAGATGTAATAAAGTGTTTAGCTCTTACACATCAACAATGCGCTGTGGATTGGTGTATGTAGGTGTCACTTAATGATGGTCTGAATCAATATCATACTGTCAATTTCTGATTGGCTTGAAATTTTTCATCACCTTTTTCTGTACACGTTAGGTACATATGTACATCTGAAATACAATAAAGCACTGATGCTGATTGACTTGGATTTCAGCCACATAATTATTTTAGCGAATATATTTTCCTATGTGCATACTTTCTACACTATGTCGCGCATCAGAGAACAAATTTGGTGGACAACGCCCTTGTTTGAAATCGACTCAATAGTGTTTTTTCTTATTACATCAAACTTGACATAAGTCACCGTCATTCAACGCTCCAGTGCATCACATCTGTTGAATGTACGTATCTATAAGTATTCTGGTAGCTGTTGTTGTCCGTGAAGAAAGTGTTGAATGCTGAATGTTGTCCGTGATGAATGCACGACTTGTGCAAGATAAGCTCCTTGTTGAAGACGATATATTATGTGTACTTTTTTTTATGAGAAATGAGTCAGCACTCTTTTTTAGTCTTGGCCATTTTATCAGCATGTTTACAAGCACACAACTATTTTTCACAATTTGTTGGGTGGATTGTAAATCTTATTCAAGTTGGCGGATCATTATTACCTTACAAATTACTGCGAAGTTCATGTGATTGTAAGGATCCGCTTGATTTTTTACCAATTTCTTGCATACGTAAACATGTAAAGCTTTTTTAATAGTAATTTGAGCATGTTAAATGTGTAAAGGAGGATCTCGATTAATGTGTTCAGCAGAGTACCAGTGCATTAATAAATGACATTCAAATTCGTGCGTTGCTGATTTGATTTGTGGAGTGGCAACGTTTTGTACTAATGGTCGGCATAAATTAGGCTCGACAAAACTTGAACATCATTAAGATAAATTCAACAAGTCTCAACTCTTTACACTTTCTACATCATTAGCTTCATTAAAATTCAATGATTCAGTAATCTGTATGTTAAGCAATTCCAATTATCTTTAATTACTGACAGAGCATTAGTTGCTGGATATAAACGGAGCACAAGCAGGTACATACGTTGGTCGGAGCCGAAAAGTTATAATGTTGACCTGCACAAAGTCAACGACCCAAACTCGTAGCCAAACCTTGTTTATCATTGACTTAATTAGGAAACAAGGAACCCGACCGGATTTCTTGTTTCTACTGATATCATGTACTTCCTTCCTACAAAACTTGAAAGTTAGCCTTCAGCTTGCTCAAAATAATGCAAGAATTTCCTGAAAAAGTTTGTTAAATCAATTAACACACGCTCCTTGGACTGTTTGGACATGCACTCACTCACCCACTCCATAATAATTGCACCTGAAAAATTCTTCCTATTAAGTACAAAATTTGAAGTAGGCAAGTTCAGGTTCGGTAGTGGATTTTCATCCATGTGTGATTTGGATTAAAGCGAAATAAAATCGCAACGCCCACACGAGGAAATTATAAGGCTTGCACTTCAGAATATTTATTTGGTGTTTGGTTATGCATGCAAATAGCTTGTAAAGTATGTTTTGAATTAAATGAAAATTCACTTCACGCACATCGTTTAATTACATGTGCTATTGATCACATAGTGAGAATGTAATTTGATCTTGATTTTGGACTAGTAATTGCATGCAGGTCTTTATGTTTAGAAAATATTGCTAACAAAACTCTGTGCATATGTATGAGATGGACATTTTTGGCGAACTGCTCATTGTCAGTAGAAATGGATTCGTCATTGATTTTTATTGAATAATCTGCTTCAATGAGTACAATCTGGAGATTTTGATGTATTGCAGCAAAGTAGATTCTTCATTGTCATCATTTCATGAGCGAACCTTTGTTTATGCTCACTTTTCCTATTCATGAGTCGGCACCTAGCAAATTGGTATCTTCCTTTTACGTCGGTGATAAAATCTCGAAAAATCTGCGTACTTGTTGTCTTTGGGCTCTGTAGATTGTACGCATGATTCGAGTATCGCTAGAATGGTTCATATCAGAAACTGATTATCAAATTAATTTTTTAAGCTCTTGCTGCCTCGTCCGTTTTGATCACGTATCTGTCCGATGTGTCACGTTCGTCTCGCCTTCCTTTCGCAGTCGAATAAATGCGTTGAGCTCTCCTTTCAATTAGAACAGCAAGCTTAATACGCATTTTGTACCCATTCTTTGAATCGCCAGGTGCAAAATTTTCCCAACCGACAACTTTGTGAGCTGCACAAATGGAGATGAGATTCGGCTTTTGATCATGGGATGAAAATTAAATTTTTCCGCATCAATTTCTGAGTCGGAGAAGGCCAGTCTAGGCACATAAACATATTGCACAGTGCAGAAATTGAGTAGAGTGAGTGACCGCAAGTAAATGGGGAAGATGGATATATTTTTAATGTTTATGGATGCAGTTGTTGGATTAAATTGACTTGTCTCAAGAAGAGATTGCCCAAATGCACTTCTCAGTTTTATGGCCATTGTAATCCTGCAGAATAAGGAAATTATTAGTGAATTTTTATGATGTACGGAGCAGAGCAACACGTAGAAAGCTATCAACCCATCGTTCTGTTATGCGTAAAATCCAATGAGAAAAAAAGATTGATCACACACATGCACAGATTCATGATTTTGATGCACAAAAGTAATAAGAAAGAAGTCTCATAGTTCGCACAAATCCTTCATAATCGTATGAACTCTGTGATCTCTTACATATTTACTCATGTACGTACGTATCGGTTACATGTACATATTTATATATTTATTTCGCTATACCAGTTTGTATCTCATAGCATATTGTATTTATCCACCATGTTGTACACACTTGTTTCAAATGTGAGAAAGATATTGATTGTACGATTTTTTAAATTTTAGTTAGCATAGTCGTTGAATAAGTACTCCAAGTCTCTTCTACTAATTTTAAATATATGATTAAAACAGGCTTTGCCACATGCAAATAATTGTAGTGTGCAGCAATGTTTTCAAAAGATTAATTGACAGTGTCAAACCCCTGAATTTCGTAGATGCACTTAATTTTCCCAGATTAGATTTATGAGGACATGATACGCAGACACTTCTCTTGCCGTGTGTACCTCGTTCTTGTCCTCCAACTTCCTGTAACTGTTCTTGGACTCGCATTTGTTCAATTTCTTTTCGTTTGTGTTTATGGGTGCACTAACACAAGCGTGGTAATCATTTATCATTCTGCACTCACACAGCTATATAAATAATACGCTCCTGCCTTGCTTCTTGGTGGTAATATTAATGATTTTCTTGTAGTGAATGAATGACCTCACGTATAAAACTCAATGTACGTTGTCACTGGAACGGTTTATGGATAAGACTTGATAAATGTCTTCTTATCCAGAGTCAAGTGGGTCAATTTTTCATTAAATCCGAGGCTTACTTGCTAATTTCGTATGCCACCGTTCCATTCACATCAGTGGTGGTGGAGGATTGTTGAAGTTGTGTGTATTTGGTATATAAAAATTTGAACCCTCGTATTATTGAACTTTCTATTTACATATTCATCGATTGCTACTGATCATACGAGTTTTAATCTCGCCCTGAAGATGAGGTTAATTTCACGTGTCTTTGGTCTGAATTTTTTGTAGACTCGCGAGTTGTCAGCCTTTAATTTAATTTTTCATTCGCCATGCTGGTGGTCGTTTCATGAAATCATAATTAAATAGTTTGTACTCCTATTTCCATCACAGACTCACTGACAGCGATGCGGAGAAGGTCGCTCGAAGGCAAGGGTGGGGTCTTATTTTTAGTAGATTTGTGTGTATTTGTTAGTTGGTGGTATATGGTTACCATTTCGCTTAGTTCGAGCATGCACATGTACGTACGTACTTGTTACTGGGAAAATTTTTAATTCCCTCAGGACTGGATTAGGCTACGGTGACGTTAATGATGTCTAAAATATTGGACAGATTCAAAATAACGCATAGAGAGAAATAGCTGAAATCCTGAAATCTTGCTTTTAAACAAGATTTTAGGCGAGTTTATGAAATCCTCAAACTAACAAAGTTCATGTCCATCGGTCTGTCCCATGTTTCACCCCATTATGCTCATAATGCCGTGAAAAATAATCCGACGAACTGAAGAGAGTAAGGATCAATTCTCTGCGAAGAGAGGTAAAGAGATACCTATGTACATTACTGGTATAAGCTGGTGTTGAAAATTATGTAAATGAAAAAAGTAAGTAGGATAACATCTTTATCGTCGTCGTACAGAGTCGACATGATCTCCGCATCCGATTAGAGATGCATATCTCTTTCAACAATTATGCTTTCCAGTGAAGTGCGTGTTTGCTTAATCAAGTAACGACCACTACTCATATAAACTATTTATAACAGTGCAAATGATAAGCTACAATATTGGTACAATTCTGGGATGCCTCAGCGTAAATAAATTGAAGTAAAGCCTGTAAATTGATATTAATCCTGTATGAATGCTGATAAAGTGGTTGCCGACCTCAGATTATGGGTAGTTAGTGAATAAGTGAATGTAATGTCCTTCCTTGTGACATAATAAGACATTCACTCGTAACGATCCATCATTTCCATGTTGAAAGTTATTGAGATATTCTCATTACACATAGACAAAGTATTAACTTAGGAAATAGATGCCTTGTGGGAAGATGAGTTGTTTGTTTGTTGTGTTCTCCGCTCTCATCTCCAAATTTGGCTTTGAGTTTAATTGGATTTTGAGTTGTTGGCACTGAGATTCACTGATCTAAATTTATTTGAAATATGGACAGTTAACTTCACCAATTTGATCCATAGATCTCTCGAAAATCTACAACTGTTCTGTGGCAATAAGCACAAGTTACGTATTATCCATACTTGTGACGTGAAATTGAATTGGTTTCTGGAGACCAAGTGGGTTTGTTTAACAAAATCTGGGTTGAAATTGACTAATAATTTGGAAATAATTTTAGTTTTTTAGTTGTGAAACTCTTTGATTTTAGTGAGCAACTTTTGCTTCTACATAAGGGTACATATACACCGAGTCCAAATGAAATGAAATCCTCCAAAGTTTAACTCTAACAAGGGCATACGAAAGAAATGCATTAAATCCTGGAAGGAAATACCTGCAGGATAATCCAGCCTTTTTGGGAGCCCTCTGTATCAGGTTGAAGCTTCTTATCAATGGCATAATGTGTTTATTATTGTGTAGTAAATACGTATGTAGCTCTAAATATTAGACAAAAGGTAATCCGCTTCGCAATTGTTCACATGGCACACTTGAGTCTATGTAAATAATTTCCTGCGAGTTTGGAACGTACATATTTTGAATCAGATCCGACCACTCTTTTCGAATGGGCGTGTTGTCCAAGTCAATAAAATTTGTAAGCTCCATTATTTAAGGCGAAATCTATTTTTTGTTGCAGTCGGGGTGGTCTGTTCCGATTGAACTATTGGTTGGACCCGATGTGGGCATTGCGTACCTTACGGAGCGAGCAATCGAGGTAAGTAACACATAATTGTAAATTGCCGTAAACTTAACAAATCGCTTAATGTTTTGCGAAATTAGGCAAGTGCAGAATTTGACCAAAATCTATTCATAATTTGATGCGGTTACGAATACAGCGTCGTTTAAATTAATCTGTCATTAATCTGTCATGTCGTGATTGATGGTATTTTTTGCGATGAGACATTTAAAATTCTTTAATCTTAAGCTATATATTGACCAAGTTAGAAGCAGAACCACAAATGAGAGTAAACCCTATCAACCAAGTAAATGGATTTTTGCTGTTGTTTTGATTAAATTAAGAGAACCAATTTGGTTCATTTTCTTCTTGGCTATTCAAAATAGACATCCCGATTACTCGCATTTCATACACCAGAATTTTCCAGATGAGGTAATTTTCATAAATGGTATTAAATAAGAAAAAGCATTATCCTGTATATTTATGTTAAAATCAAAATGCTGGTTTTTGGCACAGTTACTCAATTCTAAGAAGATTTTGAGTTTCATTTAAAATAGCAATTTAATGTAGTACATTCAAGTATTAGATAACATGCAAGACTTGCTAAATCAGGGCCATATAGTTCCGAATTGTCAAGAATTAAAAAAAACAACATAGTATACACTTTTTTGGCACATACTGCAGCTTATTTGGTTCTTGATGATAAAAGAAAAATTGGCATCATACTTATTGCAATACGGCTTTGAGACATTTAATGTTAGGTTACAAAAGCCTTAACTTTCCGTATTAAATCACGCTCAAATGTTTGGCACTCATTTGTCAATCAATACTATTCTGCTTCTGCAATTTTTCCCCGTGTAACTGTTCAATTCACAACTTTTGAGTCACAACTGCTGCAAAAATGTATTTTGCGTAGGTGGAAGATTTTTTACGGTTTGGTAGCAGCTGACTTGAGTTATGAGGAATGTGCGTAAACTAAGAGCTAACGCATTAAAAAACTACCACAAGCTAATTTTGGACGAAAACAAAAAGTGTCTGCAGAAATGAACGATACTCCGCGTCCCCCGTTCTCTCAGAGATTCTGTTTTAAAGGCAAATAAATATCTCCTCATGGCTGAAATGTATGTGTATCGGACGGATCGAACCACCCATCGGGCTCACTTTCCACGCACATCTCAAAAACCTTTAACTGCTTTTCATTTCGTCTGATACTTGTTCAGAAATAGATCGAATGAAATGAATTTTTACGGCTGAGGAGCCTAAATGTTAGTATACTTTTCTATCTCTGTGTGCGAACATACACAAAATGTGCATGCATATAGTTTGGTCGTTTAACATAAGATCAACACCCATTAACCGATTCTTATGCACATTCCCTTCTTCGCCCATTTAAACCATGTATCCAACAAGTAGATTGTGTGACTGGATGTGAAATATCACTTACTTTGCTTCGTATATTCCTAATTTCCCTTTCGACCAGTCTTCTTATTCCATTTCTGCTCTACGCAGGTTTCTAAAATTCGGCGATGGAGAATATGCATAAAGTCTTAATTTAGAGGAATAATAAACGCCAATTTTACTTGAGTGATATAAAAAAAGTTCGCTTTTGACGAGGCTCAACTATTGTCGGTGAAATTAAACTTGAGTGAATTTTCTGATTCGTCGAATTCTTGAATCTCATCATTTCTCTGCCACACAAAGGAAGACAAACTTGAGAAACCTCAAAAAACAAGGGAATCTCAGTGAGATTTCCACTCAGGTTTCCATTTCCAGCTCTCTGAGCATGATTTATTCAATTGTGTACCCAGTGAATTAAGTTGTTCCTTCATCCTTTGAAGTTTCTCCTTTTTTTGAGAAAAACTTTAAATGCGTGCAACCATGTTTTTATTGAAGAAGAGACGATAAGGTTGCGTACATATGTTGTTGAAGAGTCTTTTGGCAGCAACAAATCCTTTATTTGGAGAAGGGTAAAGAGACTTTTACATTTCTCTGTGCATTATTATACGCCGTGTCGTCCATGGAATAATAGGATGCATAAATGTGTGTATTTTATATTTTGTGCATGTCACTGTCATTCGTGGTGTCTGCTCTCTCTGAACAATTGTAACTCTTTCTAATAGTACCACCGCCGGAGAGATACATTTTTTTGCAAAGCATGGCAGGTCGGATGTCGGAAAGAGTAAAGGGTGAAACATTCAAGGAAACTTTGATAAAACATGACAAGAGTTGCTGAGTCCATTTGCTACAAGTTTTGAGTCGACGACGAGTGTCATGATACTAGTCACGAAAATCATTAAACTCTCGGCAGCTAATGGTAGAAAGACGAGTCGGTTTGGTACCCAATAAACCAGAAAATATACTAAATATGTATGTACTACACAGTAGTGTCGTTAATGGCCTCGTGAAATGAGATCTTTCACTTGCCGGCAAGAATCCACAATTACTTTGTCGGAGAAGTAATATTCGTAGGGATGTAAATGTGTTTGTACTTTTGTTTGTGGTCAGCGGTCATGTTCAAAATCCTTCGTGGTAAAAGGGGTATCAGCATTGTATCATAAAATTTCGTTCATATTAAAAAAGAGGTGATTATGAATAGTTCTATTTGGTTGTATCTCATTCGCAAAGAAAGATCATATCAAAATAAACGGCGTTAACTGTATGGATTTAAGATGTTTTGTTGACATGTCGTCTTCTGACTCTTTGGGTGGTGGTGGAAATCATGCTGCTTAATCAAATTGAAACTTTGCAGGGAGGGACGTTTGTAGTGTTATTCGATTATTTGTCAGAGTAATTGTTGTAGTAATTAGCTCCTGCCTTTGCTTCCAGATCTGCTAAAAATGTGTATTCAATTTCAAGGATAGCAGTCATACGTACAATAGGGGTTATACCGAGGTTGAATCGGTAACACGTGAACGTTTTTGACCTTAAATTACTGGTTGAACGGCTTGGAGTGGAGGTCCCGAACATTTTTTATGTGAAAGCCCTTTTCTCGAGCTACAAGTCGGTATCGGCGATTTCAACTTTTGTACACTGATTTGACCATGGCGAGGTCAAGTTTAGACCACTCGTCTCTCAAAACTTTCCAAACTCCGTCAAAAGTTTTTGGGTGGCGGAGAAAAGATTTTATTTCAGATATCCAAAGCCGAAAAAATTCTTGGGACTTACATAGAGTGACTTAATAGGTATTTCACTATTTTGGATGATTGTTATCCCGAGTGTAGTGTTTAAGTCCTTGGCGTAATCCTGGGTCAAAAGGGCGGTGTGCGATGACGCTGCGTCGTGATGAACTATCACTTTTTTTGTGTCCTAGCCATATAGTTTTGGAAGATGAATCTCCAAAAGCGGTTTTAAAACAAAGTCAATGAAGTACTTCGCAGTTACCTTCATTTTTTTTGGAACTTTGATAAGTGGGAGGAGACCACGACCAGATAATGCACCAACCACTATGAACTTGTTGCAAAACTTTTCCGTGTGCGGGATGGCCAATCTTCTGGAATTATTTTCTTCTTTGGTTGTATAGTAAATTTTTCTCTGACCGTTGGTATCTTTAAAGAAAATAATTCTTCATCCAACGACACTAAAAAGTCACTTTTATCTTTTGTCAGGTAATTCATATACAATTTTTTGCAGGTCAGACGACGATTTTTTTATGCTTCTCGAGTCAGCTGATGGACTCGGATTTTTCTTCGTTTTTGCTTCCACAAAATATTAATTGCTCGTCGCAAACTAGTCTCTGACACTTTAGTTAGACGTGCCACTGCTCTCTGGGGTGGTGGGTTGTCCTTAGAGGTCAATAGGTCAATTTTCTTAAGCACGGGCCGAATTAGCACTTTTCGGACTCGTGTTTGAGGCATGATGGTTGTCCTTTGGTACGAGCTTGTCGTTATTGACCTTCATTTTTAAGTACCTTATGTATCTGGCCTTTCGAAACTCGTTGTCCTTGAGTTTTGAAGTGGTTAATTATGTATGTGTACGAAGAATTAAGTTTGGAAAGTGTTTTTATGGTACCCTCTTACTCTAAGGTCAATGGTCGGGTCATTTTTGAATCTAGAGAGCTAATTTTTTGCTCAGCCCTTGTCAACAATCATATGTCGTTATGCTCAAAATTTGGAACCGAAACTCCAACCCGTTTCGGAGCAATTAAAGATCTACCGCGTTCACGTGTTACCGATTCATCCTGTAGCCGTTATTTGGCTGATTTCAGTCAGAATCCAAAATTCAGATTTATACTTTGATTCAGTCACATGCTCTTTGTTCTTCCGATTCACACATAAGTATTCATACCTCATCTTCTTGAGATAGCGTCGATGATATTTCTCGATTATCTACACATCCAATCGAGACCAATGGCTATGTCGTCCAAGGTAAATAGTGTTGTAATCTAATCCAGCCCTGTTTTCTGAATCTCTGATTTTGTTGAGCGAGACAAGGAAATCGACTGATTAGATGCTCACCCGACTCGCCCACTTTCCCCATGCGAAGATGCAACTGTCTATTTCTGATGTCGATTCGTGAGATCTCATTATTTCATCCGTTCGGTTCATCGTGTGTCGTGCCGTTTGATGATAAAAATATGGGTAGACGTTGTCGTTGTTTGCTTTAGGCATATAACAGCTTCACCATGATTCTACTTGATTGGTAATTTTGATGTGCTCAGATTTTCCCAGGGATTTGTGCATCCTAAATCTTTCAATTGCGGGGTTCATATCCATATTTATATACAAATACAAGTACATATGTAATTATGTGTAGTTTTGTTTAATTTTTAAAATATGTATAGGTCACATTTTTATGCAAATTGGCACTATTATTTTATTTCATGTCGGATAATGGGCGGAAGTAAGTAAAAGGATCACTCGATGGTATACAAATTTACGTATAGAGGGTGAACGTCAATAACATAGCTTGTCATCAGTACATTATATGGGAAAACGAAAAAACTCCATTAAAGATGACATGGTTTTGTAATAGACCACCAGGATCAGAAAACCAGAAGTCTGTACTTCACAATGTTCAAAAATGAGAACAAAAGATTCGGAACAACTCCAAAACGGCTCTGCCACCCTACGAAAATGTGCTTTTTCGGGATCGAAACAACACGCGTAACTTCATTCCTTGGCAAGGAATACATCATAAATGAATTAAATAGCTTGAGCATTCTTTATTTCTCAGCCTCTAGTCTGCTAAACTTGATCAATTTAAGTTCTCGACACTTATTCCTCCAATTTGCATTTCTTGCAAAATCCATCTGGGAATTATGTAGACGTGTTGTTAAGCTGATTCCTGATAATGTGAAGAAGGGGCGTTAATAAGCATTCAATGAATGACTGTTATTATTACGCCAAGCTCTAAATCCCCAGAGGCACCCAACTCGGGTCATTGGTTCTCAATTTATTAATGTTTATTCAAAAGCCCACAAACAGAGTTAAAGCAGGAAATTCGGAGTCGATATCCGCAATTTGTCGAGAGCATTTCACTTCCTACATTTCTCGAGTATCCACATACGAAACCGTGATTGACGCATTGCACAGGTTTGCGTATGACAACAAATTGGAGAGCAGACTGTATACCGCTCGATTCATCATATTTCCTGCTCAGTTCAAGTTTTAAGCTCAATTATTTCCTAGTAGCACATGGTACATCATCGTTATAATCTATTTATAGAGCTTTGGTACTTGACTTTAGGTCATGTTACGCTGTCAAGAATTAAACTGCACATTGTAAAATTTCACTAGGTTCTGAGTAAGCTTATGGAACAAAGGTGACTAATTGTTTTGATTATGGCATTAGTTAGTGAGTAGCTAATGTTTATCGTAAAATTGACATCAGCACATCACTCGTTTAATGTTTATCATTTTACTCATTGTTTGACTCTGACTGATAAAAATTGCTGACATGCATTAAAGAATTTAATAGAACCAGAACTCACCCCCTGATTAGCAACTACTTAATACGCAGTCCATACGTATAACGTGAGAAATTAGTAAATACGTTTTCATTTGGTATAACCTTTTGGTCCGAAATATTGCACAAATAAAATTGGGTTACATTTTCTAGCCTCATGCTTTTAATGAACCCATTCTCATACTTACGCTGAAAGTAAAATAAAGTTGCATGGAACCGTCGATCGTGTTATACGTACGCAGGCGTACGTGTTATGATATGTATGCACATAATCTTCACACTTCTGAATGTCGGCGATTTACATCTTAATCCTTCTCAATAGTTTATGCCGTCATTGGAAGAGTAATAACTTCAACAATTGCATTTTTTATATCAATTAATTTCAGCCGACAAAGGCAGCAGACTTTTCTGCTGTGAAGAGTATCCACACTCTCGTTTCCGAATGTGAAGCTCACAAGAAAGCCGTGTTGCAATTAAGGATTTCTGGTGCATCCGAGTGTCTCACTATTACTTGCCCCTCTCTGACCGAGGCGGAGAGCATGGCCGACCTCATCGACGGTATGACTACTCTTCATTGTATTATTAGCAGTAGTAACCAACTACTAAATTATCACTGACTCTTTGCTATGATTTTGAACAAACGTATGTAACACCATATTTTTTTGTCTGAAGGTTACTGTCGACTCATCTCGCCCTCGCACTCGTCCCTCTGGAGTCGCAAAGGTAATTCGTTATTCATTCCGTGGACTCAATTTCATCAAAAATGCAGCAGGGACGCTCACACTGCCTCCACCCCCACAACGACTACACGCAGCACCAATTCGTCTTGTTCGCTGCGTGTGAGAGTGAGTGAGGGTGTGATGGCATCTCGTCTTTTTTGTCTTTCACACTAAAATGCTCTGCTGTAAACTTGCCGGCATCAGTGAGCTCTAAGAAACTCATTTTATTTCCTGTGTTGACTATCTAGCTGCCAAATATAAATTGAGTCTGAGCAGTAGATCCTATCTCTTCCGATACCCTATATGCACATACGCACATACGTACGTACGCACTCATATGAATAGCGAGTGGCTTCAACTCGGAGAAAAGTGGTTCTGCATCCGTCCTGCTCCTTTCTTTTAATACATTGCGTAAAAGTTTGACATGTATGTGAGAATGCTTGGCGTACGCACATTCCCAGCCGAACTACAGGGTTAAGAGAAATGCATTGTTGATGCGAACAGTGGAGAAAGTAATGCGTCCATTACGCTCATCTGGGAAAAATAGCACTCGCTCGTCGGCTTTTGTATGTATGGCTGAGTTTTTATTACGGATTTTACTGGCCTAAGTTGACTTTGGTCCAGAATTAACTATTGAAGGGCGACGATGACCGCTTGTTTTCTTTGCCAGGAGAGATGGCTGAGTTGGTTGAGAGAGTTGGCCATTAGCGTCCAGCAGAGTACATTATTTTCCTGTTAGTTTCCGTCGTTTGTTTTCACCTCTCCTGAAATCGTGGCTTGCGTACGAATATTTGTTCAATGTTGTGGCGTCTCCGATTTCTGTTTGTCAACTTTTTGCACAGTGTCTTAAATAGTTACTCTCATCCTCAATTATTGCCTATATAGCGAAACAGAGGATGCTGCAATGCTTCTGGGATAGTCGATAAGTTGGGCACTTGCTTTCAGTAAAATGATATCTTCTTCACTAATCCTCAGTCTAAATTACACGAACAGTGTCGTTGTCGTGCTTATGACAGGGACACGTGGCATGTGGTGCTACAGATATTCTGCCTTCGAGTTTCACTTTTCTTATAGACATCAGATAATTGAAATTTGATTAGCGTAAAAACTCATTATTTGTTCAGTGTTATTGAGCCATGTTCGTTTCTCATAACGGAATTAAATAACTCTGCTCAAGGAGTTTTAAAATGTGCAAGAAAAACCTTTATACATATTTATACATGTACATACATACTACCCATTCACTGATCTATCCACGTAGCACTCGTCGTAGTGGATAATGTGCCCCTTAGCAAGGTTCTCAAATCGTCTGAATTTTTTACTTGAGCTTTATTATAGTCGTGAACACGATGATGATGATGATTCCTTCTTGATGATAATGATGAAAACCACAACGAGTGTTCCAAATGTAGCAAGTTGATTGCAGTTTAGCAAGGTTTCTTGACTGAGGATGAGAGTCATTGGGTTGAAGAGGAAGTAAGATTAGAGATTGGAAAAGCGAAATGAAAACTTAATGGAAATTCACCCCCAGAGAACCGTCCTCACTGAGTGTGTGATCTTCTCGGACGAATAATTTTCACGTGGTGCAAAAGCAAGTAGAATTTGGGGGAAATAGTATTTTTTTATTTCGCTGGGTTGAAATACAAAGCTAAATACGTTTACTGTGACTTTGTCTCACTGCTTCAAGTAAATGATCACTGATGTTTATATGTGAGATTTTTTACCCAATTTTTATACATATGTACACATTTTCTAATCTTGTGCATAAATTAATATACAAGCTGCCACATTACGGAGCTGCCCTTGCCTCAAAGGTTCGACTACCTTCATTTATTGCATGTTTTCAATTCCAACGTTCATGCATATGTATAGTTTTAGATTTTGGCAAATATTATCTTTCTGAGTCGATTATTTTTACAAAATGTACTTATATTTGACATGGTATTTTTACCGAATTTCGTATAGATGTTCACCCACCCAGGGGTAGAAGTCTAAGTCGTAATGCCAGCGGCTCCAATTCTCCAGTGGACAGTCGAGATTTGCTGGACTACGCGGAAATTGTGGACGAGGATGGAGACTACAGCGTTCCTGCAAGTAAGCGAGTCACAACCACAAATGTATTAAATGTCGGACTTATTTTAATGTGCTGTTCATTCGTTATGATAGCGCACGACTACGAATTAAATCGAATGAATGTGGAGTTGGGAGATATCATCGGCCAGGGCCAAGTAAATCTATTTTTCTCGTCTCTGACTTTTATTTGCATTATTATGTAACGTGTCTCTAAGGTCGTGTGTGATACCCTCACATGTATAGTTTGGCGATGTTCACCAAGGGATTTATCATACCAAGGACAATGAACAGGTTCCCGTGGCGGTCAAAACTTGCAAATTGGATGCCGATTCTGCGACTACGGATCGCTTTTTGGAAGAAGCATGTGAGTACCATTTACATACGCCTTACGTAAATATTTGCTACTGCATATCTACTTCGTATGCTTATTTGTCTGAATAAGCACACACTTAAATCGAACTTGGTTTAAAACCCGAACAGACATAATGCAACAATTTGACCACCCTCACATTGTGCGATTGATCGGAATCTGCTCATCTGCTCCAATATGGATTGTAATGGAATTGGCGGAATATGGCGAAATGAGGTTGGTAAAAGTTAACCAAGAAGCCTAACGAATAACTTCACATGCATTTTGTACTTTCTCCACGAAACGTAAACCTGCTTTCTCTGCCCCCGACAGAGCCTTTCTTCAGAGGAATCGACTAGTGTTGGACTTGGCGACGCTTATTTTGCACTGTTACCAACTTTCAACGGCGCTGTCCTATCTCGAGTCCAAGAAGTTTGTTCACAGGTGAGTTGTGTGTTGCAGTTTAATGGATTTGATGTTCATGAAAGGGAGTGGCTCCATTGTCATAATCTTCATCTCCGTCCGTGGTTACTTGACTGACACTGCAATGAGCTTTTTGTTTTATTTTTCCGCAGGGATATTGCGGCACGCAATGTTTTGGTCTCAGCACAAGATATGGTAAGCGTTTATAATAAATTGGCTATAGAAATCGTTGGTAGAAAGATCACACGGACATTAACATGGGCATTAACTTCACGCGTTTTACACACTTTTTTTTACTTATAGGTGAAACTCAGCGACTTTGGACTTAGCAGGTATGAAAAAAGAAAGAGCCAAATTCGGCTTGTTTTTATTGTTAATAAAGAAAACAATAAGCTTGTAAAAATGACTATCTTAATTCATTCCCATAATAATAATGATAGCCGTGATTGATGTTGGGAAATAATTTATACGCAGGTGGGTGTCCGAGGACCAATGCTATTACAAAGCCTCGAAAGGGAAACTCCCGATAAAGTGGATGGCTCCCGAGAGTATCAATTTTCGAAGGTTCAGCAATGCTAGCGATGTTTGGATGTTCGGTGAGTAATTTGATTTCATAAGTGGTCACAGTTGTCATCACACACCAAAAACATGTCACACATCCCATTTAAACCATCTCGCTCAATTTGTACTGATTGGAACCCTTATTTGCGTGTAGGTGTCTGCATGTGGGAGATTTTGATGTTCGGTGTGAAGCCCTTTGCTGGTGAGAATGTTATAGTAGTATCCATTCTTAAAACGAGATGACGGGTTAATTTTGTGATGCAATATTTTAGGTGTTCAGAACAATGATGTGATAGGCAAAATTGAAAATGGAGAAAGACTCCCCCTCCCTCCAAACTGCCCACCGCGACTTTATGCCCTCATGTCCCAGGTACATATGTGTATTTATTGTAATGCTTAAAAACCTAAATTTATATTTATTTGTATAATTTCTCAGTGCTGGTCATACGAGCCGTCCAAGCGACCTGGATTCCAACACTTGAAGGAAACCCTATTGTAAGAATACAAAATGTTGAACCTTGTTTAATATTTAGCCATAGTTTATGTTTTTTAATGAGACGCGTCTTATTTCAGTGAGATCTTATTGGAAGAACGTCAACAACAGAAGGACATGGCTCGGAGGGAGAACAGACGGTTACAAACAATGTCTTGGGGTGCGTATTCTGGTTTTCGAGATGCATCTTCCCGGTTTGATTTATCACGATTACCACATTTTTATTCATTTCAATATTAGCCTCCTCCGCTTCTGATGAGCAAGCTCCACCTAAGCCTCCAAGGATAGAACGTCCAGTTTTAGGAGACCAACAGCAACAACAGGCAATGACAACGTACATCGTAGCACAGAACCCGGAAATACTGACTCAACTAATGCGAGAGAGTGAACAGCGAGGAGTCAACCCAGCGTCCATGTACTCCACCCCGGCGTCGGCGTTCAATACGATAGCGGTAGATTTTGTGGGTGGGATTGGGGCATCACTGGGCTCACCTAAGAGAAAACTCAAAACCAAATTATTTCCCAATTTATCTGTCGATCATCATCATCATCATCATCATCGTCATCATGTCGGGACAGGGGTTGATGGGGGCGGAACGGCTCCAAATAATAATCAGTTCTTGACGGACGAGGCGGCAGCAGCAGCTTCGACTGCTTTGCTCAATCACAATTGCAGTACCTTATCCAGTCTTGGAACGATGAGCACTAGTTCTAGTTCTGATATTTGTAATATGTCCTCCAACACTCCTGGTGGCTCCAAACCTGCCTCCAACTATGGAACTTTAGACAAGGTTTCTACTCTTCATCCAGTTGTGCTTACCTTTGTTAATTCCTTTTTCTGTTCACTTTATGATGACGTAGTTCGTTGAATACGTACAATATTCTCTGGTTTTAAAGCAGATCCCGTCATGCATGAGGCGGACTGCAAGTTGAGTAAATAATGTAGTCCCATTTTGTTTTTTGATGTAGATTTGTTGATCGCATTTTTGAGATTTTGTTCAATGCCACGTACCAGCAAGTACGTTGAAGGTTGATTAATTTTGTTGATTTGGTTTTGGTTTTTGGGTGAGTTCTTTGTAATAATTAAGTAATCGCTTGGTGCCATGAATTTATTCGCTCGTATGCATATTTAATTCTGTATGGTGGAATATGACATTATTATTATTGGATGCTTTCAAGTCTACAAGCGCTTGTATATGTAGCCATGAACTAATTTATTCGAATTGTCTCAATAGGATCTCAAAAACCGGAGCTTGGATGGAACAGAGGTAGAACTTCGGTACAAACAGTTGGAAGACAAACTACGCGAGCAGCAAAAACAGTCTGAAGAAGATAGTCGATGGCTGGCAGAGGAGGAAAGCAATTTGGTAAGTACGAGTAATAATCAGAGAAAGTTGAGAGAAAGTGTATTATCAGAGCAACATCAAGGCGGCTTTCGTCACTTTTCGTGTCCACTTTTATGGGGTTTCACTCACCCTCTGTTCATACCATGTTCATACTACACAAAAAACTTACTTGCTAAACCTATAGCAGGATATATTGACCTTGTTTTGTGGATTTATATTTGCAGAGGAAACGATTATCTATCACGAACAGCGCTTCAGATCGTTCTGATAGCGAATGTGGAGATGTTCCAAATGGAGTGTCTGGATTTTCCCAAATTGGTGATTCCATATCATCCTTGAACAATGGGGCAAGCAGCTCTGACCCCAAACTGCTCGTTGTGAAGGTATGTTTGCTCATACGATCTTCTAAGCAGCTCAATCAAATTAGCGCACAACATGTTCTCCTTTCATTTCTAGAAAATGGAACCCACCCCGACTGCAGACCTCGATCGTGCAAATGACAGGGTTTATGAGGTAAGAGAAACTTGAATTTATTTAATTTCGTATACTTTTTGGCCCCAACTAAATATTTACATACACACTCTGATTATTCCGCAGACTTACTGGAGATCAGAAATACCGAGACAGGTATGTACCTGTCTCGGTATTTCATAATTAATAGTCCTCATAATTTTATTCAGTTTTCCTTCATGTACAAAAAACCTCAAATAGTTTAATCTTTCTTAAATTGGCACAGCATTGGCTCAAACCCCCAAAATAACTTAACAAAGTCACAGATCTCTCCCCAGGAAGTAGAATCAAGAAGACTTATAGTAACACACTTATTTGTTGAATAACCTAGATCAGGCTTAGGTCGAATGGGATTACGCAACCCTAACAAGTATGCAACATAACCTGCAATAATCATTTTAGCCTCAATCGTCTTTGTCTTCTTCTTCTCCTTCTCATCATCATCACACTTGGCGAGTAGGTAGCAGGTCAAGGTGGGAGCTTTTACTGGGGGTGGATAGATACATGATTCTTCTGCTCTACTTAACTCTCTATCTCTCTGCCGTAGTCCATCTATCTCCAATTCCCTGTCTTTCTGGCGCTTATCCGTGATTCGTTTGTACTCACTAGACTAGCACCATCATTTTTGCCTCCTCTGAGACGGTCCTTGAAGTCGGGGGTATCACTCCACCCAAAGTACCACATGTTCCGACTCATGATGGCATATAAAAACGACTTCCCTTTGCCCGGTTTTTGTAATGCTGCTGCTTCTGTTGCGGTAGTGATGAAGGTGGTGGTGGTGGGAGTGGTTGTGAAGGTGCTGGTGAGGAAGTACTCTCCTGGAAACGGATACTTGACCTGCACCCTCTCCTCTGGTGTCAAGTGGCGACGAATTTTGAGCTCTATCCCCAACTCCTTCAGTCGCGCATCAAGCTCACCCTCCATTCCGTAACAGAGGGGGATGAGATCATCCATATTAATGATGGGTTGAGTTCCAGGAGCGAGTTTCATGAACATTCCGATTGTCTAAAATTACATAATGATAATGTTAAAGTGACAACTCTTTACTCAATAATGCAGATTTTCGGATCTATTTCACTCACAGACTCTAATGACAACTTTTTGAGAGCGTCTCTCTCGTTGGCAAAGTGTGTCATGGAAATTGGCTTTGGAATGGGACGAGTTTTTAAACCTTTCGTGGCACAATAATTTAACCAAACCGAGTTACTAGTACACACACGACCAAGGTTAAATTCCGCCACATCATCCTTCTGTTCGTCGGATGCAGTTAATTTAACGGAGAGTGCAAATTTCACGTGAAGTTGGACCAACACGTCTCTCCGATTATAGTCGGTTACTTTCACCACGGTGTAAACTGGCTCAGATTGATGATGAATACATTTTGGAAAGACATCAGTTGAGAGTGTTTGCTCGTACTGGTAGCATTCTATATAATAATATTGACACATTATTTTAATGAATTTCACAAACAATAATTAATTCACATGAAATATACTCACTGGGTTCAGTACAAAGCCTGAAAGCTTGATAAACGCTTACTCCGTTCGAAACTTTTGGTTTCTCTACACACAAATGAATAAACCCGGTAGTGGGGGCTTTATGAATGATGAGACTCCGTCCAGGCTTATCAATGACAGGGACACGACCACCTTTCTTAAAAATCTCGGTAAAAAGAAGTTCCCTTTGCTCATCAGACAGTCCCACGTCTTCTTGTGTCAAGATAAGTTCTGGGGACGCCTCGTCTACGTTCAGACCGGCAGAGGAGGTAGACTCGACACCAGCCAAATCCAGTATTATCCGTTTAATGAGATCTACCCCTTCACCTATATAGCATCATGTTTATTATAATTTAGTAATCAACCAATAATAATGTTCACCCACCTTTTGTTATTCTTCCGACTCGAGCATCCGATGAGACCGGATATTTGATTTGAAACTCGTCAGCCAAATCCCCCTCTTTAATATTAATTCCCCTCCCATCTCTCAATCGTCTCTCTCCCTTCACCTCCATATCCTCCTCTTGAGCAACGAATGACCACTGCATGGGTTGAAAATCCTGGTCGTTTCGAGCAGAACTTCTGGCGGTTTCGGTCTTTCTCTTCTCCTTATCTTCCGTCCCAGCCGGATTCAGTTGACCAAGGGGAGCGAGAGGATGTTTCGCTTTCTCCACGGTTAATAGTTTGTCACGGGTGGGTAGAAGTGGCGCAGGGGTAGGCTTCACTTCTTTGGCACTGCAATACACAATAAAAATATACATTTGAATAATAAATTATTATTGGGAGGAGGAGGAAAAAACTCACGTCTTTTGTTCAGCAGCAGGATTAGAAGCTCCAGCAACGTTCTTCTTCTTAACCACACGTGGTCTCTTCCTCTGACTTAATTGGAAGTCGTCGTCGTCTGACCTTGACCCGCCCCCCTCCATTATCAATTACAAAAAAATGAAAGTAAATAGAGCAAAAAAATAAAGTTGTTGGTTGGTTTGGTGGGCCGGTGAGTAGAGTGAAAGGAGGATGAGTTCTATAATGAATTCCCACTTGTGATGACCGGGGTATTGTAACACACGCCCCAACCTTTTCTGGTTTTGAATATCTCAAACTTTCCAATAACCTAAATTGAAAAATGCAAATGAATTGTTCCAGTGCACAACCACCGTCGTAAAAGCAATCATGGAGCTTACTCAGGGTGTCAATAATGGTCAACGGTCGGGGAAAGTTGAGTACCTGGAACTGGTTAGAAATGTTGGCTTGGAACTAAGATCACTGTTGGGAAGTGTGGATGAGGTGGTGGATTTCTTTCCAGAAGTTGCAAAGCATGAGGTTTGTATCAGATTAAAGTTTTTTTTATGAACTAGTGCAATAATGATGACAAACTTTTCACACTTAAATTTTAGGTTGAGATGGCTCATCAAGTTTTGAGCAAAGATATGAAAGAGGTAAGCGAAAATTTATTGTGCACTACTGTCATTCTCTCTTGACGCTCTGGATTATATTAAATGTTGGATTTATTATTGCCTTTGCAGTTAGTCAGTGCTATGCGCCTCGCGGAAAAGTACAGTTCCACAACTCTGGGTGAAAACTGGAACCGGTTAGTTCGGTGTCAGATTTTGACAAGTAGTTGAAAAATTTGGCACTAATTTATATTTGTATTCGTGCAGGGGAATGCTATCTGCTGCTCATGTTCTTGCCATGGACTCTAAAAATCTTCTCGATGTTGTTGATTCTATACGAATTCGGTGTCCAGAAGTAGAGCAATTTCTTGCCAGTAAAGGATCTGTTGCCACAACATCTTCGTCTATATCCACACCGACTGGTCAAGCTCCTTCCGTATCTCCAATTTTGAATTCGATTTCGAGCTAAACTCACGATATATATATGTAGCAGTTCTTAACGGATCAATTGATTAAAGCACAAATTGAGAACTACAATCGAGAATTCCAAAAATTTCCAATATCATGTAATCAATCAATCGTCCGCAGATGAATACATATGTGTACGTATAGTACGCATGTATTTCTAACATCACTCAAATAGTGTTCCGTTTATGAAAAAATGAATGTACTCAAATTTAATGTTATTCAGTACTCGACCAATTCAGAAGATATACTACTACGTAATACCTTCCCAAGCTTTCTAGTAAAATGTGAAGTTGTTTAGACGAGAGATTGTTGAAATGCTAGTCTACCATAGGCTAATTATTTAACCTAAACAAAACAGAAGCATCCGAGAATTTATGCCGCATTGTTATTAAAATCATTCCAGATTGTTAGTAGTGGATCGACGATGGGTTAAACACGAGTCACACACAACAACAAGTTTAAAAGTTAAGCGAGTGGAAAAATTAAATGGAATTGAGACTGACCAATAAAATAATTTTTATTTATTTCACGTCCTGTCTAGTATTATAGTAGCGTCTAGTGTTAAGACTTCAATGTATTAGGATGTGGAGGCTATATGTTTGCGTACCTAATTTGTCATGTAATTGTCGCTAAAATAACAAAATTTACACTGTTAGAAGAATAACGTACAAATACTATACGTTGTTAAACCAATTATTATGAGATGTGCCCATTTATTAATCACAAGTAGCAAGTGAAACGAAATAAAGATTTTGCAGTCGTCGTGTCATCGAGTAGTCGTATTAACACTTAATTAATCTATTCGATGAAAATAATTGCGTTTATGTCCATGTTTTGTTAAAACAGACGTTATCTTGTCTTGTGGTTGTGATCTCGGGAGTAAATAAGTCATATACTATGTAATACCGGCGTCTCGCTACATCTATGTTCGAAATAAATCACCCGTTTCCAAAGTTCAAATTTTACACTCAACGTTTCTTTATTAAGTTACGTAGAATTTTTTACAGCGATTGATTTAATATTAGCTAAATTTGGGGTGTGTATTATTGGCATATCTACGACATCTTTTTGGAGACAATATAACGATGGCCGTTCAGTCGACTATACATAACTTTTCATTCGAGGTTTATGATGTCCAACTAATAAAGACGTTACTTATTAACAAGGAATTAGAAGATATAGTTTAGATGACTCGGTTTTGTCTATTTGAATTTGAATGGATCTTCGGCCTTTGTAAGCTTAAACCAGTATCCGCACTCGCAGCGCTTCGGTTCGCCCTTGTACAACCACATGTAGTTAATGTAGAAGGCGTCCTCGTGACACACGCACCCAACGAGTCGCTCCGCATGGAAGGAGGGGATCAGAGTGGGCTGGTCCTTCGTCCCTGCGGCTCGCTTCAATACCTTCATCATGAAAGGGTCCTGCAAATCAAGGAAATGGTCGCATGGTAAATATGAACTTAACCTGGACAATGGACTGCTTATATGTATAAGAAATTTATAATTTGCTTGTCGCCTTCTTACATCGTTTCCTCGAGCGATAGCTTCCAGTTCTTTCCGCTCCAAACCAGTTGCGTGATCCAAGGGGTCAGGCATCACTTAAAAATGAAATATAGAAACATTAAAAGTATATTAATTATAAACTTCTCTAATCCATAATAAATCAGTTTTAGAAATTCGGCGATAAACTTTCTTTTAATAACTTTCTATTAGTATTTGTGAGATCAGTTTGACCAAAAACTAAAAACCACTCACAACTCGAAGTATTTAACTAGAATTTACGTTAATGAACAATTTCGAATTTCATATTAATTAATCCATTTTGCGACTTACATTTGTCCGCCGCTCGAACGGACGATGTGTGAAGGGACGAAGCTGCGAAGGGAGGTCGCGCCCTCGCGAGGGTCGCAGCTGTGCGCGCAATCACTCCGGCCATGATCACCAGAACCCTTCTCGGTGTTTCAAATTTTTTAAAGACGAAGAAATAAGAAGGGCGAGAAAAATCTTGGATCTTTTTCAACCAAATCACACGTTCACGGTTTATTTGGGTTTAGTTTTATGCAGAGCGAACCATCTACAAGAGTAAAAATCAACTCCGCTCACCGCACCGCCAACTTTGTGCTTGCATTTCCAAATGCAATTTGGTAAATAATATCGTCGACTTGTTTAGTTTTCAGAATTTAAGGATACTTTAAAGTTTTTGGAAAATTACTTTAAGAAGGTAAGCCTATGGTCTACTAGTAGTAATTGTTTGTTGTTATTGTTGTCTGCCTCCCCGGTCTTCTCATTCTCAAACATTCATTAATAACGGGAGACAAAATGTGTCTTTTTCAGGTTCAACGATGTCTGGAGGAGAGCGGTATAACATTCACAGCCAGTTGGAACATTTACAGTCAAAGTACATTGGGACAGGTCACGCGGACACAACGAAGCACGAATGGCTTGCAAACCAGCACCGCGACACCTACGCGACGATCCTGGGTCATTTTGACCTGCTCAACCATGTCGCCATTGTGGAGAACGAGTCCAAGGCCAGAGTCAGGTTTAACCTCGTGGAGAAGATGCTCCAACCATGTGGACCACCCCCAGAAAAACAAGAGGACTGATAACTATAATTTATTCTTCAATGGCCCATCCTTGTGGTTTTGATATGGATAAAGTATTCATTAATTAAATATGTGCAAGTGTTTCATTCATAATAACAATCTGTACATAAGATTACGGTAAAATTTCTGTGTTGTAATATTAGTGTCACAGAATGTACAATTTCACCGTTTTACGAGCATTTTATATGTAATATGCATTATGTTCTGTTCTTAAAATAATTAATTACATAGCTGATCAATTTGAAGATATATTTAAATTTTCATTAGTTATAAGCTATAAATACCTATTGTTTTTCAGGATGTTCGTGCTTATGTCAAATAGAAGGTCATTAATATAATTCAATAAACGAAATACCAATAATGTTTACTGTATTTTTGAACTTATGCAACTTTTTGCTGGTTGGACATATTGTTGGTTATCATGCAACAGAAAATCTTTATTTAGACTTTGACCTATTTAGTGCCCCCAAATTAGATTTAGTCCAGGACACTTTTTTCTAAAAGAGTATACAGATATGGTGACGATTTAGTGGGTCGAACAAGAGATATTTCCTGACGGTATATTATATTTATATGCATACTTCACGAATTTCATTCATTATTAAAAATCGGGCAAGCACTAAAAAAGCGCAGTGCATGAGCTATCACAAACTTTTTAATATTGTTCTAATTTACCTTGACTCAAGTCGGAGTGCATATTTCATTTTTGGTGAGAAGGACAATTAGAGGCCTACACATAAGTGCAAGGTCATTGCAAACGTAACAAATTACGACTTCGACATGGATAGTTGTCCTTGGATTTGGATAGAAAACTCAAAGTTTTTATTTGCTATCATCGCATGATTGACCCCGGTGCATGTAATTGTCAACAGCTAGACTCTCCAGCCAATCTTCATCTATCATGTTAGCCCATAAATTATGTAACACCAGACTTTATCGTTTGGGAACGTTCATAAAATATGTAACGCAAAGTTTTCAATTTTTTACCCCTCCCCCTTTGCAACTGGTTACTCTCTCCCTTTAACATGTGGCGCAAGATGAGCAATAGCCCGACCCCCCGCTGCGTTATGTATTTTATGAACGTTCCCTAACACGGCCGGATTGGCGTAACCCGATAATCACCGGGCAATCTAGTGATTCTAACAGTATCGTCGTCCTACTCGTCATCATCTTGAGAAATGAGATGATATTCTACAACTGAGACTCGAATTATTGGAAAATACGTGTAGAAATTAAATGGGAACGAGCACATATGAATGTTGGAAAGTGAGCATTTTATTTTACGAGTTTAGTCTCATGTTGAGGGCCGTGTGTGATGATGAGGGCCGGAGAAAGTGGGGTGGTAGTAAGTTTCTCCTCGTGTGAGAGAGAGAACTGGGCTACCCGGGTGCAGTGGTGTCAGTGGGTCGGTCGTCTGTAATTATGGGGAGAAAGGCGGGGAGGCTGAGGCTCTGACGTGGGTGCTGACGTCAACTCTCGCCCTCTGACGTAGACGCCACTTTCTCCCCGCCACGAGCTCCCTCCACTCCCAGGTCATTGGCTAGGCCGACTTTCTCCACAACAAACCAACACCGCCTCACCCAACAAATGCCTCCACCACGCCAAGGTCCACCGGCCTTCCTTCCAAATTAACACTATGACATACATACACTCACAAAACATGGCCTCGTACATGCATGCATGCAAACACTGTCCTGAGTGAGTGGTGTCGAGTCTTGTTCTAAATTCGAGTAAATATGGCAAAATGAGATGGTGGTGAGAACATATTATGCAAGCTTGAGTCACGAGACCCTTCTGCGCTCTTGATTATTTGTGACATTATGGCATGGAGTCAATTAGATGGGATGTATGATGGGTGACGGATGGGCTATGGCTGATTTCAGAGGATGAAAGTATGGTGAAAGCTGAAGGGTATCACATTTCTCTTCGCTTCAACTGACACACATAGATGAGCGTAAGTATTCAGTATGCAAATGCACAATAAACATGATCTACTTGAGTGAAGCTTGGATAAGGGAAAGTCTTGAGTTTACAATTAGTAATGTTTCAATTATTTAATAAATGGTGCAACATAAAGTTCCTGATACTTGAGAAACTTTGGAGTTGTTTGAAGGACGGCGAAGGCGATATGTCTGCAGCAGAAGGCTGCATGGCTTTGAAGGAATTATAAGGGATCATTGTCTGGCTTCGTCTGCCACATATTTCCTTGCTTTTGTATATGCATCTATCCACCGTATACACGGAAGTATGTATGTATCTGTATGTTATTCCTCCGAGCAGACCTAGAGCCTGAACACACAGAAATACCCGCACCCGCCTTTGACGAACCATTGGAAATGCCCGGATTTCGTACTCGTCCTCCCTTGCTGAAGGCACGGGGAGAGGAGCCCACTTTCCTTCTACCCTTCTACACACACAGCACTTCCTGCTCCGTCGTGCTGCCTGCTGAGGGAAGGAGGCCAAACCACAGTCATCTCCACCTTGGAGGAATTTCACCGAATCTGGTGAAAGTCGAGCTGCCCGGATAGGCTGTTTCACCAAAGGGTTCCCGTCTTCAGGTGACTCTGGCAGAATGTGCACTCCGACCAGAGATCCTTCGCCGTCTCAAATTCCTCTCTCGTTTTCTCCTCCATATCACAGCCCAATCTTCACCAACACAGCTTTCACCAGGACTTTCACCAACACGACTTTCTCCGCGGCTGGCTGGACCTTTTTCCACCCATTCGTCTGCTCCTGCTGCTGCATCACATCTCATGCAGTCTGACTCTACACATTCTCGATCTGCAGACAGCGTGAGTGGAATGTGAAATGCACTCTTGGTCGGTTGTATCATCCAGTTTCACAATAGCATCTTTGGCTAAATAGTATATTAATATAAATTATAGTTTATATAAATTTTAGGCTATAAGTTGAATAAGTATGGCTTGTGTTTATGTATATATTCACTTACATATGTATTTACATACATATGCGTAATTTGTTATTTTTCTTCTTGATGATTATTTGAAATCTTAATTATTTTTGCATATTGTTTTTCTTTATTGGGTTTAATAAAATTGCATATTTATGCAACTCATAGACCAACGATTTGTTGGTTTACTTTGGAAAAACTAATCATCGGTACATGGAAAACCAATCATATACCCAAACTAATCGTAGGTACGGGTGCAGTGTATTGTTTGTTGAGAGTATTTATTTTGTCACTACATCCTCCAGTTTTGAGCATGATTTCCTCATTTCTACGTATTTTACCCAGAAGTGAAGAAATGGGAAATTGCATGCTAGCTCCTAATTTGCAATTCTACAGGCTGGTGCTTTGATTGAAATTTAATTGATTGTAATCCAATCTCCCGTCATCTGAATGGATGACAATTGAAAACTTCCATGGATGGTGAAAACTCAAGAATCCGATATTGTTGCTCTCCAAGCCTTGCAAATGAAAATTGGAAAGTCGGCGTTCTTGCTCAACTTGGTTTTAGGCTGCATGCTCATCATAGCAAATAAGAAGTGGTGGCAGTACTAACGAGGCCGTGTGGAATGAGAAGAGAGCGTCAGCATGGGAGAACATTTTACTATTGTACCGAAAACCCTTTAGCCGAGTCCTAAAGTCGGTCCGAGAAATTTCATGGGTCCGCTGACTCGGGTTCCCTCTTCCTCCTACAAACCATGCACAACTTGGTTTTGCTGGGCATCCACTCACCAAACCCCACCGAGTACGAGGGTGTCACATTACGTACCAGGATGATGAGCAGCAGTACGTTGCAGTTGGTGGAAAGTTGTGAAAGTTGTGCATGCCCCGGAAAAGCCTATTGTTTTACGACGGGACTCTCCAATTTCCATACACATTGGTGCTCAGGAGATATTTGGTCTGGCCCAGGGTGGAAAGTGGTGGGATATCGGATGGCTTATACGGTTGGTGGGACATGGCTGGATCAGATGGATTGAAGGTTTGTTGCATGTTGTTGGAGCCAAATGTTGAGCTAGAGCAGCAGCGACTGCTCGAGATATCGAGCAGCAAAAGCAATGTTGGTAGGAAAGAGTTAGAATTCGGGCTCCCCGTTAGTTCCCACTGTGGAAATGTGGAGATCAGTCGGTGGAGCCAGGCAGAAGAAGGACTTTTCCCCGTTTTATATATTTTCTCATCCTTGTAAACGCATTCCTCGGACATTACAACTCTCATTCCATGCCAAGAAGTGCAAACGGCAAGTCCTGCTCTCTCCCACAGACTCGACCCAGTCCAACTCTCCGGACTGCATTTCTTCACTCTCTTCCTCCTCGCCATCAATTTCAAATTCCAAACAATAACTACAAGCTATCATTCATCATCAGCAGCAGCATTACAAGTCTGCATATATTTTCCTCCTCGTCTCCTTAGCGTTCCCAACTCTCCTCAACTAAATACTTACACATACACACATCAGCCTCTTTCTTAAGCGTGAGAACAGTGTGACGCCAGAATAGTATTGCCATACATATTATCATTATTATTGCACCATCCCGTGTACTCCAACTAAAAACTGCTAAATGACCTTCTCTCACTTCATCCACCACTACTTTGGCAATATCGTCCTCCTCACTGCTTTTGTGCCGCTACACATACCGCTGTTTTACTCTCGACATTTGATTCATAGAAATCTCTTGCAATAAAATAATATTACACGTTCCTCGTTGACCAATCTGCCATCACTCAAAATTCTTACGACTCCAACAAAGCCAGAGTTCTTGCGGGGTTATGTTACATACGTCGTGGACGGGTTTCAGACACACGGACCGAATGCACCACAGTAATAACTTAATAATTACTGGTGAAACGTGCTAAGTGAGTGTAGCTGCAAGTGAACATACTGATTTTCTACGCGAGACTCCAGTCTTGGTGCAGTATTGGTGGTTATTTACAAGACCGGATCAATTCTTGTGGTCATTATTATTTACCAAACTGGCGAGACCTGATTGATTCAACTTTCATCAACCGATAATAAAAATTGAAACGTTCGTGATTCATCTGACCTGAAAAGTGGAGATATTATTGTAAGTACCAATTTGTTATTTTTAAAACTTGGGTCGCGCTGCATGTAAATTAGTGGTCGCTATCTATTACTTATTGTTAGTAAGTAAAGCAAGCGTGGTGTGCTCAATCTCAGGAAGTCACTATCATCTCTCTCTTCATGGCTTGCTGAACTATTTTGAAGGCCTTGATTCATACTATTGACAGATCACGGTGTACGCAAAATTATTTGCACAATTTTAAAAATAGTTTCAAATGCTGCATTTACCAGTTTTTGCGACATCATCAGAGTAATAATGCCTGTAAAGTGGCTGAGGAGCGAGACATTGGCAATATGCCTATGCAGCATTATTCTATCGGCAAATGTCGAATGTGAGAAATGTACTCGCATTAATTTACATATTATGTCGTTAGTGTATTGAGTTAGATATAAATATATTTATTTTCATGAATATATACCCACGTTGCAACTTCCCGTCACCCATGTGGCCATCCAACAAATGTCTGTAACAGCAAAAATCCATTGTCGCCAATCAGCATCATGCCCATTTGTATGTAATGCGAGCACTAAATTCATGCCAAAATTTCAACGCGATTTCTACGACCTATGCCAAATTTTCAGCATTCTGTGAACAACTTCATTTAACACAAATCAAGCGAGATCAACTCCCGATCGTTGTGAAATACTGACAGGTTTTCCTTATTGCTTGGTGCAATGTAGTGCCTTAGACAATTCTAGGTACGTACCAACAACAACACACACACGTAGACGGTCACTGCGATTATATTTATAAATACATACACACCACACGCACTCGTGCTGAAATGATGTGGTCGTTCGTCCTGACAGTCTGGATAGAAAATAGATCCGATTTTTTCCCCACTGCTGCTGATTTGACTGTGCGTTTTCTGCTACAAAAAATAACTATTGCGAGAATTGGCATCTCTTTGAGTCGTCTCACGCAATCTGCGAGACACGTTTCTTTCATAGGAACCATTTCATAAAGCCATTTAAATTCAATTGAATAGATCCCTGATTTGGCGTTGCCTTACAAGTGCAATTTCTGCTTTGTTAAATATGTAGCAGAGCAGAATCATAATATTTATATGTATAGTATACGTTCTGAATCTGACTACAGTTTAAAGTGCATAATTGTGCTCCAACATATCGTGCCATTAAAGGTAATCTGTCGTCCTTCGCTCACCCGAGTGCATGGTTTCTGTTGTGATATAATTTGAATTAGTTCACAATTGAGCGAAACACCACTTTGGTCTGTTGAGTGTAATTGAATTTTATTGCGGCATGATTATTCCATTTACATCAATGAGGTTAATCCAGACTACGCATTGCATGGCTTCGTTCCGAAAGTTCATAATTACTGTTTCGTCGTGCTTTCGCTGCTGCCAGAATTTGAAATTGAACTTGAATACTGACACATTGCAACCAACGAATATTTATAGGACTACGTAGCAGGCAACTTGTGCAACCAACCTGTTTCTCTGTTATCTAAATACGATGGTAATAATAATCGTAAACGAAGGCAGGCATGGATGTGAACAAGGTTGATAATTTCCATTCCATTTATTGCACTTTATATTATTCGATTAATTCATTTAAATCGTTCATAATTCTCTCCTTTTAAAATTAATTAAACTACGTAGCAGCCGACCAAGATGTGACTTCACTCTTATTTGTAGCAAAAATCACAGACTTCACTATAATACAACGAATACTTTAGTACTGAAAAGTGTAAACTCTATCCAGTGTAGATTTAAAATGGTAAAAGTGGATCTACATACATTTTAGCGTTATCTAGCTTCGGATTTCGGATCGATTGCGGTGGACTTTACTTATTTGTTTAACCGTCCGTTCGCATCATTTTGTTATTGTGCATGTAGTGATATGTGCGGATAATTGGACGACATGTACAGCGTGTATATCTATGAATGTACATATGTGGAGCATTCTGTTAAGAGGTCACAGTCCAGTTACCAGCGAATTATGGAACGCCACACTTTATTGCCCTACAACATTCTCACTGTTGTAACACAGAAGCATGTTAATAAATGCCTTCAACTTTTCCATTAACGTGGTGATCAAGTTGACAAAACATAAATACATCTACGTTATAGCATCATAAGAACTTATTATGAGTGTCTCTCGTCGAAATGGTGTTTGCTGATATTAATTGGTTCATGTTAAACAGCCAAGGTTTCCAGTTATTGAACTTTAGCCTGGAGCATTTCTAATATGCATACGTAGTTCTATACGTATATGTAAAGGACCATAATAATAATATGATAGATCAACGCTTGTTTACTTGTGCGACATTTAAAGCTTCATCCATCACGGCCAAATTTAATTGCCACTAAACAATAAAGCACCAGTATTGTTTTTCACTTGCAGTATAAATGTGTACGTATCCCATGAAATATTGCATATTGATGATTCAATAGTGCTGTTAAAAATAAATGTACATATATTTGGAGAGCTGGGTGGTATTACTGTAGTGGATTAAATATGAGTAAAAAAGTGGATGTCTAGTGTGATGTACGTGGATGTGGATAGCTTTGGTGGAAGTAAATGAGATCACGACCTCTCCACCATAGATCATGAAATGATGGAATTTTGATGATCTCTATATTATTGTCACTTTTGGTCCCAGCAGTGAAATAGATGTAGTATTTGCATATTCACACATGCAATCCATTCTGCAGCCACTGCGCTAATATGCACATATCTGCTGTCTGAGTCGATTTAACTTGGTGAGTACTTTAGCAAAATAAGTTATGCTCCTTCCTTTTAAGTATTTTTGGTTAGTGAAAACAGAGTTCGAAGGTGAAAGTGAGTAACAAAGGACACAAACACTTACGTCATACGTGTATTTAGACGTGGAAAAACTTGAATAGAAGTGGCATGTTCCATTATAAATTGAGAAATTGAAAAAAGTAAGCTTAATCGACATTTGTTTTCCTTTACGTTTGAGTGCTTATTCACAATTCAAGATGTTGAAAATACACATAATTGTCGTCTACGTCATTACATGACGATTTTCCTGTACTGAAATTCAGCAAGTTGTGAAATAAGCTGAATAAACTACGGAGAGACCCAGAAGGACATGTATGGATATTACCTCATTTGAGTTTTGGCTTTTTTTTGACATTTATTGAAATCAGTGTGAAATTTTGCAAATGATGTAGGGAAATGGTGGACTGCATACAATTCAAACTCGGAAATTGCTTTTTCTAATTCCATGTAAATGTTCTACACATGAAAGCACGAGTATGCGTGTATTTATGTAAAGTCATACTTGCATATGTCTCATCATCGTCGACTTGAAACAATGGGTTTATATTGAGCTGAGCCATCGGAACGCAAACTAAACAAACCTCAGTATAAACGTGTTTTTTGAATTTTTCAGATTGCATCAAGTTGAATTGGACATTTATTGGAGCCTGTAATTGGACTCACTTTCTGAAGCCAAGAAACTTCCTCAATGCTATTTGACATGGTTTATATAAAGTGACAATTAGTGAAAATTACTGACGAGTGCTTTGAACTCTGCAGTTTCTCTGAACCGAATCAACACAAAAAATTTCCCAGATATCTACTGAATTCATCCTTAACTAGATTTTGAGCCGCAACTTCCCTACGCTTGGATTATCGGTCTACTGCTACGAAATTATTCAGCTGAGCATCCAAGGACCAGAAGAGAATATTGCGAATAGGTACACGGAGAACGGACCCGTTATCCAGAATAAATAGGACTTGCATAAGCTGTCGTGGAAGGAGAGTAACCTTGACCTACTGCCCCACGGTGCGGTCTGGTGAAACTTGAAAGCACGTTCGTCCCAGAACGAACGGTGTGCTGCTAACCTAATCACAAAGTATGATCTATATAGCAAACAACGGCACAATGCGAGAGAACCAACATTGTTCAACTAGCCACACAACTGCTGCTCCGAATTCGGGGAATTGAACTTGTCCCCCACCTGACAGCTTCCCTGCACCAGTTCCTACTATAAATCCTCTATGAAGGCGTAAAAGTGCGTGGGGTGTTTTCTCCTCATCATGATAAAGGTCAGGCAGCAACAAACCGCATCGTAATCAAATGCAGTGTGTTATCCAATGAGCCAATGATTCAGCATCAATTACGAAGCACTGGACCCCTTTTTAGCCGTCAAAACAGATTAGTCTGCGGCCAGGAAAATTTGGAAAATAATGTTGTAGACAGTGACTCACACTCACCGAGTATGCGATAATCGTAATTTGATCAGACTCGCAAACACCCCGACCGACCGTGAGGCATTGCCAGATTTGGAGCTTATCTCTGTGTTAAACAGTCGCCCTTTTCTTCTCGCTCGTGTCCCATCCACGGTTGAACCATGGGAAATCTTTGTTCCAAACGCAAGAGTAGCGATAGCATCTCCGAGAAATCGGACGACATTGGGTGAGTAAATCTTTGTACATTTTTTTAACAAATTGGTGAAACTCATGCTCGTCGTGGAATGTAACTTGAAGAGCGAGCTATCGAACTCAATTGTGCAGCTTTTCCCGATAATGCGGGCAGAAGAGAAAATTGTGTTTATTTTGGATTAACTTTACAACTTTTTGAGTGTGCACAAGTACCGATTATGCAGAGACATGAGTCTGAAACCCCTAAGCTGCGATGCACCACTTTTCGTCTATATAAATCAGTTTTGGGGAAAGCATAATTCACGGAATGTCCTATTGGTCACGTTATTGTCTCTCTCGTCTCCTTCTTTCTCTCCTCTCGCTCGCAGGTCTCGACAACTGAACCCTTTTAAAGACCTGGTCTGATGCCCAACTTTCAATGCTTGGCGTTCTCTATATATAATTTACATAAACTCGATAATCCGTCATAGATTAGTTCAAGAAGTAATGTAATTGACTTTATGTAGTTAAGCACATGCAATTGACTACTCTGAACTCATTTGAATCGGATTTACTGTATCCAGAAATAGTTGGTTTATGCTTAACCCTTGATTGTAAGACATTTCGAGTTGTCACGATTTCCCTTTAAAATCAATTAGGAAGCGTAACCATTTCTGCTGCACGTAAACACTTCAGTATTCGACATGAACCTTAAGGTCTTGAGTGCTCAGATCACGTACTTAAGTATGTACGTGATCTGATGGATACTTAAATATGTACAAATATGTTACTGGATGACAATTTATTTTGTCAGGTCGACAAAGAAGTCTCGAGAGACGCCTGAGAAACAGGACACACCCCAAAACCACGCTGATTATGCGAAACGTCAAAATGGGGGTGCAACAGGTCAGCCAACTACGTCACCAACTCCAGTACCAGCAGGTGCGAAGGCAGAGCAGCCCGTCGCCCCAACGCCCGCTGCGTCCACCAAAAATAGAAAGGCGGCGGATTCTTCGTATTCAGGTAACATGACCAGACATGAAGTAGAATTGGGTTTGATAAGACCCCAACGCACAGGGCGTATTCTCATCGATCGTTCAGAATTATTTATACGCAATTGCTTATTTTCTTGTGTTGAGCACATGGGTACGTACCTGGCGCAAATTGTTTTCTCCAATCCCACGCAGTTATCACCTACGCATTCAACTAACGGCCACATCGCGTAGTTCCCATAAATATTCCTTACGCTAATCCTTTTAGGCCTTTATACGAAATGTGTGGATTTCGGACAGTTTGAATGAATCTCGACCTGAATTGAATTAGTCAAACTCTTCAGTTCGCGTTGATTGATGCATGTTGATCCAATTAATTCCTGGCGATATAACTCATCAAACCGAACCCACGCCTCGGATGATCGAATTACAACACGTGGGTGGCATTTTGTTGAGTAGGTTCATTAATAAGATAATTAAATTACATTGCCTAGTTTTACACTGCAAACTCGATTTGATCACTTTGAACATTTGCAAATTTGCAACTCCAAAAATTTGCATGTATTTCACAAAATTAGCAGTTAGAGACGACATTCATCTATCCGATTGATAATTTTATCAACTATCTGCTGAAGACGAATATTTGCACATGTACATACATACAATTGACGACAAAAAATTTTGACATGGCAGGAGATTCCGTGTCGTCGCCATCCACTGTGGATATTCCCTTCCCATTCGAGCTTCCGCTGGAAATGAAAAAACAGACTGACAACGTGAAGGTAAGAAATATTTGATTCTAAGAGTAAATAGTTTGATTTACTTGGTCTTATAAAATACAAATATATTACTGTAAGAATCTCATGCTGGGACGAGTGGCCAAGGTCAAGCCGGTCTTGAAAGGAAGGAAAATCAACCTGTACATTTGCGCCTCATTTTCACAAGGTGTGTGTAGTACCATCGGCCCCCATGTATATCCCATAAGTCTCCCACACGTATTCCGTATATTCGCCTGTTCTAGTAAATAATTGCCATCAGGATCAATAACAATGTGTATTCCGTTGAAAACTGTAGACTTTCGACTGGAGAAAGGAATTTTCCACACCGTTGTGTATCCGGCTCTCCGGGAGCTCTGTTCTAGTCGAGGCTACGAACTCCATGTCACTGATCTACATTGGAAAACGGATCTCGAGAATCAACAAGGTAACTGCTCTGGGAGAAATTATCAATACCACTAACTAACAAGCTAACAAGCCCGTCGAACCAAACCATCCATGCATTTATGTATGTATGCACTGCAGTGATGATCCGGATTTTCCTTGTCAATAATTGAATGGCCATAATGATGCCATCAGGATGATTGAATTTGGTTGCAAATGGTTAAAAATGTATGGTCTTTTTGTATTTTCTTTTATTACGGAATCTGCACCTAGTGATTTTACCGTCTGTAATCAACATTATTTGTACTATTATTTGCTTTTCTTAACGCTAAAGCCTTATCTCTTTTGAGTTGCACTTTCTCTCGGATCAAGTCTTCCTTCTCAGACTGTAATTTTGTGATGGTGGTAGTGGCGTTTTCTTTCTCACGGCACAATTCTTCATTCTCTCGACGCAAGTTTTCTTTCTCTGACTGTAATGTCGTGATGGTGGTAGTGGCGACGTGTTTCTCTCGGCGCAATTCTTCATTCTCAGACTGTAATGTCATGATGGTGGTAGTGGCGGGTTTTTCTACAATATTCGGAGTTGGAATTAACGCTAGCTTTTTGGGGGGGAATTTTATGGTTCCTTGGACATCCAGCAATTTGGACCGTTTGAGAGACGAATTTGTCAAATTAGCAAATGGCAGTTTCGGAGGGAGGCTGACATAGGAAGATGTATTTGGGAGCGTCATAGGTTTGGTAGAGGAGTTCCTTTATTTAAAAAAAGTATAATTACAGCATATACCTTAATACAATGATCGCGAAAATAATAATAAACATGTTCACCTTCGTCCTTTAACTGACCCAAAAGACACTTTCCCTACTGCCTTCCCCGTTTTTGCTGGGCAGATAGGTTGGTGTCTAACCATATTTGACTTGACTGTGAATTGTGCGGGACAACCTGGGCACTTGAACGATACCTCGTTTGTATGAGTGTTACCATGTCTAGACAAACAAATTAAATTATCCTCTATATTGTATGGGTTTTGAGAAACATAAGACGTCAATTACAATTTTAGATTAGATGAGTAGGGGGTAGTAAATGGACAACCATTCACTTTGCACCTATACCGACGGAGTCGAGGCTTTGATGATCCACTTTTGTGACCAATCGTCACCACTAACTCTTCTTCTTTCTCCTTGCCAACACGTGTCAGTAACCCATTCAATTTCTTACTGAAATAAATATTTAAAAAACATACACATATATTTACGTCCAATATAAAAGAATCAGCATTAGAAGTTATAAGTTTCTTACTCGATTATCTGATTAAGTTGTGCAGCAATAGTTTGAAATACTGCGACTGTCGTTTTGCTTTGAAATGATCCAGGAGACCCATCCTTTTGTCGTCGATACTGTTTGAGACCAGTGGCTGATTTAACATTTACAGCAAAGATAGGAAAAATCACATGATCAGTCTTAACGGCTGTGAAACTTGGGTCGATTTTGTCCCTAAAAAAAGATGTACACATTTACATACTTGTATTATGTATATGTGTAATAGATCTTAAGTTTTATCAACACTGCTTACAAAATGGAACAAGCTCCTGAGTACGCATATTGTATAGCATTATTTGCTGCAACGAGAGGATCACTGTACACCGACACACCAAGCGTTATCTCTCGAATCCTGCTATGTGGGTCACACCAGAGTAGAGCGGTCATCGCGTGTAAATCAACCGTGTTAGCTAAAAAAAATGGAAACTTAAAAATTGCAACAATGTTTACTTCAGTTTGTCTGTTTTACTACTAACCAGACATTTCCATGACCTCTTCCTTCGTGATTTGTACAGCACGCAATTTGCCATCATCTCCTTCTTGCAGATTGAAAATGAAATCACGGTCGCTTAAATCGTCTCTCGAAATGTGTTTAACGGAACTTTTCTGGATTTATTTAAACATGCAAAATTTACTATTTGAACTTCGAGTATGACATTAAATGACATTATTCGTGGCTGTGATACTTACATACGAGCACACCTCTTTATACAGTCTGTCCCTCAAATCTCTGACTTGAACAATAGCCTCTACTTGTATATTGGCTTGTTCCCTACCTGCAACAAAAACCAACGAATATTTACATAACCGCAACTCAATTCAATTTTCTTTAAATGGCAAAGTACTTACCTTCACCCCCGTCCATTAATTCTTCCTGCATTTTACCATCCCGCAAAAGAAACCGCCGTAGCATTGTGAAAACTAGCACCGCACCGATAACGCAGACTAGGAATTTTTTGCGACAAATTAAATATTATTTTATTTCCACCATGTGACTAGTATTTACTACTTCACCAAACGTCAGTGTTTGTTGCTGTTTAGCGCACAACCCAGTCCACATGGTTCGACTTGCCCCACATGTCAAAAGTTGTTAATAATACTAATAGTACTTTATTTGTAATTTATTATTCTGGGAACGCCATGTAATGTGGAATCAACAAGATCATCAATTTCCAGAATTGTGTTTAGGAGAACTCCAACGTACGTCCGACTCTCATTACAAATCAAACATGAAAGTAAACCCTTAATCAAAGTTGACTAATCGCAAATTATTTGGTCGGCGTTCACAGGCCAGTTGGAAGTCTCGTACGTGGTCCCCGTCCTATTTTTAAGCAACTCTTTAGGTGAATCTCTACTACCGAAAACGGTAGAGCAGCAAGATTTTGAAATGTAAGTATGACATTTATATATTATTCAAATGTACGTTTCATAATATTTCACCCACGGATTCAACAGGTCATTAAAGAACGTTGGCGATGTCGAGAGTCGAAGTTTATTGGAAACCTGGTATGAGATTGACACTCACGCGGAACCTCCTTGCTACCGACTCAAACCCGTCTCTGCTCATTTACCTAAAGTTCGGGTACGGATTTTTTCATTTTCTATTTTTAGTGAAAGTAAAATAATTTTAATTTGTTGCGTTACTATTATTTGTCCAGTCTACCACGGAGGAGGAGAAGAACCAAGCAATAAATCAATGGCGTGGGATTGTGGTTAGTAGAATTTTTATGCTTTGTGATTTTAAAGGAACATAATATAACAACAATTTAACAGTACCTAAAACGGCATTCGCGTATGCACATACTTTTTTGTATTTCCATGTTTAGGAGCAGATATTGGGCATTTTTCTGCGAGTCTTTCCTGCAGAGCTGAGAGATACGTACCTAACGACTGTAATTGAGCAGGTGAGCTCCATACAAGAATGTCAAATACGCTATTCAAGTGCAATAATTACGCTCTGCCGTCGCCTTGCGTTCTCAGGAAATCCACAATTCCATCTTCATGAGCAGAGAGGTGGGCAAGAGGTCGGTGTGGTGTCACAGGGTGTTCACACAACTCCCAGCTGGACAGGACGCCAATGACTCCACTCCGCTCACCAAGGAGAAAAGTCGGAGATTGGAAGCACTGCATAACGAATTAAAGGTGCCAAGACCCGCATCCTGTTCTCATAGCACGTGCATAAAGTACGAAATAATTTCATGGTGGGATACTCTCGATTTTGTGTAGAATCAACTATCCACAAGTCACATTCTCCGTTTGCTGGTCAAATGGGAGGCGGATGGCTTATCTCAGGATAATGCAGAGCATGCCGCGTATCTTCAAGAGCTCTCTGGACAACTTTCTACCCAACTAAAATCCATTCTGGACGACATTATTGAAGAGGACAAGGGCAAAGTAAGACGGATTTAAATGTCGTTCAATAATTCTTGCCGAAGTGCATGACCTCATCTGCTGGAGGTGGAGTATACAAAAATGTCCATCGTTTTGAGCAAATTGAGAAGTAGTGTTCCTATTCTATATAAATATATTTCCACACTTGTGAACTTGAGTGATGGATATATATAAACTCTCAAGAAGAGATGACTGATTCTAGTCAAAGCAGTGGTGACCTTGTTCCACATTTGTAAAGCCTCGGGATCTCTTTTTTTACTTTCTCCCTTCTTGAACATTTACCTGGTTTCGGTTTGTATCGGATTGGAATGGGCAGCCTGCGGGGTTCAGAAGAGAAAGTTTCTTTCTGTTCTCTTTGAGAGCTCCTTTGTCATTGTCATTTCCCATTCCTTTCAACATGATTTTGTTTGATTACTTATGCGATGTACTCCCATTTCGCATTTCGATGGAGATTTAGTCCCCCTCGCATCCAAGTACTTATCTGGGCGGACAGCCTGTAAAGTTTACTCCTCAAAAAGGTCAACATATTTAGAAAGATGAAGATGGACATTTTTGTCACGTTCACCTTTTTGTATATAGAATATGATTATTAACTCAGCCGACTCTGTGTTCCAGGCCGTGTGGAAGTCATCGTATGGTGTCGATGGATTGCTTTGTTCCGAATTGATGCAACACACCATTTTCTGCCAGCAGTCTGCCAATACTTGTTCCATACCGTTAGAGAATACCCTTAGTGCTATCAAACAGTAAGTGTAAGATTTTAAAGTAAAGAGCAGAACGATACGTCACTGTTGTGATCATGTTTGCAGATATATCGCTAGTGACAAGTCGTACCCACTGGTTGTTCATGGAGTGAAGGGATGCGGAAAGACATGCTTGATATCCCGAGCTGTTCAACAATGTCTCAACTGGTACGGTAAAAATCAAGCTTGACTTTAGTTAACTGGGGAGTAAATTTGTTTGTTTTCTTCAAAGGTTCCCCGACGCCTTGATAGTTTACAGATTCGTAGCTCTCACTCCCGAAAGCTCCACTCTTGTTCAAATCCTTCGAACCGTGGTGAACCAACTGACCTGTCTCATCACTGGAAGAACTTTCTGGATACCACACAATGTCGACTGCTATCGGAAAGAGTTGTTCAAATTGGTGTCTTCAAGTCCACAAGCCTCTTCTATCATTATCATTATCGATGGAATTGATGAGGTATGTGCATACATTCGTACACATGCAATATTTTATACCTGCTTGGAACTCAAGCGTTAGAACTTTAGATTCGGCGTGAGATTTGACATCTCACGAATTATTTAAAGAGAATTTATGTCTGCAAACAGAACAGAATTTGTTTTGACGTCATATCTGATTTGAGACATTACTCAAGTTGCCCCTTTTGCGCAATCTTACTTACGTTGGCGAAACGACACGTTTAGTTACTACAGTTCTAGACAAGTTTCGCCTTTGAAGTCCATATTGCATGAATATTGTGTTAGAAATGTATTGTTTCTCTGAAATAGGGAGGTAAATTGATTGAGATTGGTTTTGTATATGAAATTTTGATTACCTTTCAGTTGGATCCGCTGGTGGTGTCAGAGTTGAGTTGTTGGCTGTCGGAAGAAATGCCCTCAAGGATGAAGATAATCATGTCGTGTTCAGAGGCTTCAGAGGACACCTCCGTCTTTCAGATTATCAAGGCCAGTTTGAAGCACGAAGACGCTTTCATCTCGGTAATTTGATTTCTTGTTATTTTGTGAAGCTCTAATGTGACCTTAGCTATTTGCAAAATTATTTCATTCGAAGGCTACATACGTAACAACAGCTTTTCCCACCAAGAGACGCATGGAAAAGTAATGAGCAGTTATTCCATTTCATTGCAGAAACTTTTTCATTAGTTTATTCAAAGAAAGAGACGTCTGAATGGAAGCTGTAAAAAAGTGTCGTCATCTGTGTCGAGTTTGCGACTTGTGTATCGCATCAAGTTTTCACTTCGTAACAAGTCGAACAAGTATTTTGTGTGGGCAATGAATATGGCGTCGCCATTTAGTTATTCTTATTATCGCGTAGCTATTCATTGGAACATAAATACTTTATTTGACATTGAAACAGGTGCCGAATCCGAATCAAACAGCGGCTGAAGGGCTTCTAACTGCGACTTTGCTTCAATACTGCCACAGTGCTGACGGTGACCTTCAAAAGAAAATCTCGTCTCGATTGAAGCACTGTACACTGCCTCTCTACATTAAGGTAAGCCATCCATATGTCTCAAATCTTGTCTGGCCAAATTTCGCCCCATTGTGTGATACCTGTTGTGGGATTTCGCCACATCCGTCGACCACTGATTGCCCCGTGAATACCAATCAAACACGGCATTATTTTCAAGTTGGGGCCCTGTTGTGGTCCCATCCTGAATGTCTTAGAGAATGTCATGGAGAAAGAGAGCAATAAGTGGGGACGGATAATCTCAGTCCACCTTCTTCTGGGTGGACTTCGTCCTCGTGTTTTCCTCTAAAGCACGCATTGCACCGTTTTTGAGCAACCTTTGCCCTTTCCCTCACAAGGCCACAAGTCGAGCTGCTCTCGAGATTGAGTCCGCTACTCTTTCTCTCTCTCTCAATCGTCTCACTTTCACAAATACTTTCTCCACCACCACCACATCTCACTCTTTGAAACCGGCATGGATGAGTTGTGGTTGGAATTTAGAATGCATAGACCAGAACCAGAGCAGAGCTTAGAATGAGAGTGATTTGACCCAACATTTCTCTTCACTTACTTATTCGTGCTGCCTTCGATTCGATTGAAAAAAAATCTCATTCAAGTGGTTTAACTGGGATTACCACAAATTCCTTGTCGCCACTTTACACAGTCCAGATGTACAATTCCGCTCACCTTTCGCTCATTCAGATGTGGTTGTGGCTACAGAAATGTGTCGTCGAATGCATGTGACATACAAGATACAGTTCATTTAAAGATTTTCTTGCTAAAATCTTGCAGGTGCTGGCTTGGCAAGCGTCCATTGGATCCGTCGACCTGTCTGGGACTGGTGATACCCGATCCGTAATCAACGATCTGTTTGACTACCTGGAAAAGTCCTTGGGCAAAGAGAAGGTAATAAGATTTCAAGAGAAAGTGCTCGGCCCTAGTGGCAACTTGTGCTCTCCGCATGTGAATCGTAGTACAAAGAACAAATCCAACCAACCAAGCAGCTTGTAGGCGAATATGTGCATGTGATGTTGCCCTTGATTATATCTTGAGATGAGACGAATCAAGTTCATTTCGACTTTTTATTTGTTCTATTCTCTGACCTTTGAGGTTGCAAATGCGATTGCAAATACAATATTATTTGAATTATGAACAATACAGAGGACACAGGCTAATGCGCTATTGGACTTGACTTGATCGGCTTGGAAGGTTTACTTATGGACAATGTCAAGCAGAGCACTTGTGCTGAATCCAATAACGTCTAAATGAATCCATGTCATGATTATACCTCAACTAAACCCTGGTTAGCCATCCTCTTCAAGATGTTTGTTTAATTCTATTACGCAATCCGACATTATCACGTTCTGTGAGGACAAGGATTTAACCTCAGAGTTGAATAAATACACGAAATGATTATCTGAAAATCCTCTCCAGGAAAATTCTCTCTCCGCATTTCTCGGTCTCCTTGGGATAAATAAATCTCCTGTTGAGAACCAGCTCTAGAAAATGGCTATACAATAGTTGACTCCCTTTCACTCACTCACTTTTCTTCAACCTCGTCTACATACATGTACCTTGGACTAAAACAAAAGAGAATAATTGAGATTTACTGCTACAAAATGTATTTTGCATATATTTTCATGAGTCAACTTTTCAAGACATGCTCAAAAAATTATTAGTAAGACCATAAACGGCTTTGTTCGAAATATATTTGACTTTCCATTGGTCACTCTCAAACACAGCTCGTCAATGGGTTTCCACGACTTGTTACTTATTGCATATTTTTTTCTCAAATCAAGTTTTCAAAAATTTTCTCTTTAATTCTCCTCTGTTTTCAGACAAGGCTTGGTTTGGCCTTGCAAATGTCAGATTTCATTGTTTTGACATTTGTTGCGCAAAGTTTGGCATTGCTGCTTAAAATGCTCAACTTGTTGTGCAATCCCTTTGGTTAAAGGCTAAATTTCTGTCAGGATCATGTAGATGGAAAATGTATGCATGCGACTCATGGACGTAAAGGAAGCGACTAGACTACTACTGTGTAAAGCAACTACAAAAGTGCCTTTGATCAAAGGGCAGAGGTTGTATGCATATTTGTACATGCAAATTATAATTGTGCCACTGTCACCATCATCACGTGCAGGCAGACGATACATTTATCTGTGATCTCATTGGGAGTGAGAACTTCAATGGTCTCCCATGATCATAATTTCTGAAAATAATTCGAAACTCTGCTCTGGCCCATAAGGCTGAACGTAAAAGTCAGAGAAGGAGAAAATGTACAGAAATGGTAATCGTTATTCCATCAAATAGAAAAGCAGCAGTGTGACATTATTAGATTCACAAAATATTACACTTCTGTCACCATACACATCCTTGCTTATGTCAAGCTATGTATACTGTCTGTTGCTTGCTACATCCTCCTCCTCCTCCTCTCCTTTTTGCTTGTCCTCCCTTTGCGAGTGAAGACAGGATAATAATATTAAATGGATCGCTTATTATGATTATTATCCTCATCCGTCGCGACAAATCTGCTTTGGTCTTTCTTGGAAATCTTCATTGGGACTAGGAATAAAAATGCTTTGATGTTTCCCTCCCTCGTTCTTATGTGAGGACGGATGGAAGATATTCATGTATTTTTGCAAACCCGTCTGCAGGTGGAGTACACCTTGGCGTTGCTGTGCGCATCTCGCTACGGCCTGTGTGATTCTGAGATTTTGGATTTGCTCGCCCACTCGCCCACCTTCTGCTCCAGTGTCACCCATCGTAAGTGAATTCCAGATATTACGACCACTGCCGACAATAATTGAGTGTGGGAGTCAGTTTCAAATGCAGAGTTTCTCATTTTAATTATCTATGTGTGTTTAGTTGACTGGGCTCCAGCGAGCTTGTTCCTGGCGCAGTTGTGCCAAAGTCTGGGACCCTTTTTGGAGTGGGGGTCGGCTGGCGGATCGTTGGTAATCCGATGGAGGGACCAACTGATGAGTGAAATTGCCAAAGAACGCTACCTGGGGAAGGGCGAGACGTCTAAAAAGACTCGCAAACTGCTCCTCGACTATTTCAAGGTGAGATTGAGATCTGGTTCCGCACAGGTCGCTGCATGTGCGATCTTATTGGGCAACTCTTTTGCGAGATGAAGAATGAGAAAACTGCGTCAGAGTGGGTTACAATAAAAATTATAATAAAAGGCTTTCGATTTCAATCCCATTAAAGTGATTCGTTGTGTAAATATTGTTATGCAAAGAGGAGTAATTCGAAGAAAGTGAATCATGAAAACATGTTATTGAGTAGCTCGTTTCTCCTTAAAAACTACTCGATTGTTATTATTCCATTGTTCGTACTACTATTGTCTACACGCAAACATCGCTCGTCAACCCACGCAGTTTTTTTCTCATATTCATGTACAGACGGGTATTGCCCGATCTGTGTGTTTCTTTATATGGGAGAGTGAAAGTCCTTTGAGAGGTTTATATTTCGTCCTTTGAAAAGGGAAATTATCGAATGTTCCCCATCATTAAATGTCACAAATATAAATATCATACCGGTTGTATTGTCACATTTCAGTCAAATTGGAAGGACAAGAAGAACGGGCGCTTCCAGAGCCAGCCGTCTGAGGTGCAACCGGGCAACAGGTGAGCATAATGGTGCTGTACATGGATAACTGCTTATAAAGGAGGAGATTTCTAATACGTGGTCTGGTGGGGGGATGAGGAGGATGGTTTCGACGAAGGGGGTGCGTGAGGTGGTGGGTGCGGGATAATAGATGACGGAAAAGTGGTTTACTTCCATTTCCAGCTCGTGTGGGCGTTGCTTTATGGGCTTCCATTCACAAATTTGTCCTTTTGAGCAGAAGATAGAGCAAAGAGAGACTTTTGTGCTTCGGTTCACCTTGAATTACTCTGTTGTTGATCTTTGCTAAAACCTACTTCAAAGTAACGAGAGAAAGCTCCCTCACCAACGGCCCAATCCCCCAATTTGCCACTAATGTGATACTCGCCTTCTTTGTCAAGTGGACTAGTTTTCAAGGGTTGTCATCATATTTCCCAAGCCAAGAATTATGATTTTAAAGTAAGGTTGCCCTCCCTGTGTGGGCAGATATTTGCTCTATGCGTAGGTTATCAATGAATCAAATTGATATTGTTGAACCAACTGGAGGGGTTGAATGAGGTTTTGGAGTGGTGAAAGTCGTGGTGGGGCTTCTCGAGATAATGAAATATGGATTGACATGCTTGATCTTGACGTGACCTTTCTGCTCGTCCATCTATACGATAACCACTCCTTTTTAGACGAGTATGCACACGTAGACATTTCTAGAGTGGAGAAGAAAGAATTAAAAATAAATGTCAGCATGTGACAGATTGCTGCAGAAACAAGAGTAATTTGTACCAAGTCTTTTTGTTTGTCATGTATGTAGCTATCAAAGGAGGAAATTGGAAGAAATTCCAGTTCAGGAATTTCACTTGGATGGCTCCATCAAGAAGTCGTACTTGTGTAACTTGAAGTGGTTGGTTGAGAAGCTCCAGGGATCCTCGGTCTACAATGTGAGTCCTCTTTCCTATCCTACATGCACGTTAATAAGGCTACACCTTATAAACGCAATATACATACGTCCATTATACCCCCAATTGACTATACCCCCCAGCTAGTTACACCCTTGTTCATGTTGCTCGTACGTAACGTTACGCATCCGAGTCGTAATCAACAATCTCATTTAATTTTCTTAAGAGCATAGAAATAGCATTCGCAGAAACAAAGACTAACACCTACGCTTGATTTAATTTGGAATTCAAGGTTATCGAGGACATTGTGATGGAGTCCAAAGGCGATACGGCCAACCTGGACGCAGACCTTTCCCTTCTCCTCAAAGTACTCGAAATGAGTGCAAATGCGCTGAGCTATGACGGCTCTCAATTTTTTGGCCAAATTTACGGCAGATTGCAATCCCTGATCCAGAGCAACTCACCTGACGTGAGCAAATGTTCCTTTATGAAGAAAGTGTACGAGGAATGTGAGAAGCCACGAGTCCCGTCCTTTGTCCCCTTGTCCTCCACTCTCCTTCACAACCCTCACGACCTCGCTGCACTCCTCGCACAGGAATCAAAATCCTTTCAAGAGTTGGGAGCCGGAGAAGTTTATTTTGATCAAATTACACGGTTAAAATCCGGAAACGAGTATGTCGTCAGCCTATCCACGTCCAACGAAGAGGTGATCGTGTGGGACGTGAATCAAGCCAAACCAGTTCGGACCCTGCGTGGCGTGCCTAACCCCAACGACTTGAAAATCATTGATAACACACGAGTCGTGCTTTTATGCGGAAGAGAACTTCAGATTTTTAATTTAGATGATGGGTCTTTTGTGAGCAAAATGAAGGGGATCATGAATCAAAAGATGCCCTACTACTCGCCAGGTAAGTACTTAGATGGATAAGCATGCCAATTACTTTACTTTTAGTCATGTGGCCTTGTTGCCTACTAGTTCAACACGTTTGTTTCTGCAGTATCAGTCCCTGCGTCAACTGGACTACATGATGAGCATCACATCGTGTCCTTGTCTCGAAACCGAATGTACGTGAATCTTATGAATTTGACGAGTGGAGAGTGCATCTCGACTTTCAAAGGTAATTTTAAACAAGTGACTTTATTCATTATTTGCATATAATTTGACAACAAGACTCAATTTTGGTCTCTATTGTAAGTGGGTGAAGATCGCTTTCTCAATTCTTTGATCGTCTCGGAAAATGGAAAGATTTTGGTTTGTGGGGACGAGACACAAAAACCTTTCCCACTTTTAGTTTGGGACCTTAATTCCAAGAAATTAATTTATGATCTTCGCATCCCGCATCACGAATTTGTGACCAATCTGTCGGCAATCACAAAGGAGGGACATTTCGTCTGTTGCGTTTGCAGGGTACGTCACCATCCTTGAGTTACAATCTGAATGTTTTAACATAGAAATAATGTTGCCCTATGAATTTATCCCGTCTGTAGGAAGTGGATGATCCAGGACCCAACTTTATTGTAGTTTATGACCTTCAAAGTGGCACATTGTTCAAAAAGTGGAAGCCTGGCTACAGCACTCACGCCATTGCCATTTCTGCACAAGTTGGTGTCATAAAAAGCTAAAAATAATTAAACAATTGTGGACATGTGTCTAAGAAATTTTTCCGCGCAGGGAGGTTGTGTTATCAATTCGCTGGAAGACAATCGAATATTGGTGTGGGACTTGGTTACTGGTAATAACTCGCTTCATTCACATATTTCTTGACCTTTTTTGTTGAAATCAATTCAGTTGATCACTTGATAACAATGGTTATTTATTTAATTTAGGAGCCTGTAAGCACTCCTTGCACAAACACACTGCCCCTGCGGACACTTTATTACTGGATCATACGGGAGCCAGGTGTCTGTCCTACGACTCGATAGGCAGAGATCGTACCGTTTGTCTCTGGGATTTAGCCACAGGTTTGCTAATTTTCTACTTGAAAAATTTGCTGTTTTTGGTCCTTCTCACCAACCTTTGTCATGTACTTTGGGTTCAGGAACATTGTTTGCCTCATTTACGCCCGATCTCCCTTACTCCGCCTGCGAGGTGTCCAATGATGGCTGTGGCGTTGTTTTTGGTGAGAAGATTATAATTATATAGTTCAGGGGAAAACCAATTATTTTAAGTTTTGACCAATCAATTTGTCAATGCGTAGGTTTCAAAGGACGTCGAGACGTAGCCACAATTCTGTACAGGACGGAGCAATCAGAAGAGAAGGTTGATAAAGAAGAGAGCTTCGGAGATCCCGAGAACGCTGGGAAAATAACAGATCTGAAAAGTTCCGACAAATAACTTGACTAATCAGAGTTATTATCATCACGGCTGACCACACCCACTATGTAGTTCATTAAGAATAACAAAGAGGCGCGTAGGAGCTTTTAATTTCACAATCGGATACGAAAGAGCACGTTTAGCAGACCACGTATGACCCGCGTATAGGCTCAACAACAACTCATAAGATGTTCAACAACGCTACATGTCACATTCGAATGATTTTAATTTTTACCTGTATAACAAATCGCAGAAGCTCAACCGTTATTTGCACATCTAGTCATCTCGAGCTTCCCTATTTTAACACTGTAGCCTATGTATTGCTATCGAGCGTTCAATTCAGGTGCAATTCCACAATGATACATAAGATATATTTATTCATAAGGGTATCAATATACAAAATTAGAACCCCTCTTCAACCCCTCTGGTTTTGTCGACTTTGTTTACCCCGAATAATTTTACTAGTGACTTTTATTATGTTTTTTATCGTTACTTCGTTGTCGTTTTCTTAATTTGCCAGCTCCTTAATTGTGAGGTGAGTTCATTGTATTATTAAACAACGCTTGACGCTTCCACTACTATTCTACTTATTGTTACTGTTATTACATGAAGTGCGTACGTCCTTGTATGCACTATAATCGACGTAGAACGTAAGACCCGTAGGTGCCACGAACCGTCTTATCCTCCTCCCAGCTGGTTTGGGATTTTAACGATCTAACATTTATATATGTACGTATAATATATCAAATATAATATTATTAATTTTAGCTGGTAAACGTTCGCCTGATAACGTTTTCTCTGGAAGCAATCGTTATTCATTTTGTGTTTAACAGGCTTTTTAATTACGCAAATAGACCAATGAGTTCTCTCACAGTCTAGCAATCTACAAACAATTTCCACAATTTGCTTAATGAAGATGAAGAAATTAATCTCATGCGTTCAACTAATCATCCTTTGAAAAAGTTTTAATTAATTTGGCTAAACTTGGACAAATCAACATAATCTTCATAATCGGTTACGAACTAAATCTATAAATACTTAATGTCATGCACATTACACACTAATTGTTGTGCTGACGAGTAGGAATTCGTACACCTCGTATCTCGTTCTGGTAACTTGCTGTACAAGTTACTATGAGCATTCTTCCCCATTTTTCATATAATTTAGTACTTGATAGCCAATTTTAGACATCTCCACTCTGAACGCTTGATTTAAAACCCTGTCTGTACTGTCATTATCCTGGTAATCATGTGCTTATGTGGTTGTATTTAGATGAGATATTTTGTCTTCTTGAATGGAGCAGGAGAGACAACAGCTTATTGTCTCACGTTATAGCACGAATAAGAGGAATATATAATTTGTAGCAGATCAATAGTATATTTATGAAAGAATAATTGGTGTGTGGAAAATGTTGCTGGACGATAATTTTTGTGAATCATAGAAATGAATGAACGATTAGAAACGAAGCTCACAATTTAATGAATAGATTTCATTAATTGCTATACACATACCGTCTCTTATGTTTTGTGTACAAAGTTTTAAGTGAAGAAATATGATGTCTAATAAAATATACCCGTCTTATTGTCGTTACCTTGCACGAGGGTAGTTCATCAGCTCCCTGTTTTATTTCTATCTTCACTTTTGCATAAGTTACATATTTCAAACTGTCATGGGTTTGAGGTTGATTCTTTAGACTCTAGATTCAGCACAATTTGACAATTAATTTCAAGATTTAGCATGCACCGCATTGCAGAAATAAATATTTACCTGTAAACATTCCTCTTGCACACTGGACAACTTTCACCAGTCTTCAAACAGAGTCTCAAGCAATTTGGGTGAAAGAAATGCTGACAGGGAGTCACCTTGGCCGTTATCATGGGTGCAAGACAGATAGTACAGACCTACATAAATATGTAAATAGCACACATGCACACTCTGGTATAAATGGTACAGAATCAGAACGTTCCTCCAACTGACAACTCACGTCTTCATAGTCTTCAATTTCTCTCGGGGAAGCCTCTCGAAATTCCTTGATGCTATCTAACTCAGTCTTTAGGGTTTCCAGCATCTGTTTCAACCCTCTCCATGGCCGATACACGTTCGTGAAAAGGGTCAAAGTGACTAACTTAAATTGCGGAAGGAGTGGGATAAGAACGCACACGCTAAGAAATATTGTCGACCCCCTCAAAATAATGGCTGAGTATAAAGTTTCCAACCCCTGGATTTTCTCCATGAGGCTGGGCAAGTAAGTCATCAGGTTTGGAATCATCCCTTGAATTCGTGGTTCCGTCAACGTGTAGTACGTCAAAGTGAGACAAAGGTATTTCAGCGTGGGCTGATTTTCTAATCTGAATCCATGTTCAGCCCCCAAAACTGCAAAATACATAAGAACGAGAAAAATACTACCACTTGCATTCGTATGGATTTGAATTCCAGTGACTAACTTAAAAAGAAGCAAACCACAGTCACAACAAATGTGACCGCTTTGGTCCATTCGAGCCCGACGTTTATTGATGTCAACGCCAAGTGTTTGACGTTGCTGTTGGGAGCAATGCGAACGCTCATATCCCAGTCTTTTCGCTGCACAATTTCCTGGAAGGTGTTTACAAATTAAATTTCAAGCCTATGCTTTATCATGAACATGATTTTTACCTTAACGTATGTGACACAATATGTTACAAGGTGGCAAAATAATAAACCATAGATCACACTTGTTGCTCGTTCTTCTTCCTCGAGGAAATTCCTGGAGCATAACGTCACGAAAACGAGCTGCGCATATACCAATATGTAAATATAATAAGGAATATTTTTCAGATAAATAGTTCACATTACGCCGAAAGTATTAAATAAGTTTAAATAAGTTGAATTGATTGAGCTAGATCTGACCTGATTCATGAGAATTGACAAATTGTTGGTATATTTTCCATCCTTGGGCTTTTTCCTGTGGTTATGCAGTCTCTCGTATTGATGAAACACTGCTGGATTTATGATTGACATCTTCGTCGTGGGTTTCAATGTTTGCACTTGATCAGGATGCTTTCTCTAATGATCAAAATGACAAACAGACGATGTTTCTTGTGATCTCAAGTTCGCAAGTTTTGCAAATGTATACGTACACATGTACATATTATGTACCCACACAAAACAAGATACAAATCCTGATTTTCCAGTAAACCGTCGGATCGCTTATACCAACCGATGTACTTGTCCACCGTCTGCATGTATGTATGTAACTACAAATATAATCTATTTCTATTTCTGAGCACCACTAAACTAACCGAAATTCAGAACCGCTCCACATCACGTTTCACTACGTAATACGTAAGTAAGTAATGTAACACTAACGAAGGCAATGATGACTCCGTAGACAACCCGCACCCCAGATTATTTTTAGAACCTGGCGAGAGTAAAAAGAAAATTTTAAAGCACATGCAGCCGATACTGGTGATTGCTGCTTGGAGCGTTTTTGTAACTAGTTCATATTCACACATCAATTTTTAAAGTCGTACATTTTATAATAATTTCGAGTAGCATAGTTTTCATTTTTATGGAGGAAGAAACCATCGAAGGCACCTGTTGGTCGCATCATCCTCTTCTAAATACTCATGTAAGTAACATTCCATGTAAATATGGTGGGATTCATGTATTTTGTACTACATATTCATTTTGGTTAAAGATTGTGGAAATAATTTTCAAACAATGCGACACTCGGACGCTTCTGAGTTGCCGAATGGTTTGCCAAACCTGGAACTCCGAAGCGTTAAGAATCATGGCAAGGGACGAAGTAACGGCGCTGGTGAAAGGGAAAAACGCAATAGAAAATTTTCTAGAGTGCATGAAAACATCGGATAGCCAGCCATTCTCTTCGTTCTCAATGGAATTGTCCGCACTTGCACTTGGCGAACAATTTCAGTCCACTTATGACCTCATTTTCCTCTTGAAAGACCGGATGACACAGGTCAAGTTTGACTATGAGATGCCAACGTCTTCGATAAACCCCTCCGAACTTGAAGTTAGCAGCAGCAGTGATAATCAGATTGACGACCTGCTCGACGATGACGAAATCAATCCACGATTCTCACATTCTCAAATCATTACACTCCCAGTTTTATCATCGCTTCAATTCTTTTCTACCAACATTTTTCCGCCAAAGTCTCCAAATCGACTCCCTCGACTTTTTGACCTGCTAAAAACCCCTCACCTTACGAGCCTAAGTGTTCAGCACCTTTATGCAACAGAGTGTACTTCTACTATAGTAAAGTTTCTGAAAAATGTAGAGTCACCAATTTCCAGTCTTCGCATACCATGCACCGAATTGCCAAAAGTTGTCGAGGAAATCTCCAACAGCGGTCAACTTATTAACCTCAAATATCTTCAGCAGTTGGACATTTGTGACCTGTTCCACGGTTCTTTTGCAACTAATGAAACTATTCGATGTATACAAGAAAATTGTCAAAATCTACGGAATTTATCCATTGAGTTAGGAATTCGTGTGACTTTTGATGCTGTTTTCAAGCTACTGGAAATTTTGTCACATTCCTTAAAAAATTTGAAATTAATTATTCAAGACAAAAATTTGTTGTCGAGAAATATGCAACGAGTAAATTTCTACTTTCCACACATGCCGAAACTTGAAAGCTTATTTTTGCGATATGCAAATCCAGGTCTGGTTTATTTTATTGAGGAGCTGCCTCAGCTCGCCTCATTGGAGCTAGAAACCCCGTGGACAAGGAAAGTGAGAGGACAGATTTTTCCAGGAGTCGATTCCAAGATTTATACGCAACTCCAAACACTGAACCTCACTGAAAAATTGACAGATCAAGATGTTCGCGTTATTCGACGCTTGTTCCCGAATTTGAAAACACTGTGTTCATCTTTCCAATCAAATCTTGCCTTCCAAGAAGTATGCCAAAGCTATGGGGACCTCCTCGAAGTCCTGATTGTGGACAGAAACTCTTCAGTCACCGATACAGGAATTTGTGGACTTTCCCAAGAAGATCTTTCTAAATTTTCACTAGAGGGGTTATCAGATGCTACAGAGTCGCCTTCAAAATCTATCGCCATGCTCAACCGTAATTTCATGCCTAAATTCAATTCTGACAAAAATAAGGGATAATTAGGATTATATTTTCTGTGGTTAGGTCTGAAATGTCTAAAATTGGTACAATTGGGCCTATCCTGGAAATCCTTGGTCCTAGGTGTCTGTCATCTTCATGATCTGCAAACACTATCAGTTCAGGTAATCTGTTTAATTATAAATGCATGCGATTAAGTATAATTAAGTTGTATTTATGTGGGGCAATGTTCTTGTTGCAGGCAACGACTTTGAAAGTAGAAGGAGTTGATCTCCAGAAAAATGACACAGTCCTTCAACAATTATCTAAGCATCTGCCCCATCTTCGTAATTTATCCATTTGGATTAGGAGAAATTCGGAGAGATTGAACCCAGATGAGATGCAACTTCTTAATGCGAGGTATCCCCAATGGCGAATTGATATTACGATCCAAGCAGTTTGCAGTGTTATGTAAAGATTTTTTTATGCGAAAACTGGAACTATGTACTATTATTTTTATTAGAATATACAAAGTGAAGGTTCAAGAATTTCAATTTAACAAATATCTAAATAGCTATCACATTATTGACAGAAAATATGAATGCATTGATTGGTTCTCATAATACTAATCATAATATAATATTTGGCCTACGTAGATATAAATGCATAAATGAATAATTCCAATTCCAATACACTACTGAGTAAGTACGCAGCTATAAAATAATTAATGGTTTGTAGAAAAATGCAAGAATGCTGGAAAACTCATTTCAAGTAAATTAAATGAAGGAGGAAGCGCAATTGCGTAATTTTAGATTTTTAGCTGTAAACTCGCGTAACCTTTCTGAAATACCACGTCGGCATCTCCTTGTATTTCTGGGTGAGCTTAACCGAAGCATGAAACTTGTAGCCGTGATTTCTCATCTCTGTGCACAATTTCGTAAACAGCTTGCATTTTTCCATCCCTATGCCGCTTGTAACCCACGGAAATCCGTACAGCTTGAATTCATGAGTTCCCGAGCAAAGATTCTTTGAAGACTGGATTCCACGTTTCCACACGGACGAGATCACGTCGCGAACGATGGTGATGAATCCTATGGGCGCGGAGATAAGTCGGAGCCGATCAGTTCTAGAAAACGAGATGGCAAAGATTCTGGCTTCACGGTCAATTAAGCTGTCCTCGAAGAACAAGGTGTCCTTCCCATTTTCCTTCATAGAAATTTCACAGGTTTGGAGGAGACCCCAGCCATGGCGAGCCAGTCGTTGCATTATTCCCCCAATCACACGCCGAGAACGGATGGACTGGTCAGTCCGACGAAGAGCACTCCATGGTCCAAATGCATCAATCTCCTGAAGCACGAACTTTATGGTTCCATTGTTGGCGAAGGTGGTCGTTTTTATGGCTCCCCAGTACTCCTGGATAGCTTCACTGACCAGCTCGTAGTATCCGGGAGGGCAGTCGATCAAGTGCAATTGATTATCCTTGACCAGTAAAATGCTGAACACGTGATGACGGTGCTGACTGATGAGCTCGTCCACCTGTGGAGCTTGTCGGCGTTGAGGTGGGAGTTGGTTCAGCTGGGCCACTTGGCTGTAGGCTGGGGGAGGAGTCTCGCTACCACCACCGTTCGACATCTTTAAGAGCTGTCAGGTCTGAAAGTGGATTTATTAAGTTAGAATAACTTATTGTAAAGGCAAGCACGATGCAGAAATTCGATTTAAATTCAATATGCATTTTTCGTGTAGTTTCCTTTACAGATTGTCTTACCTCTAAAAGTTTTTAATTCGGAATGTCAGAAAATCTCACAATTAATGGTGCAGAATTCTATGCAACAATATTATTTAACACATTTTTAACAGGCTGAGTACTGGAATTACCGTGGCACAGGACTTACAATTAGTTACAAAATCTATCAGTTAAGACTCTAAACTTTAGAGTAATAAGATACTTTTCAATAAGTGATTTTACATATGTATGTAGTTAAAGCATAAAAATATTGAGTCATCATAGTTTCCAGTTAAGATTAGAGATACGGAATTGGAGATATCAGATAACATTGCATTCTTTAAGGACAATCTCCTAGACTAAACTAAACTGGAGACTCATATTTCTGGCCTTGCAGTGGAAGAAACAAGTCAAACAAATGTACATAATTGGGTCTTGCTTTATTCAAAACATTCCTGCATTGTGTACATATCCGTTTTGTTTTGTAGGTGGTACACAAATTAACTGGGTTTTGTTAAGTTAGTTGTGTTCGACATCATACATATTAGCTGCTAAAATGTTGAGTAAAATTTTCAATTCTAGAAGCTTGTTTATACATAAATACTTAACATGTGTGTATTAAAAATAAGTGCTTTAAATTATGGTTGACATTTATTTTCATGCATTTGCACTCGAGTCGAGGTCGGGTGTACGTTAACTTTAATGTTCCATCAAAGCATCGGGATTATAGTCGATATCGTTTATATACTCGAACCATTCTCCCATCGTGATAAATAATTTTCCAAGAAGAGCTGTAAGCAGAATAACTGCTCCAAGAAATAAAAGTACCACTGTTGGATGATCTGTTGCAAAGTCGGTGTAGAGTCTGATCGGCCATCCGATCCATGAATTTTCCGGAATTCTGCCCAAAATTGATGTTGAAGGTGCTATACAAATTCTTGGGAAACAATCTTGACATTCATCAATGGTGGCAATAACAAGGGTGTCAGTTTTTGTGGATTTTTGAATCTTATCCCCGTCTCCACCTCCACTAGCGATTTCATCATGGACACCCATCACTAGTTCACCCATCTCAGGGGACTCATTCTTTACAGGAACTTCTAATTTAACCAAAGATTCCTCTGCAGTTTCCAACATCTCTTCTTTGTCATCATGATCGAATAAACTCATACGAGGTGAATCCGGGATGGTTAGATCATTTCTGACAAGTAACCCCGAGTCATCACTATTTACGCCAAGTCCTTGCCCCAGTCGGAGTTGCAAATTGTAGTCATGAATTTCGTCAATTTGAGACAATCCATCACTAGTCCAGTGATCTTTACTAGCGAAAGACTTGGGTTCCTGGTCAAAGTCAATCTCAGTGGGCTCGTCATTAATAAGGAACTGTTGATGGTCATCGTCGTCGTCGTCGTCGTCACACAGCGATACTCCTGATTCGGAGAGGATTGGAGCAAAAATAAAACGCGTGCTGTCTTTGTACACTCGGTCAGTTGATTGATCTTTATCTGTCCAATCGTAAGATTCCTCGTTGATGTTGAACCCTGGAGCCGCATAAACGTCGGACACATCCATGCACGTTCTTCCAGCTGACCGTTTCCCAAAGTCCGGGTTTTTGTAGTAAACCACCGGAGACTTTGTTCTCTCAACCAAGAAGCATCCTTCTAAAGTCGTTTCCTCAGATGTCCTCTCACTGGTGGACGCATATTCTTGCTTTGGACTAGCAGCATTATGATCATATGCATGTTGATTCATCTGCCTTATTGGGGCCAAAGTTGGGTGGGAATCTGAGACGACTCCAGAGAAACTCGTGTCTGATTTTGTGTTGCTAAAAAGTGGGTCCATGGAGAAACTGGTTTGCACTCTGCTAACAATCCTTCTAATCTGCATTTCATTATGTTTACTTGGAATTGGAGCGTAATTTTGCCCTTCGAATGTGTTAAGACCTAAATTGTGACCACTTTCTCGTGATAAACTGTCGAGTTCCTTCTTCAACAGCATTTGAGAGGTTGTCAAAGCTGCCATTGAACTAAAAGTTTTTTCATCGAGTCGATTTCGATCTCCATCGTCCCAAATTGTGCTGCTGTCTCGTTCCAACTGCGCAGAAAATGAACTATGATCAATTATTATCGAACGAACAATAAAAAGATTCACAAGTTAATTATTTAAGAAGATGATTCACCTGAGCATTTTTTCTGGCCAGGGCGTAATACGTTGCACTAAGACCTGCCACCGCCAATCCGGTCCCTGCGTGTGTGGCGAAAGTCCACATACCGGCGTATCTAAATTCAGCCAAGTAATTAAGTTGGAGGGGAAGAGTTAAAGAAAGTCGTGCTAATTATCATAAACCATTGTGTATAAGCACTCAACATACTGATGTATCACGACGACTATATAACTGCACAAATACCAAGGCTCATGGATACTGTGAAACTCTTGAATTGAATGTTTCTCATGTTGTCATATCTTCCGTAAAACTTCAAAAATTCCTTTGTTGGAAATGTTGGGGGTATGAACCGATATAGGCTTGCGTTACAATGCAATGTGACATGCGATCCAAATGAATTTAATTTTTCTCCAAAATTATGATTTTTGTAAAATTCTTTTGACAGTGTCATCTTGTAAATAATAAAATGTTACCCAGTCTTTTTTATGCCGGGTGATGAAACTTATCCAACTTTTAATTATTAAAACATGGGCCAGCATAATTTAAATACATAAGTGAATATATAAAGATAATATCGCTTATAGCTGTACTACGTTTTATTATACGTATGTAATATCCAGTAAATGAGCATTGCCTAAAACGAGACAAAGTATAGATCTGAACATCTTGTTATGTAAATGAATTCAAGTAGGAACTGCAGTCACAAATTCCTCACAACAATGCTCAGCCATCAGTGCAATAATCTGCTCTCACAAGTCTCACAACAATGCAATCCTCTAGGTCGAAAATCATGCATACATACAAACGTACGAAGGAGTGATAGTCGTACACTTTGCATCGTCATTGTCTTCTTCGTCTTCAGTGGAGATGCACTCATTGACTACACGAAACCCTTCCATTGATCTCAATTGGCCACCCATTTTAATTTATTCGCCTTTCTAAAATCGACTAGAATCAACTGAGAGCTCTAAATAATTGAAAAATAATAACACACAGAGTTTCACACTCCCCTATCCAGTCGCCATTGTAAAGGTAAGCAAAAGTCTCCCAGCAGCTTAATCAGTTATAAAAAATTATAGAGTTCAAACAATAATGCATACAAATAATAGTAATAAATCTCGTGATATAGGCAGCAGAATGAATCCAATTCACATCTCTGTTCATGTCTTCGTACTTTGCTTCGTTTGGGCACCTTGTCTCGGGAAGGAGTTTAAGCCGGAATCCTCTTCCGAGTTGCAGACTGCCTTAAATTCTGCAAATCCAGGGGACACCATTCAACTCCAGGCGATGGACTACCACGGGGATTTTTTAATGCAGAGGAGTGGGGACAAAATTCACCCCATAAAAATCCTTGGCACCGAGAACGATGATGGTTCTTCTGGAACCGGGTTGGTTGGAAACACGACCACGCTATTTCTCAAGGGAGACCACTACATTGTAAGGTAAGGACAAATCTGTAACAGGTTTAGTTAGCCATTTACAAGCTAATAATACCAGTACTTATTTATAATATACGAAGGACGCTCAACATAACCGGAATTGAGGAAGGACTTTATCTTGAAGGGAACCACAACTCGGCTGAATCCTTAGCTTTCTACGGTTTAAAGCAAGCCATCCTTGTTGAAGGGACCCACAATGTGTTTGGCTCAATTTCACTCAGTGACATTGAGGACGGGATTTTTGTTCGGGGATCAGACAACAAGTTTCGCGACATTTCAATGAACAATGCCACGTCAGGAATCATAATCGAGTCTGGAGACAGGACCAGGCTACACAACATGGCAATTCACGACAGTGAAGGGAAAATCCTCTCTCTCGTCCTCAACGAAGGGACGTGTTGTGGTCGGGTGTCTAATACCATTTACGACGGCCTTGTGGAGATCAAGGGAAACGGATACAACTTTCGAAGCACGGTTGCAAACGGGGCCATAAATATTGTTGGATGCAATAATAACTTTGGACGCAGCGTCTTTGGGAGGACTTTCTTTACGAAGGAATGCGAGAATAAAATGGTCACTTCCAACATTTACCACTTTCCACAAGATAAGCCCACCACACTTCAAACTCTTTGAGTCAATCTGTTTAAAAATCAATGAAAATGTCCACCATTTTATGCTAATGCAAAAAAGTACAAAAATTGGAATAAACTAAAATTGACAATAAGCTTGTGAATCAATTACATGGTTATGTATTTACATAAAATTATGGTTGTATGGTTGTACCAAATCATTAATAAATGTCTCAAGTTTATTTTCACAATTATATCATTTCAACAATTCGTACATTCTTGTTACATACACTTTTCTTTGATCATCCAGGCTGGATAAAATGATGGGACATCGGACATCTCCAATTAATTCTTGACGAAGAGAGACAAGGTTGTAAATTGCAACTCGTCATCCCACTGACTGTATGGTTGACTAATCCTAAGCTTATCTTCAGTATGCGATGTGGTTGAGTGAGAGCACAATAAATTAAGCTAGCCTGCATCACTTTTGACTTTGTATTTAATTGTGAGAGATAATTGGCTTATTTGTAGCGAACCATAAAAGTATCTCAGGACCAAAAGTTTGTAATGAAAATAAAAATGTACCCAGCAATTTTTATTAAGATAGCCAACAGAAGTTATTTTTGGTCGCAGTAATATTTACTTGCATTACGTTTAATTAAAGGATGCATATTTATATTCAAGCATTTTTACAGATTCTGCACAATGGGAATCATATTTTCATTGTGAAAAGCACTTATTAAGTAGCTGATCAGCCTTATCTGCAAAATAATGCTGGACGATTTTACTGGTCCGATAAATACGTATGAGTTCATGCTTTCTAATTGTAAGTATGAGCCATATAAATTTAACAATTATAACGTTTTTATCTCCACAATTTCCGTTCTAATGATGTCCAAGCCAATTCTTATCGCAAGCAGTCGTCCGCCTTTCATTGATCATGAGAGTCTCTCTTGACATACAGTGTTTATGCGATTACACTAAACTGAAACCCGATGAAGTATCAAGTTCGACGTTGTGTATGTCGTTAATTCCTTATCACTTGGCTAAAATAGTTTAGTCGCCTCCACATTATAAGCATGCAAAAACTATTTATTTAGCATACACATCCTTGCTTACTCGTTCATTCTTACATTTGTAGCCATACCGGTATGTCGTCATAATTTGCAAAATTACCGTTCAAAAACTTACGTAGACAGGCACAGCCTTGTCGGTCAAATTGACTCCCAAATATTTGACGTACCTTAAGTGCCAATAATGTCGTGATTTCCAACCGCATCACCTTTCAATTATTAATCACGACAAATTAACTTTTATTCTTTTTAGGATGGAATGTGCTCATTGTAAAATACTAATTCTACCAAAGCTCCACTTTTACCAATGCAAAAATTGCTCGCGATACTACCACCGTAGCGGATGTGTCCAGCCAGTGTTCCATGCAAATTTTTGTCAACTTAAGAGAACAGGATGGATATGCAACACATGTCAATACAGAGATTTGAAGGACATCAATCACTCCCCCTTTTTGACCAGCACACAAGTAAATCAAGACAACATAGCTCAAGCAACGCCAGACAACGCCAACATTGTCACACCGATCACAACTTCAAAAAATTTTCGCAGTACGGATTTAAAATTTTGGCATATAAGAAATATGATATTATTGAAGTGGATAATTTATTTGTGAATTATACATAAGAATATTTTGTCACCTAGTACGTCATTTAGACTTGTATCGTTACATGGGATGCGTCCATTGCACCAAAAGCGTGAGATTACGTCTCGACTATTCCAATTACTTTCCAATTCTTGAAACTGAAGTGTTATGCAACGAGATGAATTTTTTTGCAGATGAGAATCGCAACTAGCGAAGGGAAGTTTATCTGCACTACATGTAAGAGAGAAACGGGTCGAAAAATTTGCTTCGTGGCGCGGGTACTTATTTATTTACTTAATTGATGAACAAGACCTCAAACAAAACATGGTTGAGTAATTTATAGCTGCACAATTTGTATTCAATATATTTTGTTCCAGCAAATAGTTTTGCAACATGTATCGAGTGAATGTGAAGACATTACGGTTGTGGCGTACAATAATGAGATTGTGAAGCTACTTGGGGGGCATGAAGCGTGTTCCTTTCAAAGCGATGAGGATGCCCGAGTTGAAGCAGCAAAAAGACTGATCGGAGCCATTATCAGCTTGAAATTAGAAAACTATAATTTATCAGTAATCATAAAGAAATTATTCATACCCGATGCTAAATTTAGAAAAAATATTCATTTAAGAAACTTTTTCAGCCTGAAAAGTGCAAAATTCGTGGAGCACGAGAGGAACTAGTGGCGAGAAACATTAAAGTCATTTGCTATCCGAATGACGAGGATAAAAACTATCTTATTGAATCACCAATCAGTTTGTCCGAGAGTTTTAAAGAGTTGCACGTAAATAATGGAGGATGTCCACGTAGGGTCACGGAAAACGAAGAATCCAATCTAATAAATGAGAACCGCCCAAAGAAACTTGCAGTTCGTTCTGCCGATAGGAAACATAATGCTTTGGAAACACTAAATCTATCAGGAACCATGTCTATAACGGCTCTGGAAGTAACTTTTCAATGAAAAATGGTCAATTGTTGTATGTCGTACAGGATAAGCCTTGTAATTTTTTTGTTTACTACTAAAAGGACAAATACACGACTATACTGCCTGGACTCGCGTTGGTCATTAACAACCAGAATTACCCTCGTCGGCCTCTTCGACAGCAAAAAAGAGTAGGATCAGAGAAAGATGTAGAATCTGTGCTAAGTTTGTTAAAATTTTTAAAGTTTAAGCTATTTAGACCCACAATAGCTAATCGGACTGTTTCCGGCGTTGTAATCGACCCATCCCTCGAGGTGAGTAAAGTTTTAACGACTTTATCGAACAATTTTTTGATGCGAATTCTGACAAATTTTGATAAATGTTGGTTACATTCGCAGGAAATCAGAAAAGTCATTCTACAGTTTAAAGCAGCTCTTGATCAAAACAATGCGTCATCATGCATGGTCATTTTTATGGGTCACGGAGCTTGTGGAAGTCTCACACTTACGAATGAGAACTCAATCTCATTATGGACAGATTTAGTTTACCAGTTCTCAGACAAAAATTTTACGAGGTTTTCTGGAAAGCCAAAAATATTTTTTGTGGAAGCATGTCAAAGTTTTCAAGGAAGCCAGGAACGTTCGGATGAAGCGCACTCCCGAAGCCTGTCAAGGGACACAATCTCAGACACGCTGGTTGTGGTCTCGTCAGTACCAGGGAAATATTCCTTCTTGTATCCCACGTTGGGGTCCATTTTTATCCGAAGCCTGTGCTCCTCTATGAGACGCTGGGTAAACACAGAGCACCTCCTCGATATCATTAAAGCTGTAATAAATATATAAAATAAAGACTGGTCCTATTTTTTCATATTGAAAATCATGATGAGCATCAACTAACATTGAGTTTTTCACAGGTGCAAAGACTTATGGCGATGGAAGTCATTCACGCACAAAACGAACGAGGTCAAGACCCATATACACAAATGCTGGATTACAAGGATTTGATGTTCAAAAGATTTTATTTTAATATCTAGTTCAAAGACAAAGTTCGAAAACAAAGTGTTTAGGTCATGTAGATAGATAGTAATTATCGGTATTATTTCATTATTATTGAACAAATGTGTACTCAACTCACTGTATTTTATTGTTACTATAATATAATAATACCATTCATGCATTCATTTGGACTGAATATTCAATTTACGCGTCGAAAAGTTTTAATTAGTTAAATGTTGAATTACTTGAAAGCTTTTTTCCTCTCTAGCGATCTATAATTATTACTAAATAGTTTCAATTTGTAAATTAAAAATCGCATAATTACTGACTTACTGAGTTATGCATTTACATATTTTGCAGAAATAATATCCGTTGAGATACACATTAGTTAATTCAACACAAAATTGGGAAATGTCTGAACACAAAAGTAAAATAAAAATATATAGTATACTCAAACAGGAACAACGCTCGCGTGCTTAATATGAATCGGCAGATCGGCTGGACTTTAAGCTTGAATATTCTGTACATTGTTGAAAATCACAATTAAAATTAACAATTTAGGTACGTTTTCAATGAATGTGCAACTTGTTATATCAAACACTACTACGACAATATTTATTATTAAGTATATTTAACGATTAGCTGAATGAAACACATTTTCGAGTATTGTTACTCATTTTGGCTCGTGTCTGGCTCTTCCTTTTTAAAAGAAAGGATTTTTCTTTCTGTAGGAAAAGCGATTGGCAGTTCTTGCCCAAGCTGCGCTGTAAATACAAATAAACAAAACAATTTGGTAAAAAATAATTGGCACTGTTATTTACTCGTACTTAAAAATATATAGCTTTAAGATATACAATATTTATACAGTAATTTTGACTAACCAAACGTAGCTTTCAATTTCACACTCATTTTCTCCTCGAAGGATTTTGAACAGTCCGTTCTCACCCCACTTGGTGCCCCACGTATTGGCCACGAGCTGAGGACAAGGGAAAGAGTGTCATCTTAAAAGGTCTCCTGTTAATGTGAGTGATAAATTGCAGGGTGAAAAAATCGTACCCAGTACTTGACCATGGCTCCCTGGTGAAACTCTTCCCCCCAGCCAATGATTCGGACCGAGTGATATCCTGTCCGCTCGCCGGGCTGCAGCCCAGATCTCTTATACACGCCTCCACGATAGATGAAGAAATCCGGCGAAACGTCCATTACGGCTGAAACAAAGAAAATGTACTTTCACTTGAAGGGAGAAATGTGGATACTTTTGTATTCGCACAACATGAAAATAATCTACTTTACAACCTAACCAGTCAAACGGCTGTGGGTCTGGTCGACGTGTTCACTTGCCAGAAGTTGAATCACGGTCGATTTAACTCGATAAGAAAACTACTATATGAGTAACTAGTCTTGGCTGGACTGGAAAGTTGCAGGACGCAAAAGAAGAGAAGAAATGGGCATGAAAGCGAATCAGATTTTGACAGATTGAGAAAACCCAACTTTTAGATTTCTTCGTGGATTTGCTTAGTCGCCTGAACCTAACAGGACTTACTCATTTCTGGCCAAAAACATTTGTATTTTGCGATAACAAGAAAACCCAGTTTGCAGACTAAACATTTTCAACGTTACATTGTGTAGGTGGGAAAAGGAGTGAAATCGTTTATAGAAGAGTGAGCTACTCGAAACACGTAAATTTTAAGAACTCAGAATCATTCAAACATCGTCGTCGCTCGTTGCACAAGTTTCATAACAATTTAAAGGAATTTATTGTGCTGACAGCTCCATTCAATAACTTGTACGTGTCCAATTTTATTTTCCATCGACTCAAATCGAGTGGCACAAGAGCATTGTTACGATGAAGAGAAAGGTTCTACCTTGAACAGGTCCGAACGTCATAATTTCATACTGGATATCTTTCTCCTTGTTTGCAATTTTGTAAGCTGGCTGACTTTTATACAATTCCGTTCTCCCGTTGAGCGTGTTTGCTGACCGACACTGGTTAACGTCTCCCAGAGCTTTCACCTTCCGTGAAATCATGCAGGTTCCAGTAGTGCTGGTTGCTCCACTCTCGTACGGGTAACAATCCTCGTCCACAACTCTGGAGAAAGTTTGTCAGTTCATTTAATCCTCTGCCCACGACACGGTCTTTCTCAAGCTAGAGCTGAATGGTCTACAACACCATCGTTCGTACATACCCAAACTTGCGGATAAAATTCCACGCTCGGTCCAAATGAGCTCCATTGCAGCCTTGTTGACCTCGAGTATTGCACGAGACCAAGTGCTGGGCGGACAGGATTTTGTTCTCGATTCCCTTTGATTGGATCCCTAAGCGATCCGCTAATTTAAGCGAACATTAAAAAATATGAGGAGCCATTCTTTTATTCTTTCTTAAAAATTAGCATTTACATTCATCCATATTTTGGTACTCTTCACATATCTGGACACATTAATCCGAGTGGTATGAAAATGCACAGGAATTATTTATTTTTCTCACCAGTGATGGTGGATATTGTCATGGCCCAGTCAGAACCACACCAACCTTGATCTCGAACCCCCTGAATTAAGTTTGGCCACTTTGTTCGAGCGTCAAAGCTTCTGGGAATAATATTCTCCTCGTAGACAAACTTGATTGGCTCCATGCTTTTTATCTGCAGGAGCGAGGAGAAAGAAGGCAACTTTATTGTCTTAATCATCCGTTGAGTTGGGTCCAAATTGGTGAAATCACTTACCCCTCGTTCTGGCTCTAATGTACCGAGACGATAAAGTAGCCCGTCTGAAAAGGAAGAGAAATAACCCCTTGAGAATTGGACAAATTGGACTACTTACAAAGCTGACATTTCACTACCAGAAATTAAATCTTGACATCACAAAAATGTGACCAATCTCTCGCAGAGAACCGACAAAAACTCTACTCTTTAAACTCTACTCCTGTTGTACCACATGTGTGAACACCACTCCACCACTCGTTCTGTGCTTCAGGTGTTACTTCTCCACGCGACATTTATTGCTGCGCGTGTTTACTTTTCATCTCAACAATTATTTGCTGATAATAGGTTTTAAAACATTACTTGTGACTAATGGCAGGCCGCGAAGGAAAAGGGTAAGAACTTTTTTAGACTCATTTTGCACCATTCCATTCTAGTTTTGTTTTAAACTACTAGTTGATGATTTTTATTAGAAAGTTAAATTTGAACATGTTGTTATTTAGGTCTCCCAGACCGTACAGATGCTGGGCTCCCTGCAAGTCGACTTTCGCATCAGCTGCTGCGTTGGGTGTACACCAAATCAAGTGTCGTCATAATCCTGCCTTACGCCAGACAAATATTTCGACCCCGTTGACACGGTTTTTGAGGCCAAGTGTTCCGGTGCCTCAAAATCTGACTCCTCCTCCATCCCCGGCAGCAGGGAATCGTGTCGTCACGGCATGTGCGACAAGCACTACCCCCATCACATATCAAATTCTGTCGCCCCCCACCGACACCTCCTTCCCCGGAAGTTAACGATGGTGCTGATAATACAAGGTATGGTTCCTGCCATTGTATTATAGTTGTATATGTACATGCAAAACTAATCATGTTTTTCATCAAGGATCACCGGTCTGAAGAGAAAGTTGAACGATGATGACGACGGCACCGGATTATCTGATAGTTCAAATCATCATCTCGAGTACGTATTTTATTTTAAACCATGTTTTCAAATATTATTGATTAAATGTATGTGAAATAAACGCTTAATAATTCATGTTAGGGGTCGATCATATTGTCCGAAAAATTGTGGCAAGCATTTCTCTGACAAACGTGGCGCAACAAGACATGCCCTGTACTGTGGAATGACACCGGAAGAAAAAAAGGATGCCGTAATTAAAAAGTAATTTATGCACAAGTTATGAACATAAATAAGATGTGACGAAATATGTATATATATATATATGATTCATTCAACTTTAGGTTTGCAGGGGATCCAGAACATGTTTGTTCGAAATGTGGAGAGGTGTTTGAGAGGACGAATTCGAAATCATGGCATGAGGATATTTGCATTCTAACTGCAGAAGAGGTGAAACTTAAGTAAGCATTAATTTGTTCATAATGCTATTAATCGCACATATTCCAATGTAGTATGTTGTAGGTATAAGGATGATGAATCACACTTCTGTCAGACATGTGGAGATTTTTTCGTGAATTCGGGTAGCAGAAAAATTCATCAAAAATCTTGCGGTGCTACAGTAGATCAACTACAGATCAAGTATGTAAATTAATAACCTTATATATTCAGTGTAAGTTTTACAAATTCTACCCAACAATGAATTCATAGATTCAAGGATGACCCCCGTCATTGGTGTACAGATTGTGGTGAATTTTTCATATCTCATTGCGGCGCCAGAGACCATATTAAAAAATTTCACTCATTTGTTGATGCTATGAAAATGTAATTCCCTCAAATGCATGAACTCTCATATCTCATGTAGTGTAACATTTTTTTTTAATTGATAGGACGGCGAATCAAATGAAACGGGTTCATCCCCTCACTCACAATAAGAATGCAATTGGAACTGAAGACTGCCTCGATCCTTCGTTCCCAAACTACTCGGAAATTATAGAGAAAAAACTTCAATGGGTAGAATTGTTTAGTGAGAGGGAAGTAGCCAGTTCTGTATACAGAGCATTTGTTCTTGGGCCTCTGTTTCATCGCGGGACTGACTACAGAGAATTTATTCTTCAACATCCAGAACAGACGGCAAGATATTCGGGCGTGAAATCAGAGGATGGAAGATTTTTGGATATAAATAATTGGCATAAACAACTCCCAACACTGTCTGTATTAGGCAGAGGTCATATGGAGGGATTGGAGGTCGTCTTCGGTGGGGACACCCTGTTTGAAGGACCAGATGCTGGCAAGGACGCCCGAGCATTAGAGGCCTTGGAAATAGTAAGTAAATTAATGTGTATCTGCATTAACAGTAATAGCCACTTGCCATGATTTGAGGAAATGTTTTTTTTCCTACAGAATTTTGGATATTACTTTCAACAATACTCGGAAACAAAGATGCGGTTCCTCAACACCCATAGGGAACTGTCCAACTTGGCGTTGAACCCCCCAACAACGATTAAGGATATGATTGAGCATGCTGTTCGAGGTGACGACATAGTTCCACTTGAAGCGTCACTCACAAAAGTGGAATTTTCCCCTGCTCTCGTTGACAATGATGTCGTGTCTTCCTCAATCTTCTCCCCGTTGAATATTTCGACCAGACCTCGACCTATAACTGAAGCTGACATTATGACGGAAGTCGACACTCTCTTTGGCCAGTTGATGGCAGAATTGCGACTACTTTCTCCTTCAAGTTTTAATGTATACTCTGTCCTCCTCTTCAAGAAGGCAGACTTGGGTGGGGTTTCTCGCCCGAGAGAAATATTGGAAAAGCTGTTGGGCTCGGAAGAACAGACTCAGTTGGAGGCTTATCACGGGAAAGGCGTGGAAGCCAGTGATGGCGGAATAAATAGGACTCATTATGTCAACCCAGATTTTGACACCATTTTGAAGGAATTGAAGTCTGGAGAGAAAATAGCACTTCAAGTTGCTCGAACACGGTGCACCTCTCGTGAAGATGCAGAGGAGAAGGAAGCTTTCCTTCAGGTAATCTGTCATACATTATCTATAGTACAATGCATGTATAATCGAACTCTTGTTTATGTATAACAATTTCTGTACAGTATGAAACAGGTGTCGTGAATCGGAAGAAACCGCATGGAATAGTTCGTATCGTTCCACTAAATATCAGAACGGAGTGGGCAGCGTGGAGACGGCTACCTGACCATGTCAAGAGAATTGCTCAAGAAAGTGGAGAGAGAGGTATTCTGCCTTTCTCCTTCGGATCAGCAGCAGAGGATCCACTCTGGAAGGATGGAGACTTTGAATTTCCAATCAATTTGCGGCGTCAGTTGTCTAAGTCTGAACTGAAAGTGGTTAATACACCCTTTCAATAATCAATAATGTCACAATATATTATGTTGTGATCATGAATTAGTAGTCGTTTGTTATATTTTTTTGGAAGTTTTTTACCGGTTTAGATTGTCAATAAAAAAGTAAAATACGTGAAAGTTTACGCCCCCAAAAGTCCGAGTAGTTCCCTGCTGACCAGGAGTAATCCCCTTCGTTGATCGCTTGAATTAAGGTCCCATCAATCATGCAAGTATCCCGTTCACACAAGAGTTCAAACTTGGTTGGATCACTCGGGTTTTTGTCGCATTTGCTGATTCAGAGAAATTGCTTGTTTACTAATTATTATGTAAATATTTGCATGCTCTAGAATCGGCTAGACAGACATTTTTGACGTGCATAACCCAATCATGCATCAAACTTATACATTCGCAACTCACCATTGATTACAGTTTATCTTGACTGAAGAACCATACTCAACAAAATGACCGTTCTGGAAGCATCCTGTTGATAAATGAATTGTAATTTAATTTGACATAAAAAGCATGACAAACTAAAACAAGGTTGCAATACAATTATAAATATTTTTATTAACAGGGAGCAGAAACCAACGATTTTTACTGAATACTATAATCTCGAATTTGCATGACTATTGACCACTGGCTTACACAGTGGAAATAATAATAATTGTCGTCATCGTAGAAAAAACCACTCGTCAACGTCTTATTAAGTCAAGAGAAGGACCAAGGTAAAATTGGGTTTGGCTGAATCTTGAACTCGCTTATTACTTAATCAGTGGGACAAGTACTTTGAGTGCACGTGGAAAAAGCTAGTTGTGCCAATTCGCAAATTTTTGCGTTGATAGATTGAACTTCCTTTATATTTTCTAAATGAGTCATGGATGGATTACAAGGCCGGCAGACTGTGCAATTTCGATAAGAAGCTGACTCACCCAGGATAACTGAAACTCCTCAGTTTATCCATTCAGAAAGAATAACATTTCAAGAGAAATATCTCGAATGTCAGCTAAATCATAAATAAGTGGGTTAACGGACTCGGACATTAAATAATAAAATTTTGAGTGCTGTGGGCAGACCAAGCGACGCCCGACATGTGTTTACACCTTACATAAGTATCTATTACACAAGTATTAGATAAGCTGACACATACGTAATGGTAAATATGTCGTTAATTACACTTTGGAGAATTGTTCACAGGCAGATGTCACAAACCAAACAATTATTCTCCGTCTCATCGTGATTATTTTTATTTCTTCTAAATGTTGGTCTTGTATTGATGGACGAGGTATCGTGCGCAGATTATCAAATTATCCCCTCATGACCTTTGATCATGAAATTTATAATTGTTGCACTGGTCATCGGTAAACCAATTAGCATTTAACAATCTCATAATTTATGTCTGTCTTCTTTTTATACCTGTGTCACCCGCGACGTGCATTCTTTTGTGCTTGTCACATAAAAAATAATATATGCAAATTGAGGAAATTAAAGTGTCATAACTTTGTAGTGTAATTTTTTTAATAGAAATTCCACTATTTGGTTACTTGATTTGTAAAAAGTTGAAGAGTTAATATTTATGCATGTGCAAAAATTATTGAATTACGTACTTGGCAATTTAACCACTTCCTCTGGAGGTTTAATAATGTGCATTCCCATGCACGCACTAAAATAGTCGGGACAACAGTCGGGGTTGTCTGTGCGATTACAGAAACGGTCACAATAGCACAAAGTTCCCAAAATGGGTACTGAGCAGTCGTCAATTCGTCCAGGACAACACCCTCCGATTCTGGCAGCACAGTAGTCCCCCTGAAACCCGAAATGCATACACAATGGCAAATAATACAAGAAGAGACCAAATTAATTAATATTTATTGGCGTTTTGAGTTTGTGGGGAAATTGAGACGACGCACCTGAATGTCGGCAAAGGGTCCGTAGAATGCCGGTAAATACTGACCTCCAATGTTCACCACCAGACATGACACTAGCAGGATGACAAAGAACGTAGAATCGCTTATGGTCGCCATTGGTATTGGGTTGTATTTGCAGCTACTTTTGGATTTTCTCATTGTCTTTGAGCTGAACTACTTATTACTATTAGCTAATCAGTAATTAGCAATTAACAATGCAATGATCCTGCGAGACAAATGTATCTGTAGATTGATACACACGCTTCCGTTTTCGCTTTTCAATCCATGTTGCCTGATGTGAGGTAGAGAAGTGTTGTAGTCCCAATACGATTAGCGATAATATGCTAAAGCGAAATCCACTTGTGACCAATCGAAAAAATTAAAGTTCCTGTAAAACACAAAATAAATAAACGTAAGTTACATGCGTCTATAAATCAGCAATGTTTGTTGCATGGATCTGAGGAAAGAAGCCGCTTCTGGATTGCAATTGGCAGTAGAAAAAACAACACCCAACCATTTACTGTGAACTTCTCGTAGGATTCAAGCTTTGTCCCAATGTACTTAAATTTTCTTTTGTCCTCATTCAACTGACTGGTGGAAACCAAATTACTGTTCAATGCGAATACTGGAATGCCCGTGGTACATACATTAGTTTGTGTTTTATTTTCTTTGTGTTTTGTAAATTTTCTTTGGATTTGCATGTCAGTACAAGTGTTACAAATTGTTTTGCAACCGCAAATGCCAAAAACACTTTGTCCAACCAACAAGCAGCTCTAATTCATATTATTAAATTATTTTAAAAATTGTGTTTTGCTAGCTGTTTTCAAAATGAAGAATGTCTGAGGAAGTGGAACGTTTTTATTATGTAAAGAACGCATCTCTCCCATTTTGTTCATAGGCTGCAGAGCATATGCAGTGACTGATAGCTCTGATGGTCGACACTTTCTTCGAAATTTCACAGATTTGACACTCAGCAAAAATGCAAAACAGTATTAAGATGCATTTGCTTTCGGTGCAAATTTGTAGTGATTTTGTAACCATATGCATTTCATGCGTGTACTTGTGATACTTTGCTTATTGCTCCAAAGTATACATAACCAGACGAAACTATGTCGTCTTGTCCGGCAGCTGTAGCTTCGCGTGTGAGATATATTCAATATATAATACAGTTAAAAATCCCCAGTCAGGAAATTATATCCGACATATTTGCTTTCAGTATCTCATTAACAGTGCGCATTAAATGAAAGCCTTCAGTCCGCGTATTTAAGTAGTTGAGCCCACTCAAGAATTATCCGACACCAATTTAGAGAATCTGACCTTCAGTGGTTGTCTTGCATGAACTGTGTCAAATTTTAGCTTTCTACAGCAATTTTCAAAAATCTGATACATTTGACCCCACTTATTTATCAACCACTTGACCAATCGAACCCGAACCCAGCTACGAATTTTACAGAAAACAATCACAAAAAAATCACAAAATTAGCATACCTCCTTGCGGATCTTGTGGGTAAAATACAGAAATTAAATTCCTGCTGGATGCTAATGTCGAGGTCAAGGGGAAAAGTGATTAATCAATGGTTTGAAGAATTAAAACACATTGTTGATGAATTGCCAGTATTAGAAATGAGTGTAAAGAGTCGTTAACGCCAGAAACATTTAGACATTAATAATTTTATCCTATACAATGATACAAGATGTATGATGGGTGTAGGATATAGGTGTTTTAAGACATAAAACTTTGGCGAGTGTGACCACCTCTCCCAGAACTCTCATAACTCTTCACTAACATAAAAGAGACACTTTTAATTAAAATCATAAAATCAAAAGGAATCACCCAGTGACCTCCAATACATTATTTGGCACGGCTACATTACGACCATTCAATTTCAGTTCCTTCGCAATAAAGGTTAACGTTGTTAATGGATTGGCTTTTGTCCAAATTCAGTCACAAATGATGCAACTATTCTCCAAATTTCCAGAAGGGAGACGTCCGACAAAACTGTGTCTCAAAATGCCTCATCTTGTAAATCCTGGACTTCTAACGAGTAAAATATGCGATTCTTATCTGATTAGATTTCTCCATCCCTTTAATTACCGGTTGGCCTCAGAGTATGAAAGTTGGTCCAACTCTGTTCAATGACCACTTAAAAATATTGGTCTTGATGCATGTACATAAATGTAGTATAATTTAGATAAAAACGTGCATAACACTGGTTCATCTAAAAAAAAATGACTTGCTCTCTTGAATTATTCATCTTTTAAATCAACATTTAAATCGTTAGTAACTTATTTTGTTGGGTATCAGGTGTCGAAATTGGCACCGACTGCATATCCACTGGTGATGGTGATCTTGGTTTCAAATTTATTTTAAAGGGAGAGAACAAGAGAAATATTATAACAAGACAGACAACAACTGTTCTTCGACCATGTCACCTGTCAACTTGACCATTTGTTTCACAAGGAGATCTACGCACGCAGACATACAAACGGTTTAATTTTCATTTCCGTGAAATAATTCGAATCAGATTTACTGTGATGTGCCAATAACTGGCTGAAAGTGGAATATACATATTACTATTTTCTTGGTTGGAGGGTCAAAGTCAGTGGTGATTATTTAACGTGTACTTTGCTATTACATATACACTACCAAACGTGGTAATATTAATTAATTGCGATATTAAATTAGTGGACACTTGTTTCATATTTGAATATGGTCAAAAGATGTGCGGGACTGTATGATGAAGGGTCGTGTTTCTGTTTCGTGCTTGTGTTATGTAAAACTTTTTTCTAGCTGTCAAAAAATGGAGAAGTATGATTTGCAGATGAATTTGTGTCTTTCCCAGATTCCGAACAAATAGTTAAATAAGAAAACCTGTGATGCAACACGCATGTTAAAATTTGTAGCTGGACATGGATGATGTATTGCTTAATCTTGAAAACTCTGACCGACCAATTCTGTGATTTAATCAAGTGCCCAGAGTCCATGCAAGGCAAACAGTTGTTGTGTCATATACAAATCGTATGCAAATCGTATTATTATGTAACACGCATGTTACTACATGTTTCTGAAAAAATGCAACTCGTAAATTGAGGCTTATCTGTCTCAAGATCGTGTAATGACTAAGCAGCAGGACCAGATTCTTGGCACTTTTATCTCGTTATCGTCGACACCTCAATTCAATATATGACAGATTTAGAGGGAGGATTACAATTTATAATACATTGTTCGCACCACTACCTTTCCTTCTTCTTCCCATAAAAAAACATTTCACATAAGCTCTGAGAATAATCATGGAGCAATTGTGGAATATCATTCCAGAAATATTTTGATGTGTTGGAACAGACAATTGAATAACAGAATTGGATAAGTTAAGATTTATGGTCATTAAAGCCATTAAACAATTGAAAGATTGTAATTATACCTCAGACATTTCCTCTCATCACCAGCTTCAAGTCCAAACACAAACACACAATCAGCCCCACAAGATATTATTTCTGCTGTGATGTATATTACATCACACATTGGATGATATTAATAAAAAGCACAAAACACTCTCAACGCACAAACAGCCATGCCATAACCCATTTTAATGTGATGGCGAGCTGTTGGACCCATCCCTTCAACATCCCTTCTGAACAGAATTACTTACTGTCGAGAGACATTCAAGCACACAAGTTCACTTACAATTAGTGGATGTCGTCACGAAGATGTCATTTAGTTCGGAGGGTGAAGGATTCGGATGACAAAAGTGTAGCACAACTGTTGATTGGTAGGGGAGGCTGGAAATATGAGCATGTTGCATAATATACAATTAGTGATGTAATCCGATATACGGCTCGTATTATTCGGGTAACACATCAACACTCAGGCGGTGTCACTCATTCTCGTTTGTGGTTAAGAAAGGTGTATATGTTCTTATGGAACATCATAGAAGATCATCATTTCTGAATACTTGATACTGAAGGCTTTCCAGTTTAAACTATTAATTAAAAGAGACACCGACCATAATTCACACGTACATTCTTGCCTATAAATTTCTTAGCAATCGTTCCACTACAGAATATTTCCCGAAAGACTGGAAGATTTGCATCTTCTCTCAACACATCCCACGAATGGTGATTGGAAAATGATGAATGCACTCGCTTAAATTTGAAAGGAAATAGCGATGATGATGCTCAAATGGGTTGTCATGAACTGCACACCTCGTAAATTGGTTTTCTAAAGGATCGAGAGGAAGGTGTGTCGACACATCAACAGTGTAAACTAAGTATTCTAGAGAATTTAGCTATAAAATATAATTCCTTAACTTCAAATTTTAACTTCAAATTTCAAAAATATGTACATATTCAAATTATCAGATGTAGTGTAGGTATAAACTATCCTCCCAGTCTAATAATAACCATGTACATATGCACACGACGACATACATAATTTACCTTGAAACTCTAATACGTGTATTTATGCAACTGCAGTCAGATATGAAGTCATACCACTAATTACATTAGCTTATTGTTTACATTATTCTCGAGCAAATAAACGAAACTGATTCATCCACGCGAATAAAATAAGTATACGTAATGACGTATCGAGTGATGCAATGCTGTGGCTGACTATTTAATCAATAACAAAATTGAAAATGGCTTTAAGAATGAACTGAACTCATGGGAAATGTAACAAACCAACTGAATAAAGTCATAAAATTCATGAGATGGATTTAATATAAAGCGTAGCTAATCCAAAATAGATGTGCAAAATCGAATTCGCTGTATAAATTCCAAATTTTGGCACAATCTAATTTTTTCAATTAAAGAAAAGACAAATTTATTTGACATGCACTCAGTTTTATTGTTACTCGACTGTTAGGTGGGTATCTTCAGTTGGGAACTTTTGAAAATTGAAGAAAATGCCAATGAATACATTGGTTTAATGCTGGCATGATTTTATTATTTTTTTGCTAGATGGAATTTCAAATTATCGATTAAATAAATTTTCACGATCCATTTAAAATCAAACCTTTTAATTTTATGGCAAGTGAAAAAAATTGAACATGTCATTTTATGTATTTACTGCGAAGATAGACTAAAATAGAGTAAAAATCGTGTTTATAACAATGTACGTCCAAACAACAAATAATAAATAATAACATGATCCAAGGACTTATCTCCCGTCGACTACAGAAACAAACTGTGTGACTCAACTCGTAAAATTCAAAAAATAGATTTTATTACTCCGATATGAATTTTACTACGACTACTCATCGACTTTTGTGAGTAATTCCTCTGCACAATTTCTGCCTGAGAATTGAGAAGCTGAAAATTTTAAAATCTATGTACAAACCTTTTCTGCTAATGGATCTGGTCATAAAAGTGACCGAGATAAATGAGACTAAAGTTCAATTTGTTTTGTGCCAGTTACTACAACTGATTTAGTGGATTTCCGAACTGAGAATTGGCAGTCAGTACTTTTTTATGTCTCAAGATTCTAAAGTCACTGAGCAGAATAAATAATTCAGCAAAAGGTTCAGAATTCCGTACGCTTCTCACACATGAACTTGCTCTACGTATATATGCACCTTTATAAGTAATTAATATCTATATAGGTCAGCAATTCAGTATATTTTATAAAATCTTAAATAGCTGAAAATTAGGTGCGAATTGTATGCACGCACTTTTTTAAAAATGTAGATTAGATATTTAAGCTGGACCAGATTTTGCAGGTTTAACATTTTGTTGATTTACATTTTAGTGAATGAAGCGCATATTGTATGATGTACAAACTTTAACGAATTATGCGTGCGTGTATTTTTGATTATTCGTCACGTTATCCATCTATGAGTTGACCTACTCCTGCCAGTCAGCGTGGAACATGGATGATTCGTTTATTTGCTATTCTTGTAAAACCAAACAAACAAATTCTCATAATATCATCATAATGTCGTATTATGCACAAACGGACTGTGTAAGTGAGAGAGTGATTTTCTCCGAATTATCACTGAAACTTTTGAAATAGTTGAAAAAGATTGGAACAGAAATCTTGTTTGTATTATCGCTCATATCAAAATTCTGAAGAAGCGTGTTAAAAATTTCATCGGGATGTTGTTGCATCATAATTAAGCCAGCAAAAGCGCTCTCGGCCAGCAGCAGCAGCGAGTAATTAAAACTCAGCACGACTCCTAAACAATCAAAGGTGTGTGTCCCGTGTGGAAAAACGAGATTTTTCACCCAAATGCAATACAGAGGGTGGCGACCGGCGACACTCTTTTAATTAATTTCCTGGCTACAAAGTCTGCAGTGATCAATGGATGAATGCATCGTAAGCAGAGAAGTAAAATCAACTGTTTGCCAGCCTATTTTTTTATAGATTCGTGTAGATTCTGTGCAACAAATTAAGATTCAGGAACTCATTTTCTAATTAAATTAAAATCAACAATCAATCAAAGCTCGTATTTCACTAAAGCATTACACGTGCATTGCATATCCTTTATTAAAAGACTTCCAGTAGGTACAAGTATTTTAAAATGTATGTCAAGTTAATACTTACGACGTCCAGCCTCTCCAAAATTGAGCCTATTTATACACGCGAACACGTGGAACCTAATGTTTCTAATCGCCTGGACACAACATCAGATCGAACTGATCGACGCGTATTGTCACTCTTGTGCTTTGGCTTTAAGTACGCAATAAACGCACTTTTGCTCTTTTGTCGTTATAAATCGCAAAATACTTTAAGCGTACTTTTCCTATTTCCAGAGAATGTCGATGCCCTTACTCGTCCTCCCTTGAGGAACGGGATTCCCTAAATTAATGGATGTGACACTGGGGACGAACTACGGTCAAAACTACGAAGGACGACAATAGGATTTTAGTTCTTTTTGTGTTACGGGGTTCAACTTTTTTGCATGATACATGCGTCTGCTTCTTGCTACGTGAACCTTTCGTGGAATAAATGGAGCAACGATGTATCACTTTGTTCGCAACTAAATGTCAACCGTTGTTTGTTGTGTGTATTTTGTACGGACGCACTTTCACTCTCCAAGTTTGACAACTCCTTTTGCAGTGCGTGAAGTGTTGGATGATTGATAAATGTTTGCTTTGTCGCATATGGGTCGAAACTAGATGGATGGCAGGAAAGTAAAAGGTTGGCAAAAAAGTCCTAAAACTTGGTCTGTGCGTATATTGTCATCCTCTCTTCAACTACTGAACCGTAATTTGCAATGCAGTTGTGAGATAGGTGGATCGTGGAGGGTTTAAATCCGTGAACTTTTACAACCCTTCCAACCGAGAGACTGGACAAGACTGAGGCTTGCCCAGCTTTTACTCTTCATTAAAGCAGACGCAAAACGTAGCATTCAATGGCATCATGTTATACACAACGTGGAGAGTGGTGTTCATTTCCATTGTCCAATTCACATGCTCTTGGTTTCATCTCATCCAAATCCCACAAAACTTCGCGATGTTGAGATTGTTGCTGAGCTTTTTTAGCCGAGTTGTTAACTCGACATCAGTGTTTCTTCATAAAGTCGTTTGGATTAAATTCAAAGTTTGGCATAAAAACTGCCCACGCAATGATCGACAATTATTGTAAATCCGAAAATGCTATAAAATGTTGATTATTTTTGACACGATCTGTCAAACATTTTGTGTCTCATGTTACACACCCAAGTTTTTTTTTATATTTGCATACGAACGTAGTTTTAATTTTACAACGCTTTGCTGTTGAACGTGTCGTGGAACGGCCTTGATAATTAGACCATGTAAATATTATGCTACTTACAAACCTTCCTAATTGTGTGCTCACGACTGGCCTATTAATTGTTTAATCGGGCAATAAGTGACACGTTTATGGTGCGTAAAGTAAATTTGACAAGAACTAAAAACCAGATGTCAAACTTCCTTGAAAATTTAATATGCATCTGGGTTTAGAGGTGTTGTTGGTAGAACGTATTTCAACCTTTGACAGACCAAGGTTCAAAAGCACCAGGTTGGGAAAATTGATCCAAAATTCCTGACGCATAAGTGAAGAAAATGACGTATCTACACAAGTCAGAGAGTAACAGGAACCAACATTATTCAATCCATTAAGAAGATAAATGCATCACTACCACTACGTCCGTTTTTTGGGTTTCCTTTTAACAAATTAGGTGTTTGTTCTCCAATGTTTGCAAGCACAAAAGCATATTCACGCACAATTCACATGCTGTGCAGACTTCCAAATCTGTTCGTACACTATTCCGTAAGTGCGTGTCCTGGTAAGCTCTCCTCCACTTAACTAAATGTTCTGCTAACTGTTGGTCATAAAATTGTCTCAGATTCCCTCCTCCCAGAGATCCATGTTCGCAAGCTTGCTCCTTTGCCAATCGCCATGCATTTGCCAACCACGGGACGCTTTCTTCTCTTCGCCTGGTCCTCTTTTCCTAGTGAAAGCTTCTCCGACAGACGATGTTTTGAGCTGGATTTGATTATCACACTTGAAGAATTCGCTTCCTTCGTTAGTTCGGCGAGCGGATCGTGGGATAAAATCCCAGCTTTTCTTTATGGCAATACCTTAATGGCTTTGTGAGTGACTTTGGGAGCACGAGCAGACATTATATGTTTTCATTTCTTCTTTGTTTATTCTGGTGCGTTGCTACTAAAGACTGCGCGTGGCATTGTGATTATGGCATTTCTGCAACTATATGACCAACCAGCTCTCTAGGATCGAACTACACAGAATTATGTAATTTCATCATCACATCTGTTCAAGACGTGAGCTGTTCAGTTAATTTTGGTAGTTGAAATTGGATTATTTCTTGCCGCTGAACAATCGTATTATGCGTAGCATCTGCACTCACAAAATATGCATATGCTCTCTCGCATTTCCTCAAGTATTTTCGTAAGGGGGTAAATAATGGCATGGATTAGGTAACACAGAGGAGATTGTATCCTCTTGAGAAACAATTCCAGCATTTTATCACCTTATTTATTCTATTATCAGGCCTCAAGCTCAAGGAAGTAGCGCTAATCGGCCGTTGCACGATTTTACAAGCATTTTTGCTTCAATCAATGTTTATATCAGAATTCCAGTCGAAGTGGACAATTAGATGTGAACAAGATCTGGTTTAGTACCTATATTCTATTCTACATCTGTACTTATTATTAATACGAAGCTTGCATTGTAGTGAGTCAACAGGGAATGAAATAACGTATAAACGAGTCTCGTCTTCATATCTTCATACATACTTCATTCACTCCTCATCATTGCATTGATTGATGTTGGATGTCGCAAAAGGCACGACGTTTGTCAAGTCATTTGGGCAAATATTGCACAGGAAATAATCTCGCTTAAACTTATCTCCGCCTTGGCATACGCACGCATGCAAAGTAAAGCAATTCATTATTATTAAAGTACACACACACACAACACGATTGGTTGATAAATCTAAGGGCTGTATAACAATTACGCAAAATGGCCAAGTTACAAATAAAATATTAAAATCTTTGATGTCCCAAGTCCAGGAAAAACAAGCAAGTTGATGACACAAATACTAACACATACGCTACTCGTACTGGTATCATAAGACATGATTACTGATATTCAAACTTTGTTCTCTTAAAAGAGAATTTTTGAATACATGCACCACCTAATAATAATAATATTATTCCTATAATCTTTATTGAGAAACCGGATACAAATTCATCAGCTGCAGAATGAGACTTGATCAAGTGATTGAAAAGAGACAATTTTACAAGCGAACTTTGATATTATCATTGTACGCCATTTCGTCCTATGAAACCTCTAAATTGATCAACTGCTCTATGCTGGAAGCATTCAACATGTAACCAAATTAATCTCTTATTCTCTTCTATTATTGCTGCAATTGCTGAATGACAGACGGATTTGAGGGTCTTCTATGGAAGTGCAACTCAAATGCATGATTTTATCAGATCTTCCCGTGATTATTGATTTGTTGGGGAACAGCACCACAACCAACACTCGCGAGTTTATTGAGTTTGCTAGGATTGGGCATAAAGTTTGAGATTGAGCATAAGGGTGAAGGGGAGCCATTACTTACGTATTGTCGGATGACATTAGAATCTCTGGATTGAAAACAGCGACAAAACATTTAGACGAATGTATTGAAGTAGCGTAACTATTTTTTCACCGGGTCAACATCCGTTTAAATTGATGCCCCTTGATTGTTTGACCTCTTCAAAAAGGACAACGTATTGTATGGCGACCTTGCTAAAGCCCGTTTGATGAAGATTATTATGACCTAAGCCCTGAGGGTGTGGTACTGAGGTAAGTACAAAGGTGTGGACAGACAGACAGTACTTTTACATATAAAGTTGCTTCGCTACTGAAGTAATAAATAAGCTCCAAATCCGACCTTGTTAGTGTGTAACAAGAACGTGGAAGGAAAATGAGATGCAGGAGGGTGCACGAATAATGCTTTACAAGGCGATTTGTTATCTCACATTCCCAGTTTTCCATATCCGGAATTTGTATTCATCAACACGACCTGTGGTAAAAATGCAAATAAAACCACCCTGGACATATATTTACGAAAATGCATTTCTACATGCATATATTTATGTGTATGCCGTCCAGCACTTTCGAAGCTGAAGTTGCCAAATATAATTCTGATGTCCTAAATATGTTAAGGTGGGATATAAGGCACCACTTTCAAAGATGTGGCCACTGATAGAACTTGGTTAAAATGGATCAGAATCAGAATGAAGCGTACCTGAATCAAAGTTTCAAGACTCTACCCCCTCTGGAGGACTAGCTACCTCCAGGGGGTGTGGTCATTAGAAGTTCACTTATTCTTATCTGCAAAAATATTTTTAAAAAAAGCGGAATGCCTTGAAATAAAAATAACTACACTTTTATGGTCAGCTTTGACCTTAAATATCTCCGAGCGCTCATAGGCAAAATGTTTTTTTGGGATATGAACCTATGTATGCACATATGTGTAATGTATGTACACTTGTTGAGCCATTTTAGACATACACTCGAATATTGGTTGCGCAAATATTTAGCAAAATGAAGTTCGGGATGCACATGTTTCGTTTACGGTTTTGTGGGTCACGCCAATTTCCTACGCATAAGAACAATTAGAGAGAGTTTCATTAGTGTGGCGTTGGTACGGTTTAAAACGTGATCCAGTTTCCTTTTTAGATAAGTATGCATGTACGTAGCTCTGGCTTAAACTCTACTAATAATCATGCAAAGATTGGTATTCTTTATACAACTGACTATTAGCGACTCTGTATGCAGGAATCTATCACTGTTTATGCTCCAGTTCGCATATCCTTTTATGTAAGTATGCTACCGATGAAAAATGAAATGTGAGAAGTGAAAATGAAGTTATTTCCGATCCCTGGCATGTGCAAAATTAGATTATTATACTTGGTTTTTATAACTTCGAATCAATTTTAATTGGCCGAGTATTGGCATTTATTAAGTTGAACATCTAAAAGTGTAGAAAATAATTCATATACATTTAAACGTCATGCATAAAATGCCGACTGCATATAATGTACTTGGCTGACCAGAACAAATTATCGTATAGCTAGAAATATGAGCTACTTATGCATAAACTAGAATATGTTGTGTATTTCGATTAACTAAATTAGCCTAATCATCAAACAAACTACGAGCACTTATTTTACTCTTATTTTTATTGTTACTGTTTTGATAGTTGTTATTCCCTTCATTTAATCTAACTTGGTATTTATGTGGTCTATGATTAGATCCACTGCTGGATGTGTCATACCCTCGAAATCCTTTTCGACGGTTGTTGAACTCAAAATCTTCTAACACCGGCGACCTGTGCTCATGACGAGAAGGGTGCTGCGGCCTGCTGAACTCGTGAATATTTTCAGGGTACTTGTTCCCATCGTTAATCTGATTTGGATATGGATGAAAATCACGGTTCAGCTTTCTCTTTGGAACATGATCCAAAGCCACCTTCCAATCGCCACCAGTTGCCCTAATGTCCAACATTATGGCCACCATTTGATTGATGGTGAGTGATTTTCCACCCAAGCCCCAAACAAGATGTTTATCCAAAGGCAACTTTTTCATTCGTAAATTTTCTCTCTTGGCCTTCGCCATTGACAAAGGTCGCGGGTCAGATCTATCCACCATTGCACCAATAATGTAAATTTCATCTTCGCTAAACTCTTCCAACTCTTCCCTAGCATTTGGTGTCAAGTAGACCAACTCCTTGTGTGGAAAGACATCCAAGTAACTTTTGTCTGTTACGTGTATCGGATGTGTGTCGTCGTACAGGGCTGGATTGATTTTGATCAAATACTGCATGAGTCTCGAGTCTCTAGAAGCGTTGCAGAGGTGGAGGTCAAACGGCTCGTTGTGAGATCGATTCTGACTCAACATAAGCTCAATCTGTTTGGCACAATTCTTCGACTCCCTTGGCGTCATAAACTCGTCATAACTGCAATCCAACACTAGCGGACGTCCAAATCTCATGGCTTGGGCGACTTTGTTGTGATGAAATCTGTTAACTGTTGTGTCATAAAGTCGAAGAAAGAGCGAGTTTCTTCCCAGTCCATATATCACACCGTTTGGATCATCCCCCCTTTCACCCCACATTTGTCCAGATTCTTCCAATACTTTCATCCTCTCTTCCCTTCTTTGTTGTTTCTTGATTCTCTCGTTTTGGGACTTCATTTCATTTATAAAGAGAAAGTTGTAATGTCGTCTGCGCGATCCTGGAGATGGCAACGCAAGAAGTTCCTTCCACTGTTTGGGTCCCACTTTGGACGGAACGTTTATTCCTTCTTGTCTACAATTGGAAAATTCATTCATGTTATTACTCCTCAATTCACAATATGAGCATGGGTTTATTTATTTCTCAGATTTCATTTCATCACCTGTAGACTTCATGCTCCAACTGTATATATTTGACCTTCTTCACCAGCTCTTCGTCCCCTCCGGTCAACTGGTCCATTTCCTCGTCAGTCAGCATGAGGGTGAATTCTGTTGCATCGGTTTCGTCTGCAGAGGAGGAGCTTCTAAGGGCTTCCACGGCAGGGTCTTTACTCATCTCTGGTGGTGGGGGTGGAGAAGACTGGGTTAGCTCCTCTCGTGATTCGTGATCTGGGAGAGGTCGTGATCCTGAGGAAAACAGACGATGCTGACACGCGTAGGATGACAACGACGCTTTAAGCTTGGCCCCCCCACCAGGGTCAGTTCTCCTACCAAGAACAGCGGACGTATAAGTACGACCAAGAAGATTATTAAGTAGTCGTTGGTGGTTGACAAGAGGACACACCCGCCCCACACTCCCCAGTCGCCCCAACATTGTCTTATCAAACAATTACAACGTGACTTGGTACATTTAGTGAGACAATTCTTTCTCTTGTCGGATTATTGGAATGCAATGCAATGTGCACAATTCCGTTGCCGCTCTTGCTTCCCATTGACTTCTCATCTTCTCACGCAGCTCTGCTTATGCTTATGCGTCAATAATACTTTTCATGAGCTGAAAAATTAATATTACTAATAGTGAATAGTTTATGAGTTTGTAAAGTTAATTTTTGGGTAGAATCTTTTATTTAACATTTATTTAGGTTTGCAGCTCTATAATCGTTTTTTAACAATATTAATCGTACATCGTGTTTCTTGTATTTATTTCTACATCGTTCAGCTAATGCTCATGCAACTTAATAATTGTACGAACGTTGAGTGTTCTTAAAGCATTGTTTAAATAAAGTATGGGGTTGATCATACAGTGTCACCTTGTTAAGATATAGGGCAGCAGATTCTTAAATATAACATTACAAAATAACTACCTGATTGACAAATGATAACAATAAAGAGAACAAGTATTTAATAGCTGCTAACTCTGATCAGAAAATCAGTTTACAACTAGTAAAAAAACAGATTACTACTCTTAACTTACTAGCAAATAATTTTCTTGTCTTAATACGTAAAGTAAATGTTCTAATAATTTGAAGAAACATGTAAATATGCAAGTCTATGTTAAATAGACGGGCATAATTTAAAGCAATTTACACAATATACGTGTATATGGTTTAAAGGGCAGAAAGGAAAGAAGGGCACGAAGTATATATTTTTATAATAAATTTCACTTATTAGCCAACATAACAATATACCCCTCATTAAATAATAAACGTTTTAGCTCTTACATATGTGGCACACCGGATTTTCACTAAAACTCATTATCTTCTGACTTTTTAATTAAGCTTGAACTAAATCTTGCAAAGAGCAGTGTATTTATGCAATACAGAAAATATTTTCACAGTCCATTCCATGTCATGTAATTAAAAATTCACGTTTCTCGATATTAAAGAGAAATTGAAAATCATAATAAACTAGTCATAAATTAAGCACATAATTAATATAACAATATGTGTAAAAATAATGCCAGGAATTAATAGAGAGACAGTTTAGAGAGAACATGTAAAAAAAAGCGCTTGATGGAACGCCATTAACACAAATACAAAAATGAGAGCTGCCGAGAACACCAATCACTGGCACAAAAATTAATAGCAGATTTTGCAGTCTCGTAGGAATGTGTATAAAGGCTGCCAAGCGTATATGAGTTTTAAACATCCATCATCAATGTAATGTTAAATGTTGCCTCGTAAGTAGTTTAAAAAAGGAGCAACTACATATATAATTAGTATTGAATAAATAGAGACAATATAAAAATTATCGCATAGCGGATAGCATAGCTGCTGTCGATGATAATCTTTGTAAAAGACGTAACTTTAGTTTTTTGCAACAAATAAATTACTAGCAGCAACATATGTAGCTACACAATATTGAAATATCGTTGCCTACAATTTCGTGGACAAAAGCGTTACTCGAATTAGATCATTTAGAATTTTCGCTGCAGTTTGAGCAATGCTATCTAGCAGTAGAACTCTTATTAACATACTACATACTTATAATAATTAATAAAACCTCTTATCATTATCAAAATGTAATGATTTGAAATTAAACCAAATTCATATGAAAGGCTTCATTTTTTAAATTGTTATGTACGATTAAAACTGAGATTAGTTAATAAATTCTTTTTAGCTGTGATACTACAACTTTCACTATTTATAATAAACGCTTTCGAAGAATTACAACTCGTGTAGTGTTATATCTGTTATGCTGTGATAGAATTTTCTTAGGAGATACTTTCACAGACATCGTTTTGCCCAGTTTTCACATGTCTTGGGGGATGTCATAAAGCTTTGCATTCGTAATGCATTATGAGACGAATATTTATAGTACTTTCTTGTTATTATTCTTGATTGACGAATGAATTGTTACTGAGTTGTCTGTTGTTGAATTTCAATCTTTTCGACCGTCATTTCCGGGTTCATAGCAGCAGCTTCTGTAATGTTAATAAACTTTCATTAATTTCTAATATGAACTTTGTTACTAGTTAGATTATATTTTGTCAATAAAGTTATTATTGACCTTGAATCGCTTCAGCGAGTGCTTTATCATGGTCGATAGGATCTCCATCAGATTGGATTGTTATCTTTTGCTCAACTCTTGTTTCAACGACGCCATCCTTTTCGGTTTTGTACTGCAAACAGGCAAAAGTAGTTACTCGTACAAATATTATATATCCTAATGTGTAATGGAATTAGAATGAATTAAACGAAACTTACTGTCACAGTTTCAACTGTTCGAACTTTAGAGCTCACAGTTTGAGAGCTCACAATCTCACCAGTCGCCACATAATCCCCGTCGTCCGACTGCATTGCGACCTATAATTCATGAACTTTGTGATTATTTCTGTGGTTATATTTGTGAATAATAGAGAAGAGCTTTAAGGATGTATACCTTTCTAGTTTCGGTTTGTACAACAGGTACATGAGTGGTCGGTTGGGCATGGGAGCCAGGGACAACACTGTCGTATTTCATACTCTCTGTCTTCACAATTGGTGGCTCAGTCCCAGAAGTAGACACGGTACCCTGAAAGTTATATGATGTAACAATTCGGTACCATTTTAAAAAAACTTAAAGAGAAAGTGAAGTAGGTGGACATTAACGGACGAGAATAAGCAGTAGTGTACAAAGTGTTGGCAGAACAGATTTAGAAAAACGGTTGAAAAGACAACATAAAGTATAACTTGACCCGTCGTACCCCGGTTCGAAGCACAGTATCAATTAAAGTGCCTGAATCTTCACCGTCTGAACTACCTCTTCTACCATTGGAGCTGGTTCTATCGCTCTAAATGAAACGCAGGTGCAAAGCAAAATAATTGTCAGTGTATTTTTTTTACTACGGGAACTATACTATTCCGGTTACCCAATAACAAACCGTAAAACTACGTGAGATTACAGGGTTATGTGCACACCCATACTATTAGTATCAGTGATAATAAATATGTGATCTGCTCGTGGCATACAAAATATACTGGATAATAGATTTTTAACGCAAAATAATACCCCTTGATCTGAAGTCACAACCGTTGCCGTAGCCCTAACTTCTTGAGTAACCACTGTTTGTTCAGTCCTGTTGGCGTGGGTGGAGGTGGTGTGAGTAAATGTCTTCTCTTCAATCTGAAAAAAGAGTAGTTTAAACCATAATTTAAATTTATGAGTAAAATACAAAGTTTTAAGTGGAGTTGACAATTAAATTGTCGAGGGTCATAGCACACTCGCTTTCTACATACTCATTTCATTCAGCTTCAGTAGCAAATTTATGAAAAAACACCAAGGGCTACGATGGGCTAACCTGACTTGTCGTTGCATTCTTTTCCTTGTCCTCCACGGAAGTAGCCATCCTAGTGGTTACTTTGGTGGCTTTAATATGCGGAGGAGCCGAATCTCCACTTCCTTCGTGAGGTTCGGCCTAAGAACGAAGTAATTACATGCACAATGTGGTAACAACATTTAACAAACTCAAATTAAACTGTACTAAATATTCTCATTTCATTAATCATCAGCATACATGTGACCAACGTGAAGGCATGCAGCAGTATAATAATATCTCAACAGCCAAGTAAAACAAACGCAATAATAATGAAAAGTATAATAGCGTGGATCTTATTATTCTTGTGCAAGCTTTTCGCGTAGTGTGACAGATAACAAACCTCTTTGGACGTCGTGGACACTGTGACCAAACCACTTCCGCCGGGGGTCAAATCCTCAATTTTTTCATGCACATCGTGTCTAACTCCTTCTGAATCCTTTACTACCGTTTGCTTTGTGGTCGTTCTTATCATATGTAATTTACAAACAAGACGTATAACGACGCGGTCACGTAGGCAAATATTAAGTGATGGAGGTGAAGATGAGTGTGGCGGTGGATATTTCACACGGAAATGGCTAATTCTTGTCAAGTCAAGTCAAGACTTGTTCGGATCCAGCAAATAATAATGTGTGTTGGGTGGTGCAAGCAAGCAGCCGCTGAACTGTCGTCCACCCCACTTCTAACAAGTGACTCATTTGATGAGTGGCCTTCAAGCAGACCTCCGAACTTTTTCTTCTCCAGAATTCAAAATTAAAGAAATTATCATAGGTGAGTACAGACTAGGTAATTATTTTGAAACATTAAACTTGTAGCTCAATTAATTCTCTCCTTCTGGTCTAATTAATACTATTATATATTTTTCAGCTTCACAATGGACAAGTCACCAGTGGTAGTGAATTTGGTGTCATCTGAGGAGGAGGAAGATGAATTAGTGATTCGGCCAGTGCTACTGGGAAAACGTTCTCGTGTCGTCAGCAGTAGCTCGGAGAGAGATGAAGGTAAATGTTGTTTTCCAATTAATAAATCTCAAATTAATTATATCTTTTCACGTTTTAAAGTTATTTTCGATGAATGTGTGTCATTGTCATTGTATAGTTATTGATGATGACAATCTGGTTGCTACAATAGGAGCGAAACGGCTTTCAAGACCGGTTCGAGATCAGAAAGGTCAACAACAAAGGACCCGGAGTCCACCACCAACTCGTGCGCCAACATCAGGTCCAGCTGGAGTGATTACTGCAGCGAGTGGGAGTGGACAAACCGTAACGTAAGTTTCTCAACATTTGTATATTTGCCCCTCGTTTATTTGGATAAACACAATAGTTTTGTTTTTAATTATTTCAGGATTCGTGTTGTCAGACAGTATAGAAGAGTCAACAGCAAGAAGTCAACGTTGCCTGACAAATTCTGGTGCAAAATTTGTGGCGCAGGTTTTCCAAGACAAAACGCACTGAACAAGCATGTAAAGATACATGAGGGGAAGTTTAAAGGAAAATCGTAAGTCACATAAAATTAATGAGTTACTGGTTAATGTCATTATTATGCATAATAAATTATTATTAATAATTTATGAATATGTTCAAAATTGCAGTTACAAGAATAAGAAGGGGGCTTATCCATGCCCGCATTGCAATGTGGTGTTTTCTTTCAGCACCAATCTGTCGAAGCATATCAAAGAGACGCATGTCGTTCCATCCCAACAAACCATGCAAGTATTTATATACAACTGTTATGAAATAATATGGGCAAAGTATGTAACTTTGTTTTTTGAACAGGACTCTGAATGATATGAAGAATATAAATCCTTTGAATCACAATTCAGCGTTGAAGAATAGGGGCGAGGATCCGTTGGACCCAAATAACGAACAATTTGAAGTGGACGTCAAAGATATGCTCAATTGGGTGAAGGAATTTGCTGCCGCTCAACAGCGAAGAATTGACCTCCGCCCAACATCGGTCTACTTGGCTGCGTCACTCGGCCCAAATTTTGACCCCAAAATACACAAACCATTCGAGTTTGTTAAGGGATTGGATGAAGGAATCCGATTCTATATCGGCTTCAACTCTTTGACAATTGGACTTAATATCCATCATCTCCAGTTTCCCGATAATTCGCCGCTTGGGAAAGCTGACAAGGCTGGAGAAACGTGTGTCCTCCTAAAAACTTGGGGATTTGAGGGGGGCTGTCATGCCGAGAAAGTCAAACTTGCTCGTGCTTTGTAGGCATCCTTGATAGTGAGTTTCAATTTTAGTAAAATTTGTAATTGTCATTGCCTTTTTATGCATCAACATTTACTTATATTGGAATGTTTTTTTGGTTATTTCAGGAATTTGCCCTTACTAGCCAAGAATTTAAATCTAACGATGGGAGGGAGTGCAAGTTCTACAACCAGCAACGAGAACTGGGTGCGTTCTTTGAATGCTGCAGTGAGGAACAGCGGAGGACGGCGCTGGAGAAAGCAGTGAAAGGGGTCCCATTCATATGCTGTCAAGAGGACTGTCAATGCGAGGCGATTGCACATTTGAAGAATGACGAGTGTAATCCAATCAAGTTCCCTCTAAAAGAAAAGAATGTTGTCAGGCCGTTGAACATTGGCTCGGCCTCAACAACATCGCCCAAAACGAAAGTGGACAAGAAGAAGAAGAATCCTCTAGTCACCCCTGCCGAAATCAAAGTTGAAGTACACCGTCGTCTGAAAGACCTTCAGGAAAGGAGGCGACAAGACCCCGACCACGAACACCATGTATACTTTACGATTTTGGCAAGAAAACAAGATTTTCCTGGACTCCACACCGCCCGGGATGTATGTAGGGCAATAAACAATGGTGGACATGCCCAGGCCGTAATTTTATATTACGTGGGAAAAGGAGAACGTGATGGGATGAACAAATATCACAAACATCGTCCTGACCTCAGTGCCGTTGCAAAGAAAGCATCAGGTGGTGACTATTGGGTCATACAAATTGCAACCTTCAAGTGTTCTGGCTTAGAGGAAGCGGAGAAGTTGGAAGCAAAGTTGTTGGTAAGATCATAGTTTTGCTTTGTAATAAAAATTATGTTTAATAAATGTACATGCATACTTATTATTATTTGCATCTTTTTTGCAGATGTGTTGTTTACTGAAAGCTCGGAAGAAGATGACCGGAACAAATTTCAACCCAATCAATGAAGCCATGCCATGGTCGGCTTTCAACAAATTATCAGACGAGGAGAAACTGCAATCCGTCCAAATGGGAGTTGCTGGAGTTTCTCCGATAACTTTGCAAGGAGTTGTTCCCCATTTCACAATGGGAAAAATCTCATTTCCCGTCAACTTGGGCCACGCAATCAAGACCAATAAGATTTTGGATGTCACCAGCGTTGCCCCTTCTAAGGATTAATATTTTACATTGTACGTTGTTTTTCATTTACGTTATACGACTGTCACACTCATTTCCACTTCTACTTAATATTTGCCTACTTCAACGTCTCATTATATGAAATTGGATGTAATTTTATACAAGTAATACATATTTTTTGTGTACTTCACAATCTTTGGAGCACTGCCTGCTAGGGCTGCTTTGTTTTCCAAAATCATTCCCATATTGGAACCACCCTTTCTGCTGTTTCGCTTCCCTCGTTTGCTGCTACCTCTGCGAGGGGGGTCTTGAAGCTCGCCCGTTTCTGGAACTTTGTTTTCTGTATAATCTTCACTTGACGAGCTATGAATGCTATCATCATCATCCGAATTGCTAGAACTGCTTCCAGTTGCAGATCTAACCCGTTTTTGCTGTTGTGCAAGTCCCTCCTCGTCATCAACGCTGCTTGAACCCCTTTCCGGAGTTTCCTCAACGTGATATGAAGGAAATGTCCCCGTTCCTGGATGAGTTATCATTGATGCAGATTGATGTTGGTAAGGTCTTGATGGCGTAACATATGAAAACGTGTCTCCTCGTCGACTTGGACTCAACTCTCGGAAGCCATTTCCGCTAACACTAGAAAACGGAGTTGATGTAGATAAAGGCTGAAGGTTATCCCGACGTTCCCCAAAACTTCTGCTCTGATTATCTGAATTACCACTACCATTACCATCCCCAGGAATGGGAGAAAGAGGTTTGCTTAGAAAACTTGTTGTATATCCGGGTTGTGTAAAGATTGAGGACGTCATCCTAGAACCTCTGGCAGTTGGACTGGTACTCAAGTCAGGAGGAGTGTATGGCGAGGTGGTGGTCAATATTCTAGAGCTTTCTCTTGGACTGGTGCTTAGCTCGGAAGGAGGATTGTTGTAGGCTCCACTTGTGGAACTGGCAGAACTCCATGGTCTTGGGGTATAGAGGTGAGTTGGTGAGGGTGTCTTAATTTGAGGTTGCTGATAAGTACTTGTTGGAACAGGAGACGGCCGACTGGAAATAGCCCTATTTTCGTTTATAAACTGTTCTACATCAAAGCCCTTGTCCTTCTCAGGGGTCGTTATTGGAGTGCCGGCTGGCGTGTATTTCCCAGCAGTACTTTGTGGAGAACCATGATCTCCTCCAGCTCCCTGGGCCATATCCTGAATCATCTTGTTTCTTCGCTCAGCACTTTCTTTCAACTTTTCGGAATCTCCTGGAGCATAGTTGAAAGCAAGACCTTTAGATTTACGAGTTCCGGGCGATTTGTCATAAGTTTCAGGACTCGACAAAACAGAATCGCTGCCAGTTCCAGATTGGTCTCGCCCTTCATACGTGAAGGCCCCTCCAGGGATTTTCTTTTGCTTGTTTCCAGTACCACTACTTGGCCTTTCCTCATATTCATATTCCTTTGTGTACTCAATATTTCTGGGTGAGCCCATTGACCGATCTTGATCCGTCGTGGGCGACCGAGACGAGCTGGATGGTGAAGTAGATTGTTCTGGGGATGTGGGCGAAGCAGGCCCTTCTGATGCTTTGCCATTCATTGCTTTTTTGCCAAAGAAGCCACCACTGAAGAAGCCGCCAGTCTACAATCGAGAAACGAAATAAAATGCATGCAAAATAAAAAATAAAACGATACTACATAATTTTGAAATAAAACGAGAATTATAACAACTTGAATAATCATAATAATAATTTGTACTAAAGAATTTCGAAAATAACTGGATCATGCGAGTGAAAAATTGCTCAAAATTGACGGTACAACTACTTTTTAACTAGCAAGTGCAAACTTTTGATACTTTAATGTTTAAAAATAGCAAGGCTCCAGAGAGTATTTAAATGCTACTCTTGATATAGCTGGACAATGGACCGACATAATAAATCCTCTTTTTGCATTCCGAAACGAACTGTACCTTCTTTTTGGATGGAGTAGTTTCGGAGCCACCGTTGGTAAATTCCGTGGTCAAAGCCATCGCTTCCTTGTCCTTCTTCTTCCTCGTCTCTTTTTTGGGTGGTTCCACAATTTCGACTTCCAAGCCCTCGGGAAGCTTACCCTCCTTCTTCTTCTCCTTCGTGAAGCTTATGGGTGGGAGAACAGCCACACCTCCTATTGGTTTCTGCCATCACCAAACATTTATCGTGTTAGAATAACCATTTTGCAGAACACAACTAAATTTAACATTAGGTAGATGGGTAATATTATGTATATATAGTGCACATTCAACAAAGGCCATTCCACATATCAACCAAATATAATTTGAACATAAAATTAAAATAATGTGCATATACGCAGAGAGTGAAATATGAATGAATGATCAGTTCATGAAGATTCCATTCCACTATGAAATGAATTTAATGAGAATGAAGTACATGAATACGTAAATAAGTATTAGCATAATCTATATAAATAGTGTCAGAGATCTGATTTAGAAGGGCAACCGTACAATACTTTGTTAACAAAAGCAAAATGAGCAACAATTTTCAATTCATACATAACTACGTACTTTCCTTAATGGGAATGATATATATGGACAGATAGATTCCAACGGATGTGCAAAGGGCAGTTTAAATTTAAGGCATTTTCAAAAATATGAGTAGGGAGACCAAGTTTTATTATATTTAGCAAAGAAGGTCAGAATCTGGTCACATAAGACAGGTAGGAAAATAGGTAGAAAGGAAAAGGCTTATGTAATAAAAAAGATTGAAAGAAGACAAACGTGAAGATATGCATATTAAAACTTGGCATAAAATTGACCAACAGTTCACGGTACTTGTTACTGCTTTCACCAGACAGACAGCACAGCGCATCGTCGGCTTATATTTGTCAAAAGTACCTGAAGAAAGGCTGTGGTCTCGATGCAAATGGATTTTCGTTTTGAACGGAAAGCTAGTACGTCTAGTAGTGCATATGAGGTATGTTGTTGGTCAGGGTCAAAGAAGGAGGCAACCCCTTCGAGGTGTGATGGCTTGTAACAACCAGTGTCACCACTCAGCATGTTCAAACCATTCAGATAAGCGAGGTCCGGCAAAGAGCGTACCTTTGCCGATATTTGTTTCCTCGTCTCATCCACCTTGGACGACGACCCGGATGGGCCTTGAAGAAATTCGTCCAAGGAGTCTCCGTCTTTCGTGTCATATTCCCCTTCATCCGAGCTATCCGTCATAGTTCCTTCCAGTGAACCGTACTGGGCCAACCATTACAGCAATTAGTACGTTATTTACAATTAAAGCATACCACAAATTCCGACACCACCACCGCATGGAAACAAATGTTACCCATCACCCACAAGCTTTTAAGTCTATATTTAGCAATGATCGGAGGGCTTTCTCGGTAGTCGGCTTGCTCGCTGCGATTTGTTTTCCTTCTTTTATCCTTTGGTGAGGACATACCAAGCGAGAGAAAGAAAGAAGTGGTGTTGTGTTGTTTGAGAAACGAGCTAACGAGTATGTGCTGCATAATATAATGGCTAAAATGCAATGGGTGAGATATGCACTCTCAAGTTGTTTCAAAACTACCAAAGTGCTCAAACAACTTTTTCTTGCGACGGTAAACTCTGAGAATATAGAAATTAATGCACTCTCTCAGATATTACGGAAAACCTATTAATTGACATACGGACGAATACATTTGGCATCATCCTGGTCAATTTTGAACAGGCACAGTCTGTCTAACATCTCGGTACTTTATATTATGTATTGGTGAAAACTTGGGACTCAGGAAACTCACCTTGTCCTTTTTCTGGTCAGCCTTTGAAGGACTTACAGGGATTGGTTCAGGGGGCAATGTGTGCCGTTTACTACTTTCAAATCCTTCCATTGATCCATGCCTACCTAACGCTATAAAAAAAGATTCATTTATATTCAAATTGCTCATACATATTCCATAAGTTGAAGGATAAAAGTGAAGGGTCATAATGATGATAATAATAATAATATCAAAGTACCATCCACGCTCCTTGATGACGCAATATTCCTCCCACTTAAGCTTCTTTCGAATCTCGGTGGAACTCGGTCAATTGTGGCATTTTTAGTTTCAAAAAATGTTCGACCAGAGTAACGGAACTTGGAACCGAATCGGGGAAAGAAACCGGACTTCATTGGTGGCTCCGGAGCCATCAGCCTAGATAATTAAGTAAAAGCGTTAAACCTCTTTAACTTCAATGTGCGCATTTTATACTTCTATGTATGCATACTACATAGTCTTGTAGTCATTACAAAAAATACCTAAAAAATGTATGGTGCTCAACACAGGTTTTCCAACAAAGTTTTGCTGCCCTTCGGTTGGGAAGCTTGAAGACCACCGTTGGTTCGTACTGCTCAAATTCACCAGGACGCACCTTAATGTAGAAATACTGGCGCTTGTAGGAGATTTTCAATATTTTAGGCCAAGCAAATCTATTAATCCTCAATCTGCAAGAAAAGGAAAGAACAACAAATTCTAGTAACTCGGTTAACTGTCTCAAGCCATAATAAACAAATATTATAACAATCTTAATGGTCATACCTATCTCTATACACGGTTAACCCAGTGGAACACACGCCTAATTTTATGTCCAAGCCTTCCGAGTCCTTTGCCTGTATGAAAACAAGTAAATAATATTACCCATGTTTTTCCAGGTGACGAATTATATCATTCACTTACCGGATGAAGGCTAACACCATACATGGCTAATTTCTTTGATTGGATTAAGAATGAAATTCATTGACATTAGTTTATCGCATAATCATGAAAAATAAAATAGTAGCAAACAGGGTGGCTTGGAAATGGAATTTAAAGGTATCAAAAGGGGAAGTCCTTCACACTTTTACAACTTTAAACCACTCCAAACCACTATGTTGCATTGTTTTGCTCACTTTTGCATTCTCCAAATACATTAGCTCTGCCTCTGCCGGAGTTTGACCCCTAGTAAAGTGACCAACATTGTGTTTATTTCTTTACTCTATAATTAAATGACAATACACAATGTTGAGGTACGAACTTGTGGGTCTTATGGAGTTCAATAACTTTCATCTCCAGCTCTGGGGTCTGATTTGGGGCAAATTTGAATTCTCGTAAATAGGAATCTCCATGTCCTTCCGGGTCGTAATCACCCTTCTCGGATTGAACCAAAAAAGATCCCAGTAGAGCATGGGTAACAAAGGAGCAGGGTAGCCTGAAAAAGTACAAATAAAAATATGCATATCGTTTATAACTCCTAGAAAGCATACATAAATATACATAAATATTGACATCGGTCAGTATACCTCTCATTAAGAATATCGTTCCGCACTTGGAGACAGAGTTGGTATCGAGTGATATCTTCGTGCAACTGAGCTACAATAACCAGTTACAGAAAAAATTATCATCAAATAATGATGAACCAAAAAAAATGCATTTGTCTGTCAAAAATTTGTCTACTTACCTGGCTCGGGTGGATAGAACTTTACTTGAAAATTGAATTCCCAAGGATCATCTAAAAAAACCCACACAGTAAGACGTGAAACTATGAATTTAGTATGACGGCGCTTTTTCTGTGAACAACAGCTATGCTACTCTTTGACCACTCCCACACATTCTTTATTTCATTGTATTGTATGGACTACTACGAGAAGCAGTCTGGAAGGCAGATGAGAAATTTATGAGTACTTACTCTTCATCTGCTTGGAAATCTTCTTGTCTACCTCCACCCACACGGTGTAACCTGCCCGGTCTATGTAATTTAACCCAAAATAGTCTCTGGAGAGAGAAAGAGAGAAAAAAGATGTCATTATTGGGCAATAAATAGGCAACAGTAACGGTACAAAACAACTTTCTCTTCAGAGATTGATGTGCATACAATTCTAATAAATAAAATACCCGATTTTTAACCATACCTTTCCAAGAGATCGAGTAGTTCGCAGACTTTATCCAACAAATCTTGTCCTTTCGCCTTCCGCTACATGAACAAAAGAATATACGCTCATTAAGGTATTATATTAACAATCATCCTTGTCCGTAAATACAACTCTAATATTTATACTTCGTTTACTTAATCAAGCCATCAAAATTTTAAATCCTAATCCACTGCATTACACACATAATGTCATTAGCTGCAAATGCAAATATTATTCATGTAGTACCAGGCCGTGCGAACTTTCAAATACGAAGAAATTGAGCAGAACACGGAGCGCTTATTCATATGTCGCGATCCATTATACTGTCGGCAACCATTGTCGGGTTGTATTGAGCTAAACTTTCCAGTGGTGAAAGAACCGAGGATGAGAATTCTCTACACATTTTCAGGTATGCAGAAAAGGCGTACCATAGAAATTCGATAGGATCAATATAACTTATTCAGAGAGTAAGTAAGAAATCTGGAGTAAAGAAAGCTAAGCCTCGGTAGAACCAAACCTTGCTATAGTTCTTTCTTCGCATCATTATCATACATCTTCAATGCTGCTTCTGGTCCCCGAATAATAGAAGAAAGCCAAGCAAGCCAAATGTTCACCTTCACTTCCATTGGCTGCTTTGCTAATCCAACTGATTTCCTTCAATTCAATAATGGAAATCTCGGGAGGAAATGACGGTACGTCAGCCAATAAAGAGTCGAGAATATATAATCCCTTTTCTCAAACTTCATATCGACAATAATCAATCAAATCTCTCGAGATACATGTATTCAATAAAATAACGAAATATTATTGGGGGCAACCACGAAGAAGTTATTTTGAGCTGGATTGCGCAAACGTTATCATATCATTCATAGTAGGGCGGAATCCTTTCACGCTTGTGAACTTTCATCTAAACAACCCGAGGTTAGTAAACTGAATGGATTTGGCAAAAAAGGAAGTCATTAAAAATACCATTAATTCTTTATGCTAGAACACAACGCAGCATTGTGGGAATTACAGCATTTTGGTGCAAAATGTATTACCACGCGGGATACCCAAGCAAGTAGGTTTGCCACAATTTTTCAGTGGTGCCGGATAACGTGATCCAACGGGCATGCGGGTCCATTACAGTTTGGCCATAAAACTTTCACCGTCAAGTCACACACTCTCGCAGGACTGGGTGGTTCTAGTCGCAACAGCGAGAGAAAGCAGGCCACTATACTCGGAGTTATGTAATGGTACGTACGTATGCCATTAAACACTGTCAGCGGGGTATTCCCTGAGTCAAACTATCACAAGGATAAAAGTGTTGCTATGAAAAATCGATGATCGCTTCATATGACCACCCACTTTCGAGATACAGCATGAAACTCGTAACTAATTCTAAGTTGGAATATTTATATACATTGTACATAAATACATAACCTACGACTGCCTACGAATTCGTTTTTAGCCCGAGTCAGGGCTTGTGGAACCGTTATGTCTGTACGTGTGTCTGCAATATGCTAGCGGACAAACACCTTTTGACCAGCTTAATGTTAAAATGAGTAACTATTCACCACAAGGTCTTGGGTGATCGAAGATGGGCAAAATCAGTCAAGTGGTTGACCGATGGGGGTCATTTAGGTGGGTAGGGTATTGTGCACCAGAATTTAAAAATAGTGATAGAAAGCTGGAATTTACCACACAGATTGCTAATGGCTTGTAATGAAAGTTTCTGAGGTTAAATTGGAAAAATTTACAACCTATATGGATCCTAGGGGTATGGAGACTAGAAATGACTTCTCCGTAGCAAATACAACTTTGGAAGTTCAAGATTTAAAAGCAGCGAGCCCCACTGGTCCTGATAGTCAAAGGATTTTTGCAGGCTTCAAAAAATTTGGTGCCACACAATAGAAAATAAAAATATTAAACAAAAACCCACAGGGGTGGTAAAAGTCCGGTCAATTCAGACAAAAATTTAGAAGCGGACTGGAGCTAAAGGAAGGCTTCACTGTAGATTTTTTTTTCAAAAAGGACCCATGAACAGCCTGGAATGGGCAAAATGGAGAAAGTAGTTTTCGTTTTGGTTGGCTCATGGATTACTCACGAGGGAACCTCTTATAGTGCCCGGAGCTCCCAGCATAACCACTATGTACATTCGACGTAGATTTTAATACTAGTCCGATGATGTGACAAAATTTCCGTGTCAAAATGACATTTCGTCAAGTGGTGACGACTTTAGTGACGCGCCGAACGGTCACTTTCGCCCATGCTTTCAAAAGAGGAACGCTTTTCACCACTCGCTCCTCACTCATCTCACTTAAATCTCAACCCATTTTTTCGACATAATTTCGGATACGATGGATGGATTTATAATCACGAACTTTACTATACCTACGCCTTGTCTTTTCTAATTTATTTTTTTTGTCACGATTGTAGAAGTTAAGAATATTCACCATCTCTTGATAGGTAAAATTTACACCGTCGACATCTTCTTCCTCCCATTCCTGTGAGGTTCGTTGCGACAGACTTGCAGAAGTTTCCTCGACGTCTTGCTCATCTTCAGAATCCTCATGAAATTCATTTATTGTATCACTATCACTAATTAAATCGTATGCCTCGACATAAGTGTCAATATCACAATCATAATCAAATTCTAAAGTAATAGAAGATTCAAAGTCCGTATTTGAATTATCAACTAAATCTTCCACAAAACGCAAAACCCGGTCAACAATTTCAACATTGTTAACTAGATTTGATGAAGCGTTCGAATCTCCCGAATACCTGTCCTTGGCGATTTTAAGAACAGACTCACAAATTGATACAATTGTAGACATTCTATAATTTTTAAACTCAACGACTATTTCAAGATAAAAAATTATATTAAAAGGCTGCAAATAGTAAACAAGGATCATATTGTCAAAACAGTTAAATTGGATGCGAGTTTACTCAATGAGTAAATGGGTTGAGATTTAAGTGAGATGAGTGAGGAGCGAGTGGTGAAAAGCGTTCCTCTTTTGAAAGCATGGGCGAAAGTGACCGTTCGGCGCGTCACTAAAGTCGTCACCACTTGACGAAATGTCATTTTGACACGGAAATTTTGTCACATCATCGGACTAGTATTAAAATCTACGTCGAATGTACATAGTGGTTATGCTGGGAACTCCGGGCACTTTAAGAGGTTCCCTCGTCAGTCTAACGGTTAGAAATTCTCAACGCATCATACCCTATTATGGATAGCTGTTGTCTGTGGTGGATACCTTATCAAGTAGATATGACATTGCGTGCAATGTGTACGTGGCTCGTGGGAAATGTCGAATGTTTTACAGACATTGCCACAAACTTTAGCCCAATCAGTAAACTGAAAGGCCCAGCCCAAAATCATTCGGCTTTCACCCGCAAACAGCCCAACAATGGTGACAGAAAGTAATGACATTATCATGCTCCATCGTTGTCCTGCAAGGTATTAAGCGACCTTAGCTGTGTTGTTAGAAAGAATAACTGACAAGACAAACACGCAGCTGAAGGCACGTTTCATCGGTTTCATAAACGTACCCAAAAACTTAATGATAAGTAATTACTTTATTTCGGATAGATAAGCATCCGAACAGTTTGGGTGGACTTGTTGGTAGTTTTACAAACAAGGTTTTATTGGTTTCACATGCCCAATCTATTTCATGAGTTACACGTTACATAATATTATTATTATGTAACCACATTATATAAGTTTCTGCATTGCATGGTTTTAGGTACTGCGAAAACTAGATCAGCATTTTTGGGAAAGGTACTGCAAACTGCAGGTGTTTGCAAACGTATAAATTTGTCGTGCAACGTCAGCACTGATCTGGAGAACACCAACATCCCTGCCTAACAAAATTCCAGTCTGCTGTTTAAGATTTGTTCGATACTCCGTACTTAGAATATCTAACCAGATAGAGCTCGATGATCGATCAAACGAACCCGCATGCAGTTCCAACAAGACCTTGCCGACCTAACTCAGCAAGTCTATAAAAAGTGTTCTCCAAAGGGTAAGGATGAGAATATGACCAAAAAATATCGGTGCATACTGCATGCCAGAAATTTACACATATATACGCGTCCTGTTTTCTTTCCCGAGTTCTAGTCTGTAGCATAATACATCTTATTCCTGATTTATGGTATTCCATTTCTGACGGACTCTCGATATAGGTATACAAGCCAAAACCATCACATTTTTTGAATTGAAAATGAATAGCGGGAATAGCTTGGAAATGCTGAAAAAAAAATCGGAAAAATATTTTTTTTTCAATTGCCCCACCCCCTCCCCCCCAGAGGTAATTTTGCTGGGTATCGCCTTTTCTCGGCCCCCAAAGTCGATAAATGCACCAAACTTGCCATGGACTTCTCGTTTGGGGTCGTTCATCGTGTGTGTAAAAATGAAGTCCCTAGGTCAAAGGCTGTAATGCCCTTGACCTGAAAATTTTGACCTTTTTTTCGTTTTTTCGAAATATTTTCCATGTTTATGAAATGTTAACTTCCCCACTTCAAAACCGTACAGAAACCATATATTCTGCGTCTAATGACGGTAGTTTGGACCTCCTAGGTCAAAAACCAAGGGTACTTTGTACCACGCCTATTGGCTGGACATAGTCGCATTTTCGAGTGTCCAAACGTGGCGCGCAAGGTACTTTGGTGTCCTTTATTTACGACCCAGACCTTTTCCGCGGTCCAATTGAGGGTCAGATGGATACTAGTAGTGGTTGTGAACAAAATAAGCCCAACCAAACCCACATGCATTGTGGGTGTGGCTCAGAAAAAAATTTTCAAAACCGAGCAAAACGTCGATAAATTTTCAAAAAAGTTAAATTTTTCTTGTAGAAAACTGAGTTTTATAATGTATTATGCACGGAAGAAACTTTTTTTAATCAAATTTAAATAGTTTCACACATTTTTTTTGAAAATTTATCGAAGTTTTCATCAATTCTGAAAAATTTTTTGTGAGCCACACCCACAATGCATGTGGGTGTGGTTGTGCTTATTTTGTTCACAACCACTACTAGTATCCACCTGACCCTTAGTTAGACCGCGGATTAGCTCAGGGTCGCAAATAAATGACATCAAAGTACCCTCCGCGTCACGCTTGGACAGTCGAAAATATGACTAAGTCGAGTTAAGGGGCTTCGTACAAAGTACCCTTGGTTATCGACGTTTTGCTCGGTTTTGAAAATTTTTTTGTGAGCCACACCCACAATGCATGTGGGTGTGATTGGGCTTATTTTGTTCACAACCACTACTAGTATCCATCTGACCCTCAATTGGACCGCGGAAAAGGTCTGGATCGTAGATAAAGGACACCAAAGTACCTTGCGCGTCACGTTTGGACACTCAAAAATGCGACTATGTCCAGTCAAGGGGCGTGGTACAAAGTACCCTTGGTTTTTGACCTAGGAGGTCCAAACCACCGGCATTAGACGCAGGATATATGGTTTCTGTACGGTTTTGAAGTGGGGAAGTTAACATTTCATAAACATGGAAAATATTTAGAAAAAACGAAAAAAAAGGTCGAAATTTTCAGGTCAAGGGCATTACAGCCTTTGACCTAGGGACTTCATTTCTACTCACACGATGAACGACCCCAAATGAGAGGTCCATGGCAAGTTTGGTGTATTTATCGACTTTGGGGGCCGAGAAAAGGCGATACCCAGCAAAATTACCTCTGGGGGGGAGGGGCTGGGGCAATTCGAAAAAAAAATATTTTTCCAATTTTTTTTTCAGCATTTCCAAGCTATTCCCGCCATTCATTTTTAGTTTAAAAAATGTGATGGTTTTGGCTTGTATACCTATATCGAGAGTCCGTCTTCTTCTAGTCGGAATGAATCAGACTACATTCATAAAACAATTATAACGAGCTGTCACCTAAATCCTGCTCAGGATTTAGGTGAAACGACGTTCACGCTTTCGTCTCTAAAATTTACTCCAGCAGAATTGTCGTTCTCGTTTTTACCAACTAGATACTTAATAACTTAGGACTCTTTCAATACAATAAATTCGTTAACAAACACATTTAGGATTAGTTAGAGTCGACCTGAAAGTTTGCTTAACCAAGAAGCCTGCATTTAGTACTGGGATTTATAGCTCGTAGGTCGTAGAGTAAAGCTAGTACAATTTATGTTGGACCAACTTTGCAATTCTTTTACTCGTGTACAACTATATGCATATATCAGTACATATTTTGCAGCAAAATATCATTTCTTCTGTCTTTAATAGCAAGATTTGATGACAAGCCTACTTAAATTTCTTAGATTTCTCGTGGACAGCCAAAAACTGTTCAGACTTTCGAGTACTCTACCCTAATACTTGGTGGAGATGGGTTTGACTCTAGTCAACACACTAATGGTCCAACCAATTTAAATGTTTGGAATACGTCTTTGAAAGAATAGGAATGATTTAGAGAGACTCCAGTTGGGTTTTAACACTACATCTCTCTTGCAAATGAAACGCAACGGAGCTGTTTATGGTACATTACCAGTGATAAGTTTAACCTTGCAGGGAGAGCTGAAAAGTGCACCTAGCATAAATATTCCAGCTGGAAATGCCAGACCATCAGTCATTTTTTCTTGAAACGTCAAATGAGGCAAAATGGAAGCCACCTATGTGCCTCACTTTTCTTTCAGCTTCATCATGCAAACCCTAATTTCATGAGACTGGAGATGAGCAGAAGAAGCAGCCTAGGGTGGAATATTTTGTGGTTTATTGAGAGGACACTTTATTTCACATGTCATACACCCTGCATCCAATCCTTCCTTATCATATGCTTTACCACCTTTTTAAGCCTAATAGTTCAGCTCACTTATGCGCTCACTTATTTTTATCCTAAACCAACTTTAACTCAACTTGTAGTGTGACTGAAAATCACACAACAAATCAGAACCACATGTGGGTTTACCATTCGCACTCTCTTCTTGTAGAAACTTGACTAATCGTAAGACAGTTGACTGTCGCATATAGTCGTCCCTACAGCAAACTAATTAAAGTTGCTGCAAGACTATGTGTGTGATGGAAACACAAGATATGTTTCCCTTAATTTCATTGTTCCAGCTTTCTGTTACCAAAAAACCGACGTAACTAATCGTATGCAGTGACTCGAATGAAAAGAACAAATTACAGAGATCGTCAGAGAGTAACCAATCTCAGGAGGGGAGCTTGCGAGGTTGATAATAACAGATCTTGATGCCCTTTGGATATGTGATAGGGTCTCATGAGTGTACTAAAACCCTGAAGTGGTTTGACTCCATGGCCACATTTGCGCCCGCCACACCCACTCAAAAATGCCCAAAAAACGCTTTCACTCCAGGTTTCACTCATTCAAATCCACGCCAGAAATCCAATTTTACTCGGATTTTGAAATTTCTTTCACCATTACGCTCCCAGATAGTTGCTTTCTTCAATTCCATATCAAACTCAATTTTGCTGATGATTATTTCGCAGGCGTAATTTGAGCTGTTGATTACTACAACAATCCTCATTCAGAATTTCAAATTTTAAAAATACTAAAAATTTCGAAAAAATTGGGTTTGATATTGGATTGAAGAAAGCAACTATCTGGGAGTGTAATGATGAAAGAAATTTCAAAATCCTAGTAAAATTGGATTTTTGACGTGGATTCGAGTGAGTGAAAACTGGAGTGAAAGCGGTTTTTGGGCATTTTTGAGTGGGTGTGGCGGGCGCAAATGTGGCCATGGAGTCAAACCACTTTAGGGTTTTAGTACACTCATGAGACCCTATCACATATCCAAAGGGCATCAAGATCTGTTATTATCAACCTCGCAAGCTCCCCTCCTCAGACCAGACACGCTTCCCTATTCTTCTTCTTGATACCGGTTGAGGAGTTGGCAAAATGAAAAATATTGATGCTGTAAATACTAAATATCTCACTCTTGCCCTGACTACTTTTTGTCTTATTAATAAAGTCTTCACTGACACTTATACCAACAGTCACATTGTAACACAAGAATCATGAAATTTCATTGTACATATTTCAAAACCCTGAATGTCTTATAACAATTATGAAGTAATAAATACATACGTATACCATGCAGTTAAAAAGTATTTTTGCTGTCTATAATCGTGTTACAGCATTTGCATGTTTGTGCATTATATTGTTGAAGCCCAAAGAACAATCAGAGTACAGTGAGGATTGGCAAATAAATAGCGTTTGATTTTACTTTATGAAAATTCGTGTAATTTTCACGCAAAATTATTCGTGTGTGACAAACTAGTTTTTCTAAAGTCCAGTTAGATACCCCTCAACAGGATGCCATTATTACAATTAACGAACTCCTGACATTCACATTAGTTCCGTCCTTCTTTCAGCTACATAAGAGAATTGACTTTGTAAAAAAAACACCACCATCAACAGTAATTTTATTTTCATGTTACAAGGCAAGTTTGCAAATAATATGAAGAAATACGAATTAAGAGCAGGTGACACTTTAAATCGAGCATTCCCTACTCGTTATGCAATTTAGTTTCTTCCATTGAATTGCCTTAGGGTCTAGTTTTGATGTAACTTGAATGAAACAATGCATGAGAGCAATAACTGTCACTAAAAACACGGTTGATGCTGTGTGGGTATCATTAATTTATCCACGACACTATGCATTTGACTTGATTGTACAATACCTCATTTTGTAATTAATGTAATTATCTAATCCAGCCGAGAGGAGAAAGGTACTTACATCAATATGACAGTTCGACACTGTTCCATCCAACAAATGAATTTTGGCCATTCCCATTTTTCCCTTGGTCCGTTTCACATCTTTAGAGGACCCATTTGTCATTGGAGAATCTGGGTATGATCCATTTTCATGATGACCTTTAGGAGAGGACGGAACGATATTCTCTTTCCCCATGGTAGCTTCCGGCATGTTCTCCTGCCGCAATGAAAATCTGGACTTTTATATTTTCGTTTTGCTGGCTGATTAGTGACGTCGTGATGGGGTAGGCATCTGGTTCTACTCAAAGCTCATCTTGACGATGATGAGACGAAAGAAGATGGATGTCCGGTAGCACAGGAAACCAGACACAAATATTTTCAGGGCTGAAGAAATTTTAAAAATTAAAAGTTTTCCCTTCTACAGGTCGACACCAGTGTTCTGCAAATATAAAAGAGAGAGAGAGAGTAAACGAAGGTGTTTCCATCAAAGTAGTATAATGATAATGTCTAATAAAAAAATATTTTGGTAGGGGTGGGGGAGGAACGGGGGAGTGGAATTGGGTGGGGTGGAACGCCGTTTGAATCTAAATGAAAAGTTTATTGGGAAAACTATTTTGGGAATAATTAAGTCACAACTAAAGTTGAAGCAAAATTAGGTTCCAGTTTAGGACATCATTTCTTACTTCCCTGTTCTAATATGAAAGCATGTTATTAAGGATTACATGACGTGCATTATTAATATCTACAGCATTAACTGCACATTTTCCAAAAATACATAATTCATCTCACACTCATGCTGCATACATTAATGAACAACAAATACGCATCCGAGGTTGGGTTGTTCCACGTTAAAGTGCAATAGTAATGAACTAATCTGAACTTGTTATCATGTAAAAAAAGTTATAAAGAAAGTGCATGTCATTTTGGAATAAAATAGTAAAATCGCTTACATTTGATTAAATTATCTACAACTTAAATCCGTGCATTACGTTTATAAACGCGACATCCGGAACCGGAGTTTATGCGTTGTCAACAATTGTTATACTCAAGCCCAAACGCAGACCGCACTAGCTAAAGACCACGCATTGCAACAAATATTTGTAATCAGACGTATGCATGTACAGGTTGATGATGTTCACAAATCAATCTAGTTGTTTGCAAGTTCAAAGTTAAATGTACAAGGAATCCATTTTGTGATTAATTAAACAAGTGCTTCAATAAATATCTATGTAACCTGTTCGAAACCGCTTTTGTTGTGACTTTGGGAGCCACATTATAACGAAATCTACTCGCCACTAGTCGCCACTAATTTTAATCGCTTATAAGTGTACAATAAGATCAACAATGGTGATTATAATATATAATTATGTGATGATTACCCAATCTTACTAATTTGTCTTAAAATGCTATTTTGGCAATGCTAAATATGTTTAAATAAATCTTGTTTATAAAAAAGCTGACCTAAACAACACTGCAAAAAGCTTAAAAGGCTAATATTAGCAAAATTTTATATCGTCAGTCAATTAACCCAGTATCGTCAGTCAATGACGTAACTTTGCAACTGTCAACTAGTAACAGATGATCTAAAAATAAGTTTAGACTAAACTTACTCAAGCAATGGATTCGAATAAGCAACGAGCAATGAACATGCAAGGATGATGACGACGATGACGAGGAGCCATTACACATATGCCAGATAATCGAATTCTGCAGTAATTTACGAGTCAAAAATAAGAAATCACATCCATCACTAAATTAAATATGTCATCTTTCCTCCTGCTTGCCCTTCTTTGCAAACCTTAATGTGGCATACGTAGTCTTATCCCATTCCAAGAAATATTATACAAGAAGCAGTAATAAAATAGCGCTATATGCAAGATAGAGAAGAGTCAAAATAATAATCTTGCATAACAACTTGAAAACCCTATGGTCCAATTAAGGTCAATCAAGTGGTGCCAACTTATCGCTTTAATTTAACGAACTTAAGCTAATTCCCACTTGCTGGTTAGTGGTCTCCAGCAGAAGAATACCAAAATTTAAAGGTTTGAGAGTCGTTGGACACATGTACATATATCCATCCAAACTACAAATGACCCTTGAATGATCCGTTTGATCTCTCCAAACTTAAAGTGTCTCATATTTTATCTCTTAAAGAAGACACAATTTACTTCAATTGCATGGCAATCTAGAAATGGAAATGGATTTGCCATGGGCAAATGCAATAAATTAGATATATTGGATTATTGTCCATTCATCCAGCTATTATTTATGTAAATAGATAGTAAAACAATACAATAAATTGTTAATCGCTTAGTCGACCATTTTCTGTCCACGGTATGGTAACCAATGATTGACGTTATCATTGCTCGAGCGGAAGTAAATTATCCATACAGAAGATAAGATAATGTTCCGTCGGAAGGAAATCCACCGAAATGATGACACACCTACATCGTAAACTGATGAGTAATATAATATTGCAATGGTGATATGGTATGGTGCCTAATGTGTGTGTCGTTGAATGCCATTACGGAATGCATATTATGCGGATATTATGTGATGTGGTTATTTGAGAAGGTGACATCATTGTCATTCCCGTCATTTCCCGTTGCGTTGCGGCACCAGCTTTCAGTTGGTATGGACATTATGTATGTATTTAACTCCAACAGTTTGCAGTGGGGAATTGTGATTTAATTGCAATGAAAAAAACTGACTAAACAATGGAGTGTAGTAATATTATATCAGGGACTAACAGGTTTTTTTGTGGTTTCTCATCACTGTTTATAAATTCTTTTACTCGCCTTGCATTTGTTTTTATTCCCGTAACATAAACATTCGTTCGTACTCGCACCGAAGCATAATATGATTGAAAGGATAACAATTTTCATAACAATGGATCGTTCCACGAAATATCGTCGTACATAGAAAGTTTCTATTTCCAGACGCAATATTGTTTTTAAAATTCAACTGATTAGAAATTCAGAGCTCGATTTAGCATTCTCTCCCCTACAAAGTGATGACAAAACTGTGCAACTGATTAACTGGAAAAAGTGTTTAATGCATTCCAAGGAATGGGAAAAACAGTTTAATAAAATATGATACATATCTGGTTTTCATCTTCGCTCGCCAGACCCTTATCATACTATGAAATGCGAATAAAACAATTTCGTAAAGATTATATTTCATTTTTTGTTAGTAATAATAAACTAACTGCCTCAGTTGATAAATTCCACTAATCCCCTTCCAACAGATATCAAAAAGGCATGCATGGAGAGTAACTAACTAATACTAATATAATTGCATTTTCTAATTCGTAAATATTTTGTCACTTGGGATTTCATAGAACACTTATGTACATTTAAAGTCAAAATAGAGCCGCAGAAGACTCATCCATAATTCATTCAACGTCATATAAAATACTGCGATATCCTTTCATATCCCGCATTACAAAAAAGCTTCACAGATCACCGCTTACGTAAAAGTGACACTGGATGTATTTACCGATACCATATACCAGCATTCTAGGCTAAGCATATATTTACTTAAGGGTTGGATAAGAACAGTATCTTATCACGTACGTATTCCTAACCCTGTTACCTCTGGCATTTCTGAGTTGTTGTGAGTTTACAGGTCAAATGTTAACAAACACTTTGTAAATTCAAGGTCTATTATACTGATAAATGCAAATATAAAACAAAAATTTCCACATATATTGAAATTGAACAGTTGTAGTTGTGCGTGCAAATAATTCGCATTTCGTGGGACTTTGTCGTGTAAAAAATTCTCAATAAATTCATGAACCTGTGTATGATTTTAATGAACTAAAATCAATCCGGGGAGAAAAATTGACCCGATTTATAGTCACAAATACGAAGGATAAAAAATAATATAATTAAATGGTTTCGAAAGGAAGATAGATCAGATGAATTTCATAATGCGCTGTGATCCTTCGGAGATTTTCTGGTTACGGTTTATTTTGTAAATTCAGGAAGAATTAATTAATAAAGAAAAAACATTACATTGAATACTGAGACACATAAATAATAATTACGAACTATTGATTCGTACAATTTGCAATTGACATGACTTTTCAATATTTTAGCCTTACCTTCACCTGCTGATCCTTTAAAATTTCAGTTGCTGCGAATATTCTAAACGAGTCGTTTAAAACGACCGATCATTTTACATAACGTAAACTGTACAACTCACAAAACAGATCTGGGGGTTTATAATTTCAATACCTATTCGCAAAGACAGTTTTTTAATTGATACCCACTGAATTCGCACAAACTATTTTGAATTTGGAAAAGTTATGTCATAGTTGAGGAGGGAGGCTGGACCTTGAACGTCGTTGGTAAATTGTGTTGTTCTTGATGAGATCCTCCGAGCTTTGTTGACGTTCACGGCGAATTTTCGTGGTGAAAGTGGAGCAGGCGAGAACAGAAATTGTTCTTTATTGATCTGTGTGTATTAGAAGCCAGTCTGTAGCTCCGGAACAAGAGTGAGATATTTACGAAAGGCAAATCCCAACTGACCGAGCAAGTTGAATCTTCTTCTGCCAGAATGAAGTTGGTGCTGGTGCAATGTTATTGTGGAAAAATGTAGCAACTGAAGCCTCTCACTTCGGCCAGGCTCACACCCTGGCTTCGCTCCAACAACGCCGACGACACCCCGCGGCACCAACGTCAATCGCTTGGGAAGAGGACGCTCAACGTTACTCACCGAGTTGGTCAACCGAGTTTGCACTTTTTTTCAAAGAATGAATCAGCACAGCAGGGACGATGTGCGACTAATCGGAATTTTGGTAGTAGAAAATAGCATAGAAATTAAATTAAAATTGATTGGTGAACATATTACATAAGCAGCAGAATAAAATTTTGGGTTAACATTAAGTTGGCTTTGCATGTAAAAATCTTCCGAATTGTTTAAAAAAATTGTCCTCTTTGTGGTAATTTGCAGAAATCTCAACAAACTGTTGCACCTGTAATTGCTAAAACTTTGACTGGGATTCGACAATTTGTAATTGAGGGTGTGCCTCTATGTTACCATGTACGTCGAACTATATTGTAGTACATACCTGTAAATATCAGAAGATTGACTTAAGTTTGTGTTAATATTCAGGTGAGAAAGCGAAGGTAAAATAATTTCCTACCGGCTTCACAAGGCCGTTACGTTGGCACGCCAAAGGAACACCCGTCCATAGTGTCACCGGAATGGCACCTCCTCCAAGAAAACGCTCATCAGCCGGATCTACTGGTCCAGTTCCTGCAAACTTTCGTCCTTTTGTAGAGAAAGGACGCTGGGCAGCGAAAGGGACACTCCCACTTCCTGAACCTACCACAATCCCAGAAATTCTTACCAAGGTAGCTGTCTATGTTTGTCGCAAGGTGCTGTTCGTCGATCCAAAAATCAGATTGTTGGCCTATGCAGTCTGCCTCTTCTTCTTGTCCTTGGTGGCCGACTACATGCCTTTCCCCAAAACCTATTTTTCCTACAAGGACAACTTCCTGAATGTGTGGGTAAGAGATTAAATCTGAATATTTAGGTGTTATTCTATATTTTGTTCAATAAACTTGAAAATATTGACTTGTATTGTGTTTTTTTATATACAGTTTGTCAAGTTCAGTTGGGTATGTTTTTATGATACGTATTTCTTGCCTTTGTATAAAATTACAAAGCCTAACTTGAAATAATTTCAAATTTTTAGTCAATAACTATAAAATGTATTACACATGCAGGCCTGGACATTTGTTCTCAGTGGGATGTTCATGTATTTAACATCTTCGACTTACTCATGTGGGGATCGAAACCGAACTACTCGACACATGCTAAGACTAGTAATTGGAACTTTAGTTTGGTTCGTATGGACCAATACTTTCCAAATGATTGAAGAATCTACTGGAAAGTGCGTGATGGACCAATCAATTTTATACTCTGTTAAAACTCGTAGGACATGCGTCTCTAAAACCGGTGTGTATTTATATGCCAAGTTTACATAATACATAACTAACCCATTTAAGTTTTTTTTTCCTTTTTCGCTGGAATTTAGGGGCTAATACATTTTTATAATTACCCTTTTAGGACAGTGGATGAGCTTTGATATTTCAGGACACGCTTTCCTCCTGATTTGGTGTGTGTTCTTTATCTGTGAGGAAGCAAAGGCTATCATTGGATGGGATAATATTAAGGAGCTCATACGAACAGAGGAATACAACAGGATCAAGGCAGGACAACAGGGAACAAGTGGAGATGCAGCTCTAGGGGAAACATCGTTAAATGTTTTATCAGACGAAGAATTTGCAGAACTCAAGACACGATACAATGTTTACAATGTGCCTGCAAAAATTGTTCTCATGTTTATGACTATGCTGTGTATGCTGTGGGATCTGATGATTCTAATGACTTCAGTTTACTTTCATGTCATGGTGGAAAAAGTACTTGGGGGACTAATTGCAGCGTTCACTTGGTTTGTAATTTATCGAGGGTTGTATAAGTCTGTGTCGTTCATTGGCCTTCCTGGAAATGGGCTGTTCAAGTATAACTTTGAATCTAAATCAACAACGCCCTACGCGAAAGCAAGCTCTCAAGCTTCCTCTAGTTCAAATTCATCATCATCGACGAGTAGCAAGGCGAGAGCTGCCGGAAGTGGACAAGGCAGACAACGTGCAAAAGAGCCCGACGATATCCCAAAGTTCTTAGGAATGCCATTGTACGCCCTACAAAAAGGGAAAAAGGCCACTGACAAGAAAAGTTCCGAAAATCTGAATGCGTCTTCATAACGAGGAATAATTTTCTATAACACCAACATGATAATCATACAATGATTTAAACACACCGGTTATTACTATAATTTCATACGAAACACTTTCTTCTATAAAAACCTGTAAGAGTTCAAGTCCAAGCAATGTTTGTCAGTCACAAAAATAAGATAACCTTATAAAATCACGACGAGTATGCATATATGCTATTAAAATACATTTTATTGCTGTTTACTTCGAGAAATGTTGTTACCGAATAAAAAAAATAACTTGCGAAATTTTAATGTTGATTTGATTACATGGCATTTTTACTGTTTTGACTTGCTTGCCACAATTTTATAATTTATGTAATCATTTACGACGAAATTGACGACACAACTGACTAATATATACATATGTATGCACGTATATATGTATTTATCATCCACATTTCCACATCCACAATGTACTTGACTTTTACTACTCAGAGTCTGGTTAATCCGGGATTACGGATTGAGGATTGAGATTGGGATTGGGGATTAATTAATCCTTAACCCCATCTTCAATCCGCCAGTTTTGACTTTTAATCCCTAATCCTCAATCCCAAAAAGTTTTGAAAAAATAATTAATCCCTAATCCTAATCCCGGAGCGCATTGATTAATCTTAATCCAAGTTTGGGATTAAAATGGGATTAAATCAGCTCCACCTGCTGAAAATTCTCAGAGACTTTGCCAGTTCTCCTTTTGTTTCAATTAAAAATATGTTTCCCATAAGTTATGGGCCATAACTATCGAAATTCCATCGTTGTATTTCACAAACAAAAATTTGATATTATTAAACAAATAGGGAAGTAATTTAATGTGTGAGGAGAGGGTATTATTAGAGTATTATTATTATTAGTTATTTATGGAGAAAGTAGTTTTGGGGTAAGATGAGTTGTTATGGGAATGCTCTTGGCTCGCAGTGTAAAAACTGCGAGCACGAGAAAAATCAGTCAGTTGGTTGCGAGACTTGGGCGAAGGAGGAAGCAGAAAAAAGAAGGGGAAGAAAAACGAGAAAACGGAAATAATAAGAAGGAAAAGGAGTCCAAGGGTGAAAAAGGGTTAAAGGGTATGTTGTAGGGCACTGCAGAGGCATCACTGCAGGTAATGTGCTGGAAGAGGCATCTCTCCAGCACCTGAAAGTTTCTTATTTTTGTCACGAGAAGTGACTTTGTATGTATCTGGTCAAATTAGCTATTTTTCTCTCTCCCTCCAAGCCACGTCATCAATTTTATTTAAGTAGTCTCGTTGTGGGAATAAATTGTGGGGAATTGATCAGTTGTAAAAATCTGTCTTGGTGTCATATTTATTGTAAGTAATGAGTTGTAAAATCGTATGTAGAGTAATTTTCTCAGCATAATTTAGCAGTTAGAACCCGAGTAGTGCATTGGATATGCAAATAGTGTCGTAATTAGTGTCGGGAAGGCTTAATTCGTCACAAATTGGCGCCTGGTATGGGGCTCTGCGTTTTTGGCTGGTTTTGAGAAGTTACAAAAAATAGTTCGGAACTTATATTTTTGGCGAGGTCAAAAGTTTTCATCTTGAGAATAAAATTGAAGGGAGAGTATAGGTTAAAAATTTGATTTGGCAAAGAAGAAGGGCGGAAGGTCAATTCGGAAGGCCATTCATTGTGTGAAAATTTGGTAGTTGGGAAAAGTTAGTAGTTTTTGCTTTGTTGCCATGGCCAGTGGAACTAGGGGTGCAAAGCGGAGAGAAAGACGACAGCAAATGGAGGATGTGGTTGAGGATGAAGGTGTGCAAAAATCCAATTCAAACAGTAGGCGAAAAGAAAGAAGGCAAGGGCGAGAATTTAATGATGATGTTGTCCAAGGTGTTCAGGTTGATGTACGCAGTGCTGCAAATAATTCGAATAGATTTCAGGGGCTACTAGAGGAAAATGAAGGTCATGAGGATGATGCACGACAAAATGATTCAATTAGTGATAGTAGTTCAGTTGAGAAAGTTGTTCAAGGAAAAGAATTGCAAGATTTAGTGTTCAACTTAGCCAAGGAGAGTCAGACGACTAGTAAGCAGGTGGCAGGGATTTTAGAGCAGTTGACTTCAGTATTAGGAGGATTGAAGATAAATCAATCCGATTCTGCCCGTGCGTCAGGAGAAAGTTGGAATAGGGAGAAAGCTCTCCCTCATTTGAAAGGAAAGGAATTAGTGATTCCTAAGTATGCTGGATCTCATGAGTTAAAAACTCCATTTGACTTTTTAGCGGAATTAGAAAAGTATCGATTATCAGCGGGTCTTTCTGAGTTACAGATGTTTATGTCCATTGTTCCAGTAGCACTTTCTGGTCAGGCGTATGAATGGTTTCAATTCATTAAGGACAGTATTACTTGTTGGGATCAGTTTTGACAATTATTTCGAAAAGAGTTTCAACCACCAGGTTATGACGAGGAATTGAGAAGAGAATTAGAAGAAAGAACACAAGGCCCTCATGAAACTCTATCTCACTATATTAGAATAATCAATGGGTTTTATCAACGAATTGACCCTCGTACACCGGAATCTGTCAGGATTTCTAGAATCTTAAGGCAAATGCACCCAAGTTATAGACAAAATATTCTGAGAACTGGTGAAGAGTTCCTTAGCATGAGACAACTGGCGGATGCTGCCTTAAAAGTCCAAGAAGACATTTGGTACGAAAAAGAGTATCGTGAGCCTAAGCAGTTTTCTGTAGTAGAGCCGTCGTTAGCCTATAAAGTACCAGACTCTCAGAAAATTAACTTTAATCAACCAATTAGGAAGCCGTCGTTTACACAGAGTACAAGTGATTTACAACATAGTTCTTTTGATCCGTTTAGACATTATCATTCCCAGTCTTATCAACAGTCAAGTTTCCGCAATAATAATAATAATAATAGCGCTACTGTAACCCCAGGAATTAGGAATAACTCTATTTTTGAGCAGAGGAGGAGCAGTGACCAGGGTCAAGAGCAATCACGTCAAAATTTTAACACTCCTCGAAATGTGAGTTGGGCAAATCCGTTAAATGATCCGGGTCATGTTAGTCCTGCACCTACCCAACGTAGATCATCTGAGTCGGAAAGTAGCCCCAGAATTAATTCCTCTTTTACAGCAAATAGGTCGAGTAGTTTAGAGAATGCTACGACAAGTTCACAGCGCAATAATGTTTGTTTTACTTGCGGATCTGAGGGACATTTCTCAAGGAATTGTCCACGCCGACAAAATCAGAATTCGGGAAACGAACCCAACCTGAACCGGATGTAGGTTGCGCGGTTCAGGTTAATAATATGTCGAGTGAAAGCAACCAAGTTAAGGATAGGGAATCAGTAATGTTGTTTGATAATAAGTCTCCGTTGATTAAGGTCTCATTATGCGGTCGTAATTTTTTGGCGTTGCTGGACACAGGAGCTTCAATATCATTAATTAATCAGGATGTTATTAAGTTGGTCGAGGAATTAAATATTAACAATGAAAAGTGTTATACAAATATTAGTTGGGTCAGTGGAAGTTCAGTAAACTCTGAATTTGTTAATTTAACTACGACATGGGTCTCGGGGAAGAGGAGACAAAAATTTCATTTAGTTCCTGATTTGCAATATTCGGTTTTGTTAGGGCGTGACTTTATTCATGCAAGTCAAATAGTTATTGATATATTTTCCGGTGGCTGGTATCAGGGGTCAGAAAAGCAGGTTGGTTCCCTTTGATTCAATTCAGGGAAAGTGTGAAAGTAAAAGATCACCATCTGTCTTACAAAGCAAGGATTTACCTGACTCGTCGGTTGGTTGTTCCAAGACCGGAGGGGGTTCAACACCACCTACTAGTGACTCCAATTTTGGAAAGGGTATATACACTGTTGGTAGCGCTACTGTAGGCAAAGTCAGACGTCGACCTTCTTTGTAATGCGTTTACCACGAAATATACGCAGGGCCATGTGAAACTAATAGAAGAGTTAAAAGAGTTCGAGGAAGTTCACTTGATTTTTGAAGACGCGTCGGTTGAGTTGTATCCCAGTCGAAATGAGACTTGCACCTCCCCTCTCGACCTTGACGATGTTCTTTCAAAAACCGGCCTGACAGACGAGCAAACATTTGGTGTTAGAAATGTTATGGAGGAGTTTGCTCCATTATTTAGCAAATCTCCTGGTTATGCTAAAAACTTTGAACATGAAATTGACACCGGAAATGTGAAACCAATTAAATGCAACCCTAGACCCATGACACCAGCTAAGAGGAAAATTTTGGAGGGTTTAGTTAATGAATTATTAGCTAAAGGTGCTATTGAAAAGTCTAATAGTCCATGGGCGTCGAATACAGTTATCGTCCCAAAACCGAATGGCCAATTTCGTCTTTGTATAGATTTTCGCCCCTTGAATAAAGTTACCGTTCCTGATTCTTATACAATGAGCCGAATTGATGATATTCTTACGTGTTTGGGTAGTGCAAAGTATATTTCAACTTTTGATATTACTGACGGCTTCTATAACATTCCACTTTCCCATAAAGATAAATGTAAAACAGCTTTTCACACTCCTTGGGGTTTATTTCAATATTTAAAAATGTGTTTTGGGCTCCGGAATAGTCCAGCAAAGTTTCAGAAGGCCATGGACCGAGTTTTAGGAAAATACAAATGGAAATTTGTTGTTGCTTTTGTCGATGACCTTATTATTTATTCAAACTCTTTAAAAGAACACATTGAACATTTAAGAATAGTATTTACACGGCTGTTAGAAGAGGGCTTACGATTACACCCAGGCAAATTTCAGTTATTAAGAAGTAAAATTCAATATTTAGGTTATATTATCGAGAATGGCACAGTTTCTCCTAGTTTGGATAAATTGAGTGCATTAGAAGGATATCAGAGGCCCAGAAATGTGAAAGATATCCAACGATTTTTAGGATTATGTGGTTATTACAGACAATTCATTCCTGACTTTTCAAGCATCGCAAAGCCTCTCACAAGTATGATGAAAAAAGGGGTTCCTTTTTTTTGGTCAGTAGATGCTCAAAAGTCTTTTGAAATATTGCGCTGTGAACTTTTGAAATCGTGCAGTCTGCGTTTACCAGATTTAAATAAACCCTTTATAATTCAGACTGACAGTTCGGATATCGGTTTAGGTGCTGTTCTTCTTCAAGAGCATGAAAATATTCGATATCCAGTCTGGTTTTATAGCAGGGTTCTTAACGATGCTGAGAGAAACTACTCAGTTAGTGAGAAGGAATGTTTGGCAGTAATTCAGGCGATAAAGAAGTTTAAAGGATTTATTGAGTATTCTCACTTTACTGTCGAAACTGATCATCAAGCTTTGTGCTGGCTAATGAAAATCAAAGAGCCGACAGGTAGATTAGCTAGGTGGGCTTTAGAGTTACAGGGGTACAATTTTGATGTAGCGTATCGAGCTGGGCATTTAAATCGCACTGCAGATGCCTTATCACGAGCTGCAGTTGTTTGTACATTCGAGTCACTTTCTTTAACCAGAGAAGAGTTAGTTTCGGCACAAGAAAGTGATTTAGCTTTGAAATACATAAAGGAATTTGCTATGCATTCTACACTTCCTAATGTTTCATGCGAACAGAAAGATCAGATCCTGAAATTGGCTCGAGGTACATTTGTTTCTTCAGATGGTTGTCTGTATAAACAAATTAATCCACTTTCAAAACCATGGGAGGAGGATGTTAATGATTATAAAGTATGGGTGCCGGAAAGTTTAAAAAACAAAATTTTAGAGTATTTTCATTGTAGTTTATTAGCTGGGCATTTAGCAATTAGGAAGACTTATTTTAGATTAGAGGAAAGATTTTGGTGGAAATCGATGCGTAAGGATGTTGTAAAGTTTGTCTCGAGTTGCCCGGTATGCCAGAAAGTGAAGCCAGACAGAACCGGAAGTAGTTCTTTAGGAAAAGCTGGTGAAGTATTGGGAGCATGGGAGAAAGTCTCAATTGATTTAATGGGTCCTTACACTCGTGGGGTAAATCAGTCCAAATTTCTACTGGTAGTTGTCGATACTTTTTCAAAATGGGTTGAATTGTATTGCATACGTAAGTCGGATGCGAAAACTATTTGTGCAAAATTGTGGGAATGTTTTTGCCGGTGGGGGTTTCCTGAACAGATTTTGTCAGATAACGGTACCCAGTTTCAAAGTAAAGTTTTTCAGTCCTTTTGCGAAACGGTTGGAGCAAAATCTCTTCGAATCTCCCCTTATCATGCACAAGCAAACCCCACTGAAAGATATAATCAAACCATTAAATCAATAATCGTGTCCACGATTTCAGAATGTAAAGATTGGGACCGGAATTTGGCAGAATTAGGTTTTGCTATTCGTTCCACAATAAATGATACTACTGGCTTTTCTCCTGCGTATTTAAGTTTTGGTAGAGAATTGAGAACTCCATTAGATAACAATCTTAATATTGCTGTATCAAAATGTGTAGGCGAAAATTTTGCAAAGAGGATGGCATTTATTCATAATTTAGCTAGGTCAAACATAATTTCAAATCAGGCTCGGTATATGAGTTCTTATAATAAAGAGAGAGAAGAATCAAAATTTAAAGTAGGTGATCGCGTTTTATTAAAATGTCACCATTTGTCGGATGCAGCTAAAGGTGTTACTGCTGCCCTTCTTCCTAAATATGACGGGCCATTTGAGATTGTTGAGAAAGTTGGCAATTGAACATTTATTTTGAAGGATGGAGACAGTAGGGAAAATAAAGGAGGATTTAGTGCAGATAATTTAAAGCGTTTTGTCTTTGTAGACGAATCAACAGAGCAAGTTCACGTCTGCAGATCTTCCGAGCCCCAAATTGTACAAATCCCTTATGCATTCCAAAAAGCTGATGGGTCTTCTTCCTGGGTCAACGCGTCATCCTCAGCTCGAGGCGGTCGCTCTCGTGTGGAAGATGGCGGGCATGCCGAAGCTGACCCCATTTCCACGTCTTATTCCTCCACCACCAAAGAAGGGATCATTAGCAGATCGCTGGGCAGATCTTCAGGCGGAGGAAGTGTCTTTGGAGTTGAAGAAGAAGGAATTAGAGTTGAAGAAAAAGGAATTGGAGATGAAGAAGGCAGAATTGTGGAAAGAACAAAGAGCATTGGAAGCTGTAGTTATTCATCCTCCACCACCCCCACCACGTCAAGTTTTACCGTCGGCCGTACTTACAGCCATGAAGTACCAATGTCCCCCGATTGCAACTCCAACTCACTCCACCGAAATCTTGATTCCCCCACTTCCGTCTCCGTCTCATCCCCGGTTTCCCAATGTCGAAGTAGATCGACCAAGTGCGGAGATTTGGGCTGCCAATGCCACAAAAAAGTACGAGATTGCCAAGCGTAAAGCTGAAGAGGAACGCCGAGCAAAAGCCAAGATTCGTCGAAAGTGAATTTAAATGTATTGTATGTATTTGTAATTTATATGCGTGGCTTCGGGGGAGGGGATATGTGAGGAGAGAGTATTATTAGAGTATTATTATTATTAGTTATTTATGGAGAAAGTAGTTTTGGGGTAAGATGAGTTGTTATGGGAATGCTCTTGGCTCGCAGTGTAAAAACTGCGAGCACGAGAAAAATCAGTCAGTTGTTTGCGAGACTTGGGCGAAGGAGGAAGCAGAAAAAAGAAGGGGAAGAAAAACGAGAAAACGGAAATAATAAGAAGAAGGAAAAGGAGTCCAAGGGTGAAAAAGGGTTAAAGGGTATGTTGTAGGGCACTGCAGAGGCATCACTGCAGGTAATGTGCTGGAAGAGGCATCTCTCCAGCACCTGAAAGTTTCTTATTTTTGTCACGAGAAGTGACTTTGTATGTATCTGGTCAAATTAGCTATTTTTCTCTCTCCCTCCAAGCCACGTCATCAATTTTATTTAAGTAGTCTCGTTGTGGGAATAAATTGTGGGGAATTGATCAGTTGTAAAAATCTGTCTTGGTGTCATATTTATTGTAAGTAATGAGTTGTAAAATCGTATGTAGAGTAATTTTCTCAGCATAATTTAGCAGTTAGAACCCGAGTAGTGCATTGGATATGCAAATAGTGTCGTAATTAGTGTCAGGAAGGCTTAATTCGTCACAAATGTCCCTCCAAAACAATGGGAATTACCCTCCGAATATTTACGAAGTTACCTAAATGGAAAGCAACCTCTTTAAGCTCTTAATTTTCCCTCCCCTTAAATGGAAGTAGCCTCTCATTTTGCATATCACAAATCTGTGTAAATTTCGTATCAGTGATGGGTTTTACTACTTTTACTACAGAGTCCGGTTGAATATGTTCTTAAAAACCCTAACTCTTCATGTAAAATGTTTACTCAGATCCCCAACAGATGTATTTATGAAAAACATTTTTTTAATTCGTTTTGAATAGCTTAAAAATTATTCTGTTTGACTGCAAAAATGTGAAAAATAGCTTAATATTTCACACTTACAAATAACAAGCTTTCCACATGCTTTGGTTTCATATTACATTAATGAATGGAATCTTCCTGATTTTTATTTAAACCAAGTGTTTGTTGTTAACAATGATATAAGTGCGCATGGAAAGCTCATAAATGAATGGAATTATTTATGTATTGCGAATTTCTTAGATTTCTCTAAAAGAATATCTCTTTTTGGAAAAATCGCTGACATATGTAAAAAAAACCTATTGAAGTCTATCAAAAAATGCACGTTTGTGGCTAAATTACAAGGCTGTATGTGCTATCCATGAGTGGTTTTTACCCTCCATATTAAATTTAAGATAAAAATAATAACTTTTAAAAACGGTACATACTGACCCTATAGTGTCACTGGTTGCACTTTGCTCACTTGTAACTTCATATTCTTTCGTGGGAAGCGATTAGGTATTAATCGCTAATTTCACTGCGCCAAATTTCACCTTTTTAAGACAATTTTTGAAAATCGCGACTCTATAGTTAGTTCGATTTTATTGCGCTGATGAGAAAAAATCGGTGTACCATTGTACGTGTACCAGTTTTTTTAAGAATTGGTACTGTATAAAGATTCGTCTGGCAATTATAAAAGAATTTTTCGATATTGTCCTGCACCCAAAACCTGTACCAAGCGTAAGCGTGGAGGACCTGTTAAGTTCACAACAGTTTGAGTACCATGTGCCTTTTAAAAATGCATGCTTTTATGGAAGCCTTAACTTTAATCGTATATAAATAATACGCTTTTTACATAAAAGGATAAAATTATGGCTTGTAGATATGTACATTATTTTAAGAGGTAGTTTGCCACCGAAATCCTAATTCAAAAATAACTTTAAGAGGCAGGTATCCATGAAGGGTACTTTTAAAATATTTGGAGGGTACTTCCCATTTAATTGGAGAGGCTTTAAATGCATGCCAACAAATAGTTCATGTATTTAAAAACATTTGATACGACTTCATCTGTTAAAGTTGATTTTAGTTCACTGATGACTAAGTAAACTTATTTTGTCACTCATCTGTACACTTCATATTCTTGTGGCCGTATAATAATAACCTAGAGTGGCCAGTGGTAATGCCCACTCATTCACACTTGAATGTTAATCAAATGGAGACTGGACTTAAGTCACTTAAGCGACAACTCACACTTTAGGTCATTATTTATATGGTCATTAGGTTATTCAAATTCAATCGCACTGTTAAGACTTATAAAACAATTTAATTAAGACATCAGAAACATTAACTAGATATAAATGTGATCGACGATAAACACGACTTTAATCCCATTCCGGGATTAAAATCGGACTAAATTAATCCTAATCCCTAATCCCATTGAATGACTTGAGAGATTTAATCCCGAATTAATTTTAATCCCGAGTTAATTTAATCCCTAATCTCAATCCTCAATCCCGAATTTTTTAAAATCAATCCGTAATCCTAATCATTAATCCCACTTTCGTTAATCCCAAGACTCTGTTACTACTAAGTTCACAAAATAATTTCTGGCTTCCACCATTCTATGGATTGGATATATTGATAGTTTTTGGGTTCTTTCATTACAATAATAAATTTGGTTTCTATTTTATAGTACTGCAGTTCTTCTTCATCACACTCGACTCAGTCTTAAATCACAGTAGTTCGCTTACATAACATTGCATATTAATATTCATATCAGGTACGTCAATCGTTTTCAACTATTTTAACTGGTTTTAATTTTTTTACGTAGCATATTGGTTTGGATAAATGACACGAAGCTTATTTTTGGGATTTTGAGCTAATGTTAATAGTATTATACATAAATTGTGCTGGAAGTCTTGAATAGCAGCAGAAGAAGAATTTGTATTTATTGAGTTCGAGGAAAGCCAGCCAATTTGAGCCTATCTGGACCACCGTATGATGAAGAAATTCCTTTGCTGGTGAGAATCGTGGGTGTTATTTCTGGAAGTGAATTTCCAGCTTGATGTTTATTCCACAAATACAGCCCACCTCCAGCAAGCGCAACAGCACCAAGAAACCCCCACAGGTAAGGACTACCAATCGTGAACCCGTTTCCGCTTGGCATATTCGTAGCCAATTTGAAACTCTCCAACTGTTGCACCCTTGAATAGTACCGCTTGATGAAAGGACGATCTCCCCACATCCTCCGCTCAAATCCAAGTTGCCATAGTCGATGCAATAGGATGCTAAAGCTCACATCTGCTATAGATATTTCTGGAGATCCTAGCCACCATCGATTATCCTCTACGCAAGATGATATCATGAACACTCATAACAAAAACTAAGCGAATCCTACTAGTACTGTATATTCGGGTTTTACCGTGGGATTGAAATTCAGCTTCGCACTCATCCATGATTTTTTCAAATTCCAATATCAGATCTAAATATTTTTGAGAATCTTGCCACCAAACGTCTTCTTCTGTTATCTCGTCGAGCCGTCTCTGCAGCATTGGCATATTTTGATCCTTAGGGTGTAAGACCATCTCTGTTAACAAACTTTGCGTCCTATTCTCACCAGTCCCTGAAAAATGCATTTGATATAGAACAATTAGTTTGCAGACATTTTTTCCCATAGGCATCGCTTCGGCGATGAACACGTGTTCTTGATATTTCTTACATTTGAGTTGACTCCGATATGCAGGATCGTCGAATGGAGCTTTTGGAGTCAGATCTAAATCATCAAATGCGACTGACCCAAAGGTAAGTGCATCAATTTTGAGAGCATGGATAAGGTCGTTGAGATTTTTAACTCTTTGTTTCAGGTCATGATCTTGTGGGCAAAGACGAGGGGTTCCTACACAGTACCAAAACTAAATTATTGTCCAATCGATATCACATAGTGGGATTTTTACCATTGCCAAAATTGTCTTCCAAGTAATTGATAATGTGCTCAGACTCAGGGATTATTCTGACTTCGTCCACTAGCACTGGAACTTCTCCTTTAGGGTTTAATGCGAAAAGCTTGGCGTTGAAGTTCCGATCTCGATTTACATCAACGTAGATGGGGCGAAACTTGAGCCCCTTCTGGTAGAGTGACATGGCCACCTAAACAATGCACAACGATTACTATTATTTCCGAAGAGAAAACAAATTAAAAAGGTGAGTAAATTAATATGGATACCTTTTGTGAGTGAAACGAGGAAGGATGGTAGTAGAGCAGTAAATCAGTTCCATTTCCATTCCCAAATCCATTCTTTGGAGACGGCATCCTGACGGTTGGATCCCTCGATCCCTGCTGCCCAACCGGAAACCAACAGGTTTTAAACAGATTTAAAAAATTGTCGCTCAATTTCGCAGATTTCCTCCCACAAAAGGCGACCGACAATTCTTTGCCAATGAAAACAACCAACTCATCAAATCACCAACAGAATAAAATCGGCCTCTTAATTTTATAAAATTGGATCCCGCTTCGAGCTACAGCGGTTTACTCGACTTCTTCAATAATGTAAATAAAGAAAGTTGTTTCGTTGAGCAGATTTTTACTTTCAACTTTTTAGCATTTTATTCACATCCCTTTCTCTAAGTAATCTGGACACCTGAAATTTGATCTCGCTCAAGTCCTAATAGTCCTCCTATGTAGTCAGAAAGAAATTGTCAATCTAAAATAAAATACCCAACTTTAATAGCTTTAGGTTCGCTTCGCATTGCATGTGATTTCGATAATTTTGAATATACTCGAAATTATTATCATCATCTCGAATTGTGTCTGTGGCTGGCTGCGTCTTGTTAGGTAAACTAAACTATCGGGTATGTACTAAAATAAATTTTATTGTATTGTCTACCAATTTCGCCATGTTATCTTTTGCATTTTCTGGTAGTTAGGGTAATTTGTAGTCCAGCTTTATCTGATTGCACTTTGGTTACAGGTGAAAGGTAGTAAACCAAGACTGACTGACAGTTAAGAATAGAGCTGGATTTATCGGGAGCTACATGTATCATGATCTGCTATGACTTTCAAAGAACAGATGATAACGTGTGTTTCTAATATATTCTGTTGTCTATACTCGTATTATGGAACAACGCCAAGGAAAACATTTACAAGATACTGCGAAAAACTACTCACCTGCTGATGGCACCGGAGACCATGTTCCTACGCAGAGTGGCAACAACTTGTTGCCCGACATATTTCTTGACCTAGAGTCTCACGATTCTGGACATTTCACCGTGACCCCCGACATTGAGCACCGTCCTTCTGGAGGCAGTGGAGGGTCATCTCGAGACCAGAGCCCTACCTCTATCCTTCATGGTCACTCCGAAAATCCCACAACGACTTCTTTGGCCGCTCATTTAGTTCTTCAGGTTTGTCGAGATGGACAATCTGGAGAATCGAGAGGAGAAGGAAATATTGCACAGTCGTTACCAACAAAATACGCTTACTCTGGTCATAATATATCTACTAAGTCAGTAAAATTTAATCACGACAACAACGACCTCAATGAACATGACATAGTTTCTCCTTCATCGCCCACCTCAGTTGGGTTCCTTAAGACAACTCTAGACAATTTTAACGCATTGTACCAAGAAAAACTTCAGATGATTGAAGATGTAGGAGCACAAGGAGATACGGCAACTAAGCAATCACTGGTAATAAAATAGCAAACTAAACTCTTTATGAACACAACAAGACCATTGATTACATTTAATTCATGACTTGTGATTTGTTGTGGATTGTACAGGCAGAAAAGAAAGCCAACATTTTGGAATGCTGGGCAAAAGACGTCTGTGTTCAAAATATTGTTTTAATCCACACAGTTGAGGAACTGGAGAAGCAAGGCATTGAAAAAATGCGAACTCTACAACAGAAAATTAGCGAGTCTACCAATTTAATGAAGAAACACAAAATAGTTGTTGACTCGTACGAAGAAAGAATCAACGGGCTGTTGAAAGAGAAAGTTGTGGCAACTGAAATTCATAAGGTAAAGTTATTTTCTAGCAGTTTCACATTGATAAACATTTCATATGATGAACAATTTGTTCCCATGAATAGGCCTTGAAACAAGACCTTGATAAAATCAAAACTGAATATAAACGAATTCGAGGACGGGTTAACCAGTTGGAGAAAGACAATGATAGCCTTGTTTCACTTGTGACGAGAATTCGGGACATGGGAATATGGGATGTCGGTGGCCTGGAGTTCCACAAACGAACATTTTCTCAAATATTTGAACTGTACCCCCATTTGCCTGGGTAAAGAATTTATAACTGTAGTAAATACATAACTATACGTATATCATTCCGTAATATTAAATTTTTGTTCTATTGGGTTATGTAGAAGTGAAGTTCAAACAGTTTTTACCCGAGAGAAAGCAAAACAGATTAGGGTAAGCAGAAATACTTTTACAAATTGACAGACTCCTAACACAACTATGTATTTCTGGGATATAATTGTTATGTGTTATATTTCAGGAAAATGAAGACACTGTTGAAAAGTTGGAGTTCAAAGTTGCAGAGTTGCAAAACTTTCAGTCAAATGCTTCTCTCAGTATTGAACGAAAAGATAGGTAAATTTTACTAGAATATACAGTTCACTACCGTTGAACATGTGGCATAATATAAATTCATGACATTTTATAGTACAATTTCTGAGTTGGAGGCAGAGGTGAATCGTGTGGTGGGAAAGCTCCAACAATGTCAAGAAGAATGTGACCACTATAAGAAAAGCTTAATAGAAACACAAGAAATGTTGCTACATACGACGAAAGAATTGCAAGTATGTGTAAACTTTGTTTGCATGTTGTCATATCCATGAATGTGTTTTATTATATCAGGAACGTATCAATTCACCATCCAACCACCCGAATGATTCAGATTCAGCAAGACATGCGGAAATCCAGGAATTACTCCAAGAACTTAGAAACGTGAAAGACCAGCTTAATATTTCAGTTAGGGAAAGCCAAAGTGCCAAAGAAGAAACAAATATGATTAGAAGAGAATTTAGTGATCGCCTTCGCACAATGCAAGAAAGTCAACAGTGTCTTCAATCGGTAATTTGCTTTAAAACCACTTACATAGATATGTGCCTTACAGGGGTGGGCAAGATACTTTGGTCATAAGATACAAGATACAAGATAAGATACTTTCTAGGATAAGATATAAGATATAAGATACATCTTGTTCAAGTACACAAGATACAAGATACAAGATACTTTCCTAAAAATTGAGTAGTCAAGATACAAGATATGTATCTTAAGATACTTTTATATTAGATAAGATACTTTATTTTTTTAGCCTGATATTCATGCCCAATTAGTCATGTTTAATAATTTAAACGAAAAAATCTGGTGAGTACAAAATTTAAAATCATTCTATAATCATACAAATTTTGTTGCCAGTGCTTATATTTCTAAAAATTTCTAAGTTTCGAAAAACTAGACCTCTAACTAACATGCGTATATTTTTACGAAGTTCGTAATATATTCCCTGCTTATTCAAATCAAACTAAACCCTACAATACCTATACATTACAGATAATTAAAAGCGTAGTTACATATCATGTAATGTGCAATGCACGTTGTGCATGTGTATGTGTATATGTGCACATGAACTTATATACATATATATTATATATATGTATATATATATATATATATACATGAGTATATGTACATGTGTATGTATATACAGGTTTGTTACTAATTGGCAAAACATAAAATAAAAATTCACCAAACTCTGGTTACGCCAAATTCATGGTCAAATTGACTGACTGTGGTAAGAAATTGACTTAATTTGACGGAATTTTGAAAAAAAGTATCTTGTATCTTGTCAACCATCTTAAGATACTTTTCTGCCAGGCGTATCTAGATAAGATACTTACAAAAGATACTTTCGACTTTCTAAAAGATACAAGATACAAGATACTTCTCCGATCAGGCGACGAAGATACAAGATAAAGATACTATCTTGTATCTTATATCTTGTATCTTGACCAAGTATCTTGCCCACCCCTGGTGCCTTATGAACAAGTTGTTTGGTAATCCATTTGTAAACTATTTAATTTTGTAATACTTTTCAACTTCGTCACTAGGAATTTTCTCACTCCTTTGACACTCACCAATTGGTTCGAGAAAAACAGCTAGAGTTGGACAAGACCAAGGAAGAAGCCCAAACGTACCAAGCGAAATGTGAAACCACTGCGATGCAATTAGACAAAAAAGATAAGATTATCGAAGAGCTGCAAAGCACAATCAAACAGTTAAACAACAAGGTGAGATGCGAAGTGTATATATTATTCCACACGATTAACGCTTGCATATTTTTGCTGCTCGACTATGATACGATCCCTGCTTCCTTTCCCCTTTCCTTCTGTCTCTTAGAATGTACACTCATCAAATATGAGCTTTCTTCCATCCTTCTCAAAATGCGAACGAGATAGAGCTGCCAAGTCTGGTGTACATAGGCAAAGTATTCTTGCACACCAGAAACCTGCATGGAGTGACAATTTCGTCAAGTGCAGTACTCTGGACAATTCCCCGAGTGCGACAAATCTGTCGAGTAGTAATAAGACTGGATCGAGGAGATTTACTAAATCTCCCTGTGACCAGTTTGAGGACAGTTCCCAAAACAAATATAGTTTTGCCGATATTGGCGAAATTTCCAAGTCGACTCTCGAAGGGAGACAAAGTAAGGATGTCAATAATGATTTTATGAATTTATACTCGCCGTACAGAGTACCATCCTGTGTTTGTAACTCGTTCATTTTGGGAACAATTTAGAATACTGCAACACAGATAAGAGTAAGATGTCTCTGTGTAGTTGTGCTGCACTAATTTGTGATTCGCCGTATTATTCAAGCTGTGCTAACTCATCTCCATCCACTGTAAATGTCACATTGAAAAATGCACAAATAAGTGGGAAAGTACGTCCAGACGTTAGACTAAACAGCAACAATACCACATCAAAGAAAGCTGAAAAGTTGATGAAAAATATGAAACCCAACTCAACTCCATTTGCTACCAAGAATAGTCCCCTCCTTCATCCACCGTCTGGCGTAAATCTTCGGACTCACGCTACGACTACTTGTGAGTCATTGATGAGAGTGGCTGTTAAAGCTTCTAGAAACATACTGGACTCTGAAATTCCAAAAGATGTATCCTCTATCACAGTCGTCGCAGGACATAGATCGTACCATAATAAGAGAAAAGAAAACACGATAAAAATTCGAACTGACAGGGATCAAAAGATTACTAGCGATCATAGTCAATTCGACATGACCAATCTAGAATCATCGTCACCGTCACTCCCTCGTGCTCCACCCCCACACTTGTCTAAAAGTTTAGAAGAGTTGTTGACAGAACTTCCTGAAGAGCCGTACGCCAACGTCGTACGCGAGTGGATTCAATCTTCACAAACGGCTGAAACAACGCCAATGACGAAGAGTACCAGTAAAACATCGGTTCGAATAGAACCTCGCCCCACACTGCGTAAAGTCATACCCAATCCAAATAGTGCACCGAAAGACATTGCTTTGCATCTGGCTAGTGAGAAAAATGCTTTACTTTCATCTAACAAGATGTATGCTGAAAAGAGTCGGCAAATCGAACAAGACGTAAATATTTATACATATGATTTATTATTTTAATTGCTTATTGAGTAATTTCAACCCTGCGTTATCAAAGGATTAAGTTTGACATATTATACTTTAATTACTACAACTGTTTCAGATAATTGATATCAAAGACGAGTGGAATCGTATTTTCTCAAACATTGACCAACCCACTCCTTCCCGTGAGCCAGTTCTGATTTCAAAGGTATGCATGGCTTTGTTGATATGTTTTATTTGATTTAGAGCTTTTTGCCTTACATGTGCTTTCTTTTGGGCTTAATAGAAAATACCTGAGAAATCTAAACCTCATGGCATTGTTTGATCACAAGATATCCCCTCACAATTTACTTACCCCATCATTACCTGTAGTACATATATATGTATGTACATGACGATGCATTCATATGTATTAAACGGATATAGCCAATCCAAGAATCTATCCAATCCTGTTTGTATTTATATATTGACATTAGAATTATAATCTTAATAAACCTTGTCTACATACATGCTTGTTTTAAGTTGTTTTTGTGCTGTATTATTGCCTTATTAGAGCTAATTTATCGCAGTAACTGTCTACTCGTACTTAGTAGTAGTTTTATAGCCAGCAACCTCCCGATAGTCAAATATATTCGGTGGTCCTGCGTTTATAGTTTAGTCAGCGGAAATAGTGGAAATAACTAAAATCTCAGTTTCTGACACTATTAGCAACGCTGAAATATGTTGACGATTGGTTGACTTTAAAGTTTCGGTGTTGATTACCTATATGCTATTACTAGATGTCGGAAAATGGTCTACCCGATTCTGTGTCTGTAACCGACAAAGCAAACGTCGAGAAGGAGCGACTCGGTCATCAGTTCGAAATGGAGAAATTGCAACTTGTAGAAGACTTTACGAAGCAGCTCAAGGACAAAGACATCGAAATCACAATGCAGAAGGTAACGATTCAGCATCTTCAGAACTCATTGGTAGCTATGAAGAGAGGGCAGCCATTCCCCGTTCCCGATAGTTCAAATAATGCGAATGGTATCAACGGTGGAAAAGTTTTCGAAATTTGATAAATGTGGCTGCTGTGTGGGTATGATTAAAGAGTATTCAGTCAATGTGTCAGCCTTGTGAAATTTTAACTCAATGATGTGATATTCCTGAATATATATTGAACTTGAACTATCTTTTGTGATTCATAAAGATATTAATTGGTCACCAATTAGATTTACAAGACCACAAAATGTGTATAATTGTTGAAATCCAACTTTTTCGGAAACAGCGTGTGTGCGTCTTATATCTATCCTTCCTATACCCTAGCACCCATATTACACGAAATCCAATATATTCCATGCGAAGAATAAACCTAAAATGGTATTTTATCACAACGGGGGTATTACGTATGTATAAGCTTTAACCGTATATCTAGTCCAATTTACCTGTATTATGATTAGTGCAAACGCAAACGTAGTTTTTGAGTGTAACTTCAGCCGAGATTTATTATTATGTAACTTGACTAAATAGGTGCCCACTACGTATTATGTATTTATCGATATACTAATTTGTGGCCAATAAACTGTTTGTTTGAAATTTCAAATTGTTTCTGTATTTTTTCTGTAGGGGCATTTGCGAAATGATGAAATGCAGTGTGAACCCATTAGCTTCTGGGAATTGGTGAATGTATTTGATGATGTAAATAATTAATTTTATGCAAATATTTCTTATTTTTAGTTATGCATGCTTCTAGATTGGCTTGTTCTTGTTTTGGTTTATTAGTTTAAGGTGGATGCAGGCAGGCAGCTAGACGACTTTCGCAATGCTAATCAGACCTTATCCGAGAAGCTACTTGGAATGAAAACTCAACTAGAAGCCTTTAATCAACTCGTAAAAGTTGGCAATGCTGGAGACGAAAGTTTAAAGCCGCATTTTAAAGAAATGTCAAAGGAAAGGCGCATAATGGGTCACTTTTATCGTCAAATTAAACAATTGTTGCTCGAGTCTTCCACTTCCTCAGCCAAAATTGATGCACTTTTTAACATTCTTCACAATATGACTAGTTTCGGATCTGAAACAAAGGATGAGGTAAATCTGTATATATATAGTTTCACTCACGGATACAATTATGAAGGGAGCCCTTAATAATATTTTGCATGTAATGTGCATACTGCGAAAAAAGATTCGAAAAATGGAATATGAGCATCAACTCCTCGAAGGAATTTATAGACATCTTCAGACCCAGTTGGCAGCTAGTAATGAAAAGGTTGCACGCTTAACTGAGACAACCACCTATTTGAGACGAGAAAAAGAAATTGCAGAGGAGGAAATATTGTCTACAAAAATCAAGCAGAACCGCATAAAAGGAGCCAACACGCCGACGAATGGTTGCATATCAATCAAACGAGATTTAGAACAGATGAAGCGAGCTTTTCTTGCGAGCGAAGAGATTATTGAGAACAAAAACAAGGAGATCGCTGGAAAAGACGCTTTGGTGCAAGAAATACTTATAAAGTCAAATGTTCAATTAAGGTATTCATTCAGCTTTTTTCCAATCAGATACGAAATTATCAAAAATATTGCACAAAGGCGCAGCAATATCTTGATCAAAAGTCTTGCGCAGACAACCACTTTCAAAGCTTCCAAGCCGAAAGAGAACAACTAAGATGTGAAAAGGCTCAACTGTTATCGGAGGTTATGAATAAATTAGTCAAATAAATTGGGAATTTGAAACATTTACTAATATTTTTCACCCATACAGAAAAAACAGTTGGAGAGAACTGTAGCATCTCTGGATAATAAAGTAATTTCATGCGAAACGGAAAACATCCAATTGAAACATTCCCTGCAATGGTATATGAACCAAGTAGAGCGAGTGGAAAACTTGCATAAAACCTATTTGAATAAATATTTTACCGGAAATTAAATAAACTTAAAAGAAATGTTAGTACACTAGTACGTATATACAAATTAGAATTTCATAAATATATGTTGCGCTCATTTTTGCAACAACAACAAAATCGTTCAGTCAAAATCATGGCTCGCTTCTCGTTTTTCTAACAAAACTTCTTCATCGTGATCATCACTGCCATCTTCGTTTGGACAATTTCCTTCAACGTTTTCTTTTTCGGCTTGAAACCTCTCTTACTCAAACCAGCGGTTAAACCTGATTCCGTCAGCCTAAAAATGTAATTATTATTTTTAGAAGCACGTCAGTATTATTATTACAAGATTTAGCAGTAACGTACGCTGTATCCATTTCGCAATCATCGTCGGAGTCTACCAGTTCCAAGTACGGATTATCTTAGTTGGTCTAACTAGGTTTTTTTTTGGTCCGTTTGTTTGCGACTTATTGAGACTGCGCTTTTTAGCACCACCCCCACCTGGCTTCGGCCAGGTGGGGTTTTTTTTTGGTCCGTCTGTTTGCGACTTATTGAGACTGCGCTTTTTAGCACCACCCCCACCTGGCTTCGGCCAGGTGGGGTTTTTTTTTTGGTCCGTCTGTTTGCGACTTATTGAGACTGCGCTTTTTAGCACCACCCCCACCTGGCTTCGGCCAGGTGGGGTTTTTTTTTGGTCCGTCTGTTTGCGACTTATTGAGACTGCGCTTTTTAGCGATTAATTTGTAACCCGAAAATAAGAATACTATATAAATAAATAAGGAGTGGCTTTTATTCGTATGTATATTTTTATTTATTTAAACACAACGTACGAATTTATTCCAATTAATTAATTACTCATCAATTACATATCAATTGTAAAATTATTGAGGCGACGTCTTCTCGACAAGGCTTTACTAATTTGGCCGTCATGGGTTGGAACTAAGCCAGTGCTTGTCTCCAAAAATCGTCTTGCCTCTTAAAATGTTACAGTTTTCATATCATTTATCCTTATAATCAATCATTAGGTTTCCATATAGTTTAGGTAGCAAAACATGGTAAAATATATCCGAAGCTGTATATATATGGATATTTTACATAAATTGGCTAATTTCGGTATCCTTATTTCGGTATCTTTTCCTTAGGTCGGAATCCTTTCCAAATTGTAATACGTTGCATGTGAGGTACTTTCCAATCCTGGGAAAACGTCAACAATGATTTTGCCGAAATGGTTCGGATCAATTGCATTTCCTAATGTACAGGCTCTTTGTACTTCTCCGTTGGAAAGCCTTTGCTTGGGATCCAATCGGTGTCCAACAATTCTGAACTTCTGCTTCAGCGAAACCCTAACTTCAAGAACATTCCGAGATGGTCTGACTTTTCGACGGTTGCTCTCATCGGTTTTTTGCACACGTTCCCAAACTAACCACTCATTTCTAGCAGCTTCTGATAAAGGATCCTGATCCAGATTCCAAGGAGTTGGTTGTTGTTGGCGATTTTTCGTATCTCCCACAACATCGACTTCGTTCGCACCTCTTTGATGTAGGTTTAACTTGGCAATTGCACCTACCAGGAATGTCGAGAAGGGAATAGCCTCCTGGAGTTCAGCAACCGATGGGACGATGGGTCGAAGGTGCTCATTTGAATTCAACGCGTCCACTATCTTAGCCGCATAAGGTTTCATTTTGTTGAGTGAAGGGTATGAGCAGGTCTGACAAACTGCATTTAGAGCAGCTGTAAATTGTCAATAAATATTTTGTAGATATTTTAAATGAAATTATCGGTTCCTTTGTTATTGTTTATTTATTGACTACCTCTTAATCCCATCCTTAGAATCGTGCCACTTGCAAGAGTGGGCGAAGCAAATGGCAAAAGTTCCGCGTCGGACGCAAGAAAATCCATCTCACCAGATTGTAAGAAATATCTTAAAAAAATACGATTGGTAAAATTCAATAACCGTACAATAAAATAATTCTTTATTTACCTTATGGCGCAATTGTCGTTAAGGTCGTCGTCCAATTTCTTTTCTGCTAAATTTTCTGATCTTAAATGTTGAGCACTATCATCTACGGTTTGTCCATCTAATGACAGTCCTACTATAATGTGCCCGTTATACTTCTTCGATTTGTCACGAAGTGGCAACCAAAAAGTTTTGTGTCCTATAAACAATTTTGAACATGTATTAAGTTTGTATCCATTACTAGTTTATTTGTTTATAAATTTGTTGACTTACCTCTTGATGGCGTTTCTCCTTCGATGTAGAAAATCAATTCATTATCGTCTTCGTGCATTAGAAAAGCAGCATCGTGATTCTAGTAAAAGGATAAAAATTCACCGTTTTATATGGTTTATTTTGACTATGATTATTGAGTTTATGTTTCAGCAAAATTATAATCCCTTATTTTTTAATTATGTACAAGATTGATTCACCTTCACATTCCGTCCAGTATGTTTGCGAGGTGCGTTCTTCGAACTACTTTGTTCTACTGCCATTTGTAATGGCAGCGGTTGAGATTGGATCGAAACTTCTCCGAAGTCTTCTCCAAGTCCACTTACTTGCACCTTCTTCTTTTTGGTTGGCCGCGGAGTCGGTTTTCCTCTGCCTGAACCGAGAGCTGTGGGCTTAAAGTCGTCATCTGAGTCGTCATTCGGCTAAAAATGGAAAAATTAAAATCTAAGAAATAAATACTTATCTTCTAAAACCGAAATGAATTAAATAATAATAAGTAACACATAAGTAACAAATAAATTGTGATTGGTAAATTATAAATAGTAAACAAATAATAATTGGGAAGTACAAATAATATGCAAATAACGAACAAATTAAAAAATTAAAAGCTGCTAATGAGTTTAATAAGACCTGTTCTAACGTCTAACTAACATATCTGATAATTAGCCATTAATAACAATTAGATTTACATCGCGCCCACGACCACGGCCTCTCCCCCGACCTAAACTCCCTCGGTCCGAGTCCATAACTTCTTCTATATGCTAACTTCAAACTTTTGTAATGAATTATATTTTATTAGACAAGAGATTCTAAAAAAATTCACTCTGAACTGAAACACGAAATAAAATAATAATTTTTGGAGGCAGTGAGAGCGAGCACGTCTGCTTAGTCCGAGTGTTGGAGAGTGAATGCAGTAAGAGGAATGCATGTACTAGTTGCAGGTGGTAGTTGCTTGATCGGCTGGTGCGCAGTCCGCACCGACGAATTTAGTCAGTCTGACTAACGTTTTATGCATAAAACCTTGCTTCGAAAAGTATGTCTTCCTTTGCTAAAAGTAAATAGTAAACAATAGTTCTTAAGTTATTCGTATTTCCAGCTTCCATTTGGCCCTGCAATGTCTGAGGGCGATAAAATAATGATGCGAAAAATGCAGAAGGGAAATATGAACACGTTGGACGCGGGGTCAGGGGACGCTTCTGAGGAGCAACGCAAGTAGAATATGACTAAATTTTCTGGATGCATGATCCGGTCAGAACAGAATCTTACTGTGATTTGGAATGACATTATTTATGTATATGCAACTAATATAGAAAGCCCTCTTATTATGATAACTTTAATGATACGGCGATTAACAACGTTCAGTTATTTGCATTTTAAATTTGTACATCTGAACATACCGGCGTGATGATGGAATGAATGTATAATTTATAGCACGGTATCCATTCTTTACTCAAATATCTGGCCCCTAAAAATAAATTGACGGAAGAGTTTGTTTTTGGGTCATTAATTCACAACATCATAACTGTATTTGAGGCCAAATTAAGCTGACTTTACAAATCTTCGGTGCCTATAATATTAACAAAAATAATTAAATAGGAACATATAATATAGATCAAGTTTAGTTTTGACAAAACGATTTTAATTAAATGCCATGCTAAATTATTCCTGGCCGTTTTTGTGTGTGAGAAGTGAGTGCATACGTAAAGATCACGTAATTAGAGAAAGAAAGTAGACGAGAAATAAAGGGAAAGTAGCAAATGGTAGGATTTCAAGTTCTGGTTCTCCAGATTCGAATGACTATCAAGAAAAAGGAGTTGCTCGCAAAATGCAAAAATAGTATCCTGTTACACAACACGTATTGGCAGAGTGGTGGTGTCATACTCCAGCCAAAAGTGTGTCGGTGAAAGCAGCAGCTTTCGAGTTAGGAGAAAGTCAGTCAGTCTTTCAACCCTTTTGCTTCCCAGCAACCGGGGATTTTGTTCACTTCACACCAAAACTGCTGCCACCAGTGCAGTGAAGAAAAATGTGGAGAATTCGGGATGAGGGAGAGAGGAGTCTAAATAGCTATAATGCTAATGTATGCAGAGACATGCCCTGCGAGCTCTGTCTTGCCTGCTTGGACTGTGCTCGAATAACCATCGTTTGTCGTTCTGAGAAAGGGATTAAGGGAACAACTTTCTCCCAAGTCCAACCAAATCCTCTCCTTCTCCGCCTCCTCATTCTTTCTTGACTTCCGATGGTGCGTGTGCTTTCTCCGTAAGTGATGGCACTCTTTTTCTTTCCACTCTCGTGGTTAACATTCCAACGAGTGCACGCCGTGATAGAAGTCCACGGGAATTCAATTCCCACTGCTTCTTGTATTTATTTTGCCTTCTGCATCGAGATGAGGTCAGTCTGCTTAAACCAAATGCTTACGATGGAGGGAGACTACGTACGTACATAGCGATGTACTGTATGCCAATATATCTTCTAGACACATGTAAATATGTACAGTCTGTCCCAATAATATTAGTTTTGTATTAAATAGTTTTCGTCCATTCTTTTATACAGCATACAAATTCCTTTGATGGAGTGGTCAGTATAAGTACATCCTGTTGACCACTTCAAATGCTGCCAGCAACTGATTTTGCTCATGATATACAAATCCCTTGGAATTTCCGGCCTATTCATTAAGAAATGAATGAAAATAGCACTATGAGTCTTTCGAATTATTGGTGCCACACTGCGTACATGAAGTTTGGAAGAAAAAAAATCCAAACTGAAACGTTGGTAGGGCAGGCTGAACGTATATCCTTATTTATTTCATACACTGGTACTTTCTCTGGGCTTGCCTTCTGCCCGGACATTCCATTACTTTTTACAGAGAAAAACAGTTGGGAGCGTAGTGGGTACATAAAGATTGGGTCGTTTCAATTATGAGAACCACCCCGTGAGCTGTAATACAGGATTAATGATGCTGCACGAACTTCCTACTCATGTTCTGGGGTGGCGGAAGTGAAGCGAGATTCGGATTAAATTGGCCACATTTCATTTTTTTATTTCCACCATAACGAAGATGCCGTGAGATCAAGTTATAAAATGAAAGTAGACTCGTGTTGAACTCATAAACATTTTCCATTATTGCTCTGCTATCGCGAAAGACACAAATTAGAAAACTCTTCCCAAGCAGATTACAAGGCAGAGATCTTAAATAAAATCTATGCATGTATCATCTCGATGAGCACACGCATTTCTTGGCAGTAATTATAACTCTCCTCTGCTTGGATTATATTTGTACTACGTGCAGTCCAAGGTCATTATTCTGGACGGGAAGAAGTCCACGTGGAATGGGGCAAGGAAAATGAAAGAAAGAGTTGGATACATATACTTATGTATCTTGCGAGGAACAATATTTGAGTTCTCGATACTAATCAAACAATATCAGTAACTGAATTAGCTTCCTTGATCCTCCATAAGCTCAGGTATGCAAATGGATTATTTATCACAAACTCATTCAAACTTTAAGAAACTTCATGAATCCTAAACTTTGGTTGGATAGCTTAGAAATTAAGGAGTAGTAATGTGTGTCCATACAAAATCTAACTTTCACGATGCTATAACAGACAGAAAATCTACCATTGCGAGTGATTTGATACTGTTGCGTCCCGTTCCATTTATGCAGTTAAATTAATAGACTCTTGATGACATTGTCCTGACGTGACCAAACCCCTGGTTTTGTTGCCAACCCATCTCCCCGACCAACCCACACACATAACGTTGTTGTTCCAGTGGAAACGCCGCCCGAAATTTCCAGGCAGCAGCGAGATAGGAAGACGACAGAGCAGAAGAGGTTCCGTTCGACGTGGATAGAAAGACCAAGACGTTGGAGCGAGTGGAGCCAGACCATCGGGACCATCGGGACAGAAAGCACTCGCTCCTTCTTCTGCATCCGCTTCAGTCAGTTTCGTTTCTCTTGCGAAAACAAGACCCCAGCAGCAACGGTAACTCGGGCAGCCAGAGCCAAACATTGTACTACAAAAGACTACCTGCCTGCCTGCATATTTACTTTGTGCGTGGCTAAATCAAATAACAAAATTCGCATGCTCTCACTTTCCTCGTGAAGATCAAAAGGAAAGCAAGATGCAAAGTCAGAAAGATTTTTGAATATTTGCGAAGGAGAAAGTTTTGTGCTTCTCGACATTTGTTCAACTTTGATCTGCAGGTGGACCTGACATATTTCATCAAGAATAGTGACTCGCAAGTGAAAACGGAATGTGCTAACCTAAGTGAAAGTCGAGGCTAGGAAGCAGTTAGTGAGACGTTTAGTATGCAATACTGTTGCGACTACGTTATCATTACAACTTCTGACTAAAGGCTGTGTGATAACAATTTGGTCCCTGGTGTTTGTAATCGTTTTTTCTGGCAGTGGCACAACATGCAACTGAGCAGATTTGGGTGAAAGTTGCAAAAATACTTGTGTGTGAAACCCCAATGACACGGCTGGTTTTGAGATTTGGAAAACTTATCTGCCTTGATCGGGGTAAGTCCTTGCAGTCACAAATAAGTAACAAAATCATACTAATCGTAAGTACTTATGGTGCTTATGCATATACTTACATTACTTAAGTAAGCAGGTGCACGAAAAGTTATGAGATGAGAATTCTGCTCAGAGCGTAAATTAGGTATGTGGCAAAGACACAGCATCTTCAGAAGACTGTTGAGAAAAATGACACCGCAGAAATCTCATGAATGGCATGGAAAAATGTGTGGAAGTTGATTCCATCCAGCCAAACTTTCTGAAGCAATCAGTCGAAACAAACTCATGTCTAAATAATTTTTTCTTGGAATTACTTTGCAAACTTTACAAGATGTGAAAGAAACTTTATTTCGTAGAAATTTTTTCAAGTCAATGATATTCAGTTGAGTAATACAAATCTGGCGAAATATATATTTATTTATCGTTAAGCATGTTTAGATATGCAGGTTCTAAATCTTGCTTTAAATCTGCTAAATTGTAAAAGTTGTAAATTTTTTTGAATCATAAAAGCGCATGGTTTTCAGTCAACTCACATTTCCATCAAAACCTTTTACGGCATTTGTCACGGTATTTTCGTATTCCTTCAAACTTGTCAAACTACTCATTTCTATATTTTGCTACTGGGCACCACAAGGCTATCGTTGTCAAATGGTACGGACGTAAAATCGAAAATACGCTATGTACAAATTTGTATAGTCTTTAAAAATGTGCGAAATGCTGCATTTTTTAAAGGACGTGAAGACTTTGTACGGGGACTGTATGTAGACTATGCATGAACTTAAGTTTCTTGGTACGGGGGAAGGCTATGTACATATTTCTGTCACACCAATAATCCAAATCCGGCAAGCCATCTAGTTCTTGTGTATTCTAGAATAAATATGGAAATTGAAATCCTCCCAGGAAATTCTGGAACACTTTGATCATATAGCTTTTTGGAGGATGCAAATTTTGAAAGCGTCTTTGGACTCTGTGTAATACTTTATAGGTCCTGAACTCGTTTACTGACAAGGGAAACCTCCGAGGTGCCGGTTGAATCCAGGGTTCCCACCTATACCAAAACGACCACAATATGCGATTTATGACGTAAAGTGAAGGAATTTACGTGCAAAAATCAGTTTTCGTCAATCTGTGACGATATTTGTAACGGGCGTGTGAGCACGGTTGAGAGTGGATTCAAGGGACGAAGCGTGCGACTCGGAGATTGCAAAGAGTTCTCGCATAATTCAAATTCTCAATTAATATAATTTTAATTCTCATCTTATTCATAACTGTGAACAAAATCGTGTGGACGTGAATTAGTGTCGTCATTAGTTAGTGGGTGGTGGTGGTATTCAACAAAAAAGTGGTCGAAACAGAGTTGCAAATTAAATACAAAATAGATTACAATTGCACAAAAACTTTCCATTGGAAATACATAAATCCATTTCGCACTTTAATATGTTGATAGGAATAACAATTCGTGCACATTTTAAAATGCATCTTTATGTACATCTTTATATGTATTTAAGTAACCATCTACATATGTCACATTTTAATGTGCTTATCGTTTCAAAATCGGTCCCAGAATTTGACAATTTATTCCATGAAAACACTTTTTGCAATGCTTAAATTTGGGACGATTTATTTGTTGGTCTACCGTCGATTCAAAATTCACCATTTTGCCAAACAGTCTCAAAAATTATAATTAAGCTTGCCATTATGAATAAGAATTTTAAAAATTACATAAATGAAAATTGTGGTTCGCAATAAAAATGAAATATTTATAAACACGATCATGTGTTCAGCCAACATCTCCACCGGATGTCTCACGACGAAACTCTATGCTATCTGTGTCACACGCTCGTCACAAATATCGTCACAGATTGACGAAAAATGATTTTTGCACGTAAATTCCTTCACTTTACGTCATAAATCGCATATTGTGGTCATTTTGGTATAGGTGGGAACCCTGGATTCAACCGGCACCTCGGAGGTTTCCCTTGTGAGTAGTAAAAAAACGGGCACTACGTAGCATTACAAAACTCTTGGAAATATGCTTATTCGTCTGTATTTTTGGAGAATTGCAAATCAATGTCCTTTAGATTTCAAGGAGTTTGCGAGCTTAAAAATGAAACTGAATTGAATTCTTCATTTTTTATACAACTTAGGATTAGTGGACATTGAAGTCACAACATCCCTCAGATTAGTATCGATATCTTAAATCTATTGTAATGACAAATTTTTACCTTGAGGCGTAATAATAACCCAGCAATGGGGTGTCTCATTGAAATAAATAAATAAATCAATCAATCAATCCATTACTACATATATTTACTTGTTAGCTTATTCATTCATTTGAATTTTCAATCACACCCTTAAGATTTTAAGTGAAATTTTGACATTTTTATTGCATTTTTGCACATATCCATGAAATCATTTTACATATATGTATTTCGAAAAAGCTAAACGACCAGCGCCGTACATAAGTGTAAGAAATTTTGACTATATATTTAAGCAGTGTGTTTCGGCATATCGGATCAAATCAAATCGGATCCAACTGCCGCGTAATGTAGATTTGTATCCATCTCTTCTCTTTGGTCAACGTGCATATTCACCATGCGTACTTTCAACAGACTCAAAAAAAATGTCCGTTTATCCAGCCGGTCAAGTGTAATTATGTATGTACATGGTTGAATTACGTGACAAAGACCATTCCCACTGCTTCAACATACATTTCGAGAACAATAAAAATGGATCCGACAAGGGAAAAGTGCTCTTGCTCGTCGTCTCAATTTATGAACAGAAAGTAAAGATTCCACCCAATTCGCAGTGTCTTCCACACTCTCTGAATTTCCAATTCGATTGCTCTTTATGCTCCAGACCCTGGTAATCTTTTCACATCAGAACTGTTGGCATCGGATGAAATATTGTTCCACATCTACCATGTTCCCACCACTACACGAGAACACCAAATGTTCTGCCGGCGGAACTTCTTTTTTCTCCAAGATAAAATGATATCAAGCATATTTTTCTTGAGCAAACAAATGGGTCATATGCCTTCTATTGGCTGGTAGTCGATATAAATAAACCATTCCAAGGCGAGACACGAATTTAACAAAGTAGCAGGTTTTGATCACGTGTTGAATTGTTGAAGACAACAAATCATCAATTTAACATGTTTTAACAGGGTATATTGGGGGAATATGAGATTATTTGAGGTAATGTATGAGTGTGACAAATATTTGATGATAATCTTATATTACCCTATTGGCCCGTCCTGTGACCTTCCCATGACCTTAAAATTAATAATTTTGTCGAATTTGAATTCTGCTCTGAAATATTTTTAAAATGATATGGTATGTTACAATTGTGCTATTTTGATTTTGACATTTTACCGTTTTGTGACCTTCGAGGTTGTTTGACCTTCGGTCAAATAGGTCGTGATTTCTCAAATCACGACTCTAAATAACGTCTAAGATCATAAATGACGTTTGCATGGTCATCGGGATAGAAACACAACTACTCGAACTTTCTTAGAAATCCTTTGAAATTATTGCGATTTGATACCCCACATGTATATGTTGTTAATATGACCTGTGCCCGCCGTGACCTTATGACCTACATGGCTAGTTAAGAACTTAGCAGCTGCCCTGAATGTTTATGTCGATTGTAAAAAAACTCAAAAACTTTGATTCGTTCTAACAATGGAGTACCAACAGACTGACGGACAGACAGACACGCCATTTATATAAAGTAGCTGTCGCTACTTAATAGTTCCCAATTCAATATATAAAATCCTTGAGCGTTTTCATAGATTTTCGACGTGCATGGATTTGGGAGATTTTTAGCACAATTTAGCTCTGGTTGGTATATCTGTCCTTTGTTGGCAAATATGGAAAAATCATACGCCAACATATATTCTGGTCATGATGTACTTGAATTACTTAAGTGGATTTGGCATGGGTTTGATTTTCGCCTGAATAGCCTTTCACAATCCATTTATTTCACTTGACATTATACATTACGCAATGTGGCAGAGTGGAAATGAAAAAGTCGTGCATTAGTGGTGACCAAGCTAAAAAAAGAAGGAAGAAAGAAAGAGAGAAGGACAAAATTACTGGCTCTGCTTTTACCACTGTCCTTCCTTGGCATTCATTTCCTGGACCTTGTGGAGGACCAACCAAAAGTTGTTCATGTCCATCACTTGGCCCGAATTGTACATCCTTTGATTGGATCACGCAGCACAATGTGACCAAATTCCTTTCTTGTCCAACAGACCAAGGGGAAAATGGATGAGTGCAATTCCAAACTCACATAATAAAGATAAAGGCGACTCGACGACCTCCCCCATGTACCTCACGTACGTGCTTATGTACATAGTACGTATGTACGTACGTGTACTTCTAGAGGTAGGCAACTGGGTTCGATTGCTTTTGCGGATCCGACGAAATGAAATGAGGCAGTTATTTTCCATTTCAATTCCGGTCCGAGTCAGGATCAGTTCCGCTTTACATTTTCACCTTTCGCTCGACCAGGAATGTTTTGGACTCGAGAACTTGGCAATTTCTAAGAAAAGGAGTTCAGTGTTCTCTTAAAAATTGCTTATTTATTTATTTATGTATTTATTTATATGTATTCATGTTGTCGTTGAAGATGGTGGTGGGGACGTGGCTCCACTCTTGACTTTGTGCTTTAAAGCAGATTCCATATATTGATACCATGGTCCTAGATTTGCATGTGATTGAATATCCGATAAGTGGATGCGAATGACATTTTCTGAACAGTTCTCGTCTAACATATTTAAATATGCACAAACATATTCTTCCATATTTGTGTCTCGCTCTATCGAATATTCCCCACATACAGATCATAAAATCACATCTTTGGTTTTTAGCATATGTATCTCTGCTTTGGAAGCTCAATTTCATTAGTCCCAATTTTTAATGATTGCGTAATTCCTAAGTATTGCCGACCAATTTCTTTAGCGTCAATGCACGAATGTGGTATCTCAAGCATATCGGAAATTACATTGAAGGTTTCTGTAAAGTCATAGACTATGAACAAGCAATTAATATTTCATTCCAACCAGAAGTTGATGTACATGAGTTGCTCATGCCTCTCACCATTTGTGCGTGGTGACATTGTAAAGGAGTTTATAATTAGAGTTTGCTTATTCCAGAACTAATGGAAATAGAACGAATAGGAGGAACAGGAGGGTTTGTTTATGCATATTTAACTATGTTTTAGCACGACAATTTGACGCAGAAGACAGGACAATGACAGGCAAACGAGAGAAGCATCCTTCCGGTCCAGTATAGCCCACGGACAATGGATTTCCTCCAACTGAACTGGAATAAAAATTAATCTGGACAATAAAGGCAGCCACTACTACATACGCTCCCAATAATCACAATTGGATTGGATTCAATATATTCGAAGTAAAAATTTTTCTTAAAAATATTAAATCCTTTTATGCAAAACTCTGGTCAACGACTTTTCCTCGTGTTCAGTGCCATCATCAATCACACATGGACTTTGTACACATTTCGACAGTATAATTACCCAACATTGTTCAAAATTCTATCTAAAATAGATCTCAATTTAAGATAAAGCTGCTCTCATCAGCAATTCTAATAGTTGATGTTCGATTTAGAATGAGATCGATTTGGAGAGTTGGAGAGCATCAGAAAAGGAGAAACTGTTCCATCTGTCAGTTCGTGTTTTGTGGTGGTTTTGGTCGGATCTCGTCCGCGTTTGTTCTGTGGCTTCTCCTCGTTAGTAAAAATATATTCGTGTGTGGCGTAGGTAAATGTTACGCGAGTGCATTGGTTGTGGTGTTGCATGGTCTACCTTCGAACTACGTACGCAGAAATATAGCAACGATTTCCTAGTTTCGCCTAATGATGTAGTGGAACATTTATTACTGCGTGCGTGGGTTCGAAAAAGGGTGGAACGGCGGACCGTGGAAGAGGCTGGATGACTGGGTAACTTTTAATTTCCTGCCTTGTCGATCTTCGAATTCTTGTTGAACGTCTGAAACACGTTCTGCTTCAATCGGGTCGATACCCGATCATTACGGGAATAGGAGTCATCGCATGGAAAATTAAACCCTGCATGATCAAACATTAGGTAATGCACTGTGTTTTCCTTCTTAAGACATGCATGGTTATTGAGAGTAAATAAATAATCAATTCAATTAAACACACCAACTTTAAGATTTTCTTGATGAAACTCAACTCAATAAATAGTAAATACTTGATTGAAGCAAAAACAATCCCATCTCCTCTCTATGCATACATACTATTTGTCAGTGTGATGGTCTTATGCAATCTAATTTTAGGTAATTTTATATCCAGCTCTGTCTGTGAGGGTAATGTACACTACAAGTATTGAGAAACTATTGAGAACTCAACGAGCGAATCAGATTGACAACTTATTTTGCGACTACTCATGTCTCACTAATAACAACAATGGCAGGATTGGCATCCTTCACTCCAACTTTCATTTTCAACATCGTAATGCTTTCTTCTCCTCCTTGCGATGAACTATTTTAGAGAAAGTTGTGAAGGAAAGTTGTTCAAGATGTACATAATTACATTTAGAATTCGCTCATGGTCAAATTGATGAGACTTTTTGCATTTCTGTGAAAAAAAATCAGACGAGAGGGAAGGAAAGTGGATCGACTAGAGCTTTTCTTTCAGAGACTAATACGAAAAGAAACAAGGGATCCTTAATCATGCTTTCTAATCTCTTTCTTTGTAGTCTGGCGAGTAGGACGAGAGGGAAGTAGTGAATATTTACATCATGCGACGGGATCAGGCAGGCTGTGAATAGCAAATTAAAGATTTCTGTCCCATGTTCGCTTCTCATTTCTCTTTGATTTGCTTTCTCCTGATGCGGTGCTTCCCTCGCGAGATGAAAAATGAATTATTTATTGATCGAAAATGTGATTGTTTCTCAACTCACAATAACATGGCTATGGATGTATTTGCATGCACTGTACGTTATTATCTAATATATACACATGATCTATGGTTATTATCGCTGTGTTGGATGAAATGTAGGCAGAGTTGAGCATTGGTGTTTAAAATGTATGGTACGATTTTCCATAGACGACTGGACCTCGAGCCTTTTGTTACATTCAATCTCGATTCATTTCCTCACTCTACTAAATATATGCGCACATTTCGCCCTGAAATAATTTACTTGAGCATGTATTAGGATCAGGATTTACTCTATGTTACCGTCCACTTTCGTTTTTCTGGAATAAATAGTTCGTATAAAAACGAGTGACGCACTTTATTTGAGTGCTTGACTGTCATACGAGTCACGTTTTTCACATTTTGCATAGAATGGTTAGCATTTTTTAAATTTCACGATGGGAAAAAAGATTTCAAATTAAAGTGGATTTTGAATTTTGACCTTCTGAATACAATATAATTTATGATGTGGTGTATGCATCATGACAAATGTACAAAAAATTCCATTGATAAAATAGAAAAATTAAATCATCCGAGAATAAACAGCAAGTACATAGCTCGTGTCGTTTAGTTTATTTCAACCGTACGTGGTAAATAGGAAGCAGATAGAGCAGAAAACACAAAACAGACGATGGTCGTGTAATGTTTCTCTGCATCGTCGTCTGGTAAGTGTTGAATTTTGAAGGGTTTGCGATTATGGAAGACTACTGGCATTTTTGGACTGGGAAATCTGATGGTTGATGCAGAAAGGGAAGAAACCTGGCTGGAAGAATGTGATATCGAAGAAAGTAGAGTAAATCCCGTTCCGACCAAGTAACCACCACACCATTCACTTTCATACCCTCCGTAATCCAAGAGTGTAATAGCTGATAGAAAACCACAAAGGACGGATTCATGAATTTATAGTACAAAAGATGCCTACCGTGCGATACTGCTTCTTTGCAGTAAATATCACCTGCATTCCATAATACTCTCGAGCTTTGTGCTGGCCAAGTTCGGAGAATAATGCGGCGCGTGGTAGCATGCAAGAAAATGCAAATGTTGGAGACGAGGAGAGAACAAATTGCAATCACGGTGTATGGTTTCTGGTATGTGTTCAAATATGTTGCATATATTGCATCACTTACGTACTTGATGGTACATAAGTGTAGGGCTCCAGAAACTCAGCAAACCTCTTTGTAACAAAATCTAGACCAAGGTTTTTCAGAGAAACGAATTCCAGTGAAATTAGTTCAAACTGTTCATAAATGCCATCCATACTTTCAATTCTCAAGTTGCCTGTACCGTTTATTGTGAGAAATGAATTAATTCCTTGTCACTACAATGTACGATGAAAGCAAGGATTTTTTTACAAGTAGGAAGTGAGTAATTTGATTTTTTTTATTTACGACTTTCAGGGTGGCACAAAGTAGAATTTACTCGAGCATTTCATTTACTCCAGTCTCAACTTGCTCACCCGCAGCCATTTATTACTTTTGTGGTGGAATACTTTCATGACACTTTGAGCTTCAACTAACACTTGAAGATTTAAATATTTAAATGCGCATTGTTCAAAGTCAGAGATAAAAGGGAACGTATTTCCAAACTGAATGAAATTCACTCTCGTAAGCGCTAAGGTAAATACAAAAACGTCTCTAAAATTATATTAGCGAGAAGTTGCACAATTCTACAAATGCATTATTGTGATTAGACTGGCGACGTAAGGATTTTTGGAGGACAAAGCTAAGAAAGAGATCTCAAGGAACAATAAAGTGAAAATTGAGTTGGAACTTGATTCACGAGGAAAAGTATACAAAAAAGACATGACACTTTAAGTGACTGGCGAGCTTTATATTCGTCAAGAAATAGACGCGAGTTGAGTCAACTGCCCATTCGCACGTAGTCTTTTTTATGGTGAAATCGCAGCAGTTACTGAACTGGATTTCTGAGCTCATGCATACAACTTGAAGAACGCATAAATCTTTGCATAATTATTTTGGCCCATTTATTTAGAAAATTAGGTAATTAAGATGCTGTATAGTACTATTTTTAGCTGTTTGGTAACATCAAATGGAAGGCCGCAAGTTTCAAAACGGCTCATTTGCCAAATTCAAAAATCAACTATGATGTGTGTGTGACTAAAGTTGGTTAATATTTTGAGCAATTTTGTATTAGCTGAATAAAGTAAAAAATAAATATAAAATAGCCCTTATTTGTACTTCACACTTCCACATTCAGCGTGGGAAGGTAATTATGGGAGCTATTTCTGATCCACAAGTATTTGAAGTACATTATTTGATGCTTTTAAGCTAAATCCATGTATTTTCCTAATTTGAAAGTTTAACTAAAAATCTCATGGTGGGAAATGTGGGTGTGGGGTTTCTATCTGCATTACTGCAAAGTTGTTAACTTATGCAAGTGGTCGAGGTGCGTTTGGTAGAATATTTGATCGTGAAATCCCCCATCGTTAACAAATGGATTAGACAAAGGCTTCCAGATTCAGCTTCACTCGCTCACGGGTGGCTGAGTGGTTTATGGGTTTGTTTAATTAGTGATTAATCATACTTGCAAATCCAGGATCCATATAAGTCCCATTTCCATCGTAGTGGCACTGTGGAGGAACTACTATTCTGTGGTCGAAATATGTATCAGCATGTAATGTAATTATTAAGTTATCCCTCAGTCTCAACTAAAGATATACACCAACCACGAGTGACGAGGAGAATAGCAAAGCGTGCGGGGTGAAAGAGTGAAAGTGTTCCTCATTAAATTTGGGTTGAATTGTGCGGTATTTGAAGTTAAGTATTATGATACAACAAACAACATCGGACATGCCAACATTGGAGATCAGTTGTCCAATTAATGTCTAGGATTCCAGGGGGTGAGCTGATCACTAACCGAGATCTTCTTCTTCTTGGCTCCAATCCAGAGCCTGACTTGTGATATCATTTTATACGTATGATGTTTCTTCTGCTCCTACATATATCCCTAAATAATTGATACGTGGAAGCGTGCTGGAAAAGCAGCAAGATATTCATGAGAAATTGCAGAATTTCGTAAGTTTCCTCCTCCATCTGCTCAAAGACGTTAAACGGACGCACATCCAAATTAGCTCAGTTACGGTGACAAAGCGGAGGCAATTTGGGATTTATGGAAATAAGCATTGTTATCAAGCATTAAAATTTGAGTCTGTCAAAGCCATTCAATGGTTAAATGAATCAGATTCAAGTTTGTTTAGTGGTAATTGAAACACTCGGAGAGACAGAGTTAGTGCCCGACGTGTGTTTGAACCTCGCATTACCTGAGGGTAATAATGAATGCATGGTTATGTGCTGCTCAGAACCCTGAAACGATCTGCCCAAGGATCGATGAAAATAGGATTGAAAATGGAGAGAGAAAGGAAGGTGAAGCTATATAAATTCTCGTGCTGGCACGATGGATTTTACCAACATGAATTATTCAAATGTGGAGATGACTAAACCATAGTTTATTGTTAAATTATCTCTCGTGAAGTTGTTTTGCATAATGCAAGGTCTCCAATAATCCACGGATAATGTGCAGAAATGTCTTTAACAGGGGTGTTGAGTCACACAGTTCACCGTTAACCGACAACAAAATACGAAGACTAAATATACTAAAGTATGGACTGCACAGGAATTTACCAATCTTTGACAGTTGAATGTGGAGGAGAGAGAGAGATGTATTGCACAGCATGTTTAATGATATCACATAACCTGGTGTAAAAACGATTCTGATGGCATGTGACAAGATGTTCAACCCATTTTGTAATTATGTCTCTTGAGGAGAAGTTAGACATTTGAGTTTAATGCTTTCGAACGCACCAACTACTGCTTCATGCATACACTTCACAAATATGTATGCATACAGAAGTACATACATACATACGATCTGCTGGTTGTGGTGCGCGGCTGTTGTGTGCTGGCGAAAATAGATAGATCATACGGATGAGAAGCCAATGCACAACGTTTCGAAACGCATTACTGGGTCGCATTGTAGCGAGTAAAGAGTTGTGGTAAGTAAGTAGCAAAGTGGCAGATGAGCTATTTTGAGACATGGTGGTAATATCAAAGCCTTGTATCTTCTTCTCCTCCATCCAAGCTCGAGATGATGAGACGCTTTTTACTCCTCAAGTAAAAAGCGTCGTCTCTTCCTTAAGTTGTTTGCTTTTTACTCCTCCAATCCAACTTTGAGAGGACGCAGTACCAGCACGAGAACAAGAAGAAGGATTACCAACCAAAACATCATTTAAGTATTTGGCCGCGTTGTTGGCTGTGTTTGATCACATCGCATCTCGCATCTCTCTTTTTCTGGCGTCTCCATTATCATCCATTCTCAAATCTGGCAGGGAGTGAAAGACGTTGATCGTGTGGTGATTTCTGGGCACTTTATCACTTCTGACTTTTGGTGAGCTTTTTCTAATTGGAATACTTAATCTAACAGCATACGACAATTTGCGACAAAGAGCAACCAAACACCCGAAAGATCGAAGTTGAGGTAAATGTTGAGATCTTCTCAATTTCTACAGGATACCAGAAAGTTAAATAATTTGCTCAATGGTAATTTATGAGGTGCAGAATAATTTAGTACGACACATATGTAAACCATCTTAAAGAAAACAACTTCGATATGTATGTGCATGCAGTTTGCCGATGTAGTCTTAAATAGATTCTTCATTTGTGTGTGGTTGAGGAAACTGACCTACAATAAAGTGACTTCAAGTACACAATCTCGATATAAAATTAACTTACATATATTGTTCAAATGACGACATTCAAAAAGACTCCTCGTGTACGTCTCAAAATCTTCTGCTTGAATTGACTCTTGCTCGTCTCAAGTTCCCCGTTCAAGTACATTAGAAAATCATCAAAATGACGACTGGGTAGTTGTACATGCATAAACAGGTAGCAGGATCCGAACAATTCCGAACAGTGGGCAGACGTAGTAAAATTGCAATTAAATTTTAAATTCTTCAAGTCCATAGTATGATGACGTATGTATTTCTTGCCGTTTCTTCATCCCATTATTGAGAACAGTTGCCTCTTATTTCGGTGCAAAATTTTCCGTACGATTGTAAAGTCTGCAGTTTCTACGTATTTTATTATCATTTATGCCCTTTACAACTTTGCATGTTATTAAGTTCTTGCTTTTCAATGTTTTGATACAAAAATGTACTTAGGTATCTACGATTTCCAAGCTTTTTCTAGTTATAATTACATGAATTATTTTTTAAATTGTTAAATTAAAATATTAGCAAGTTAAGTAATGCTCATATCAAATATATTTATGATGATACATGATCCGAGGAAATGTTGTGACTCATCCTCAGTCTTCTTGCACGAAATACTGTTTTTCAGTTTTTATGCAATGAGAAATAATTTGTAATGTCCGATTCGGATTTGGACAAATGACTCTGACAAGAACCTAAGGTTTAGTCTGGGTACATAAATAGTAATCCATTTAAACAAGACAAATGCAGTTGTCTCTACATCTTAAAACCAAAAACAGATTTTCTGTCAGAAGGGATTTGCACAATTAATCCCTTGTTCATTTTATATGCCATGAAAAACAGACAAGGATAGATTGTAGTTTGTACATATATTCTTATGTGACGTGTTGGTGAGCAATTTCGCTCCACTACCATCAAGCGAGATGCTAACATAAACTATTTTATTCCGTTTGTTTTATTTTATTTTGCTCATTTGTTTTGTTCCACACTCTTGAATGCGACGGAAAAACATATTGCTGCACAACAACAAGGCACATTTGCAGGGATAGACAAAAGTAGCTGAATCACATCCCACGCAACCATGCATTGTACGATAAAGGCGAGTAAATAAAATAAAAGCTCCAAATATCCGCATAAAACGTGAAACTATCTAAAAATACATATACACTTTGTGTCCATTGCCATTGTTCAAGTTCCTCTGTTGCCAGTGTAAACTGCTCCCTCATCATCATTCATTTCATTTGTAATGTTGTACTACCCACTTTCTTTATTGTGTTGATCTCGTTCAACGGAGAATTGCAGACCTGACAAATAACAAAGAGAAAGTTTTGATGCCCGACTAAATTTCCAAACTTTTTCCGATGAGAATTGCCACACTAAACCCGAATACACCAAGGCGATATATATGTGCACACAGTTATCGTAGTTATGGAGGGAACTTCCCCACACGTAACGCATCTCAAATCTGTGTTCTCTGAAGGCACATAGTTCTCTATATTTAGTGGACCTGAACATTGGGCTGCTTTAAGAACCGATTTAAAAAGTAAACTTGTGTGATTCGGAAAAGATGTTTGAAGAAATAAGACAGAGAGAGAGAGAGCAGAAGAATGGTGAAATCATAAAGAGACCGATTTCCTTGTTGGACTTTCTCCTCCTTCCTTGGTCCTCTTTCGCTACATTTATTCTCAAGCACACATCCACCTTCCTTGTCCAACAACTCGGTCTCTCGACTTTCTCTCGACTCTTCTTCTGTTCTCCTCTCGTCCTCCTCTGGGACTTGTCTCACGACTCACTCGGAAGAGGAAAAATCACATCTCACCATTATGAAGAAGGGTGAAATATGAAATGAGAAATTGTACTTTTCACTACTTTCCTCTTTCTGGTGTGCACTGAAAAACTTTTTAGTTTATTTTATAACACTTTGGTTGACGTGAAATGGAGCCGAGTTTTAAAAAGGGTTCATTCTCAATTCTAGAGAAGTAAGTAAATGAGGATGCTTTTAACGGTGACTGACTGCAGTGACACTCCATTTGGATAATGGATATTAGAACTGATAAGTACAAAACGACCTTTCCGATACTGTATTTATGTAATTGATGCATTAATATTATCCTTCTCAACATTCTTCAGCTTTTGATGTTTTACGTACAAATCTGTTAAATATTGGCATCTAAATTGGCATCTAAATTTCAAATAAAATCAAGTATTATCCCCGAAAACCGCAGAAATGTCTCGTCATAAATTGAGTGAAGTTATTTAGCTCGCTTAACATGAGCGTGCTAATGAACAAAACATCAAGTCCAAAAAAACCACAGTCTGAGATTATGTAATGTGAATGTTTCTTTATTTATTTTTTATTAGAGAGCCTCTTACGGATCATACCACATGGCGTTGACTGATTCCAAGGATTCCAGCATGGCCCTGTATCACAGTTTGTGCGAAGCTCTATATTTCTGGTCGTAGGGTCGGAGAGCTATCGCCTTCAGAAGAAATAATGAAGTCTTTGACAATGACATCAATCATTTCTCGACGCTACCTCCGCTTTGCCACTCTCCTGGCACTCGTCTTTCTTCTCTTCGTCGCCACACAGAACTTTTACCGGATGGAGTCGCTAAAAAATACGTCGGGGGCTGAGAGTAAAAAAATAAGCGTTTTCTTATATGTGCCCCGCTGTCAGTGTACGGTATGAAAATGCTTAACTTTTGTTTTCCCATCTAGAGCTGACCGTCGAGGGAATCTTCGGCTGTGACGAAATCCCATTATGGCAGAGTCAAATGATCCACCGAGCATCCCTCCCACCCATCGCCGGCTACCGAAACCTCACGTCAGGGGACAAGAAACTGCTCGCCATCGGGATTGCGACAGTTTATCGGGATGAAAATTATTTACTCACAACGTTATCCTCGTTAGTTAATGAGTCGGATGCGGAGGAAAGGAAGGATGCCGTCATCATTATTTACTTGGCTGACACGGACACCGAAAAGAAGTGAGTTTCCCAATTTATTACGCAAACACGCGTCGGATGGATTTTTATCTACACCGAATGGGCACTTTTCTCTGCATTAAACAACACGAGTATATGTACAGAACAAGCAGTATACCATTTTGTATGCTCTCGTAGTTGTTGAATGCCGTTCTTGTAGCCTATTATTCCAAACCACTTTGGTGTGTGCTGGTGTTAGAGAAGTTTGTGGCTTGTGAAATCGTCGTCGAGTGGATTAAATAGGCCACCATATTATATGACGATGATGATGATGACAACGACGATGAACAAAGGTTGTTGACAAGTTTTCATACTTTCACCCAAATTGAATCAAACTTTTAATTAAATTTTCAAACAGAGAAAAGCAACTGCGCTCAATTCGCAAGCACTTTCAACCGCATTTGGACTCGGGCTTCTTTCAAGTGATTGAATCTGGGCCTGAGATTTATCCACCGGTATGACCTTAGGTTACTTTATTTTGTTGGCTAGAAATTTATGTACACAACGAAATAACTTTAATATTCAAATATCCATCTAAAACTGAGCAACTTGGGAGTGACTGAGTTTCTTCTTGTCCCAAAGCGAAACTTACTTATTAAGACTTTATCTATTGAAGTTTAAAATGCAAGAAAATAACTCTGAATGCATGAATCTCACAAAGTCAATCTAAGAAAAGAGCGTCATTGTATTCCTTACTTTTAGATGGACTTTGCCCTCACCAAGCGGACGTTCAACGACTCCACAGACCGTGTCTTATGGAGAGCAAAGCAAGGTATGTACATATGCAGACGTATCGGGAAACATATATCGACCGACATTAAACATTAAAGCGACGTATGTAAACATTATGGTTCAGAAACTAATAATTTTACACATATTTATCCTTAATAAGGAGTCCTTTTCGCTACATAAATAAATAAATAAGAGCTGTTCTAATTATTTTCAGTGATGGACTTTGCATTTCTCTTTTCCTACGCCAAGCCCTTGTCGATGTATTACTTGGTGATTGAGGATGACATAATCTCTTCTTCGCAGTACATCTCTGCTGTGAAGGATTTCATCAAGTCCCGAGAGAGTCATCGATGGACTGCCCTACACTTTTCTGGTTTTCTGGGCATTGGACTTCTCTTTCACAATTCAGACCTCCCAAATCTAATTAGACTCCTCATCATGTTCCATCAGGAACAGCCTGTAGACATGTTGATGAGGCAGTTCATCTCACTTCAGGTATGCACGCATACACATAAAAGTTAATTATTGAACATGCATGATTTTACTTTTGATACATGTGCATGTAGGTCCCTGATGAACTCGTAGCGCGACATTTCCCAGCCATATTTCAACACATTGGAATTAAATCCACATTGCCAAATAAATTTCAAAAGCTCAAGGATAACACGTTCGACATGGCCAAACGACGCTTCAAGAACCACAACCCACCCGCCGACCTCATCACCACGATGAAGGTTTACAACGATTTCGTTCTGGAGTATGCTTATCGGCCAGCACCAGGAATTTTCTGGGGAATTTCCAAGGCTCAGGATACGTTGGACATTATTTTTCAAAAACCCATAAACATTTCCCGAGTAGTGATGCTGAGTGGAATTCCCAGCATGAAGAGTAAAAACCAAAAAACGATGAAGGACACTGTTTCGGACGGAACACTTTTGGAAGCGAGCTCCCACTTTCAAAAAGTTACCCCGAATGGAAACAGTGCCATTTGTGATAATTTCACGTCAATTGCAGAGTTCAAATTGGGCGATGTTGACGTTTGGAGAGATTGGAGTGGAGGACGTAATCATAGTGAAAAACTAGCCTCGGTTCAGTGTCTCAGAATGAAGATTGGTCCCTCTCAGAGAAGTTGGATCATTTTGAGAGAAATCCAAGTTTTCCTTTAACTTCAATAACGTGGTGACGTTGAGGAAAACTATGCGTTCAGTTCACATGCTTTGACATACTCGCCAAGTCTCCATTTCCAAACTCCTCATGTTCTTCAACCTTTCTATCATACAAAGACTATTTGAAAATACTTGTTGTATATTAATAGAAAATATTTCAATGTTAGCTTACATACATACAGTATTTATATTAATATTCTGACGTATTTACATTAATTCCCAACTTATGAAAGTTATTTTTCTGTGATTTTGTATACTTAATTTAACAATAACTGCGTACATACATACAGAAATAAGGTGCATATGTAGTGTAACTGATATTGAATGAATAAATGAATCGTTTCAAACATATTTATACTCGTCCAGGTCGTCTTGTTCTTGTTCTTCTTGGGCGCAGCAACATCGGGACTGAACGGTTTGTGGGGAGGAGCAGCCCTTTTGCTTTGTGTCCGCCTCATAACATCCGCTTCCAGGACATGGGAACAGCAGCTCGATATTCTGACAAGAATTGCCCCATTTATATTAACCACTAATTTTAATATTAATTTACTCACCTGACATGGCGTCCACTTGCATTTCTCCACTAATATTCAAGATCATGATCCAAAATTATAACACAACATCAACATTTTTAAAGGAACGTAAATTATTAATCTTTTTAGACTTACTCAAAACCGAGTTTGTGGCTGTACTACTGCCCACAAGTAATATCAACAGCCGTAGTTCAAACATCACCAAAATTCCTAAAAATAATCGGACCTCTGAGTTTCTTTCCCTAAACATCTTCAAAAGTGATAGGAAAATTTGAAAATAATAGCTAAGCTTGTCAATTTTCAAGTTCCGAGTTCCCAGTGTCACTCATAAGTGAGACTCTTGTAGTACATAAAGTACAGACTAGTCGAAGAAATAATAATGCATGCAACTTGATGTGCTTCATCCACTTTTTTACACATTTTAAATATGAAAATGGAATTGAGACATGCACCGGATTTCCATATTACTTGTTATTCACTTCACCCACCTCGCGATAATCGAGAGAGCTGATAAATTCTCATAAAATGAGATTAGACGATAAAAATTAAGTGAAAGTTGAAGATGAGGCATCGTGAGAATTTTGTATCACCATCGCAAGAACTTTGTCTCAACTCTCAACCACCAACCAACCATGAACTATGAACCATCTTATTATAAATCACATACCTCTTGAATTACACAACACAAGGTGCAAAGGTTGAAAGTGGGCGAAAGATAATGATGCAAGTAGAAAATAAATAGAAAACCAAAATTTCGTATTCGAAATAGGGAATTTTGATGTTTCTAATGAGTTTGTATTCAAACGGGGAAATGCGAACCTTCGTCTTCGGCGGAATCGTCCGTCTGTTTCACTACTCGACTTCGGATGACAACAATCAAATAATCACAACAATCCGATCTAACAAAAATCTAAATTATTCAACTTAGTTTGCTTTTTTGAATGTGGTTCACAATTACAGAATTTACATTAACAAGGAACGTTGTTGAGTTTTGAATATTCCTTATTCAACCACCCCTAAAGTAAGTCAAGTTACATTCATTGTTTAATTTGTTTGATAAAAATACAAACCTAAGCTTTCAAAATTTACTGAGCACTATTGGCATTTTGTGGTTTTAAAATTGTTTGCGTTATCAGCGTTGTTTAGATTTGGTGTCATTTGTGTACTACTTTTATATAAATCTTCTCTCTTTCACGTAGTCGAGTGCAGAGTTGACAATTTGACAATTTAAAACAATATTAGTTTTTTTTTACATTTATAGGTAGTGGAATCCACTAGTTGTTCCTTCTACAGCTTGTCCGCCCAGATGACGGTAAAGATGACGGTACAAAGTTAATTTCTTTGCTTCGCAAACAAATGACGCAACACCTGAAGTACAAACTGATCTGATCAATGAAGACGTCTAAAGTAATATTACAATATCAATTCTTCAATTCATTAAATTTTCCTACTGTTAAAAATTAAAATTCTTATGTTATAGGTTTAAGAGCAGTATTTGTCATCCTTGGGTTGGGTCTCAAAGTAGTGGTACGCTGCTGCTAGTGGTGTATTGGAACATGACCGTGTTAGGAACAGGGGATCCAAACTACAAAAAGAGCCAGCAGCGCTTAATCACAATTCCTCTTCATCACGCCTCTTCTGGGCCGTCGCTCCCCAATACTACTGTCCTCAATCTCAACGCCAACAGGGCACACGCCATCGCCGTTTCAATGCTACCCACCCCAACACGAGTAATTGTCAAGACGTTACTCAAAACACTGCTCCAGATCCTCTGCAAACTGTGGAGATGGGCCTCATCTTTTCTAGTTCTCATCTGTTTGGCTGCATGGTTTTATGGGGGATTTCTACCGTACTTTCTCACCGTCATGGGGTTTCTAAGTACGTTTGTTTCAACGCTATTTATTATACTAAATTACTATTTGCATACTAAATTATTGTAGTTATAAATCAATCGTATAAAATATCAAGTAATGGACAATCATATACGAATACAGTAATATCGTTAAAATTAAAAGGGTAGTTAAATTAATTATGCTTCAATTAACTGAAGTCGTCTAGCAACTTTGATATTATTCGTAAAATGAGGTCATCTCATGTCTCGTCCTGTTTTCAAGTTTAATTTTTAGAGAGCCGAGGTTGCAGCATTTGTTGAAACATTTTAGTTTAGCATCTTGACTGCACAGCAGAGACGATGAACACTGATTGTAATAATAATACGGTTTCTGGCTGTGAAGATCACGATGATCCAGTTAAGCAAGACTCAAATCATGAAGATGGTGCAGGCGCAAGGGCAGGGTCTGGTCATGGAAATGGCCCTTCATTCACGTCTTGTTGTTTTGTACTATCCAGTCCAGCTATATTCCTTCGTAACATGCTGTTGCCTTCCGATATGTGGAGATACTTTCCAGAAGGAATAACATGCTACATAATATTTATAAAATTGATTTATGTGATGTTATAGATTTCGTATATCGTGCTAATTATTCCATTTTTTTCTAACCAGGTCTAGGATATAATATGTCGGACTATTTATTGTATCAGCCCGACTTTCCGCCAGAGTCCCGAATATTTGTTGCGTCTCCTGACCAATTTGGAATGCCATTCGAAGAAATTTGGATCCATACTAAAGATCGAGTCAAGCTGCATGCATATCTAATCAAACAACAGGTTCCAAATGGCCGTAGCATTCCTGTCATGATATTTTTTCATGGAAATGCTGGGAATATTGGCAGTCGGTGAGTATTTACATAAATTATAGTGATGCAACAAACTGCTTCGCTATCTCAAGATGATATCAAAAAATATTCGATTTATTCAGTGACAATTGATTAACTTTATCTCAATAGATTGGAGAACGCTAGTATGATTTATAAAGACATTCGATGTCATATTTTACTCTTGGAGTATAGAGGATACGGTCACTCGGATGTAAGTCTAAGAACATGCCTGGAGTTGGAGTCTTAACACGAAAAGGATAATGAAGTTGTACGTTTATGTTTTATAACTAATTCTTTGTAGGGAACTGCATCAGAAAATGGTTTATATATGGATGCACAAGCTGCATTTGAATTTATTGATGCCCGAGAAGACTTGGATTCGAAAAAGATATTTCTATTTGGTCGATCATTAGGTGACCAAGTATAATATTAATTACCCATCCAATTTTGTGTATATTTTAACTAGTCTGTAAAATGTGTATTGTTTTTTCTAGGAGGCGCAGTCGTGATAGATTTAGCTTCCCGATGCGATTTTCGTGACCGGGTTGCTGCAATAATTGTAGAAAATACTTTCTCAAATATTCCCTCTATTGCTAGACACTTGTTTCCAATTAGAGCAGTACGTTGGCTCCCGAAATTCTGTTACAAGAACAAGGTTGTTTGATATTCCTCTTAACTATTGAAAAAATGTGCTTCCATTGAACTAAATTATTTACCATATCAGTTTGACAGTTACAACAAAATATCATCAGTGGTTTCTCCTTGCTTATTTATTTGTGGAACGGAAGATGAAATGATCCCAGGTAAGGTCGAAGCAATGAAATTGTTCAACAAGTTTTAGAGTACAAAGTTGTTCGCGCTAAAATTTTATTTATGATGCCACACAGCCTAAAATTATAGGTTATAAGTTGCGCAATGGAGGTAGCTTATTATTTTGTGTTTTTTTTTCAGAATCTATGATGACGGAGCTTTACAATAAATGTTCCTCTTCGATGAAAAGACTGATCCGCTTCGCTGGGGGACACAACGATACGTGGCTGTGTGATAAATCGTATCCCAGTAAAATTTCTGAATTTATCTCTGAGGTAAATTTACCATAATTATGATATAATAATAATAATCGCAGCAAGTAGTTGTTTCATGAGAACTAAATTATTATTTATTTTCTTCTAGGCTTTAGATGCAGACAGAAGGCCGAGTTTTCATAACTACTCAGATAACGTGGTTTAATTACTAGAAAAAAGAGTCACCCTGCTTGTTGTCCGTGCCCTTCGTTTGTAATCTCTTCCCTCATTTTAAACGTATTTACAACCACAAACTCGAATATCATCATTGATAAAAAACATGTAAAAGCTAACACTTGGTTTTACAAGCAAAATGAAATGAAGTACCATTAAATTATTATGACCTTCCCATCGTTTAATAATGGTGTACACGTAGTATTAATATTATGCAAACAAGACGATAATTCATGATGACGATCTTTAATAATAATAATTCTCATTGTCAACCTCTTGTTTCATATGAATGAATTGTCATTATTGTGTTATCCTAAAAACTATTGTATTGTTTGACACCTAATTTATTTGACATGTATTGATAATCATGCGTGTCAAACTTGGTGACTACGCAATTGCGAATGAGTAGATATGCAGGTTGAAGTTAACCAAGTCGAGCATTGTGTGCGGTTTAAAAAATCGCACTCTTTTAATTTTGAACCAAAATTAGCATTAACAAAATAGATATTTCATTGTAATCGATTACAAAATTTCATTTGATTATAATCAAATGAATTTTTGTCCACCAGTGTCTGTGATGCATTATTACACAAAATCATACTACACTGAACCAATTTTTACCAAGTTGGTCTTAATAATGTATCTCTAGACATCTCGAGGTCGATATCAATTACTATTTACCCTATACTCTAATTGAGGACATTGGGGTCGACTGCACAAAATTGTCGTAGAAACATAAAATTGGTCATGAAGGTAATGGAGTAGTGTCAAATTGCAATACCTATTTTGACTTCAGAATTCAGATTACACAAATATTTTGAGTGCAGCATAAATAGAGATTAACGTGCGTCACAATTACTTTTCGAAAGTATATTTTTGAGTGCTTGGTTCTAGAGTAGAGTTGTAGAAAATGGAAAATGGGGTTGCGACAATTGCGACCCCAGCCTCATCCCTCCCGACAACCATGAGCATGACTGAGCTGCTGGAAATTGCAATTTCGGACCAAGATGTTGGAACCGTTAACTTCAACGTCCTCCGACTCCTCCTCAGCGATGTCATCAAAAGATTGGAAAAGTTTGACAAAGAGCCCGTTCAACTCGGACAACTAGACGCCAGTCAGATTGAGGTAAATTAATTTGTAAAGTTTTTTCCTATTGTGAATGTGTGGGTGTGATGGTTAAATAATTATTTTTCTACCCAATGCAGAACTACAAGAACTACATTCAAGGAGAAGCTGTGGCTCCGATACCAGGAGTCCTTCGAGTGCAGCAAGGAATCGATCCAAAGCGAGGACCGCCAGCCCCTCAAGGTCTCGTTCCAACGCAGACAGGACCATTAGCGCCGCGTTTTCCACCCCCACCACAAAATGCAGAAGCCACTCAACCAGTGGCTCCATCCCAGAATTCAGGTGGAGGTCAGCAGCATCAACCAAACGCTGCTCCAGGTCAGCAGCATCAACCAAACGCTGCTCCAGGTCAGCAGCATCAACCAAACGCTGCTCCAGGTCAGCAGCATCAACCAAACGCAGCTCCAGGTCAACAATACCCACCTTACGCTGCTCCAGGTCAACAAAACGTACCTAACGCTGCTCTGGGGCAACAAAACGCACCCAACACTACTCCAGGGCAACAAAACGCACCCAACGCTACTCCAGGGCAACAAAACCCACCTAACGCTGCTCTCGGGCAACAAAACCCACCTAACGCTGCTCCAGGACAACCAAATCAACAGCGCCCGACAGGTCAGGGTCAACAACATCCACACAACCCGCAATATCCACCAAAAACTACTCCAGGTCAACCGCAGTATCAACCTTCCCAACAACCGGAAGAGTATGCTCCACTTCCGGATGTTGAAAATGAAGAGGATCCAGCAGGGAATTATCCTCCTCCTCCATCTCAACCCGGAAATGCTTCTGCTGTGGCACGGTTATTAACAAATATTTATTTGCTATTATTTATTAACGTGGCTTTAATGCATAAATGTCTTTAGATCTCCCAATACGGTTGAAGCCTCTCCAGAAGGGCAGACTGCCAACAACGAGCAGCAACATATCCAACCGGAACGACACGCTGGAGAAATTAGTGGTGGGCCTCATGGCACCATGCCGCTGGCGTCAGTCCCACCAGCTCCAATTCATCCGGTGTCGCCAAATACACCACCAAGTCCAACAAAGGCACAAGGATTGAATCGTTCACCTTCTCGAATCACTTCAAGAATGTCCACACGCGCTTCACGAAGAATGTCATCTCACATGGACCATGGGTAAAATTTACATCATCAGAATCTTGATAGGTAGTTTATGACTTCCTTATTCTGGTCTCAGAATATTGAAGGACATGCAGTTGAAACTTGAGAAAGTTGAAAATCAGATGAATTACGTCATGGACCAACTTCCCCGCCTCGGTACAAGATCGGAACCCAAACCAGGTGCAGAAAGTAGCAGTAGGCCACAGCAACCTGGGGAAGAATCGCAGGCCTCACCCTCCTCACCTCCCAAAGTTACAGGTGAGGAAGACCTGGAGATGCCTGCGAAACAGTCTATGCAACGGCAATCTGATAGTGGAATACGTGGCAAAAGTGATAGTATATCCCCCAGCACACAACGTAAAACAAGAAGTACTGAAGGGTAGGCACATTTTTTTTGGTTCACCTGATGGCATACGAGTTTCAACTGCACAACTTAACGTTATTTGATTTTAGATCTCTAGGCGAGATGCGAGATCGCTCTCAAGACATATCTGGAGATGTGCGGGGGAGCAAAAGTTCAATTCGTGCTTCTGAAGGCGTCACTTCCGCCACGGGCGAAGCTTCCCTATCTCAGACGAACATCTCAGAAGAAGCCAGCAGAGAGTCCGTAGACTATGAAGGCCCAGAGAGACTAGGATCGTACGGAAATGTCCAGGATGCTGGAGTGGATGACGGGTACTTATTTATTTATAGTACTGCTTACTTTGTACGTAAAAAGTAGCGTAAACTTGTCATAAGGACAGTTCTTATTACATATAAGTGCAATTTAGATATCTTACATAATTTCAGACTCTTCGGAGATATGTTGCAACAAATGACTGGGATTGAGAATCAAGTGAGTGGCACAGGTACAAAACCCCACAAGAAAAAGAAGAAGAAGGATAAAGGAGGCGCGACTGGAACTGAAAGTCAACAGGCTGGAGTCGTTACTGACCGTCATTCGGAGAATCAATTGGATGCAAAGGAAACTACCCAAGAAAATGACAGAATGTCGGTCAACGATATGTGGCAGTTAATTCAGCTCAACAATCGAATTGCGGGGGCTGAAGGAGCAATTCAAAAGGTAATCTATTAAGGTTGACCCATGGACTGAACATGTAATACCTAATAATAATTGAACGGCTAACTAATTGATTAGATGGCCGGATTGATTGAGGATCTAGCACGAGAGTTGACTCGGTTGCGGTGGGACACAGAAACAACACAGGCTATCCAGGAGGACACGGTCCTTCTCATTGAAGGGGAAGACAAGTGTATGGGGCCTGGAATATGCAAAGGTCACGGGATGCCTTCTGGGATTGCCGTGTGCCAATTTACTGAGCCGGCAGAAACGACAACTAAAATAGAGAAGCCTGCTCTTCCAGACGACGCTTGTCCCATGTGTGGAAAAGAAAACCGGAGCGACAACAATGAGCTTTTAAATCTCAAGAAACCACGGAAAGGTCTGATGGACAAGGCGCCTCAAAACCTTGTCAGTCCTAAACAAACACAACATTACGACCTCACATTCGGTGATCCACAAAATGGGACTGATCTTGCCAACATCGATTTAGAACAAATTCATGATAGTTTGAAGGTGATTTAAAAAATACATATACAAATGAGTAGTGGTATATTAACATTTAATGATGCTCGATGTAGAATGTTGACTTTGGAGAATTCGATGAAAAGAATATTCTTCAAAGGATTGAGACATTATGGGAAGCGATGAAGCTTTTGAAAACTGTTGATGATTCCTTATCAAAACGAATAGATAAAGCTGACGAGCTGCTCAAAAAGATTCCAAAGGAAAGAATGGGTAATATACAACACGGGATATTTTCATGAAACATTATTACATACATTGATGTATGTAAACATATTATGAATATTTCATTTTCGCCAGCTAAAATGATGATGGGAGAGTACACTGACGTAAACCCTGGAGGTCCGGTTGCCTTCTCCCCACCCCCACCACCACCCACTACCCCAAATTTACACCACCAATCGAAACATCAGGATCAAGTTGATACTCAGGATGTGGACCAAAAAGCAGACGACTCTGGAACTGACAAGGAGGACATTCAGACCCTTTTCAACAATTTGGCAAATGTCATTGCAGAGTGTGCAGAGCAAAAGGAACGCATTGATGTAAGTACTTTTATAAAGCCATGTGATCATATCGTAGATAATTTTGTAAGCCAAAATAATTTCTCGACCGGCTTACTTATTCTTTTTTAATGTGGCGTTATTATGGTAGCAATTGGTGGACGCAGTTCGAATCATTGAATCTGGAATGGTGACCAAACAATTCCTGCTGGACATGATAAGCGACAAAGCAGACAAGGGTCAAATTAATACCAAGGTTTCGTATGATGAATTTGGAAACACAGTGGACGAGCTCCACGCCCAGCTTCACAATCTGATGGTGGAAGGTTATCAGAGGAACGAGAATTGGAAAAAGGTGACGAGTGACCTGGCGGAAGAACTGTCTGAAAAACTAGATAAAGTTGAACTCGCCCCGATTAGAGCATTTTTCAAATCGCGTCTAAAGAGATTGGAAGATCGCGTGACATCTCTGTCTACGCTTTTGGACGAACCAGATCCCGCAGGGACAAGAAAGAAACTTTTGCGAGACTACAATTGCCTTTCTTGTAACCGAAAGGTCAACATTTCTGGATTCACAAATACTTGCACTCTTCCAAACATGGGGCCTGCAACAGCGATGCCATCATCCGCATCTCATCGAACCTATGATCTTCACCGTCTTCGATCGCAAAGAACACGTTTGTAAGTGCAAATTAAAAATCTCATGTAGCATGAAATTACACAAATATGTATTTATCTCTCACATTTTATTAAATAATCACTCAATCAGTGATACGGATGCAAAAGAAATGCTAGAGCTCGAAAATCAAGCAAAAATTCAGTCAGCAAAAAGTCTCAATTACACAGGAAAACAACGCCAGTTGAGGTAAGTATAAGGTCTAAATGAATCATTTACTCTGGTAAATGATTTACGCTATTAATTGTTAAATTTCAACAGCGATAAGGATGTGATGAAATTGGTTAATCGATATACGGGGAGCGCCGGCGACAATTCACAGGCACCCACAGCCCTTCCTTCTTTGAGCCCTCTCGTCAACACGCAACCACTTCAACCTACGACTCAATCTCCATCTCAACAACTAGAAGAGCAAGTGACCCAAACGATTCAACTGTACGAAAAACAATGTGTATCCCCAAGATTCTGACTTGGAAAGATTTTTATAGTTTAATCATTTATTTTCCTATAGTGATCCAGCCACTGCTCCGCCTACTTCAGTACCATCACAACTGTCAGCTATGATAGAGGCTGAGGTTGCTTTACGAATGTCGGGCGAGTATATTATGGAAGGCGAGGAAGAATGAGTAAACTCTACTTTCGGAAGTGAAATAATTTTTATTTTTAATTACCGGATGCGTATATGTAAGTCTCTTGAGCTAAATATGTAAAATATTTCAAATCTATCATATAAGTCGAGTAATCCTACACAAAAATAAATGAACTAATGAAATAAGAATTCATGAACATCTACGAAGACAATATTTCCAACTCTTGCCGCAAATCTTTTCCTTTATCACCCAAACTTTCACAAAATTGAATGGACTCCTTTTGTAATCCACACTCGAAAATGAAGCGAGCGAAATCTAGCTTAATGGCTGTTTGAATGTGGTCACTGATTGATATTGGCACACCTTGTCTCACACAGTAAGACAGCAAAAGGTACGAGAGGTGTCGCAGTCGTGCTCCAAACAAGACCTCAATAGCTCGGTCATATTTATCGCAGAAAATGTAAACTGTTGCAGCTTTATACGCACATTTTTTTGAATTGATAAACTGTGCATATTTACATAGCGACTCTTCCGAATTTTTGTCATTTAACGCCGTTTTGCAGAGGAGAATTGCCTTGGTCCATTCATTAGACGACTCGACGTATTTACATGCCTCGTGATGTTTTTGCAGTAGACAAAGGAGTTCTAAGCCTAATTAATAATGAACACATTATCTTAAGAATTCAACTTGTATTATGATAACAGATTTATGACAGGCATCACTCACCTCCATCCATGTCGCCAGAAGCAATCAGATTGGTAGCAATGATTTTTAGTACAGCTTTCGCTTGTTCTGGGAGGTTGCTTGACCCAACGGCCACACTAGCTTTCAGTCCGTTTAAAACATAAGTGGTTGCATCCGAAGGTTCCGTGTCAAGCAAAATCTCTGCTGCTCGTTCTGATTCTCCTATAAGACAAAAATACAGAAACATTTATGACCAAGACCATGAACAACATTCATTAATAACAACAACCACTCATATACGATTCTGTGAAACATGGTATACATTAAATTTATTACACAATGCAGCACATATCATACCTGTCCATAGTAATATTTTTGCAACTTCTTCGCGCTGTCGGAATATATACATAAACTTATTAGTATGTGATAATTATTATGTATGTAAACATGAATTTAGTTGAATAAACCTAACCTTATGGAAATCGGTAGCCCAAACGCATTGCGCAGTCTTTACCAAAACATTTTTGTAACGCTGCCGGTCACAAAATATGTCGATATCCCGAATGTTGTCCTGCATTTTCCATTTGGCATTTACAATATTCCAAAAATTGTATTCATCCTTTGACCCAAAATCTTGGGCCATTCGCAAGAGGTCAGAAATGGTGCTATTCTTGTCATTGCAAGTTGTTAAAATTTTTGCCGCTTTTTCTGCAGCATTCATAAAATATGGAAAGTGAAACTGTGATATGGTGGATGGAGCAGCAAAAGCATTAGTTGACGCATTGAGATCCAATGGTAAAAGTCGAACCCCGTTGCTGCCTTTGGGTATATACGCTAACCAGTTATTTAGCACTGCAATGGATGTCGTTTTCAAGATTCCGGAATGTAATACTTTAATTTTCTTGGGATTTATGCTAGAAAAGTCCCATAAAACCAGGCTGTCTGGAAACTGAAGGACATAGTTATCTTGGTTTGGGACTTTAACCATTCCGAGAAGCGGCCCACGTCCAACACTACTACTTGGCGACGCAGTTTTCTTTGTTGTGTTGTAAACGACCAAGACGGCATTAGAATCGGCTCGATAGACCATGTCCTCTCTTGACACTAAGCTGTTTGGGATACCGGCAACGTGTGCAGTATGTTCCAATTTTACACACGTTGCATTTAAGAAACGATTCCCTTCAACCCGAAATGTGAACAAAAATGTGCCCAAGTCCGTCATAAAAAACATTTCCTCTCTGTAAATCAAATTATTTGTAAACAGGTCATTAGTTCACTATGTTCAACGATTCTATTTAATAATATTGTTAGCCTACTTTGTCGTTTCAGTATTGATACTATCGGGTTGACGCCAATGAATGCAAGTGATCACTGGTAATTTATTTGGAAGACTTTTTATCAGTTGTCGACGCGGTAAATCCCAAAGCTCACACGGACCAGCTCCATTCTTGAATAACAAAACTAAGGTTATTATATCCGTTGAAAATTGAGTACAAAAAATTACAATATTATTTTAACTATTATTCTCTAAGTATTTAGATTTGGATGAGATTCCAAACATAAAGTATTTATCAATGTACGTAGCTATTGATTAATTACCTTATAAACGAGTACAAAGTATTGCAAAAGTGGCGACACACTAATGCAATTGATGTGATGTTTATCATCCAATTTTAAAGCTCGACTTGCTCCAGATGATATTTCCGTAAGTATCAATTCGCATTTTGGACTTGCCGAGAAGCTGATGTTGGAATACGTCAAGATTTCTGTGTCCGAAACAAACTCGATGCCGCTCACCGGACTGCTGGAATGTGTCGTGAATTTCTTGAGAGCTTTGAGACGATGGTCAACAATTTTTAGAACAATCACAAATCCAGATGCCGTGCCAGCTAAAACAACAGTGGCAATATATTCTTAATACAAAATATACTTTAATACAATGCAATATTAGCTGCACTTAACGTACCCACGAGAATATCCCCTTGGCTTTTGATGCAGGTAAACTGTCCAAATGCATGTGTAACTCGTTGAAGCTGAATGGATAAGCTGGTGTCAGTTTCCACGTCTAGAATTGACTTCACGACACTGGCAAGTGGACGACAATGCTTGTTCGGAGATCCTGGAAGGAGTTTCTTGTTCTGTTGGTCATCTCTTTGTTCTTCAGCAGCAACCCCAATATTGTGTACGAACGGGGTTGAAGGGGTCGTCAGATGAGGTTTCACATCACCGGGCACTGGAGTTGATTTCATGGCAATGAGAGCATATTTTAGAAGCCTCCCATCATTCAGGTACACAATTACGGAATTTTCTTCAAATGGATTCACCACAAATCCAACAACTTCAATTTTCTTTCCAGAAAATCGTGGCTCATAGCAAACAGTTTCTAGTTGCACGGCCATGGAATGTTCGCCCGAAATCACATATTTTCTTACATAGATTGTACCGTTCTCGTGAAGGGTGAAAAGACAAGGTCTGGATTTTGTTGGAATTACTTGTACAATGGGAGCAACTTGTTTGTCTATTGAAAACGTATGCAAGACGGTCATGAAATGAATATTCAGAAAATAGATGGCCACATCGGTGGACACAATCACCGTGTCCTTGACTCCAGGATGAAAAGTTATGGACCCTGGAAATTTAGATTGCGGTCCCCCAGAAGTGGTTGATGATGAGTAATCTGGACCAACGATGATGTCGGACACCAATTTTCTGATAGAACTTGAGGACGGGATTTGTCGCTTCATACCGCTATCAATTTGATTCAAATTAGAAGAGAGTGAACCCAAACTTGTGCTTTTAGACATCTGAGACGACGGACTGTTTCCAGTTGTTGTGCCACCCGGACCAGAAATTCTACTACCGTCCCCCGTCAGCGATACTCTTTTATGAATCATGATTTTCGTGTCCTTCACACAATCCCAGAATTTACACAGAGAAACCGTTCCGTCCAATGAGTAGAATGCCAGAGAACTGCTGTACTGACTGGCATGATATGGATCTGAGCAAAATCTGACAAACTGGTCGAAAACTCCCAGATTTTCCATTGTAGGATTGCTTATTGGAACAAACTGAGAAGATCCGTGAACGTAGTCGAAAATTGTTAACATATTTCCACTGTAAAGGATGTAGATTTTCGTTCTAACCCAAAGATCAGAACCATAAGGGATCAACATGTCCAAAATGGTACGGGAGCCATCTGGATGACTAAATGTTCCAACTTGTTGACCTTTCAGAGCATCCCACACAATGACTTGACCAGTTGAGTCAGCACTGACAATATCCCGATTAGATAATTTGGATTCGGCACTGACAAATTGCCTCCCAGCTGGTAGCCACAAAACATGACTGATGGTGCTTGTGTGACCGGTAAGCACTTGAACAACTTCCAACGTCACCGTGTCCACTATAAAGACTTCTGTGTCATTGGCTAAACATGCCAACTTGTCATAAGACCTGGAGTATAAAAAAACTTGCACATATTATTTATTATCTAACACCACTACTAATTACAGCATCTCATACATACCAATGGAATGCCCCCTTATTTCCACCTGAGGCTGACCCGATAAGCGGCACCGGAATGAACGTCTTTGTCATCTTGCGTTGGTTTCTTCCTTATTGCGCCATTTAGACGGAAATTACTTACTGAAAATCTGCAAAAAATGCAAAGTATGAAAACCCTCACATCATAATTCAATTACTTTTCAAAATAAGAAATTTGTTCTTCTTCCCAAGAGTTAAATATGTATGTTAAATATGTATTATGAATAGCGAACTTACTTATTGACTATAGCACGTTAATTTTTCTACAATTTTCACTGCCAGCAAATACGACCACTTTGCCAGCACGTTATTTACCAAGTAATTATAACCTTTATTAATTTAGCAAACCAGAGTGAAAGCTAGTCTAAAAACCAACGTTGTTTTGCTTCCACAGACAATCTCAGCTGCGCTTTCTCCGCAAGTTGATTGGGGCAAAGCAAAATATTCTCAGTTTCTCCAACCCAGAAGAAACAGCAGCAATTGAGAATTTCGTCCAAAAGGTGAACCAAATAACCAATTACAAGGAAGTCACCTCGCTCGATACTCTGATGACAAGTTGTTGATGTGACCTGTCACGGCTGTCGTGTCCAGCTGCCTCAGTTTCTGAGAGCTCCCACAACAAGCCATACAACACTGTATGTGGTGCAACCTAGATGCAATCTACTGTGTCCATTTCATGCCACTGTTGATGATGATGAACAAGTTGTTCCATTTCGATGTATATAACTCGATATAACTATAAAGGTAATGCTCTCCACTTTCGATTTTATTTTTACTTTTACATCCAACATATTTTTGCTACAAGACGGATGAGAAGAGTTCAGGAAAGCATTTTGAGACTTTGTTCATGAGATATTCCCCATACGTCACGGACTCTGGATTTTGGTGCAAATCCATCCCATCCCATCGTTGGCCTGGCTTCCTGTTCTTGCTTCCCCCGTTCCTTATCCATTCTTTGAGAACTCTTGACTCATCCACGGCCACAGCCCTCATCTTCACGTCCCAGTCAGGGTCGAAAAAGAAGGGCCAGCTCAGCCGATCCCCACTTCGCTGGATCTTCACCCGATGTGGAGTCGCTCGTAAAAACCCTTGCGTTGCAATTTCAAGCTGATCGCCCAAGTTAACGATGAAGGTGTCCTTGATGGGAGGCACATCAATCCAGGTTTGGTCCGGACTCAGAACTTGTAGGCCAGGGTGATGATCAGTTTTCAGAATTGTCAGAAATCCGTAGTCCGTGTGCTCTCCTACGCCCCACCCATCAACTTGGTCCGATTTGGGATAATTAAAGATGCGAAATAAAATTGTGGGGCCATTTTTTCCGAACGACTTTTTGAAATAATCTTCTCCTAATTCCAGACCAATTGCGAAACCACGCATGAGCTCGTGACCAAGTATCGTAAGCCGGGCTAGATATTCTAGGATAATTGGTCGTAACTTTGGGACGGTGTGATCAGGCCACAAATTTTTGCCATGCAATGGTGTGCCTGCTTTCACTCGTGGATGGTCTGGCCCCAGCTCTGTACCAAAGTATATTCCCTCTTTGGCGTCTGGAATTCCGGACGTTTGTTCTCCTCCCGGGGGAAAGTAGCCACGCCATGCTTTCCCCCCAAGCAGCATTTTCAGCTCCATTTTCGCCGTCATCGGGAGGGCAAAGAAGTCTCGGGAGATTTTATCCAATTCCTCTAGAAATTCGTGTGGAACGCCATGATCCTTGATGAAAATGAAGCCCCACTCGTGGGCAGCGGTTAGCAGTTGCTTGGATGTCTCCAATACTGCAGGGTCCGTAGCTTGACCCGTCAATAATGTCTTTACGGACACAATTGGAACTTGTCCTTCCATTCTGAACCCTGGATCTAAATAATTTAGCCACTATCAATACTTCCTAATGCAGTGTGTTGAAGAATGAAGCGAATATTTCCCTCAATGATCTGTGCAAATTTCTCTGATGATAAGCTAATCAAGATAAGTGCGGACTGGCTTGGAATCATTTAATGATAAGCAAGCGATAAGAATAATGAATATTAAATATATACTGCACAACATAACCAATATAATGTACCTTTTCCGTGAATTTTTTACGACAGACAGACGTAGATTTACATGCCCATGAGTCATAATATGTAATTTTTTCGTCTTTCCAGTACTTATGATTGAACGGATGCTTCATTTAAATAAGACACAATGCAAACTACATAGCCAATTTAAAAAAGCGCATGGCATGACATTTTTTAACGTTTCCGTCATGGCCGTAACATGAAATGAAATGCGATGAAATAAATACAAAACCGATTTTAATTGATTTAAGGGTAAATGGTATACGAAGGGGTGTGACCACGTCCTGTTGAGCACTAAGTTAAACTGTACTGATACGTGTTTTGTCTTGAGACGAATGCAATAAATATTTAGAGACTTGATACGCACGGAGGACGTCGATGTAGAGAAAGGAGACATCAGTTTATTTTATGCTGAATTATCCCCAAATTTATTAACAATTTTTGTATAACCAATCTTTTTTTAGAACGGCGTTTGTTGGGTTGATGCACGATATCCTTTGAAATAAGAAGCAATTGAGGTTGAGAGATTGAGGCAAATTGAGACTGATGAGATTCCACAGAAAATCCATAACCGATGCTTAAAAGGTGTTCATTACTCTCTAGGGATCACTATTTCTAAAGGTGATAAAGTGACGACTGGGCTACGAGATATATTGTAATAGCAGCAGATGGATTTTATAAGTTCAGTGTCATTAACGTCGGTAATTTGCGTGATACATAGATTCACCCAAACTGTAAATGTGGGGAAACTGAGACGTTCTTTTCTGCTTTTTATACTTACTCGTTACTGTTAATACATCAATCCTCATTATTTACTCATTAAGTCTTACATTTGTAATTAACTACACACAAGTGCGTGGTTTAAAAATATAGGGAAGGACTGAGGAAGAAGAGGACGTGATTTATTAAAACATTTCGCAAATCTGCCGAGTCGAAGATCCAGCCTCAGCAGAATTAACTACTGATACCTCTGATCTCTACAGAATTTACGATTTAAGAACTTGTAGTTGAGAAAGTTGCAGCATTGGAGATAAAGATCAGATAAGAATCTGACAGAGGAGAAAATTGAAACTGTGTGACATACATTTTGCTGTGGAGGAAGCTGTCGTAAAGAATACTTACTTGTTATTCAGTTCACATAAAACTTCACGGTGGGGAAAGTGAGATATGACCTTGGTACAATTCTACTTAATACATCTCCACTAAAATCTCTACGTACTTGAAGCGTAAGATTTATTCTAATGTTGAGAATACGGGATTTATAAGTATTTAGTTTACATAGATGGCCACCAATGATGTGGTGTGACCAAGAATATTTGTATGTATGCATATTCCTAGGATTTATTTAAAGTAATTTTGTAATATGTATACTGCATGCACAGTGCTAATTAGTAACGTACGATATGCTGGTGCATATACGCGTCTACGATAGATGAGAGGGCGGCATACAAGCAATGACATCGTAATTCATTCACGACCAAGTTTTCAAGGGGTGTCTAGAAATAGATTCGCCGAAATAGTTCGTCCGGCGTTAGTTCCCCGTCACCATTCTCATCAATCACTTTGTCCACAATCAGTTTGGCTGCTTCTGGATTGTTCTGCAACTCTTCTATCAACCAGCTGTTGGGGTAACTGCTGAAAACGGGAGACTCGTTTTTAAACATTGCAAACTGCTTATTTTGATGCGTGCAGCGTCACTTACGCTCGCGTGAGGTCAAAGTTTGGGGACAGGAGACCTTCCACGTTGGCTTGTTGCTGCTGACCTGGTTGTTGGAGGCCCGCGAAAACGCCTTGACCCAGACTGAGTCCTGGGTCCCGTTTCCCGAAACCTGGAGCATTTATGTGTCATCAGTCATCTCATCACAGCGCATCGTAATATCAGTCTAAATGGAAACCGCAAGTCGTATATGATCAAACTCAACTTACCTCGTGCTGTGGACAGTCCTTGGCTTTTGAACCCCCTGTTTGACCTGGGGTAACCCGTCCGAGTTGCTGTTGAGCATGCAACCACTGCCAGCGTCAACAACCAGCAGACTAATACGTATTGCACTGTCTTCGACATTTTCCTACAACAAATGAATCAAAATTCTGTAAATGAGAATACCCAGAAAAACATATTCCTCGTGACTTTGGTCTTTAGGATCGCATCATTCACATCCCTTTTCCATAAACCATACTTCACCACCACCACGATTATGTTGGCCGAATGTTATAAATTGGATCAGAATTGCCATTCATCAACCATCATTCAGTTTACGCCAGTGATGTATAAGCTTACACTTTCAGAAGAATTATCTCACAATAAAACTCCAAACCGTTCATTTAATGATTCGCCTGATGCAATAGTGATGTTGAGACATTGAGGTTTTGGCATTAAAATTCCTGTGGTTAGGTAATCTACTACCCTTAAACTGGGGAAGCCAGACCGATGCTGGTCCTACATATCCTGCACATACTCGTACGTTTCGAATCTATGGCCTATATAACTAAAATATATTTACTGTCCTACTCCCACTCCTAAATCTCGACCAGTTTGTTCGGAATGACCCTAAAACCACGCAATCAAAAGGAGAATGTGCAGTTTCGAGGACGAATTGTCATTCTTTTTCGATGTAGACAATGTGTTGTCCAGGTTTGATGAAACTCATTTCCCCGCAGAGCGTAATGTGTGCGTCATTCACGGTTTGTCAAATTAACAAATGCTATCAAGAACGAGTTATGACATTGGATGGAGGTGGGTGGGTGCTGACTTTCAGTTATTAACTAACAGAACTTTGACAAAATATGCTACGTAATGAACTTGATTAATTACAGTTCCATCACAGGTTCACAATGCCCCACGAGAAACAAAATTCTTTGGATTGAGAAATTGCCTCTTTTGAGTGAGGCAGATCAATATAATTGTGTAATTGATGGAAATGTCACGAATGCCAGAAGAACACGTTGATAAAAGCATAACTCACCTGTGTATTGTGGACTCTCTCGTGGCTTGAGAAGGGAGATGAACGGAAGGAAGGCGATGGGGCGAAGTGAGAGGGAGAAAGCAGCAACAAGTCACCACTTGATCCGATGTATCTCCTGAGTGAGATTAGACGTGTAAGTCAAAGTGCTGAACAATGAAAACCAACTCCTTCCACAACTCGAGACAAAGCTGTACTTGATTTCGTGCAGGTGAAGTCGTCGTAGTTTTAAAGAAGCCTTCGTGGGAAAAATCTGAAACAGAAAGGGCAAAATCAACAAGAGTCGGATGTGTCAACTGACTTTGTTTGAAGAGCGAATGCAAAATTCAGCTTTGAGAAAACAGGATCTGGTGGATTTCTCAAATGAAAAGTGGAACTGTCGGACAAGAACCGAACAAAGTCAACAGATTTGAATTTATGGGTTGAAAGTTTTTGGATTTAGAATGTTTCGTCCCCACTTTCGTTATGTGTTCAGAAGGAAGAAGGAGAGGAGGATTCTTTCTTTATGAAAAATATGGGAGCGTGGGCAAGTATTATGTACGTATTGACTTATCTGAATCTATATTATTTTACCAAGAGTCGAGATTACCTAAAATTTGAAATCACAAAATATGTGAGAGTTTGTAGAGAAGCTTTTTCAACGAAAATGAGTATGGGTTTGGCTGAGGAGGATGCTTTCACCACGACGATCGCGTCCAGAATGACGTACCCCGTCTTCCCTCCCCTAGTTTTATATGCACATAAATTCGTCATACTCTGAATTGTCGGGCCCGAATGAATCATTGTCGAAATCTAATTGCTCTTGAAGCAGCAGTGGCATTCGAATGAGCATTTAGTTCTCATACTAACAATGGAGAGGTGTGAGGTGGTTATCGCCGATAACCACCGGACTAATTTTAAATTATTCAGGACCAGAAATAAGTGGACCCGTATTTTTTTGTTTTCCTGAATAGGCATGTTTTCGCCCTTGGCGGAATTTTCAAAAAAAATTTCAGCCAAAATCAGGATTTTTAAAAATGCTGTAACTTTTCGAATTTTAACCCGGTTTCAAAAATAAACCCCAATTTGTGTTCAGAATTACATCCCTGAAAATATAAAAATTCATTTTCAAAATTTAAAAAAATTTGATATTTTCATGCCATTTCTGAATTTGTAGAAACCCAAAAAACGATAATTTTTTTTAGTTTAAAAGTTTTTAAAAAATGAATTTTTATATTTTCAGGGATGTAATTCTGAACACAAATTGGGTTTTATTTTTGAAATCGGGTTAGAATTCGAAAAGTTACAGCATTTTTAAAAATGCTGATTTTGGGTGAAATTTTTTTTGAAAATTCCGCCAAGGGCGAAAACATGCCCATTCAGGAAAACGAAAAAATACGGGTCCACTTATTTCTGGTGCTGAATAATTTAAAATTAGTCCGGTGGTTATTGGCGATAACCACCTCACACCTCTCCATTGTAAGTATCCCATAACGGCATGACAATCCCTCCACGCCATTTGACATTTAAAACTATTGGGTCGTGTATCGTCAGTTTCGTCAGAAAACCACCTGTGTTACCGCTGGGGGTCGAGCTTCATGGGATCACTGGAAGGAAGGCTCCCATTCTCAGATGATCCGTTAGTCTTAGTGTTTCCTAGTACGAACGTGCGTAGGTAGGGCGTAATAATGGATACAGACATATCCCACGTACAGCCAAGCACATGTCGTGTCGAGCATGGGGGGTGAAAGCAAATTAAAGATTATTAGATGAAATTAACCATTAAAGGATTTACACGGCAGGTGATCTTTACTTGAATAGCTTTCATAACTAGAATTTATTTGCGAAAAATGAGATTTTTCAGGTGTGACCATCCTGTGTCGGTCGACATGTGTGTGGGTTCAGTTGTAAATGGAAACGTTGAAAAATATGATCAGAGTAATAGCAATAATAAGTGAGTGTAATATGAGGAATTTTATGAAGAGAAAAATAATGCTCAGATAGTTTAAATCTAGCTCAAATTATGCATTGTATAAGTGGTTGATGTGTGTAATAAATTATTGGTTTTATGATTTTTTAGCCCGAGTGAGGAATTATGGGATCGGCATGTCCATCTGTTTGTCTGTCCGTCTGTGTCACTCTAGCGGGCGAAACACTGAATACATGCATGATGGCGCAGGTCAAAGAATATATAGTCAAATTCAAAAATATTTTTGCCAGAGGGACGCAAGTTCACATTGTGACCCACACTGGCTGTCTTTGAAATTGGCTAGAATTGGCTGAAATTTGGCATGAAGGTGCAAATGCATCTCAGATTTACGAATGGGGAGTAAATTTCTAGAAATGGATCATCTGGCTGAACAAACAAAATCAGAAGCTAATCTTACCCTGACTCGTATTAAATGAAGTTTGCACTGTAAGTTTTCTCTACATTTTAGCAACAATAAAGAAGTTTAGCAGATGCATTGGTTTGGTGGCAGACTGAAGTCAATTATCTTTGCTTTACGAGGTTTTACATGCATGCCCGTTGAGAAGATCAAATGAGACTGAAACGTCACAAAATCTCTTATGAATGACGCTACGAACGCTGAACGAAGCATCTGAATGTCAAATAGCTGATAATCAAACAAATTCAATAAGGACAGCAAAGCAAGGTGATCAAAAAGTAAATCATTTTCCAGTTTTAATCAGCCCAGATCATTCGAGCATTTGTTTTCTCTTTTGAAAAACAAGCACCTTCTTCTTTCATTCCTTTGCTTAAATTCTGAAACTCGAGAACACGGCGTGTCTGCAGAGAAAGCAATAAACTTGTGTTCTCACATCCCTTGCTCCCCTGTGATGTAAATTCAATGCACAACGACAATGGAAGATTTCTTCAGCTTCTCGTGTTTATAAATTAGGAATTTTCATCAATGCGTGTACAACCTGCCTTGTAAGTTGGAAGGTGTAGGGTATAAGGTGTCAGGAGCATAACATTGCGTGAGTTCGGAGAAAGTCGATCTGTGTGGAAGGCAATCAGCCGATTTATGTGTCATTGTCGTGTCTCAAAGGGATCTTCTAGTTTTATGGCATCAGAAGATATTGGCACATAAGAGACAACAGTATTTTTAGTATGGAAAATTCCGAGAGGAAGACATAAACTGAATGTTCAAACCATATGTGGCCAACCCTATGGAGTCAATTTGCGGCTATCTGCATAAACCCCACGACGAGATGTGCTAATCCTAAGTGCTACCCTCAAAATGGAACTAAAGTCTGTTGACTTAAATATGAAGTCCGATTGTTGACTTAAATTATTTTTAACAGGTGGGTTTATAGTTTATGGTTTTGTTGTCAATTGCAATTGATAAAAAATATCGAATTGGGACAATAAATTGTTTTGTTAAGCAGGAACAGGAACCAAATGATTCTCATCAAAATTTAACCACAACATGAACTTTTTCAATCGATACATTATTATTTTTGGGAAAACTTAAATTATATATATCCACATGTACAATACAATGTTCACTTGGCGAGGTAAATTGAGTTGTAAAGGGTAATGCAAAACTCCCCTCGTGCTAATATTAGAAAATAATATTAGATATGTACGTCAGGATTGAGTTGAATCAACGAAAAAGGTAGCATGACGATGAACGAATGAATCATATACAACCGGATTCGCTGTCATTTTTCGTTAATTTCCAACATTACTGCTGTGCATTTCGTTTAATGGAAGAAAAACAAAACTACTACAGAAGCCGAAAGCAGCAATTTAATAATAAAAACTGTGCATGTGAATTGGGTCGAATTCTGCTTAGAGCAGACAAAACTTATGAAAATAATAATGTCATCCGCTCTGAGTTACGCCGCCTGGTTCGTCCAGATTGGATTTCTGATTGGACGAGTTTAAATAACTCTTCGAAACATCAATTACAATGCAATGATCTAGCAGACAAACTGTAATTTTCAATTTTCAACACAAATACGTATATTTATCCGTGAACAGAGTACTGCACTTTCGGCGTTCGTTATATTCTTGCCATTAACCAGTTCGCTAAATTTTTTAGCTGTGCTAAAAAATACTTGGAGAAAGTCAGAGTCGAGCAGGTATGCGAATGCACGTTGTGTGCTCTGACTGTGAATCTGGTTACCCCATCTTCGTTTAAATCATCAACCTTAATAATAAAAATGCTTTTAGTTAAATTGATCATTTTGCAAGCTAAATATAAAGTGGGAGAGGAGATGAAGATTACATGTTATTACTTTGTCGTTCTCTTAATCGTCATTCGTTCCCAATGCCAGCAAATTAATGGAATGGATAACAGGCAAACAGCTACTACGTACATACATACATTAGATGCTTACAGATATATAATTGAATACCAATTTACAAAAATAGTTATTGTATAACCGCATACTTTTCTTGCTGAAGACAAAACTGTGGTTTAACGTCACATCCGCTTTCTCGTCGGTTTGCGTTCAAAACTTTACAATTTGCCAAATGTATTTTGGACACAGCTCCCATACCGTCAGAGATATCTAGATGAAGGTCAGCAAGGCAGCTGAGGGGGATTATGTATATTTTCTCGCCCCTCACAATCAGTGATTATGCAATTATTAGTACATATGCACATAAATAAAACGCTAATTGCTACCTTATGTTACGCATTGTCCTTTACTCTCAAGTCCGAGGACGAGCAATGTGCAATTGGGGCGGAGAAAGTTGAGAAAGAACTGAAATGGAGATGAAATGGGGCAATTGAAGAATATCGCTTCAGACTCATTATTACCAGATGCATACAATTTGTAGATTGAGATTCCTATCAAATACCAGCTTGCGAAGGGGTGTTATTATCTTTTGACAAAACTGACGTCAGCCAATAATTCCCCAATTTGCACCATCCCCATAATTGTTACCTTTCATTTGTTGGTATTCTGATGATTTATGTTACTGATGGAAAGAAGACGACTGTCCAACTCGAGCCATTTTATCACTTTCCAAATTAGTAATATTCTCGTTGTGAGCAGCTGTAGCATCATATTTCACAACCACGAGGCTTTCGCCGAACGAAGACGCCTACACGTTTCCCTTTGACGCAACAAGCGTCGTACTTACTTTCCTTTCCTAAATGCGTCCATACCCTAAGGAGGGGAGGTTGTGTACTATCAACTCCCGGATCTCGATGCCCTTTGGATATGTTGTAGTGTCCCATGAATGTACAACAACCCTGAAGTGGTTTGATTCCATGGCCACATTTGCGCTCGCCACACCCACTCAAAGGTGCCCAAAAATCGCTTTCACTCCAGCTTTCACTCACTCAAATCAACGCCAAAAATCCAATTTTACTCCGATTTTCAAATTTATTTCACCATTATACTCCGAGATAGTTGCTTTCTTATTTCCAACATCAAACTCAACTTTTCTGATGATTATTTTGCAGGGATAATTTGTTTTGCTGATTACTACAACATTGCTAATTCAGAATTTTAAATTTTAAAAATACCAAAAATTTCAAAACGTTGAGTTTGATGTTGGAAATAAGAAAGCAACTATCTGGGAGTATAATGGTGAAAGAAATTTCAAAATCGGAGTAAAATTGGATTTTTGACGTGGTTTTGAATGAATGAAAGGTAGAGTGAAAGCGATTTTTGGGCACCTTTGAGTGGGTGTGGCGAGCGCAAATGTGGCCATGGAATCAAACCACTTCAGGGTTGTTGTACATTCATGGGACACTACAACATATCCAAAGGGCATCGAGATCCGGGAGTTGATAGTACACAACCTCCCCTCCTAAGTCAGCTATTCTGAGACTTGACTACTCGATTGCTTCCCTTTTCACTGCTGACTTTCTGATAATCGTGCTTGCGTTACTCGACTTGATCAAACAACGAAAGCATGAACATAAATAAAATAGTGAATTGAGAAATCTGTAACTGGGACATTATAAACTACGTACATTCGCCCATACGCTTACAGCACATTTATTTGCTCTCATATTCTCTATTGTTCTAAATATGCTGCATATTTACCATTTGTGTTAAATAAGTTTTTATGTAACAAGTTACATAATATGAGAAGTATATCATCAAGATATACTTCCTGGGTGTAGAATTTTGTCAGATGTATTTACTGACTGACAAAGTAAATTGAGTCATTATACGTAATTTTTTGATGAACAAATTTTAATGCGATATTGGTTAACAAAGAAAAACAGTGATATCGGCAAAGCAATTTGACTTTAAAATACAAATCAAACATCAACCTACATACTTTCAACATCAAAATGCACAAACGGATGCAAGTAAACTGGGTAATATATACATTTGAAATGCGTATTTCAAGCTATAAGACTTCTTCCAGCATTGACTCCGAAATAACAATTCAAATTTATTTGTTGTATGTGTATCTCAAATTAGAAAAAATACATCATCTTGCTTGTGTTCAATAGAGAACTATCAATCCTATTCTGGTTCATATTGTTTGCAACCAATATTCAATTGTACGACTTTTTAGCCATAAAAGTTTTCTCAAAAAATATAATTCACCCAAACACTTTGTACTTTGTACAGGTGTTTAAGAGTGGGGATGCAAATAAGTATTGGTGAGTTTTTTTGGCACGCTTCATAAGAAAAAATACATTTCCTGAAAACTCCCAAAATGTACTAGCAAAATAGCAATTTAATGTATTGCTTTTACTCAGACTGGAGTCAAAATCCACTTTATATTTTCTCAATGTATTTCGCCAGGCTTTGAGAAATGCATACATAAATAACTCCTGGGAGAACAATTACAAATATGTAACATCCAACTAACTAAAACACTAGTACTTAAATGACCCTAGATCCTTTCTTCGTTTTGTGTGTGGCTCTCCACCCCCAGTATCAAGAAAGAATAGATTCGTTCCAGACTCGGATTCCGTGTCAGGTTCACCCATCACAGATCTCAAAAGTTGTAATTCCTCTGCACTTGCACCGGTGGTTTCCCCTTCGGTATCCCCATCTTTTGCATCTGTATCTTCTGGTTTGCTTGTGGAAGATTTTGGAGGAGGTAAGACCAGTTTACTTCGACAAACTGAGTCTTGTTTTTTAGTAGTAGATTCGACATCCCGTGCGGGCAAGTCTCCAGCGTCTTCATCATCATCTAGTGCAATCTCGTCAGGATTTGGATTAATGGAGTCCTATTCAAGTCAGACAATTCGAATACTGCAGTGCAATTCAAACAATACAAATAATGCCACGACTAACATCAAAAATAGAAGTACGGTTCATTGAGATGTCCAACTGGGATGGGATGAGACTAGAATAATCTGAATATCCAAAGCTTTGATCCGCTGCTTTATCCAACAATGGGTTCTTAAGATTGCTGTCTATGATATCTTGAAGTGGGTCGGTAACTCCAAGTTTATGACAAAATTCTCGCGTTTGAGGATTCTCAGTCGGGAACGCTGTTTTTGGGATGTCCCCATTTTGGTACGTCGATCCTGTTTCACAAAAGTTGTCGGGAACAGAAAAATTGTCTTGAAATATACTGAAAATTTCCGTTATTTCTTCCACGCTTGGGGTGAAATCAAATCTAAATCCACAATTGATACAATTTACTTGAATAATAAATTCAACTGATTTTTAACTGGCAATGTTCTGTTGCGCTTTATACCTGGAATTGCCTCCTGGACCTGGCATGAAACCGGGTTTTTGTTTAACAGAAAGTAAATGGTTCGTAGATTTTAAAATTGCTAGCCATTCTGTATCATATTCGAGAACTGTACTAGGTGTTTCAGCCACTACGGGTGTTGGAATCTCAATAACCTAGCAGAAGAAGAGTATTTAAATTTATTTATTTAAGGATCTTAACACAATTTTTACTATCAAGTTTTGACTAGTAAATATATATAGATCTACTATTGAAAACTTTCATGAATATATATACCTGAAGAAATTGCCGTCTAGGGAGCACCTTGTCTAGTGCCAAGAATTTTGTAATTTTTGGTTCTTGTTGGGTCTCAAGATCAGCCCGTAAATGCTCGTCATTTTTGACCTGAATTATTTTTGATTAACATTATGCTACTTCTATGCTATCTTTATTAGTATTTTGTATGTTATATACCTACCTCGTCAGGATGGGTTACATGAGCTGGAAATTTGACGTGCATATGGGCAGAGAACCAAAACTTGGGTTGTACTTTTTCTAAAACTTCGAATAAAGGGCGACTTCCAAGTTCATTTCTCTCAATTTCATCCCTGAAACAAGAATTTAGTAACTATTTTGTTTTTTAATACATTCCAGAAATCTCTCTCCTTCAAAACCTAATATTGCAGTAATGTAACAACGTTAGCAATTCTCCTTAAAATATTTTAAGGTGATGAAATATTCATCCCACGCTCAGACTGAAGAAGAATGAAAGACTTTTGTAGGTAAACATGTTTCTCCACAATCTACGCTCTAATTACTATTTAACTCAACGTAATGTAACATTTGCCTTAATTCTGAAAGGGCATATATATTTAATTAAATCCCAAAGTAAGCCATTAGTAGAGATAGGTACAAGTACGTTGTTTGCACACCGTAAACACAAATTCCTACGCACACACCGAACTTGTAAATATGTACCTAAAAAAGGGTTTTCTTCTTAATAATTGATATGTATCTCCAAACTGATGAATCCCTTTAGGCCAGTCATGAGATAAAATAATGTCCACAGGTTCCTTAAGCTGTAATTAACAATTTCAAGAAATGCCGAGTCTGAGAATATCTTACGAGCATTTAGACTAAAGAAGTTTAAAGAACTATTTAGAAATGTCCATATTACACATTATTACCTGTTTCAGTCTGAAAATATCCAAGTTTCTGTAATGATACACACTTCGCATCGTTCCTTGATCGTACGGGGGTGACTCGTATCGACCTTTCAAATAATCTTGACCCTAACAAAGAATAAATAGTCATTTTATATTACTTAATTACGCATTTAATAAAAAAACATTTACGTTACATCTACATATCCCATATCCTTACCTTATAAATTCCAGAAATACCCGCAATTCGTACTGGACCAAACTTGAAAACGCCGACATAACCCATGTAGAAAATATTGGGGGCCACCCACCCGCCGTATGGAAGCTCTTGTAAGAAGTTGGATGCTTCGTGGTTACCTCCAATGAAAAGGGTTAAAATCGGAGCCTTCTTCTCCCCAGAGTAGTATCTAATGTCAATTATAGTAATGCAAATTTAGATGCAACATACGATAAATTGAATTAATATCTATTTGGTTTTCTGAATTAAACCTGTACCTGTGAAAGTCGTGCATTTGCTGGTATTTGATGGGACAAGCCATGCAGCGGAGGTCGGTCATGTTCCGAACGCTCTGAAAATCACCGCAACAGATGACGAGAGAAACTTTAATCTCACGACGTTTTTCAATCTCCTCCACCACCTCGTAGATCTTGTCGATTTCTCCGTGACCGCATCCTACCACCGCGATGTGCATTTTAAATCTTCTGGAAAGTAAACAAAGACATATAAATATAAATTGGATTGTATTTAAATATTAAACAAATTTTAGGCAATTAACTATACAAAACTGACGTTTCGACGGAAGAGTTGGACGCGAGAAAGTACTATTTTTGGCTTTTTCAGAGCACTCGGTCGGTACGGGACAAGGCGTTTAAAATCCAAACAATACGAGAAAGATAAAATTGATCTGTGCACACCACACTTATTCACACTTGCAACTTGTACATTTCACAATTGTCGTTGTGAAGGATTCCCACAACTGCTGATCTTTCAAAGCCCCAAGTTCGCATTTAGGATTTTGCGTTCAACAGAAACGGAAACAGTGGTTTTCGCATGAACACAATTGCATGACGAATGTATAATGGAGGATGGGTGCATCATGATCATGACAAATTCCAATCAAAATGTCAAATAATATACAAAATTTCGTTCCAATCAAAGAAATATAAAATTTTATTTTCATATTTTGGAACTCCAAAATCTTAACAAACTAACTTGCAAATACTTTCAGAAAAAAACTTGTCTGGTTTACATCCCAATACCAACATGAATTTTATTTTGGTATAATTCCTTCAGTTCGATGTTTCACAATTGGTTTGTGCAAGAGATTCACTGAGGAAAAGCTTTGCAAGGGCTTGTGAACAGAATGCATTAATTTGTTGACTAGCCAAATCAACTTGACCAGACAGCAACATGGGGGTGAGTCTAGTTGGGGGAAGAATTGGTCTGAAAATCTTTGATAAATCCTCCTCAGGAAGAGCAGGGTCTCCTTTTGTTTGACGGGCTGCATTTTCCAAATTCTGTACAGAACAGTGAGAGTAAAATAGAGGAAATGTATACTCATAGATAAACAACATTGAAATCATGCAGCAATTCTATGACGGTTGACCCACCTTTTGATGAATGTATTTAGCCTTTTCTTGTTGTTGTTTGGAAACTTGCATTTGCCATTTATTCATCTTGTAAGACTCTTGGTGGACTTCATCTACTTTCTCTAACATGAACTTCATATGATTTTGCAAAACAGAACTGAAAACAAAAAATAGTTTCGTTTTATAAGCATACTCACGAGTCAAGACCATAAGCAAAGCATTATTTATATTTATGACGACTCGACTAGTCGACTCACCCAGTTCCTAAATCCAAGAATTGTGTTGCACGTTCGGGTTTCATTTCCAGTAATTGACAGCACAGAGCATTAGCCAATGGCGAGTTTCGAATCATTATGGGAACTTCAAACAAGAAACAAAGATAAATTGATTAAATTGGGATTTTTCTTGAAACAATAGAATTACAATAGAATTCAACTTAGTACTTACCTTCATGAAACAATTTATCATAACTCAAGTGCAAAGACTTGACAAATTCTGGAGTGATTGTGTTTTCATTCCCATCTGCCAACAGCTTCAGCGCCGCAGGAGTTAGTCGATACGCCTTTAATGTTAGAAACCCCTTTGCTGTTCTCACGGGGTCTAAAAATGGGGTACAAACATTATATATATGGAGACCCTAACGTCAGCAATAATGATTGGACTTAAATAATTTACCGTAAATGATAACAATTGACTCTTCAATCGAATCCTGATAGCCGTGTTGAGCGAGAACGAATTCACTAGTCACGAATGCTCCCAATTCGCAAGCTTGATACCATCCAACGTGTAAATAGTCCTGGTTAATTTTCTTCATGTGCATCATCATCGTAGCGGTGTATTCTGAATGATAAACAATTACCCATCATAAATGTGAATTACAAAGCAATGTTCTCTCAGTAGAAATGATCGCTAAATAAACTCACCTTCGTCAACGGATTCCTCGCCCGCTTTTGTAAAGGGGAAGGCGAACGTGTTGGTAATTTCCAGACGATTTTCGATGACAAGTCCGAGAATACCACCTCGAGGCGTGTCAATATTTGTCCGTTCTTCATAGCAGTGTTTGATTATTTTCATCACAGCCTGCAAACACATCTCAACATTAGTATCTCATTTGCACGCCTAAGATTTTGATTTGATATTGTCACTCAAGGAGGTTTCCTTCGTCATTTATAAAAATGGAATGTATAAATAAATTACCAGCCCATCAATTTGGACATAGTCGAAGGGACAGTTGAACTCGTTTCTTCGAATGTGACGGTGAGCCATTGGGGCGACGGTTCAGTCCTTCTTCGGAAACTTGAGGAGTATCAGCAAAGCAATTGATAACCGGCGACGGTCGTCAAATTATGGAATCTGTCAGCGAAAGGTGGAGAAGAAGTGAGCATGGATTGAATTCAAGTTTCCCATCATGCAAATGAGCAGAGCCACCTACTCCGTCGCGGGAACCACCACCACAACAATACTTTGTCTGCAGTCTCACTACAAACAACTACATTCGTTTCATAATAATAATAATTCATAATAATATTCACATTTGAGTTTTTCGTAAAAAAATATATAATTTGTGATTTCCATAAAATTTGAAATTGAACTACGTTATAAAATTACATTAAGCTCAGGTTATAGTATCATTTTGGTTAGACATGCAGATTTTCCTTAAATATTTACCGTAAGTCAAGTTAACCCACAACAAGAAATACAAAATAGCGAAAAAGCGAAATTGCAAATATATATACAAAACACTATATAGTGTTATTTTGTGATGTATTTCAGGAACGAGGATGGTGTGACGAAGGAATGGGCGTTAGTTGAAGTGCAGGGTGAGTTGGGGTCCAGAGAGGAAACGAGCCTTGATGGACAATTTGTTGGAGATTTGTACTACAATCGGGAGGTACATATTGATATTGATTCGATTAGAGTTCTATCAACAATCGATTAAAACTATTCGTTATACTTAAATGTAACATGTGCTTTAGGGATCGCCCATCCTTATCATTGGTCACCATATTCTGTTTGGCAATGTGCAAAAGTTAGAAAAACCATTCGCTGTGTTGGAGAAAGTTCGAGGGTCGAATGAAGCAAAGACTGAATATTCTGTGAAAGCTGTAATTAAGCGTAAATTATGTTTTAGAGAAAGGCCTAAGCCAATTGTTGGTGCATTTACCAATAGTAGTAATCCCAATGACACAGAAGAGTTAGTACAAGTTGGTTAAACTTATTCAATGTAAAATGTACCTATATTCATGTATTTTCGTAGAAAGAAGAAAGTTAAGTAATAAAATAACAGGATCACATAAATTTATGTTTATTTATTATGTTATATATTCGTTCTGTTCTGTTGTAATTGTAACCACATAACTATTTTCGCAATACTTTCGGGTTGAAAATTTAATAAAATTCCGGCTGCGAACTTCACGAAAGCAATTTCGTTGCGTCATTGATGCCTTAGATTTTTATTTAATAAATATATAAAGAACGATTACGAGTGCAACTCAATAATCAATCAGATATTATTATTAAACAAGATTGTTCTAATATATATTTTTCTACTACTTTGTGTTCAAAAATTCAGTCACTTAACTTACTTTCGATTGAGTTCGAATTAACATATTTTAATGATACCCATTCAAGGGAGGTGACAGTGTAATAAAATACAGAGCTAAGTAAATAGGTAATTAATTAAACTCTTTCAAAATTATCAACTTTTCAGGTGAGCTTTGAGGTGCGTGCTTCTTTAGGATCAGAATATTAAAGCCATACATAATTCAGTTAAATAATTATTTTTACTAATTATGGTCTTCCTGAAACTTTTGCGGGGTAAGATACAATTCCCATTAGATTTCACTATTGAATTATTGGAAGTCATTTATATAAAGATTATAAAATTGATACTTGAACGCTAATAATGTGATCATCACTGTACAAAAAAGTGAACTAATCTTGCATTATTTTAGAAATGACAAATGACTCTTAACCAAATAAAATGCACATCATACGAATCATCACAGTGAAGCTGTCGTGCAAAAGTTAAAAAATTGTCATGTATATGAAACGTAGGATATTATTATTAGCATTTGACAAGTAAAATATTATTGTTCCTCAATCCTCATTCAATAACAAAGTCGCAGTTAAACATGATACAATTTAGAAAATGGATTATAATACATAGATTTAAACTTCCAAATTTTAACAGTAATAACAATCAGTTGAACTAACAGGAAACATATTAAATTCCATATACAAAAACACTAAATAAGGCACACCAATTTTGAAAACAAACATGACAAAAAGTTATTTAGTAATAAGATTGGAAACAAGATGCAAAAATCAATAGGTTACAGATGGTCAAAGATTTTCTATTTTTTTAAGTCAATATTTTCGAACAACGAAAGCATATTGGGAAAATAAGCTAACTCTAAAACAATGTACTGTACCACTTGTTAATAATATTAACAAAAAATATCCATCTGAACTGAACTTTGTCATTCATAGTCAATATCGCTTTGTGCTGTCTGCTGTCTAACTATAAATACGCAGTCGTCCTAAAGGTCTCAAAATCGAAAACCTGCCATACATAGTAACAAACACAACTATTGAATAAGGAAATCACTCATCAACAAACAATAATTCCATTGTCGTGTTCGTTTTAATGATCCAGATAACTTTGAAGGGCTAACTTGTCAATTTGAAAACGATGTTATACTAGATATTAAAGCATATGCTTCATCGTGTGTGCCGGTCTAAGTTGGAATAAAAAATATTCTACCTACACCTACTAACTATTTACTATTTATCCGATGAATGCTGAGCATGACTTAAATTAAGTCGAGGTGTCAATGAATTAGTTAATTTCATTCATCTGGGGGGAGTTTTTTTGTCTCGTTCAAAAGCTACGCAAACCTCTTTTGTGCTTCCCAGAACAATACAGCGTTAAACAAATCTTTACTCTGTTCATACATATTTCCTATATACGCACCATCAAAAGGAGAAAATATTATTGGACAACATTTCCCTACATGAATATAATATTACATTGAATTCTACACACACATTTATTTCTACATGCCGTTACATACACTCATAAAAATTGTTGCTTGCATCTGCTGTAATGCACATCAACAACGTGATCATTCATTCAGGCAAGCAGTCGACCAGTTTCAAGGTATAAAATTCACAAATTTATACCAACTTTGCACACATAAACCTCTCGTATATCTACACACTCACTATATAATTTCGAAGCTCTCTACGATTATATAAAGATACATAAATATGTATGTTACTTACTACTATCAAATCATTAATGTTACGTAGTAAAATGCAGGTATGTATATATATATATACTTCAAAATATATTGATAGATATTTTTCCAGTCTTATCTTAATTAACCAAAGAATGGTGGCAATGGAGGAGAAGTTGTTCAAGATCCTTTCTTGCTCAGTTGCTGTAAGATAGTATCTTGTCGTCGGTAGAGTAATATGTATGGAACGCGAGGAGCTTGAGGATTTAGCATATTTGCTTCGCTCACAGGTTTCACTGATGTGTCGTCATATCGAAGCCATCCCCATTGCCCCCCTAATGAGCCACCTGATGGATGGAAACAGTCTGCTACATAATGGCCTTTATGTGCATCTTCTCCATCGTGGTACACCACTAAATAAACATGTTCAAGATGATTACACTTTAATTAGTCCAATTTTAACCCTACAATAAAATAAAATGCCAGGTCACTACTTACCCGCAAATAGTTTGTACTGTCGCTGCTTAGGAGTGTATTTATTTTTGCTGTTAATGGAAAGTAGTTCTGAAAATTATAAAAAAAATAATTACCAGTAGTTCGTCAGACCTTTAATGAAACAAAGTTGCAAGTACACAGATTTATTACCCTTTCCGATCTCGAGGTCAACACTGTAATCTAATTTTTTGTTTATTTTGTGAATCCCACTTTTCTCATAGACGAACCGTTTGAGGTGCAAAATCAAAATTGGTGGAAGCCCTTCCAAACTAACTTGTCTCCAAGCTTCAACTTCGTTGCCGCTTGCTGATGTCATCCCAGAAACTTCCTCTTTTACTGAAATTGCTTCCAGAGCGTCCTTTACAGATTTGACGTTGTCATTCTGCAATAAACAGATCAAAACATGATGTTGAAATAATTGACAATTATTTCAACTTGAATGCACTTGAATCTATAATTATTAATTGTAGATTCAAGTGCATAATATTGTTAGGTAAATGTGGTGCATATAATTGAATACAATATACGCACCTGAATAGCCAATTGTAATGTAAAAAATGGTTCCAAATGAGCCTTCTTGACTGCATTCACTCGACTAAGCGACAAACACATCTGGCCAAGGAATGCTTCTGAAATTGGTGATTTAGTAACAGCTGTTCTTCGGGTTAAACAGCTCTTATTCTTGGCCCCCATCACTTGCCACTGGTCGTCATCGTCTTCCTTCAACTCTTCAGCTCCACCGTTGACAACTGTAGGTGCCGCTTTATCAATTATTTGGTCCTGTACGCGTTCTCGTACTTCTCGTCTAATCTCGAGAAGTTTTACAACCTTGAATTGAAATTATTTTTTAGGATTTAAATTAGGGTATTTTGAGCAGATATAATCCACTAACTACAGAACATGATTTTGTATTTTATACCTTTATCATCTCATCATGAAGACAATTAAGGAGAAATGAAAGGAACTCCTCAGCGTCTTCTTGTCTTCCTTCAATTTTGAAGGTGTCTTTGGACAATAGCGCTATGGACTTGCGAATTCCAACTGGTTCGAGGCTGGGCCCAGCAATGAAATTGTCTCTACATTTATCTTTCTTTGTTGCTGTACTTCTTATCAATGGAGTGAACTCTCGGACAAATTCAAACCTTGAGAGTAGAGTATATATAAATCATTAGGTTGTTAGAGTATTAAAACAGTTGAATATTCTACATTATAATGAGTTTACTGATGGCATATATTTTTTTTAATACTTACACATTCTGAGTGACTGGAGCAGCTTTACATGGTGTCTTGTCAAGAATGTAAGCCAGAGATCGGAAAATATTGACAAATGGAGGGCACGCCAGTAAAGCCTGAAAGGGCAATAAACAACGGCAAACGAATGTTATTATTTAGTTAGAGTAGAGAAATGTCCACAGATTGGCTCTTTTTAATATAAGAGTGCTGTGCATATTTTATTATTCGTGAGTTACCTGAAGTATGGCGTTGAGGAAGCAAGAATTACTATGATTGTGCAGACCCCTAAAAAATAATTTCTTAATGCCAAACTTTCCAATCTTTGAATAATAATATTAATTTATTATAGTCAAATCAACCATACCTTGGAGCCAAGGGAATTGATTGATGCTCCAAGCCGTACTTGCAAAAGTGCTCACCGAGGCGATGAGCGATAGGATCATGTTCATCGGGATATGGATCGTCAAACGTGTATTCAGAATGACCTTCCCTCTGGCTTGGGACAATGTCCGAATAACAAGACAACCTCGCATCACCACAAACCACAGCATTTTCATTCGCGTGATTCACATTGTTACTCATATATCGCCTAGCAGCACCATCGTTAGAAATATTTTGATTTTTCACTGACGCCACACTTGCCCAAGAACGATTAGCAGCACTTTTGTTTTCGTGCTGTGCAACAATATTATTACTGCTGCTGCTGCTGCTGCAGTTACTGCTGGTGGCAGAAGTTGAAACTTCGACCGTAGAAATTTCACTATTTTTCACCTTATCATCCTTATTAGGCTGTTGACTAATGATGGTCGTGGAATTTGGCGAACTAGTAGAGTTGTTCTTACAAAGACTGTCACTATGTAGGGAAGTTACGTCTGAGGAGGACGAGCAGGATTTTTTCGCGGAAATCTGCTCTTGTTGTCGGATTGTAACATCACTTTCAGAGTTTTTATGGTCGGCACTTAAATTATCACGGATTGTAGAAGACGGTTTGTCTGAATAATCAACATTTCCTTCTTCTTCATCGTCATCTACATCACCATTAATTTGTTTAGTAGGAACCACTTCTAGTTTATCAGCAGAAGAGTAAGCACAATTCACAATAGTTTCTGTGGTCGTGTCATTTAAAAATTCTTTCCTATTAGAACTGTAGACAGAAGTCTTGGAAGAAGATGACTCTGGAGGAATCATAGTAGATGAGTCATCTGTATCTGCACCATTGACTACTTGGGCTTCTTTTGCTTCGGAAGCTGGACTATCATGAGGATTATTGGCATCTGGATCAGTCGAGGTTTCCTTCTCCGGGGTGGAGGTTATAGTTCCATTAGACGTTGAAAGGTCAGGCATAGACTTTGGAGTACCAGAGGAGTAGGAGGAAGAGGTAGGTATTTCGGTGCCATTAGTGGGAGTTGATTTTTCACCACCACCACCACCAACTCGAGCATCAGTTTCTAACGATCCGGGTCGTTCGATATTCTGAGCATTTGAATCTGAAGCTTGTGGCGGCGGGACACCAGAAGTTGTTCTACCGGCAGTAATTGTAGTGGTAGTACCGTGGTGTGGGTAGTTTCTCGTATTGTGCGAGGGACTGTTATGAGTGTAGACTGGATGGTGGTGTTGAGCAAAACTCATGTCATTACTTGGAATAGGAACCATGGACTGAGGCGGAATGCTTCCATGATGATCTACATCGTTCCCTGTGGAAGAAAGAGAGTTAGGCATGTAGAATCATAATAACATTGATATAAATAGGACCGGAATGCCTACATATGGATTACGGACCGTATGGATGATAATAATACAGAAAAATAATCTACAACAACAAATTTACGTTTTTGCAACGTATCACATACCTGGATGACCTTGATACATTCCAGGATGATGAGGAAGGTACATTCCATGGGCTGGCCCCATGATGATCGGATGTCCCGTAACATTTTGAAGCTGCTGCTGATTGTAATATGGTGGGACTGGGTAGTATCTAGAAATAAATACATCATCATAGGCAAATAAATATTAATTACTATACTCAAAATTCTGCCAGTTTAGCCACAGATCCATCAAATACATAAATCAAACAAATTTGGTTTTCCAAGCTTTCAATTGTTTGTTTTAGAACTAAGACTCTAGGTTATAGAATAACGTCGAGTCAACTCTCTAAAAACAATTAATTTGCCCGTTCTGTAACACTTTTACGCTATGTCGACTTTTGGTTGGAAATAAAACATTTCCATCTTTAAGCCTCCCTAAAGGAAGGGAGCGTATAAGCTGACATGAACTGGCATATGCACAACTGAATTTGTACTTCTTGTTATAAATAAATTGTTAAAATTATAATGTTGCAGACAATAGTAAATGTAAGACTTACTGTGTGTGATTATAATAGTAATTGGCGGGAACTTGTTGTTGCTGCTGCTGCTGTTGTTGCTGCTGTTTTCTTCTCCCTTTGCTGTAAGTGTTTCCTCCTTGACTTGTCGAACTTGAATGTAGACCAGCATGATGAGCATCATGATGAATCTTATGATTTTGACCCTGTGAATGTGCCATGTAGTTCTCGCTAACAACAGAATTGTCAATGGGAACATATGACAAGTGTTGGTTATTTCCTCCCGGTCCATAGTAGGCATGAGGAGTATAATAGGATTGCTGTGGAATCATTTGTGGTATTCCAGGAGAAAACATCATCTACGATACACGAAATAAGTTAGTAATTCAAATATAGTCTACTTAGCACCATGCCTGGAATTTCTTACCCCACCAACCCGCAATGCGGGGAGAACACTTTGAAAAAATACTGAATTTTTTTTCAATAGGGACAGATATTAAACTAAAAATTATTAATAATGACAAAAATGAACTATGATGTTACTCAAATCAGTCAATTTACATCATATCGACCCTAGCAAGTTAAAATCATACTTTTTAAACATGATAATCATAGAAATCAAATAATTAAACAAGTAGTTTCAATATTGACCACCTTTAGTGTAGCAAAAAAATTGGAAAAAATTGAATTTTCCCTGTTTTCAGAGAACATTTTGAAAATTAGTGGGGAGAACACTTCCAAATTCATGTAAGAAATTCCAGGCATGCTTAGCACAAGTCAATTCATGTACCATAGTATTTCCAGACGGATGATTTGTAATGGGGGCCGGCCCAACAGAGGAAATAGGAGCAGATGTAGCGGAAACAGCAATTGGCAAATGCGTTTGTCCAGGAAAGTACGGCTGGATAGCATGCAATGGTCCAGTGGACTGACTAACAATGGTGGTTGCTATTGCATAATAATAGCAAAGATGATATTAGTTTTATCTGTATTGGCAAGTTACTGATTGTTGTCAATAACTAAAATGTGTGTGGTAATTGTTATTTAATCACACTTACCATGCTGTGGAATTGTTGGCATCGAATCAAAAGGAGTTCCATTGAATTGGGCAGACATTTCATCAACGCCTTCATTTATATTAGTCGGTTGCGACAAGACGACAATATTTTCAGCTGAACTGTCCGTCCCCTCTCCTTGCCCAAATTCAGTCACAAATTCGGGTAGTTTATCATTCAAGGGGTTGACAAAAGTAAACAGGCCTTTAAAGTACTCCTGGCTTTCCGTCCCTTGAAGAATATTGTGGAGAATATCCTTTTCAGCTGGACAAACATTCTCGTAATTCAAGAACTCCAAGCCTTCGAAGCGACCCAGACCCTGAAACACAATTATATTTTTAACCTCTTGTTTAATCAAAATGTACATGAATTATTTAGAAGAAGAAGAATACTTGTAATATTTTCTTATGATTTTCAGTTTTTCGTAGGTTTAAAATGTTTGTTTCAGAACTACGACTCTGGGTTATGAAATAACACCGAGTCAACTCTCTAAAAACAATTAATTTTCCAGTTCTGTAACGCTTTTACGCTATTTGGACTTTTGTTTGAAAATAGAACATTTCCAACTCGGAGTCTCCCCAAATGAAGGGAGCGTATAAGCTGACATGAACTGGAATTATCTTGTCCCGAAATATATTGGGCTGAAAACCTTGCTGAAATCAAGAATAAATGAAGAAAGAACAAAATAAACCGAACCTCTGGTCGATCCATCTTGCTTGGCAGTTTCCGCAGTTTTACGAAGCCACGATGATATGATAATTTATGACGAATAATCGACAACCAAAACCGTTTGTCTTCGGACTATTTATTTACGCACTTGGACGACGACTATATAAACTATGTATAAACTACAAACTAGACGCAGTTGAGTTAGCTCTTAAGCTGCAGAAGGTGGGGTGTCCCCCACAAAGGATCGCATTTCCTATCTGCCAACCAACTGATCAGTCTTAGTTTCGCTCGAGAATGATTACTATCGTTCACTATCTGTACTAGCAATGCTAAATTATTGACTCCTACTATAGCTGTCCATTTCTTGACTATTGAAACAAGTTAGTCCCCGGGCTGTTGTCCTTTTCTCCGAAAAACTGACTGACTACACCAACTTTCTTATCACAAGGCGGCGGCGGCGAATCCTAAACTACAACTCTTCCTCCTCTGCTAACTAACCGTTGTTATAGCCGACGAGAACACACGACACAACCAAGAAATTAAAAAACAAAACAGTTTTCTACTCTCGCCGTCCTCCTCCCTCCTCCACCATGACTTCTTGCTTCGTATTCCTTCACTCTGCTCAACTCTGATCACGGACCCCACTGACTGCACTATAATACTCGGTACTATAATTACAATGCGACTGGGAAAAATCAGTGGTCTTCCTCTGGACGAAATTTGAACATGGTGGCTGCTGGAGGAATATGAGCGAAATTGTTGATGGGTAGAATAATTATTTGGGAGCTATCTCCGTCCGTGTCTCTCTCTCTGCTCTCTCACCACATGGATGATGTAGTTTAGAATGGTTTTGAGGATGAAGAAGCACTAAGCAGTTAGTGGTGGTGGTGGTGGAATGGGATTCTTCTCAGCATGCCAGCCACTGGGGAAGGCGGGCCAAGTCCGCTCGGAGGTTTCGTGGTGGGCCAGCTTTGGTGGTGGCGCATTTTCCTCCAGACAGAGATCGCCACAAGCTTCACTACTGCCCCAGTGCTGGAGACCCTCCACAACCCGTGCAGCTCTACGTGGAAAGTGAAAACGGCCAATTATAATTGCTCACCTGGTCACGAAGTGATTGATAAGCCTCGTCCCACTATCACTACTAAACCAAATTTCAGGTTTAGCATCGGGCTTCGATGCTTATTTGTGGGCGGAGATTTAAAAACCATTGGCGAAAAGGGATGATTCATTGCAAAATGCATTCTGCATTCTTTCATGAAATTATTACACAACATAGCATGACTTGTTGATGTTGACTCATTTCGTATAGAATGCAGTTTGCATTCAAGTTGAATTGAAGCTGGTTGAAGAATAAATGGTAATCAAAATTGATGTGCTTTTATTCTACTACTAATGTAGATTGTACATACATGAACTAATCCAACCAAATGTTTCAGTTGCACAAAATAATTCAACGGATAAATGTCATCTCTCATAAACGAGAAAGTAATAAATAGCCACTTTTCTTTTGCATATTTCACCATACATTTTGGTTGAATTGTATACAGTCTGAAGAAGTTTGCCAATTTTTGGCACATTTTCGTGACATGGGGCAGACTCAGACTGAATTGTTGCGGGAACTTCTTCACCAAAGTAAATACGAGTAGTTTATTTGTTAAAATTCGTGATCAGCCGATCGATATTATTTGTTCGAGAGCAACTTTCAGCCCTCCTGCCCTGCTCGCACCTCCTGAAATAACTCCTCTCCGATTAAACACGCGTAGCAATTGCTCTCCTCAACTTATTCCGAAGTTACTGCACATTTGTGTGGTTAGGTGAGGCGAGGACTACTTTTTCGGTTTTATGGATTAGTTTATAAGGGTTCATTTTAATTTGCGTAATGTCTAATGCTTACGATGAGTGGTATTCATTGAACAGATTGGAAAAGGTCAGAGAGGGGGTGTGACCGAGATCAGTATGAGTTTGGTGTGGGTGAAATTCCTATCACAATGAAGACATGATCGATAACGGAAACAATTCGCAGGAAGAGGAAATTGAACTTGAAATACATTCGGAATCCGAAGTTCTTGATGCTGTTGAAAATAATTGCGGCAGTGGCTACATAGACAACAATATCGAGCCTGGTTCGTGTGCACTATTTAGCGGTTTATTATTTTTATCTATTTTTCCTTGTGTCGTATAACATTTGTGTTTTTTTTAAATAGAAATGCGTTTTTCTGACAGTCATCACAAAGATAAAGACGTCGTAAAACATGATTTTACACAGCAATTTAGTTCAAAGAATGCAAAGATAATATCATGCTGCATCGTTTGTGGTTTTGTGTTGTATCACACAATCTTACGTCTATTTCATGGTTAGTGGCGTGCAAATATTCAGATTTATATGGGTTGCTTTTGTGTATAACGTAATTTGTTAACATTTCAGGCATAGATACGTGCCAGTGGCTGCTTTCGGATGGGAATTTCAGAGATCAAGTTTGGCAACCGTATGGTTGCATGATGCATCACTATAACCACTTGTAAGTTTGTAAGCGGGACACAAATTATGTCACATAACGCATTGCTTATCTAGTTATTCTTGCTACATATGAGACGACCAATACCATATTACAATTACAGAGATGCAAGACGATGCATGAAATACATGGAGTATTGGGGAACCAAAAACCACTTTGTGTTTGTTGGGGATTCACGAATGGAACAGCTTTATCATGCATTCATTCATCAAATTGTCCCCACTTATGAGTGGGGTGTAGTTCATCCTCCACGAGCTGGTCCACTATCACCCAGTAGCACGATAACTCCAAACTATGTGGACCCTGTAAAGTTGGCTAATCAAGATCTGTCATACAATGATACCCAAATTGGACTTCGGGTTCAATACTTGTTCCTCCCATATCCGAATAAAACCATGATTTCTGCTTTACAACAGTGGAAGGTCAGATAATTAACATCTATACTACTTACCTACGTATTTGCTAGATATAACCTTAAATAAAAACTAATTTCAACATGTCATCTATAATAGAACTCAAAGGATTGGCCAAAGACCTTAGTAATAGGAACTGGCAGTTGGACAATTAAAAATTCTAAGGTAGATGCTGTTGAGCTCCTATTACAATCAGAATATGCATCGGTTGTCACACACCTAACTGTGGTAAGTTAGATAATGCATAATTCTAAAGCATTACTGTTTTCGTGGTTATCTTAAAACTAAAATGTTTTTAAAGATTTTAGATGGGCTTGTTGAAGCCGGTGTGGACGTGTTGTGGGCGGTGCAGGAACCAACCGATGCAAATAAACTTGTCGGTGACTGGGCAGTGGTCACCAACGACAAAATCGACGCTTACAATTATTTATTTCAAAAGGTTGAGAGGCTCTAAGCATTCATCAATGATCTAAATTTTCACTTTATAAAATTTGCCATCAATATTTTAAAGGTACTCCGATACTCAAAAGTAAAAATTTGGTCAAGTGGAAAATTGGTGGCAGCTCAAAATTTGGAAGACTCGCTTGACGGGTATCATTTAGGGTGGAAAACTTTAATACAAGACACGCAGGTGGATTGAATTTGTTACTTGATAATATAAAATTAATTAAAAATTAATTTATATATATATGTAAAGTTTATTAGTACATCAGGAGACATTAATTCGTCTTATTACAGATTCTGTTAAACATGTATTGTAATGATAATATGAACTACAATGATGCGACCTGCTGCAGTAACTTGGAAAAAGTGAGCAATCTTCAGTTGGTTACATTTGTCATTCTTGGGTTGAGGTGGGTGATATCATTCTAAATAGCTTAACTTGATGTAACAATTTGTACTATACATTATTACCGATTTATTTCACAGCTTTCTACTATTGTGTATCTTGTTTGTTCGAAAACACTGGAGGCGACTGTTCCCTGGCTCAAATTACGTATACCAGCGTTTGAAGTATAATGGATACTCATCTTATGAAGCCAAGGAAAAAGCATCCGACATAATATATGGACCTGTTGCGGCCCTTGGAAAATTGGCTGTCATTATGACATTCTTCTTTATCTGCGATAGGTACATATTATTTAGATGATTATTTTATCAGTGATAAAAGGGTGATAAATTATCACCCTTTAAAATAAGTCTTGAATTGTTTAAATGTGACTTTGATCCTTTTTGTTAGAACGACCATGTTCATGAAGGAAAACAAATATTTTACACAGACCAATTTTTGGTTGCCGGTATAATTATTAATTAATTTTTCTTATTGTATTCCTTCCAATTCCTTGTATAACATGTGCATAGGTGTTTAATTAACATGTGTTTTTTTTAATTCACCCAAGGTAATATACATTCTAGTCCTGGGAATTTTCTTTACAGAAGATAGTGCATTTACCAAAGTGCTTCACTATGACCAAGAGAATGAAACCAAAGGTAATTTGTAACATTAACAATCAATGTTAAGAGTGAATATCTATATCTATTATTTGTACATAATAAATTATATGTACTACAAGTACTACTCGTTATTATTGATTTCAGGGTGGATGGTCCTCTTAATTCTTGTGTACAATATGATGGGAGCTAGTCAAGTTTTACCAATATTTATGTTTGTAAAAATTAATACAATTTCACTGGTTTTAACCGTAGATAGCACAATTTTAATGAAATGTAACTTGTCAAATATTAAGGTTTGTAAAAATCCTGTACTCTGCATTTCTATTTCTACATGGGTGGAACCAATTCTTGTCATTCTTGCAAAGAGGAGAGTACAGTTTCGTCAGATTTCTTCAAGAGGTAAATAATATTGTAAACTAGTATTATGAATTTAGTAAATGACTCTTAAAAGTCAGAATGCGTCAAAACCTCAATAAGTTGGATTAATGTTATTCCTTCCAGATGTTTCGATTAAATTTGATGACAGTGCTCTTATGTCTCTGTATGAACAGACCCTATCAGTTTTATGATTTTGTAAGAAATCAAAGTATATCTATTACCAATATACCTCAATTATACATTGTATTATTATGAACAACTTTTCTAAAGATTCCACTAATTTCATTTTGGACACTGGTTGCCTTTATTGGGTTGAGTATACCACCGAGAGTTAAGTGGACGGCGTGTGACACCAGTTCCTTAAACTATCTTTACCTGGTTTTGAAATTAATTGGAATATTTAGCTTCACTACTATTCTGTACATGTCAGAAGTAAGTTGGATGTTCAGGTTTTTCTATACATAATTTATTCCGCCCGAAAGTTTTTTTTATGTATTTCTGTTTTGAACTAGGTGTTTTTTGAAAAAGTATTTATAACGCGACCTTGGAAAGCCTTGTTTGTATCAACGGATGATGACATGGTATGATAGACTTTCGCGAAAATATTGAAATATATCCATATATCCGAATGAGAAACAAAAATGACTTGTATACTTTTCCAAAAGCATGACTGGTGGACAAGATGGAAAATTGATCGGTACAGTGTTCCGATGGGAATGCTCCTTGCACTGGGCTATCACGTCGGAAGAAAGTACAAGATTTTAGAGGATGACAATCATGGGAATCTCTTTTCTACAAGAATCTCTCTAGTTGCTGTTTTGTTCTCATTGATGGGAATCATTGGATATGGCACATTTTCCGTGTTCTGTCGCAACCAACTCGAATGCATTGAAATCCATTCGTATGTGGGATTTCTTCCAGTAAGTTGCTGAGCATTGTAGACTTAACTGAGTTACCCTCTGATGTATGTTTATGGATATGTATACTTATTGCACTGTATTATGTTTTCACAGATTGCAGGGTATATATTTCTTCGCAACGTATCAGGAGCTCTAAGAACGAGGTTCTCCGCATTTTTTGCATGGTTCGGCCAATTTTGGGTCGAACTCCTTGTTGGACAGTATCACGTATGGATGGGTGGTAAGCTCCTGACTGAAATTATTAACCGATTAATTAAAGTTATTTATTTACAAGACAATAAAAACTCTTTTAGCTGACGGACATGGAGTGTTGGTTCTTGTTCCGGCTTATCCTGTGAGATTATTTATAATGTTCTTATGTTATTTGGAACGCCCACTTTATTCCATTGTTTATAATATTGTGCATAGGTGGGCAATGTGTTGCTGACAGCATTCGTGTTTGCCTGCACAGCCCACGAAATAAGAAAATGTACAAATGCTTTATTGCCATACGCGGTCCCCGAAGACTGGAGAAAAGCCACGAGGAATTTATTTCTGTTCCTTCTCGTCCTGATCCCCATTGGCATCCATGACGGAATGTTTTAACATCAGTTAACCAAAGTTATTTTTGTTTAGATTCATATTTCTTTGGATGACTATGATATTTCCCATGCATGCTATAATGCTATTGTTTATGCTAACAACCAAAGCACACCACGCCAATCCTTATTAAACTTGATATGATTTATTAACCGTCATTTAAAATTTTGAATTGAGAGGTCTTACAACTTGTAAACTTTATATATTTTTTGACTTGAGACTGTTTTGTTAATCAGATTATTCAAATGCTGATTTGTGATCTTGAAACTAATACTTAAAATAAAATACAATTTTCAAAACGGACGTTGGGCAGCTGAAATGTTGCACATACCTCATTCTGTTCCACTCATTCATCAATTTTATATCTTACTTTTAAACAATATAGTTGCCTTACACATATATGGGTGTATATAATGTATACACACGTAGTACATATGTATTCATACTTAAGTAAATCTGCCGCAGAGTTCTGGGAATTAACTACGTAGGAATACTTATAATATGATACATAAGCAATAAATAAGTTAATTAGACATGCATGTGTAATTTTAACGTTAATTTATATCGCACCGTAATTGTTTAAAACGAGCACGCGTTATCAATATACACCAAATGCTACAAAATCTTAAAAGCTACATACAAAGTTACGCGATACTGCTCTACATCGACGGCTATCGACTATTGTTCAACTTTGCCCACAAGTCATTAATACACTGAGTTATATAAATTGTTGTGGAAATAGTTGCTGTTCATGGACCGAGCATGAATTCCTAATTATGAATATCACGCCCCTTGCTTTGATGAGACCATTTGTATTCACAATTAATACAGACGCACTTAAAGCTACTTAATTACATTATGCATTAACCGTATCCAAGTAGTTTTCAGCAAGTAAAGGAATTACATTAAATTTGTGACAACGTATCTTTGGGTTTAAAAACTTTGGTTGAATAACCCTACAGCACTTCCATAATACAGCGTATAACTATTTATTACACAACTGATAGAGCTACCAATACGACATATTATAATCAAACAGCAATGTAACAATGTACAATATTCAGATATGGGATACGCACTACCACTTCATTGAATTGGCAATAAATAGCAACCTGATTAACCTCTAAGCTCTCTAGGATTTAGGTATTGTAATAATATCAGGATTACGGTAATATGGCACTACCGAAGTTTCACGGGCTCATCAAGCGCAGAACAACATATTATGTCCACGTACGTACATTCGTACATGTACGTTTGTTAAATATGTTGCCACGATCTTGAAGGGCGCACGACCTCCGACGTAGTTTTAACAGAGTTTTACCAATAATTAATTACATACGCTATTTCATTTGTCACCATTCACTCTGACTCTGCTGACCATGCATGAATTTAATTGTATGATTAATTTACGATGTCGCAACACGTTGGTGAAAAAGTCCAGCCACCCTGTTTCCGTAAATTAAATAACTTGGGTTTGAGGGTTGAAATTCATTTTCATTGAAAGTAATCTTGCCTCAAAATAGAACTGCATTTCATAACAAAATGGTTTATTGGCGTGTGAACACTCAAGTCTTGCCCACCGTTAATTACCCATGATTCCCACAAGGCATTACTTTCTCTCTCTCATTACAGTCCCCATGCATGCATCCGCTGTTTGTGTGTAAGCGTCTTCGAGATATTTACATTCTAATGGCACCATCAAACTCGAAACCTCTGAAAATGGACGTGTTCACAGTTTTTGGTTGATAAGTACAACTGGGACTGACAACACCATGACCAGCACTTTTATAGGCAGTGTTTTAAGACTATAGTTATTTGAATCATTGTCAATATGCGGAACTTTACAAATTCACACTTAAAATCGAGAGATAAATTTTGAAAAGTTGTGCTAATACGGGTTTGCCTCCTTGTATTTGCAGTAATTCATTAGTCGGTTAGTAATATGAATTTTGGTTTACATAAATCAAACTCGAACGATAAGTTGTGCATTGTACATAACGGAATCATTCTGTTGGAAATGCTTGCGCTTAAATGGAATGATTGTTACTGCTGCTACGGTGTATATTTGTATTTAGATTATGAACATTGAGTCAATTTGTATATTTTATATGTATTGTTATTGTATGCACCTCTGGAGTTCTATGTAAATTCGTTAAGTGACAACACGACATGTAAATATGCCGCACAATTTTTCTAATATTCTATACTTCGCACAGTCGGTTCATAAATCATGATTTGATCGTATTCCTAAATTCGATATTTCATGGTTGAACCATATAGTTATGTAGTTATGTGTCAATTTGGAGTAACATGTGGACTACTGGACCTAAGTATGTACGTGTACGATTAGTGATGGAGTGTTTCAGGGTGGATTTGATTATGAAACATGCCGATTATTCCAAATACCTATATTATATTTGGTACGTGTGTAGCTTTGTGTATTTGATTTGTGAAACAGAGGCGTGTGTGTACATAGTTATAGATTTAAAAACTGACGACATGTTTTGGGCGTGAGTGGACGACGAGAAAATCCAAAGGCATCGTGAATTTTTTTAGGTTGTTCCTAAAGCTTAACGCTTTTATCCAACTTTGTAGACTTCGGAATACATGCGTGCCTTCAAGTACTTTTAAAAAATAATAATAATAATGACCGTGTAAAGGACTTGTGGATTGAATAAGGTCAGACAAATCGTGCGTGTATAACTTGGTCTACTTTTACATAATATTGTCCATCATAACTATAACTTGTTTCCTTTATGCATGCTTCCGTACGTAACTTCTCGGTGGGTGTCAAGCTCTTTTCGTTCTTCTTCCTCCTCTTCTAGTCCGTGTAAACTGTTTTATGTGAAGCATTTCCATGAGAGACCATCGTTCGAATGATGACAATCTGAAAATTTAAAAATTTCAGTTAGTATCAAATGGAGTAAAGTGCTTGCTGCTATCAATAGATACGAAAGCTAAGCAGAAATAAATAATTCTTAAGTTGCCCTCCTGAGTAGATGAAGAATTTCTGCATATATGCTTTAGTCGCCAATACTGGGTCATTTTACTTTTGTTATGCTACATTCTGAGCCATATTGCCACGACTCACGACATGCAAAAATTTGTATTCTATACAAATTCTGCATATACGTAAGATGGGATTATGTAGTAATATTCAGCCACTGTTCCAGCACAATAAAGTCATTTCGAAAGGAAGGAAGCTATCTTGTATCGCATCTCGAATATGCAATTTGAACATGAATATGAGATGAGGGAATTCAATGAATGGTCTCTTCAACGGTCGCCTTTGGTGCAAAACAAGAATGGAACGGATCGTCCCATTACCCAAGGAATCGAGGTACTTTATTCACAGGAAATTGCACCATTACGTTGAAATATGCAGCCACTATCTGATGGGGTGGCAGTGACTGCTGAATCCTCCTCTCTCTCCAGACAGACAGCCAGAGGAATGAGGAAACAACTACTTCTAATAGGCATCCAAATACGCGTACCACTTATAGAGAATCTAGGACAGGACAAATGGAGTAAGAATAAAGTATAAGAGACAACTCAGGACAGTCAAAAGTGTACATGTTCCCATTTTAGTTGCCACATTATCAAAGCCAAACTAGGCAATAAAATACAACGAAATTGCATAAAGAGGAAACTGTCAACCAAATTGTGGTCACAGCGCATCAAATAAATGCATATAAACGACGTCAAGAGCCCGTTACCAGCCAAATAAATAGTCTCATCAAATCATTATTTCACATATTCCAGCCTTTCCAGGATGCAAAGTACGCGGAGCTTTCACTTTTTGGGCATTATTGCAGATAAAACAAAGAGTTTGCTCGTTACAAAACGTGAGTGCGGAAAAGCTGAGCTTACGTGTGCATACACCGTGCGTCCTTATTCTCCCCAACCAAGACAAGGCTTTGAAACAGACGATTAGCTTTATTGATTTTGGCTTACTTTTATTTTGCACAACCCACACAAAACTTCACGGTTTTGTGGACGGGATGGAGTTGGAGAGAAGTAATTCTAAACTTTTTCGCCCAAAAAGGAGCGAGGTTGCCGTTTCAGCACGACCACCCCAAAAACCAGAGAAAGTATGTAGGAGTGGGACAGGAATTTAGATTTAGCCAACAGCCTGCACAGATTAAATTAGGCCAATAAATTACGATGCCATTCTTCATCAAAAAACGTGCGTCTAAAGCCAGGGTCCGAGAAAGAATAACTTTTTTGGAATGTCGGTTTTTTATGCGAACCTTGCGAAAAATTATGGTATTAGAACAGACTGCAAATACGAGTATGAAAATTATGTTGCTTGCAATATGTCACACATTGCGAAGAAATTTCGTCCATATTAATTTGCGTATGTTGTACGTATGTAAAAGGAACAAAAATAGACTCAAGTTTTCCCGAAGGGAGATTATTTGCATTCTTATGTATTTATGCGTACATGAATTTTAGTTGTATGCATAGTTATATGTCGTCCTCGTCCCGAGTCAGGGACCATGTCCCTGACTCGGGCTATATGGAGTCTGCACTGTAGGTTTTTATTATTTTTCTCTGTGCCATGCATAAATGTGATATGCAAGTTAATTTTAAAAAGTTTAATCTGGCTGACATTTATCACAATTTGCATTGCATGCACTTATCCTAGAGTATCTAATAATAATTTTGGATGTTATTATTAATTATTAGATACTCGAAGACTTTTATAATCTGTTGCAAAACTGTATACTTATATTCATCGTAATTATTGGTTTACTTCGTGGCACTGTACACACTGTAAAATATTCATATGAAACAATTATCATATGACTGTGAGGATGCTGGCGAAAATGGCTAGAAACTGATTAAACTAAAAGCTGAACTTTCAAAATTATTAGATCTTAGCACAGCTGGTTCTTCATGAAGATTTAATAACATCTAAATGCCTAAATGCGCATGAAGGATACAAAATTCACAAAAAGTCTTTAGGCAAACTCAATTCTTTTAGTTAACTATTCCCATGCGTCCATCATTTTTATCGTGAGGACGATTGACAAGTTTTACTTCAAGAGTCAGTCAGAATATGAGCGAAGCAAGTATATTTCTAAATTGAATTTTACGAATTTTGCCTCGGGAAAATGTCCCGAACCAAATAATACCAAATGTACAAGCCAAGTAGAAGGTTATACTTGCTGATTTAAGGTAAAAGCGTCTCTCATCCTCCGCTAAAAACTGGCTGAGGTGAAATCCAATTTTAAGGATCACGAGTTCTTCCTAGGAATCCGATTTCCAATGGCAATTTTATCCCTGCTATATATGCACGGAATTTCTCTCTTTTGCATATATTTGTCCTCCCCAAAGAAAGCAACTTTTGTGTACTTTTCCGTCATTCGACGTCTGCCTGAGTACATAATGTACACATGAATGTACAGACATACATATTTGGCTGGATGAATTACTCTTTTGCTCGTCAAAGATTATTAAAAATAATGAGACCCAATTTGTCATTGTGCACGGAAAAACATAAATCTTTCCAACTCGGAGCATTTCTTTCATGTTGAAAGCGAGTAACGAGAGGAGCGAGATGAAAGTAAAAGTAATAATGAAAGAAAGTGGAGAGCTGGGAAAAATAGTCTAAAAAGAAAGTTATATATTGCGTCGCGTTTGGTTGGGCTGATTGCTATGTGAGTTGGACTAGGAAAATTGTACCAAAAGTAATATGAGACCCTGTCTAATAATATCCGAAATTATTATACAACGTGATCCAATACTATCGATTTTATGCTCATTTATGTATTATGGTTGACGACATATGTCAAAAACGTGTCACGTTGTCTTATCACGTTCCACCGAAACTAAAGTTGAAAATACAGATATTCATTCCGGGTATGCATTTATTATCTGGCTTTAGTACAATGCTGGGTGGAAATGGTAAAGTTACATTCGTTCGTATGTATGCAAGTGTGTTAACGATTTGGTGTATCACGGACCTGATGACCTAGATGCATATTCAGATGAGTCGACCCAACCAACAAAGCCGGAACTCACGCAACACAGTCACAGCCTTAGTTTAGTCCGCCGTTCGGTTATTACTCGAGTACATAAAATATGCAAATGAGAAACTAACTCGAGTATAAAAACAGTCATGAATAAATTCCTTGATTAGAACAGGACGGACAAGGAGAGCCTTTTATGCATCCAAAGACTTGGATTCCAAGTGGCACGTCACGTAGTTTCACGAGTTTACTTTATTAGCCTCACTTCAGTTACTCCTTACTTTATGATGGCCTTATATACTTTCACACAGTTATTGCCGAAAAGTCCTTCTCATCCCTTTCACTCGGAATGAAAGGGATGAAGGAAGGGCTGCCATTTGGACGGACTTGAATTTTAAGCTGGCGTCATCTCTTCTGACGAAACCTCTTTCTTTTCAGCGTGAATCTGCTGAGGGTGACATCATCTCCTGCGACCGACAGTCTCCTCCAGTTTGACATTTCTACATATACTTTTATTCTCCTCACTCTAACACTGCGCTGTATGTGCGGACTGCACAGATTCAGAAGGGAAAGCCTGTGCTCTGAAGTACAGTCAACTCATCCTGGTTTCCTTCTTGTCACAGGAGCGGCAGATGAGGCATAAAAAGAATGAGAGGAATCAAAGGAATCTGATTTTGTATTGAGTTCCCTGAAGCAAAAATGAAAGGACTTTCTCCAATTTTCTCTCTCCTTCATCCGCCTCTCTCGACAGCTTCCAATCTCGGGATACAATTATAATGGCAAATTCTAGCTGGATGAAGAGGCTGCTGGAGCTTGAGCTGGATTCTTCGGGATGGAGAGGAGATGGCCAAGCTCTGTGTGGAATAAGGTCGAGAGCAGAGTGGGTATTTGGTTGCTGGGAGGAAAAGTGAGAAGAAAGTAGGTCGAGAGAATTCATCTCCAGCTTTACGGGTATTCGGATCTGCGTTGGAAGGAAGTACCAGTCACCCGGGATTTCGGAATAAATAAAATCAAGTGGGACAGGAACATAATGTGTGAAATTATGCTTCTGCTATGGGTGCTCTAATATACGAGCCTCATTTCCAGAGATTCCATGGACCAACCAACCCATACAATTACCCTGCCTGTTAGTGCAGTCCGTGCAGTCACATGAAGATTCCTATATGACGTCCCAAATTCCAAACGGAATAAATTTCATCTCGACATGTGCATGGAAGAAATTAGGATTCCCAGGCTGCATGATTGTGCAAAAAACCACACCCGTCTCATTATTACATATAATTTGATTGGTTCGGTTTTTGGAAGCTGTAATGAAATCTGGAGCTCTAGTTCTTTCGGAATGTTGTCCTCACTTTAAATATGTACATATGAAGGAAAACTATGAAGAATTAGACAAGACAAATGCTTTAATTTAGGCCGACAAGTACATAGACTTATGTCTTTCAAATATGGTATATGCATCTACATACGTATGTATGTACGTAGAAGCAATTGTGCGTAGCATTTTTCTTTTTTGGTTCAGAAGGCACCAATACAAATTTAAATTAAAAAGTTTGTCCAGCTTCTTATTCTGAATCCCTAAACCGTCTATTGGCTTTGAACATCCCGTTTCGCTGTTTCGAATCAAACCTGATGTCGTTGGTTTGCTACAGGGTAACAATTGCATGAAGAGATGAGGCTTTCTTTCAATTTTCATGGTTTTGCGAGTCGCCAAATACTAAACGTTGAATAAATATGTGTCAAACATATATATGTATATTGACACCCATAAACCACTAAATGTGACAAGGAGAAAGCATTGCAAATAGTGAAAGTGGTCGTCTTCCACACCAAATGCTCTTTCTGTGTGGGTAATAAATAATGTATGCAGTTGGCTGGGCGAGGTTAGGTTAGGTTAGCCAGGCGTCAGCGGCCAACACCATCGTCAGAGAAAATCGATGGTCTCGGTGCTTATCAATTCATCATGCCGCCCATTGGCACCGGTCGCCTACTTGGTAATAATCTCCTCTGAGGTCTGCAGTGCGGGTCTATCTACATACTTTCTACTTGACTTGCGATTAAATTGGGCAATATGGTCTGTGTACTGCTTTATACAACTCGTTGGTGTACTTGTGTATGTAGAAGACGAACCCTGAGACAAATAAATTACGACGTTCATGCTGATTTATTGGTCCAAACTCTCAATCATGCACGCAAACTAATCCTAAGAGTGTGTAAATTGTTGGTTACATATGCGACCAAAAAACATTCGACACAAAACAACTAATATTTTTTGCACCATGTCCAGCAGGATCATTATGGAATGATCAACTTTAAACTAAAATCGGCTTCCAAGTACAGATTATACGGAGACAAAGTTTCTCGATCAATGCAAAGCGGAATCAAAGTACAAATTATGAAAGTAATGAGTCTCACCAAGTCTTTGAGCTCCGGACCAAGGAAGGGTTATGTTGAACAAGAATTCGCACGTGAAATATGCCACATGGGAGAGCACCTAAGGAATGATGTCAAGAATTGTGTAGCTTGTCAAGAGCCGTCCGAATATGGCTGGGGGTTTAAAAAGAAAAGTGGAAAGAAAGAGGGCGGAACATTTCCCCCGAAGGGAAAATTCAGACACAAGTGTGGATTGGTTCGCTACATTTTGAAGAATAAGCAGCCTGGTAACTGAACAAAAAATATAAGTCAGTGTGGGACGTGTGAGCCGTAAATCGATCGTGCTGGTTGCGCTTGTCGATTTTCTCCTAAAATACTTAGCATGCTCAACTCTCTTCTTCTCCTTGTCTCAACAAACCACCTTTCCCTCTCTCCCTTACCCTTTGCTTCCCGTTTTCTGCAATTTTTCATGCAATTCGCAATTCGAGTCATCGTTTTATATGAAATACACTTTTATTGTGGCTCAAAGATAGGAGTAATCCACAAGATATATAAAAAATAATGCCATTCAGCATATTATACAAGATTGATTTGATTGACAAATTGACAAGCTAAGAAAGGATTAAACACCTAAGTACATATATCACAAAAATCCAAAATAATCTTCGTAGTCGCACAGCCAGCAAAAATTTTGAGTATCACAAAATCAATGGATATTTAGGTAATATAAAGTAATATCATTCTCCATCCACAGCAATCACATTTTTTCATTTTAGTATTTAATTAGTTAGTTGGTACGGTGTACATCAACATCAACCTGGTATTGAATAGAACAAAGCACTGGTTTTCGCTTCAAATTCTTGAAACCTGACAAGAATTTGTGTAGTATGTCCGGTCGACAAGCTGGAGGTGGAGTCACAGGAAAGCAAATTAGAGAATTGGCCAGTGAGCCTCGACTCAATGATAAGAATCCAGCTAGAGTAACCTAGAATTACGAATGGATGGAATCAGTCAGCCACAATCGGTTTTGTATTATTATACTATAGGTTTTGTTTACATATTCAGACGAATAGTAGAATGACTCTAAAGGCATTAATCGGACGGCATACTTTAAAACGGCGTCTGATATCCCACACTCAATTGAAAGATGTTTAAGTCCTGAAATCAATAAAGGAGAATAGATTAGCAAATGAACAGGATAAAAACCGATAATATAGGTTGCTAATATCTTTCATTGCTAGATTATGCTACCTGTTTGGTTGAGCAGAATAGGCTGTGTGGGTTGTTGCCCTAAAAATCCTCTATCTGTGATCTGGGAACAATTAACCAGTGTTAAACTCACCAGAGATGTTATCGAATTTAAGATCAGAATTAAATTGTCGTCTATTCCATCCCAGTGTATGAGTGACAAATTGCGTAATTGGGAATAGTTTTGGGCTAAAATCTCAGCTGGATATACTTGCGACAATACTGGTTCTTCTTCCTCAAACTCAATACAAAGTGTTTCTACATTAGGTCTATTTTGTTTAAAAAAGTTCATCACGTTTGGAGCAACTCGAGCAGAAACAAAAAATGAAATTGACTCGAGAGCAGGCAGTGGCGCAGTGATGGAGTCATTGTTCACAATTGAGTTGGCCGACGTGCCAGAATCGAAAGATATTGATTTGAGATGTTCTAGCTCGTGAAAGTTCAAGTGTTCACCACATTGATACAGAGATTCAATAATTGGAAAACATTCGAGGTCTTCTTCGGGAATAGGGGCAAGGTACCCCTCGTTCACGTTGAGCATCTTCGTTCCTGCTGCATGGCATGCATGTAGTAGTCTGGCGAAAAATTCAGGTTGGTCAACGTTCTCAACATCCAAAAATGTAGGCAAGATAGGCCCATTCTCATTCGCTGTTTTGGGAATACTGATATACTCCAACAATGGATCCATAAGACTAGTCTGGATTAAATCTATATAAGCTTGATTAGGCCCATCTTCATCATCGTCGCAGCTTCGAAATAAGGTGGCCAGAAAAATGTGTGGAACTTTAAAAAACGTGACGCGTGAGCACTTGCTGAGAATATACTTGATTACTCCGAGATTTTCCTCTTCATCCCAAGAGATAAATGTGATAATCAGTGTTTCCAATTTCCCAAGAGACGCCACAATTTTGGGATTATCGACATCGTTAGGATCTTCCCCAGTCCAGTCCGCACACGATAGGGTACTAAATTCAATACTTTTAAGTGCTTCACATGTACATAAAATGGAACGAAGCCCAATGTAGGGCACCCGATGCTCCGGTAATTTCAAAGTTGTCAAACATGTCGACAATCTGTTCAGAAGTTGAGAGTATAATTCGTTATGAATCCAGCTGAGGTCGTTTTGATTGCCATCGCATCGTATCACCACACTGCTCCACTTGGTACGAGAATTAGAAAATTCGCTCTCCTTCATTTGTGCATGAGTAGCCACATTCAAAACAAGTCTGTCCAGGCAAACGTTATCCACCATTTTACATGTTCCTTTGGACGCTAGTCTAAGATCCATTAAAGACCAAATACTCAACTTTCCCAACAGCACTCGCTGCGCCTATTAAAGGTAGAAACAATATATTCAATAAGTTGATAAGTCAAGCCAATTCAAAGTGCTACAATATTCACATTATTATTATTTTTAAGATGATATACGATTATTAAATGCATACAGCTTCAGGAAGGTTTGTCAGTGGCAAGAACTTCTTGTCGCCGGATATACCCAATTGTTTAAGTGATGACGCCAGGCCCCTTCTTGATTCCATCTTATCCCCGCAACAACACAACTTCCTCGCAGAATGGGAGGGGTCCTTCTCGATGACTAATGGCTCTGTGAACTGTTCCGTAATTCTGTGAGTTGAGTTGAGGCGAGACTACAAACAAGATTGGAAAACCGTAGTCAAATTAAATGATTAACAAACTAATTCAATGGGAGAGAGGGTCACATTAATTATTAGCATTTACCTGAAGAATTTGAATAACTATCTCTTTAGATTATAGACAAAATCTGACGTGATAACCAATACTTGTTGTTTGTCCACTCTTTTAATGCAATCAAGTTCAGACCTATTCCTACCACTGATCCGAGTTCAAGGCTTCAGATGATTAGAATAATTAAGAAGGACGTACTGTCTGAGCGAGCACTGTTATGTTAATTAAGAAAAATATACATAATTTGACGGGTGGGTTTGTATCGTGGGCCGGTTTTTTTGGTGGCACGTGAGATTTGAGCTTGGCGGCCCTGCTGATTTTGCCACATCACAAGCTCGAATCGTGAGTTGGTACTGACTGAGCACCGGCTTTCACTTCAGCCACCACAACACTCAACTGCAGTTACTGCACCACCAACTGCTATATTTACTTTACAATTACTTTACGTCGTTTCTCTGCCTTTCGATCTCGTCAGTCGTCAATTTGCATCTCGCACTCTACAAGCCGACCTGTCCCCGTTTTCGACTAAAATTATCCACAAAAGGTTACCATCTTGACCATTGACCTCTTTTCGAATTATTTGGTTTCGTCTATAAGTACGAATTTGAAATTTCATGTTTGAAATTTTTTGAAAATTTTCAAATGGATTTTTATTGCTTTAATACCTCAAGGCTGAACAGTCCGAGATTAATTTTATGCTCGAATCAGTTTGCAATATTAAAATCATGCCCTTGTTGTGAAAGTTTTTGCCAGATGGAATTTGTTTAATCTAATGTTTTTCTTTTCTTTTCAGATTGTAATTTATAAGCGTGTAAAGATCATCCACCAATATGTTCGTAAACTGGAGCAAGTTTTTCCTTCTCGTCCTCATCGCCTTTCCACTGGTCACTCTCATCGCTGAAAAGAGTAAGTTCAAACAATATAAGTAAAGTGTTGCATATTTAATATTGTTCAGTCAGTGATATCAAAATTATACATGTTTTGCAGATTACGTGGCTAGGGCTGAAGACGACGTGGATTCTGATGATGATGGTGTAGATATTGAGCCTGACGGTAGTGAAGATGTTGGAGAAACGGCTGTAACAGAAGATGAAGACGCATCTCATACGATAGGGAAATCACCGGATGGAGAATCAACAATTTTATTCATCAAGCCCAGACCAGGATTAGTTGGGTTAAGTGGAGCTCCAGGTAATTTTTACCCCTTTAAAGTGCGTTTCCTAATATAAGCCGATAAATATGATGCATACTTTGAGTTCTGATTATTTTGATGCAATTCTCTAAGGAACCTCTGACTAACTCTTTAAGTTACATAGTTAATACATCCAAGATGATTATAATCCATACATAACTAACCGCAATCTTACTTATTCCTATTCGCAGAGCTCCATGCTGGGAAAGTTGTTGAATTTTTGGTTGGATTTACCAACAAAGGGAAAGATACTTTCACCCTCGAGTCGCTTGATGCTTCGTTCAGATATCCACAAGATTACTCTTTCCATATTCAAAATTTTACTGCTGCTCCTCACAATCGCGTTGTTAAGCCGAAAGAGCAAGCCACCTTGTCTTACACCTTCTACACTGACGAATCTTTTGCTGGACGTCCATTCGGTCTGGTTGTCAGCTTGGGATACAGAGATTCGGTTAGTAAACGGAATTATTAATTGGAATAAATTTAGAAGAAATTTAACGTTTTGTCTTTTGTTTTTAAAGGAAGGAAAACCTTACCTTGACGCTGTGTTCAATGAAACTGTGAGCATTGTTGAGCTTGAAGAAGGTCTTGATGGAGAAACTTTCTTCCTTTATGTTCTCATGGCTGCCTTTGTGGTACTTCTCTTGGTTATCGGCCAACATCTCCTCTCTTCATACGGGCCAAGGAAGGCACCAAGAAAGCAACAAATCGAGCGTGGGTGAGTGAGATTGGAAAGATGAGATCACACGAGTAATGCAAAAACTAGTGTCGTGAATTTCTACGTGGTTATATTTTGTCCCGATTTGCTTTGAACGACACTACCAGCTCATTCACATTTTATTTGACAATTAAACATTGCCTCCCCTCCCCTCTCTTGGGATTGTTTAAATATATTATAGTTCAAACCAGTAGTGTGTTGCATTAATATGCAACACATGCATTGCTTATAATCATAAATTATTTTTAATTATGTCCGTTGTATGAACTTACAGAACTTCAGATTCTGATGATGTCGACTTTGAATGGATCCCAAAGGAAACTCTTCGCGACGTTATGAGTACGATTTTTATTCAATTTCTTGAATGTATATTACGTGTGATATAGTAATCCCTAATCGTAATATTTCCTTGTCGAAATTACAGAAAAATCGCCTGGAAAAAGTCCCAAAAGTCCAAAGCAGAGGAGACCAGTCAAGAAAGTAGGCTCAACGTCGGATTAAATTATCGGGTTAAATTTTCAAGGCTGTAAATTACTCACCAAGTGATTTAATATTTTCATCAAACTTTATATATTATCCCCCTTGATGGGTTAATAATGAGCTGTGTTAAAATGATTTTCAAGTTGTATTGAATCGGCGGTGCAGTGGGTCATAAATTATAATCAAATGCATATTACACTCGTCAAAGTGTAAAAATACTTAAAAAGTGAAATAATCATCGTCGTTTTTTGGTTAAAAAAAGTTACTGGCAGATGACAAAAAACCGTACTGCCTACTAGTGAAAGGTTGTCAATTTTTGGTGTGCACTTATGCTATATTATTGTGTGTATTCCTTGTATTTGATTTGATTAAATGTTGATTGATACTTCTTTGCTCAGTGTTTTGAGTGCGTGCATGGCTTAAATGTTTTTGCAAAGACTTCCTGTAGTTTAGTTCGAATTTGTTAAAACATCAACCCTATAAAAAGTAATGATAATTAAGTACATTTTACAGTGTTTTGGTTTAGTACTTGGTGCAATTGAGTAATTTATTTAGATACATTACGTAGCATAATTCTATCACAGTTACCGCTGTATGTACTGTGCTACATAAATAAAAGACGAAATTCCTTGTTATTTTAACTTTTGGAGTACTTCAATTTGGCCACATTTGTCATTGAATATTGTACGTGTCGTTCTGCACTTTTTCACAAAATAAAGGCATTACATAGTCTCGTTACAAATTGCACATAATACAATAATTCAAATTGAACATGCTTTCCGCTTGAAATTGCTCCTTGTACTTCTGGTAAATCGAGTTAAACATACGAGGCTTTAAAAAGTAATACTTCATGGATAGATAATACATAGTGGGGAGTGCTTGAGCTAATTCGTCAAAGCTGTCAAAATGAGCAATAAATAAGTAAATAGAAGTAAAGGGCACAGAAAAGAACAATAAATCTGGAAGTTAAGTCTATGTACATAGTCAAAAGTATAAAAAGCTAAGATTGGTGTGGGTCATATTACCATGTTCTTAAATTTACGAGTCAATGGAGTTGCCTTTGTAGCTTCTCTCTCATGAATCAACGCTCTGGCTAAACCTTTGTGTTTTGAGGAATTGGACTTTAAAGCTGCCACAATGAGCATAAGGTTAAACACATCCCTTTGAGCATGACTCCCACCAATTTGGATCAGTCGATATCTCAGAGGTTCCAAAACTCCCACAACATCCGCGTATTTTTCATCCCTGAAATCTACGATAGCTTGAAGAAGGGGTTTGGTAAGCGTGGCGTGGTCCACCAACTCTCCGCCCGATATGGGCACTGATTCCAGCATTTCCTCCACCACGCCAGATGAACTCTTACTTCCGGCGAATGCCATCATGAAGTGGACATCGTTGAAGGTGGAAACGTGGCTCTTAGAGTGCGATTTGCTCAGCCCAAATGCCTCTTCCCAATGGAACGACTTGACGCTGGATGGATTAAGAATGTTCAGTCGATAAATGAGCGAGGTCGTGTCCAAAATGTCCAACATGGTTCCATTCGCCTTGGCCATCGGCAGTACTTTCTCTTCTAAAACGAGACCTGCACTGTCATAGTCCTCATTTTCCACGTGGTAGAGTGCCACATGCCAGTGGTTGTGACAAGCCACGTGGTTGCTCTTCTCCCATTCCTGTACCGTCGAGTTCATGAACTGGAGACCTTCCGTAATCCTGCCCTCCATGTCAAAAACGTGGGCTATGGTGTGGGTGGCCCAGCCGTCGCTCGGTCGCTCGGCCAGCGCTTTCCTAGCATACAACTCAGCTTTTCGGTACTCGTTCGTTTCTTCCAGACCGTAGGAATAAAGACCGTAAACAAAACTGCGCAAAGTACACAATTAGCACCTCGAATGCCATTAAAGTATACGAAACAAACTGTTTAAAATGTACGTAGCATGTAAATACGCATACCTCGTGAGTGGAGGGCGCTGTGCTTCCCAAGCGGGCAAAACTCTAGCATTAGCGTCTCGAAGTTGATCGGGCTGGCCGAGATACAGGTACGAAATGTTTGCCAACTTCAAGGCGTGAATATCAGTGGGGAAGTCCAAGAGAATCTCTTCCCACAATCTGACCGCGAGTGAGACCTTTCCTCGTGCCCACAAAAGGACCGCTTCGATGTGCAGTAACTCTCGGCTGGACAGGCTGCCTTTCCTCGAGTCCATCAGCGCCTCCAAGGCCTCGTACTCGGTTCGCATGGATTGGCTTGAGGAAATTGACTCCAAGGTCCCCATCAGCCTCAGACCGAAATTGAAGACTCGTCCCAAAACTTTTGAATGAATGAAGACACTTTTAAAATATACCTTCAATAGATTAATAATAATTTGCACTGTGTTACCAAACTCGGGGTCTGCGCTGACCATTTTTTCCATGGACGTGACAATTCCGCCCACGATGGGGTCATCAAACCATCCCACCAGCTGAAATATTTTGTGCCATGAATGTATAGCATAACATCCTTAATTCATTACGTAGAGGTGGTATGTTCTACCCATAGACGAGTATTTATACGCTACCTGCGTAATACATGCGTCATACAGCTTGGCAGCCTCGTTGGAAACGGTTCCGAGCGGGAGCCCTTGGTCGGCCCAAGCCTGCAAGTCCGGTATCAAGTGAACATTATTGGGATTCGTGATAGCTTAATGATAAAGTTTTGTTTACCTTGCAGTCTCTCCATTCGTGACGAGTGCCCATGATGAATGCTATTAATTTGAACGCCTGATAATGCTGCAAAGTTTGAAATCGTAAATGCTCACATTTTCAGAATATCTAAGAGAAACAAAATCCAGACCGTGGTTGACAAGTAGTTGGAGATCTAATGTCAATGTTGAGTTCTTTTGATTGTTTTAAGTGAGAACTTGTTCTAGGTGAAGTAGTGACGGCGACCTTGAGCTGTAATTGAATTGACTCGATATTACAATACACAAGCTTATATAAATGATTGGACGTGATGCTGTTGTTCCATTACATTATGCATACAAGTTAAATGTCCAAGTTGAACTGGATACCAGATCCAGCATGAAACAACATGTGTTGGGTTATTGATCATGCAATTCCTTAACGCGATATTGATTTATTGTCCTCTTCAAGCACAATGCCAGACCTTTCCCTTTTCAGTCGTTGTACAAAAAAGTCAATAAATACCTAATGTTATAGAAAGTTAATGCCATTGAAGGAAACTTTTATATATGTACATCAGTTGGGATTGATAAGCGCATTGAAAACTACGTATATACCATTCAAATGTCGAGTATGTACTTGTTCTGCAAGGCAAATGATATGGTTTTATTTTGGAGTGAGTGACTCTGTGGTATGCGAACGTAGAGACATCACCACCTTTGAACTTCAATTTCCATTGTAAAATGTGGCAGACTGTGACAGTGCCAAGTTTTCATTGATGCTGGAAGCACGTAGCCAAAATTGCATGCAAAATAACAGTCAAATAAAAGCACCATTAAATAAGACAGGCTTATTGAAATGTGGAAACATAATCCGAAATGCCACAAAAGATCTCATTGAATCCAAACGTATGGAAAACTGCCAATTTCTGGGATGGAATAACCCGTCCTCCGTGGTTGTAAAAACAATCTTGGCACTGACCTAAACCTCGTCGTTAACACTGGGTTGAATGATTTTTAACATAGGAATTCTTAAAATAGAGCAAACCTATTCCTTGTTACATAGATATGTACATCATGCATAATGCATCTGTATCCAGATCCAGAGGATACACCAACCAATCCAAGCTGACTTAAACTGACCTTGATTTGACAACTTTCTACAAAATTCCGATCACAAGCTTCCTTCGAGTGCTATTTGCCATCCAGTGCGGTTTCAAATGGTAAGAACAAATTTGCATTCATCAATATTTTACAAGATCATACCCGAAAGATGCAATGTCCTTATGGCGTTGCACATGTATAAGTACAGATTTGAGTCCATAACAGATTTGAAGGAAAACACATTTGTAATAATTTTAATTATTACGATGCATGAGACAAACAACTTTTGTGGGATGTGGTCCTACATACTCTGAATTTGAACAACCGATTGTATAACTGTAAATAATATGTATATAGAAGTGAAATGGGACATACATAAGTGTAAAATGTATGTTGGGTGTAAAGATGTAATGCACTCATCGCCCATTAGTTATCGTCCCCTGCATTGTTTGTTTGATCCTGTATCAGTCAGAATCGTAATCTACTAGGTCAAAGGTCATCCTTTATGATCACATATGTAGATTGCGAGCTATGATGTAATCTGACTCGATGTTGCCTATCAGTTTAGCCGCAATTTATAGAGTAATGCAAATCTGTGAAATCATAAGTTGCATGCAGTCGCCAAGTGGTTGTGGCCTCTGTGGCCTCCGTGAAATGGAAAGTAGATGTTTGGACAGGGTGAAAGCGTGATGTTGCATGTGAAACTAGCAACAACTTTACATAAAGCCCTCTATTTTTGGAGTCGTCGGGGGTTGTGAATTTCCATCCGTTTATTCAATTAATCAATTCACATCACTTTGGAGGCACGTACGTCATGCTTCACTTTGTGGCATGCACAGACTTGTATTATTCTCGACGGGCACTATACTTATTCCGTCGGTATTTGGTCGGTCGGTGGCATGTCAATGGGAATGTGTTGTTGGAGATGATACATGATGTGGCATTAAATGCCAAGCTTATTTGCTTTCACTTCTCCCACAGCGCGGCCTCCATTTTCCGTTCTACTCCTTCAAGGAATATGCAGAACTGGGTTTCACTTTTCCTTCTTCTTGCTGGTTGGGCTGGATTCCGATAATCTGAAAGAAATTGCGTTTTAGAAGCAAATCCGGTCTGCATATCAGGCACATCCGACGAGGAAATGAGTAAAAGTAGAATAATATGTAAGTCGCTCGATCTGGAAATGAAACGTTGCATAAAAGTTTGCGAATTTCATGTTGCATAATAATAATAACTGCGAGATTGTGTCCCGCCCCGAACTTTCTGTTCCCCGGTGCAAAATTATTTGAGTGACCTTGTAGGGCAAACTTTGAGAATTTTGATATAGTTGAATGAAAATACGTGCGCTTATTATTATGACTATTATTCTTATTATTGTATTATTCAAGCTATGGCATTATTAAGCTAATATTTGTGCTACGTGAGCTTTGTCGTGCATGCACGTTGCACATTTATTAAAACTTTTGAGAATTGATTCAGTTGATTAGTATATTCTCATGCAGCTTTCTTGGTTTTTTGCAATCTCACACGCAAATTTCGCATCAGCGCGTTAAATTATTCACAAATTATAAATCTTACAATTTCTTATCCAAGTTTAAGCTTTTTCATAATGAGTGATAATGATACGCAGTATACTGTAAATCATTTTTAGTTCCAACTGCAAAAATACGGTTGAAAAGAAGGTGTGGAATCCTAGATCGTGGTAAATGTATATGGTCCTGCATATGTACATTAATTAAGACATTCTTGTACACACATCCATAAGCTCGGGTGCCACAGCCACACACATGACCACCCTGACACTCGTAATAAATTCCTTCAATTCCACACGTGCTAATGATAAGGAGAAAATGGATTCTAAATAAAGTTGTCGGGTGGAGCAGCTCAACATAATTAATTCACACGAACAACATCGGAGTGACCGACGCCATAATTCGCATTAAATCTTTCTGTCTTGCGCTAGATCCGGGTCTGGACCTTCCATTTGTGTACATGATCACCAGTCCACATTAATTAACATATAAATGCATTTATTGTTTGAGAACAGGATCGGCAAACAATGAGGATTGTCTTCAGGGCATCGGCATATCATGCGAACACTCATATGCATTAGATTAGGTCTGCTTTATGCTTATAATAATACACATTTTACAAGAATTACACATTTTACATAATTATGTGTCCCATGAGCATGTGTCAAAAATTGCCTGCGTGGCTCTTAATGAAGAGTACAATTACGAATAAATGAACAAGGAAAACAAAGTTAAAATAACTATCCTGATGCCGCACCTCTAAATAAATGCCAAATGCCTGAGTGTCCATTAATCCAATACACTAGATTTAAATCCATATTAATACCACAGACTTGACCAGATTATGTAGGAATGTCAGAATGGTTGATTTTTGGGCATTGCACAATTTTAAACCCCAACCTCAATATTTTTTGCAAGTGCATCCATAATTTCAGAGTTGCGATTGTTACGACGGCTTGAGGGCAAATTAAGCTTGCAAGTTAAAGTATGAAAGGAATTTGTTGTATCGTACGAGAATAGTGGGCAATCCAACGTGATGCATAACAAGAGACACACAATCATTTGAATAAACACAATAAATATCATTTACATAATCTACATTAGTTTCATCGCCAATAAAGTTGCTGTTGCCTTTTTTGTCTTGACGCTCATCCGGGTTCACAATCATTTGCAATGTAAAATGTGTTTTTTATGGAAATAATTCCTTTTTGGATAAAGGAATGCATTACAGCAGTGCAATTTAAGCGATCGGATTATTAAGCCACTCTTCGGTTGATTGATGCCATGTATGTAATAATGCAGATGTTGCACTGTGGAGCAAATATACATTTGCATGCATACCGTGCACAGGGCACTTTTCATTTAAAGAAACCCTCTTCATTTTTGGAAATGGAGTAAGCTATGAAATTGATGGGATGATGACGGCTTTGGGTCAAAGTTTTTGTTTGGAAGAGTTTGAAAGTGAAAGGAGTTCTCCAGTTCTGTGAGCAAATTGGTTTGATGTCTTTCTCGGCAAGTGAAAGGAGCACAATGAACAAACATTTTCGAGAAACTTCACCTCGAACTGCATCGCAGAATTGACATCACGTCATCTAACCTACACCCAGAGGACGAGGGTTGAAAAACCCTCCAAGAGTTTGTCCCTCCGAATAAAGTTGTTCAAATTGGATCCGCTACACACTGAAATACTTTAATCTCATGGTGCTTTGATAACTTTGAAACTTGTTTGCCAGAGTTTCCTTGTACATAAGTTTAGCAATGTTGCAGCATCGCCACGAACGACCAACAATAGCATACGGCTCCTTTCTCCTCTGAATATTACACTTTCAGAGCAGACCTCTCAATAGTTGGGAGAAAATTGTAATTTAATAGATTTGAAGTGAGCTAGGTGAACATGCGATTGAAATTGCAAACTGAAACTTTGCCAAGGTAAGTTATGTATAAAGTGGACCCTTAATTGCATTACATCCAATTGTCTATTGCACGTTAGCTGCACTCGTTCGTGCCAGTTCTTCTGCTTCTTGGGTTCGTCATCATGCGACGACAGATCCTCTTCAGCTCTTCTTTCTCCTCCATACATTTACTGTAAAAGAATGGCCTCTCTCCTTAGGATCAAAGTGCTTTGATCCCGAGACCAAGAAGAGGGCCCATTCGCAGGCAAAGTTTATATTTCATCTTGGAGAAAGAAAATTCATCTCATTCCAGTTTTATTATTTGCGAGCTGCATTGTTTTATTATTTGCAAGCTGCATTGTTTTATTATTCTCTGATTATTTTGTTCGCGACCGCAACCTCGACATGTCTTGCTCCACTCTTAGCTCCATTTTCAGTTTCCTTGCATCTCGTTCGTTTTATCTGTGTTACAAATCACTGCAGGATGCAGCGAGAATCAATAAAAATATCTAAAAATATCTGAAAGTATCCATTGTCACAATTCTCATGCAATAAATAAGATCTTAGGATTAGTTATTACCTACGTAATTTATTCAATGAATTAGAATTGTCATACTATTATAAAATAAGTTATTCCTATCTCTGTAATAGCACTATTATGCCTGGACATTCGACACCTGAATTGTATACAAGCACCGCTTCGACTGAAAGTTAAAACTATTTGCACAGTGATAACTGCCATTGTAAATATGTAATATGTATTAAGTTATAGATGCATATCCTTGCAATGCCAGGTTTAGTTCCGGTTCTCACATGAATTTATTATGGTAGAGTTGCAAACAATAATTAAACTGCTTAGTATTTCTGCACTTACTATTGACCAGGATTCGGATTTAAGCTGATGCAGTTTGTTTTATGGGCCTCGACAAAATGAAAAGTAACACCTGACTTTGAAATGATTTAGATTTCATGAATATTAAAAAGAGAAAAGTAAATCCCTCAACGCAGACACAAAAAATTGAGTTAACATCTGTGTAGACAGCTAAATACATTTTTTTGCATATTTTTTAACCACGTTTATTTAGCTGAAGCTCCAAAACTCCTCTCGTGATGGGCCTGCTTCGTC